ATTTGGATTCGTCGCAATGTGGCATTATGTGAGAATAACCGAAATCGATATTAGCGTGATTGCGATGAAGTCGATTCTTTGGGGAATCAATACGGACGTCGCATTCACACTGGGTGTCCCATTGGGTTACATATTTGGGAATCTGATTCGATTGATCCAAATTTGGAAGTTTCTTACGTGCCAGAATCGGAACAAAATCTCCTCTCCATATTATTTTTAATACAATTATTTATTTTCGTCGTCAAAATTTTTTCGACATTTCAAAAATTCGATTTTGTCGTCAAATAAAATGCATCGCCCGTATTTTTTGTCTTCAATTGAATATTTTTGTAGAAGGTATGATTCATCAAATCATGATTTCGGCCATGTAGGCAACCGAATAATTCAATTCCGGTTTTTCATCAAAATGGCAAAAGTCAGATGGTCAAGGGGGTGCCGATGGGAAGGTCTCGAGGACGAAACCTCGAGACCAGGTCTGAACCGACTCCGAAGAGACCGAATCAGAGAACATGATAACCCACCGACGCCGGACCAATCGCGCATTGGCTTCGGAAACGCACCGCGTTTATATACCCCCTATCGGCAGTGCTGCGGACATTGTCGGGGATTCGCCGGTCTCCATCGGCCTCACACGGAATTTCGCAATCATTTTTGGCTGCTTCCAACCAACAGCATGCGCGTCTGGCGCTCTCCTCATCACGCGTACTCTCTTCTTCTTGCTATATATCAGGGCTGAAATTTACTGAAACAATTCGGCAAATTGCCGAAAATCAAAATTTCGGCTATTACATTATTTCCACGATAATTCGAAATAAAAATACCGAATTTTCACGGTATCCCAAATTATTCAATGGACATTGATTTTGGTTTCGCCGATTTTTTTTTTGATATCAAATTGCCGAAAATATAAATTTCGGCGGCAATTCGGCAAATTGCCGATCGAACGCTCTCTTCGGCAATTTCGGCAATCGACAATTCCATTGCCGCACAGCCCTGCTATATATGATCAGAACGAATTGCATATAGGATGCTCGTGTTCATCTGAAAAAAAAACATATATAAAGGGGTACACGCAAATTCGTGAATATTGAAGATTTCTACGGCTGTCGTTTTTCAGTTTTTCTAATTTTTCACACAAATACACCAGACGCGTGCTGTTGGTTGGAAGCAGCCAAAATCGATTGCGAAATTCCGTGTGAGGCCGATGGAGACCGGCGAATCCCCGACAATGTCCGCAGCACTGCCGATAGGGGGTATATAAACGCGGTGCGTTTCCGAAGCCAATGTGCGCACAGGCAAAACGCGACGGATGAAATCCGGGCGAATCACGGTCCGTTATTGACCGTTCCAGCGTGTCGCTGACGTACCGGACACGGACGTCTTAGCGTATCCGGGAACGGACCGTGATTCGCCCGGTGGCGTTTTTCACATGCTTTTTTTTCTTCCGTTCGTATAATAATCAAAATTAAAATTGAAATCATATAGACAGCATTATTATAAAAGTTTTATTTAAGAAAAATCGAAAAAAAAATTATTTACGAATCGCAATCGCTATATTCGTTTTGAATTTAATCGTATTCGATTGTAAAATGATTAATTCGTATTCGATACGAAAGAGTCAATTTTTTGTTTCACAATCAAATACATTAAAATTCGAAATGAATACACCGAGTTTCGCACCAAATACGAGTACATTCGGGTTTTTCCAAAGAGTAATCGAGTACCACAAATTTCAAACTTAATTTTCGATCAAGTTTGTATCCGAAATTTGTTGTATTCGATTCGAATCGAATTACTAGAACAAAAATAATTCTAAAAACAAAAAAAATATTTGCACATTCCATTTGCACACGCGTGTTCTACCTGGATTGGAACATTTCCATTAACTCTTCGATTTTGGCGGTTTTTCCGCGTCGTTTATCATCGCTGAAACACAGTATATAGCATATATATAACATTCGCGTTGCTCACTTACATGAAGTTTCTTGTCATTTCTCGTATATGAGAAACGACGACGGTTTCTTCCCACCCTTCACTTTTTATATCGAAGCCTCGGTGTAATATTTCTGAAAAATATTAATATTAAAGTAATATTTCGTATTTCGTAATTTAGTAATATAAGTAATATTTCTGAAATATTTCTGAAATATTTCTTTTCCTAAATTGTTCATTTATAATGACAACTTTTAAAATTGTTACTTCGTATTGCCAGTCAATGACACACCGTCAATACTACCAATAATTGAAAAATGAAGTTCCGTGTCCGTATCCATCTGGGACACTTTTGAAACATACTCTCCATTCAGATTGTGATGCTTGTTTGTCCCATTTTTTATTTCGCTTCTTATCCGATGAATATCTGTCCAGTACTCCTCCACTATCTCCGAGAGTTGCTGAATTCCTCCAATTCTAACATATTTAATTATAGTTCCACAACTGAAAACCCAAACAATAGATAAAAAGTGCCCAACGTCTATACCATTTTGCGAACATATTATTTGTTTCTTTCCCACAACTATTGCACACATAGTGCGCGTTATAAATAGTCATATTGTTCTTCCATAGCTGGAAGCTTTGCCGACGGAATGTTAAATCTTTATGAGAAGAAAGGAATCTCTTGAAATCTGTAATTGCCTCTTTACTTCTTCGTAATTTTTTCCTATTTACCCGCATCGGTACTTCGAGCTATGCACGCTGAAGTTACGAATGTCAAAACTTCGTCCGACACATTCGCTAAATACTGCGCCAAGTCTATTCGAAAATGGCGATTAGTATTAAGACAAATTACCTACCGCTGTGGGGACAATCTTCTGAAGATTTCTCATCGTTTTCCTCAACATCGTTTTCCTCAACATCGTTTTCCTCAACTTCGTCACAATTCACATCCCATTGAAACATTTCTTTCTCTTCATCGATGTCTATATTGAGCGACTCAGAAAGTTGAACATCAATCGGTTCAGATAAGTTTTCTTCACTTGAAGAAGATACTTCTCTTGATCCTATTGTAGTAAAAGAGAGTATAGCAAATAGTTATGCAATTTTAACATACTTTTTGTTGGTAAAGATGGTAGAAATCTTCGATATGACCGTCCCATGACTGAAATCGTAGTCTTTATCAAAACTTGAACGAAAATTGGGAAATTTTTGTATTTATTTAAATGACCTAATGACCCATTTACAATCTGAAAAAACAATTTCAAAGGAACACTATTCATTTTTCAACTACAATGGAATAAAACAGTAACTTTTCCAAATAATGATACGGTATTGGAACCGTTAAACAAGTCGAGTAAACCTCAAACTTGGGTAATTAAACCTTCATTATTGAACGAAAACGAACAAAATGTTAACAAAGCGATACAAACTAATAACAAACTTGATGATACTAAATATGGTGGATGGTGGGCTTGGGGAAACAACTTAATAAACTGAAATAATACGACTAAAAGCATAAGTAATTGACTAAATCGGTGTTTACGATTGGGGACTTGCATTTAAATAAAGGTGAACTTCGGCCGCGGCCCTCTTTTTGCTGGACATTGCCCGATGGCATGATGGCGTGCGTCTCTTCATTTCGCACTCTCTCTCTCGCCCACCGCCTCATCGTCTCGCCCACTCTCCCATTTCCACATTATCTCTACATTACAAAACAACGAATATAAATATGGAGCGGAACAGTTAGAACGCATAACGGTGAATCGACAGCAGCGAACTTAGACACATCGATCTTAGGAAAGGAAGTCTCGAGCCGTGCTATGGTTACCGCATCGGTATCGGGCAACCTGCAACAAGAAAATTTAATTATCAGCCATCGGTCGCCACAGCTTCCAGTGAAGCCGTTATATTAAATATTAATTAACTTTTGTGTCGTAACGTTTCAGCCAGGAAGTGTCGATCAGTAAATAGTCCTTTGTTTGTCGGTGACATTTTCACTCGAAAAAAATTGTCACGTAATTGGTCCGTTTTTTGTCTGTGATGCCTTTCAAAGAAATATTTCGTCCGTACTTAATCCGTTTTTTAGCCGTGGCGTTTCATACTGAAAATCAAGATCCGTAATTAACACGTTTTAAAAACGTGGCCAATAAATCTCCGGACTTTGTCCGTTTTTTGTCCGTGATGCCTTTCAAAGAAATTTTTGGTCCGTACTTGGCCCGTTTTTTAGCCGTGGCGTTTTATCCTGAAAATCAAGATCCGTAATTAACACGTTTTAAAAACGTGGCCTATAAATCTCCGGACTTTGTCCGTTTTTTTACCGCGGCGTTTTTCAAAGAAATTTTTGGTCCGTACTTGGCCCGTTTTTTAGCCGTGACGTTCAAATATCCGGACTTCGCCCGGACTTCATCCGTCGCGTTTTGCCTGTGCGATTGGTCCGGCGTCGGTGGGTTATCATGTTCTCAGATTCGGTCTCTTCGGAGTCGGTTCAGACCTGGTCTCGAGGTTTCGTCCTCGGAATCAGATCCGATGCAAGGCTTCGGTCTTGTATCATCTTCCCATCGGCACCCCCTTGACCATCTGACTTTTGCCATTTTGATGAAAAACCGGAATTGAATTATTTGGTTATTGAAAGAAAAAATTATAAATGCACCAAAGTCAATTTCTTAAATCGATTTATTTGCGATGCAGTTTAATTGATGGGTCCTTTGACGAAAGTTGTTTTTAAAAAATAATTTGTGACCTCCTTCTGAAATGAGTCAGGCCATCTCATGAGAGGTCGTCCTCTTGCAAGAGGTAAAATCCTTCACAACAAAGAAACTGACAAAAATAAAATGGCTTCTAATTAACTAATTATGCGCATAATTATAGTAATTTTTGATCATTTCAACACGCAAAACCAAGTGATTTTCGGCGAACGATTCCTGATTATCAACAACCCCTCGAGTACAACGATTAATTTCTTCGACAGGTTTTGTCTCAGCCACAGTCAGACAAAAACTTACTTCCTTCTCTGATCATTTCGTTTCCAATAGTATCATATTCTTTGGTACTCATTTTCAACTCAGATGTCCCGCTCAAAGTTATTTATTATAATCAGCATAGTGGCCGTTTTAATTCTCGCACTTCTTATCGGCGGCTTCTTCCTGCTCGACTATTTCTTTCTGAAACCGCGCGGTTTCTGCTTCTTCGGCGATCGTTCAACGCTCGATGATGAATGTTGGCCGGTAAGAATCGCGCAAAACAAAACGTTTTTGCTGGAGGTATGGGGAATCGAACCCCAGACTTCTCGCATGCAACACTGATTAAGCGCGACGCAAGCATAATGGAAGCATTGTGGGAAATCTGTGGAACGGAAGCATAATGCTTCCATATAGGAAGCATAATGTAATTCTTAGTGGCTGTGGAAGAAATATGGGACGAATATGGATGGAATGAAAACGGGATGAATATGCTTCCGGTGTTTGCGAGCCGTGGAACGAATATGGATGAAATATGGATAAAATAATCATATATCATTACACATTATACAATTGGCGTCTGGACGGCAGACCAAGACAATTTCTAGAAAAATCAATACAAAAAACTTATGCTATCATATAAACAATGAAAATTTGAAAATTACATGATACACAACATACGAAATTTAGCTTCTACCATTTAATGACTTATGCTACTCAGATTTATGTTAATTCAGTCAACTGTTCCTTACTTTGTTTAAAGATTGCCAACTACAATTTAGTCGTATTAATATATTTTTGCCGGTTTTTCCGAAATTGGCATCGCAAACTACTCACAATTTGCTCCAAACTGGTAGCAGACGCGCGTAGAAGAGGCGTGCCGCAGCATTGCAAAACCGTGCGCCGCTTTGCACAATGCGGCCACGCCTCACATTTTCGAAATTCGTTTTCAAAATTTTTGTCCTTTTGCTTTTTCTCAATGAATTTTCAAGATTTTTTGTGTTTTTTTTTTGTCAAAAATTAAAGAATTTTTTTCAAAATTAAAGGAAAAATGTTTTTAAAAAATAAAGGAAAAATTTTCATGTTTATCATCAAAATCGAAACCAAAAATAAATTGATAGCATTCGAAAATTTTAAAATCGATACGATGTTTTCAAATCGTTTCCGACACTTTTAAAATCGAATTTAAATATTTTCTCAATCGAATTGTGTTTAATTTCTCATCGAATCCGTTTTATTTTTATTTACTTTAACATATTTTTTATTATCGCTCGCTTTTTTCTTTTAATAAAACATAGTGTTTTGAAATTTTTTACAGATGAAGACAAGATCGAGAGTGTTGTCAGATATAACTGAAACTGCTCTAGAAGTCAATAACAAAGAACCAGAAGTCCCTAACATGGAACCAAATTCGCTCGACACTTCAGATCCAGATAGTCCAATTTACTCGCCAACTCAGCAAAAAAATTTTTCTCCACAGTCCTCACAAACAACAAAATCAACGCCAATTCCTAAACCTTCGTACGCGCAATTTGTAAGTTGTTATCATCAAAAATTGGCCTGTTCGACTCCAGAAATGGTTTCAATTAGAAAAATATGCGCAATGAAGTCTTTATAAAGTACTTCCTAAGTTTAAAGCTTGTTGATTATTTGGTTCCAATCAGGGCTGTGCGGCAATGGAATTGCCGATTGCCGAAATTGCCGGTTTTTCAAATTGCCGAAGAAAATTTCGATCGGTAATTTGCCATTAGCCGAATCGCCGAAATTTCCGATTGCCGTACAGCCTTCGTACCAATATCATTCAGTGGCATTTATCTTTTTAAGTGGGGCTCTAGTACAGAAGTCGCCAGACGCCGACTATATAAAGATCCTATACTTTATTGCAAATATCTATATTACAGATGCTCTTATCCATGGCTTTGGGCAACAACCGACAAATGACTTCAAAGCGAAAGCATTACGCATGGTTCGAGAAGTCATGGATAATCTTCTGTAAGATTTTGAACTATGACTATTAATTTATTTACTTGATTAAGCGATAGAATGCGCCAACGACTTCAAAGGAAATTTGGTGTAGCGCCGGAAGCGCTCGCGGCGCAATTAAGGAAGCTGCTTGATTCTACCAGCAACCCTCAGATGTGAGTATTCATATGTCTTTGAAATTTTAACCAAAATGCCTTTTTGCTTCAAATTTTGGAGTTGTTCTTTCTTCCGCCAATTCACTTTTTATTTTGTGCACTAAAGGGTTTCCAAAAATGCAATAAAAATAAATTATTTTTATTTTTAAGAAAATTATTGATGTAAAAAAACTGATTGTATTTTCTCGAAAAATTTAGTTTACGTAACAATGGTTTACAAGTTTTTCAAATTAATAGGCCCATTATAATCGAAGTGTAGCGACTAGGAAAAGTGGAGAAAAGGTAAAAATTCGATAACGGTTTCTTTCTACAAGCGTATATTTGCGAAAAAAGGATAGGTTAAATGTGCATTAGGACTTTTGCCTAATTTCTTAGCAATAGTTGTTGTTTTTAAAAATATCATAACACGGCTTTTTAACCAAGTGTGAACGATATGAATTCTACTTATTACAGCGTCCCGCTCGATGTCAGTACTGACAATGATTCGAATAGTTCGGCAGTTGCCAGTAACTAATGGTTTGATTATATCTTAATTGAAATTCATTTCATTGTTGTTTTTTTTATTTTAAATTAAATAAATGTGTTAATATGAAATAAATTTTGAATACAGCAATCAAATTGTTTTCTTATTTTCCCATATGGAAGGCATACGGCTCATTCCATATACGAAACACGCGGTTCCGCAAAAAAAATGCTTCCATTATGCTTCCATATAACTTGCATATAAGATTCCTATGATATCCACAGCCGTTCCATTATGCTTCCATTGTGCCTATGCCGCCGTTTATCTGTGAAAGCGAGCGCTCTACCCCTGAGCTATACCCCCGCACGGCGTCGTCTGCCCACATTGCGTATTCAAATCCATTTTCAGCGTTTCATCGACGTTGTCAACGAATATGAAAAAGTCAACGTGACATATCGATTTCTGGGTAAACCTGAAGAATACGCCGGTGTAGTGCCGGCATGCGGAAAAATGAGCGTTCGACATTCCGTATAAAATTCTCTCTCAAAGGAAAAGATGTTCAGGAATGCCTATCAAAGGTGAAATGTGATCATTCAAGCCAAACGAAAAATTTCACAACAATTTGCTCATTTTTCAATTATTATACCAAGGATTTCGCATCGTGCGCCAATCAATTGTACGAGAAGCGAAATGATGTCGATTGCCTTTCATTATTGTTCAATGATAGTAGTGAGGTGAGCGGGGGACTAGAATGCTGGCGGCCGGCCACGGCCATGCATCGATATTTTAATAAATATTTTTTGAGGAGACTGATATGTGTGTTCAATGGGACCATATGCAACCCTGTATTCATCAGCAAATCAACAATATCTGCGGTGACGTAATGGGCCTTCGACGCGACAAATACAAATTGGTAATCTTTCAAAAGTTCATTCCTTATCAAGGCCATTTCGATTTCGATTTCAGCATGCCGACGAGTTTCGCTATATGATCTGCGATATGGTGTTGCCTATCGATGAAGACGACAATGATGATCATGAGAAGAAGAAGAATTCCTAAATATTATTCATACCAATGCGATCAACATATCAATTTTCGTCATAAAAAATGATTTTTAGAATCTTTGCGCTTCGTGTTGCCTGCGTCTCTCACCGCGAAGCACTCTCTCCATCTCACACGTTGAAAGATTCAGAATTGAGCGAATCGTAAGATTCGGAATTGAAGAGGCATTCACATTAAAGGCGCATTGATCGATGCTCCTTTAAACGGGTCTCACCGCGACTAGGAATATCGCAAATATTGCAAAATCTGAAGCCAATAATTTTTGAGCGGATGGCTTTTTAAAATAGGTTGGCAACTTATCATCTTTCGGATTTACGCGCTTCTCGTCGTCAAATCAGAAGACTGGAAACTGCGACGAAGACCATCGCAATCGACATTGAACAGAATGCCATCTGACATATATCTGAATGAAGCTCATGCTCATCAGACCTGTTCAGCGCGATTGAGTAATTTCAGCTTTTTCTCTATCTGCAATATATCGAAATTTCACAGCCCAGCCGAAAATCAAAAAAGCATTGCTTGGGGTCGGCCCCGGATTTGACAAGCCAGGTTCCGGCAATGCTATCGAAGAAGAACCTTGTCGGGACGACGACTTCTCCACCATCCATTAATCATTCATCTGGTCGGCCCCTTTTTTTTTCGTAATTCTAATGAGTTCCCTTCTCATCAAGTATAAATGTGAAACCGCGAAATTTGATTGCTATATGATGATCACATTCCGCGCTATTCAGTACGCATGCTGGACGAGCGTCATCGTCGGCGTACTCTTGATCACCGCGTTCTTCTCAACGATTTGGGAAACCATCAAGGATGAGGCGCATTATTGCGGTAGGGAGCAAATCGAGAATGGCGCCAAATGTGCCGAGGTTTGCGTTTTCATGTTTTTTTTTTTGGAAATTCGGTTCTTGCGTCTCGCAAATTTTTCGCTCAATTTTTGTGCCAAAATCCAACCGTTAAAAAAATTGAAATTTTGATTGAATTTCGGGTCAAAATTTCATTTAAAATCTTTTTACTTTAAATGCACAAAAACACAGCTTTAAAAATTCAACTAATTTCCAATATTACTAGGGTTTTACTATAAAAATCAACATCTTAATTTTTTCAGTCTTTGACGTGAAAATGCCTTTAACGTATAGTGTATTTTTAAATATGCTTGATATTTACATAAATTATTGTCAAGCGACTGATAGAAATTTAAAAAAAATTGGCTATTCGCCAGGATTCTGGCAAAGAGAATTGTGGGGCGTGTCTGCGTACTCTGCATTTTATCGTACGCGCAATTAATATTTGGCACGCGATTCAATTTCGTCGATCTACACTGATTTTGCAAAATTGAATTTCCCGCCAGTCATTTGATTCCGACAATGTTGAGTAGATCAAATTTTTTTTACTTACAAGGAAAGTCATTTCACCTCTCGTTCTGAAATTTATTGTAGCTTTTCACACGTGAACTAGAAGGTCTTTTGAGTGTGTTCACAAAATTCCAGCTTGAACTCGCGGGTTACAGGCGAGTTATGGCCATCTGAAAATTTAAGATAATTTTCCACTGCTCGCAGCCATTTGGGTAACATATACGCCACTTGGTCCCCACAGTTTGGAATCCATGTGAGGTGAAGTGTGCAGGATATATTCTGTACATTGAGGTAAAATGACTTCCCTTGTTAGTGCCGATAATTATTGAGCGAAATTTTTTGATGGATCGGAATTTGTTGGAAATTAGTTGCCATAAAACCAGAGGTCTAAATTCATTTTTCAAATTAGCTATCACGGAACGCACTGGACACACTCGACGACCTCAACATCACGACGATCGTGCTGAAACCAGTTTCGCAATTCCAGCGAATCGCCAATGATTGTCGCGCGACAATGGTAGACGAAAACCGTCTGAAACGAAACGAATTCGATGAAAAATATCGTTAATTAATAGGAATGCCTCGAAACGATCACGTGTAGAGAAGGTCACGATTTCGCGCTGGAGGTTCTCGAAACGATCCCATTTTGCGAGTTTTTCAGATTTTATACCGGCGAATTCGCCGAATGCGCTGACAAGGTTGATTAGAAAATTCGGAAAAGAAAAATCTCGAAAATTGCTCTTTTTCCAGCTAGCTGGTTCTGATGGTGATTATGCATGCCTTTTTCCATATTATAAAGCAAAATTCGAGGTATGTAAACATATGTATATGTATTATTAGCTGAAAAATGCTTAAAATGATTTCTCGATTTTCTTCAAATTTTCTAATAACCAATGTTTCGTTTTTTTTTCATTTCTGCATAGAATTTCTCTATTTGCAACAAATTGAATTCTGAAAAAAAAAACATTAAAAAACGTTAATATAATATGTAAAAACGCGACGAAAATAATTCAACTTCGAAAAAATCGGTGGGCGTGGTCTATGCTGCAACTGCCGCATGGAACCGCGCAAGCCTGCGGCATCCATCAGCTTTTACACCCTAGACGAATTCGAAGCGTTGCCGAGCCATTTCCGACAATCTCTCATGTGTGGAAAGTGTCATCGAGAACGAATGCAGCACGGAGCTGTCGAATAGTTTCACCAAGGTTGCTCAACAACAACATTAAAACAGTGCCCAAAATTGGGAGATTTTTCAGAAATTCTCCGAATTCCAGAGAACGACCGATTGTGATGATCTCGCGACATATTAATTTTAATTTATTGTCATTTTTTCCCAGCTAGTAATAAACGTTGAAAACTGAAAACGATCAAGGGAGGACAATAAAACACAACCGAATAATAGTATCAAATTGAACAAATTAAATTAAATCAAGCAATTAAGTCTTGGGGGTGGGGGTAAGAGGGTGGTGAACAAACGGGCCTCCGAGAACTTTAAAGTTCAAACATTCCAAATATGTGCGTATTTTTTCTATCAATGATTTCGACAAAAAAAATGTTCAATCCATTCCCTCATTGTGTCTTGTTTGAAGAATGCCATCTGCGGACAATCTAAATTTTCAGATTAGCCGAAAAAAGATAGCAACATCTGTCTTCTCCATTTTTTTTTTGATAACTGGTTTCGAGGAAACTTCCTTGTTTCAAATTTCACAAGATTTGATTAATTTGATTATCTCACTGAAGTTAGGACATGCGCCTTTAATATCGGATTTTTGTTTTTGAAAATTTCACGTCAAACTAACTATAAATGAGGAACCTAGAGCTTCTGAATTTATTTTTTCTTTTGCCTATCGCCTTGATCATGCACCTTTGAAATCCTGAGACTATTCTCGTTCTAGTTGTTGCAAACGCGCCCTATCGCACATTTTTTCTATTCCCGATCTTTAACCCAAACAGTCTTCACAATTAAAGGCGCCAACAACATTTTGTAGCGGGTTTGAAAACTGACCAAATCATTTTCAAGGCCAGCCCATCACAACCCAATGACCATCCGTCGTGGGGACAACTTTTTCCCAATTTTCCGTTGACTGTTTTATCGACCTTTCTGATAAACCAGCTTACCGTCAATATTTTCTGTTTTCCATTTTGTGATAATATGTACTTTAAAGTGCCACGCCGGCCTACTGTAATTCGATAATTTGAATGTCCTTTGAATGGAAAAAAATCGAAGAAAAAAACGGATAGAGGAGAGGTGAGGGGAACAGAAATCCATTAAAACAGTTCAAGGTTGACTAGTGCAAATTTTCTGATTTAAGGAATTCAATCGAAATTTATAATTATGGATTATTTTTACAACAAAAACACTTGTGCTGATGAAAAATGTTCAAAAATCAAGTCGAACGTGATTCGAATTTTTAAGCGAGTGGCAAACTTGACAAATACGCGTTGCGAATTAAAAATTAAAAAAAAAAAACCACGGCGTATTTTTTTGTAGAAAAACATATTCGAAGGTTGTTATCATCGAAAATTTGTCCAAATTTACAATGATTTATTTTTGATATTGTTAGCGCTTGTTGAATGCGCCTTTAAAGTTTAGCTTCCCGTTTACTTCACATTAGATTACATTAAAAATGATTTCCAGAAAATTATATTACTAGAAAATTTTTGCAAGAATTAAGTTTTGCCGCCCTAAATCATTATATCCCATTTTTTCCATTTTTTTTTTTCAAAAATCGAAATATTGGCCTAGTTTTCATGGCCGCCAAGGCCATAATTTTTCGTCCAACTTCTTCCCTAGGTTGCCGTCACTTTCAAATTGCAATTCTTTTCGAAGAAATTTCAAACATGTTCCTTGAAATTTGGTCTTGATACGAATCTCGAAAATTGTGATTGATTTCGCTTCGAGAGACTAATTTTTTCCTATAATACATGCAGCCTTTTAAACCAGCTCTTGAAGATGAGACAAATTCAAACCTCAATGATAAATTCAGGTCAAAATGAATGTAATATTCAATGATTAGACACTCCTTTAAAATTGGTCTCAACCGGAACTTGCGAGTTCTTCCAAATTGTCACGCGTTTTCACAAAAATGACAGAGAGAGAGAGAGTTGGAAGAAAACCGTTCAAGGCCAAAAAATGGAAGGTTAGGAAGGGGGGGGGGGTCTGAAGGAAGAAGATTGCAGTGCCCAATGAATCTCATCGGTCCCGAAACGAAAGGCGAAATTTGCCACGAGACCAACAAAAACTTGTTGTGATCTTCAGCCCACCGAAAAAAAATTGTCAGTCCAACACACACACAATCATTTTCGTTTCTTTTCGAACAACAACGCAACAAAAAAAATAATGAATTGTGTGTGTCCGCAATTTCGCGTCAATTTTTAGGCGATGAAACGCGGCACAAAAATTTGCGTCGGCTGCAATATTCTGTGCGCGGTTTGTGTGCTTCTCGTCGTCGCCGCCGTCGTCGGCACCTTCATTTTATTCGTACAGCATCATTCGAAGGAGAAGGTGATTTGCACGAGGCACGAGGCGATTGTCGCCGAACGGTGTGTTCAGGTTGGTCAATTGATTAAAGCAAATTATTGGTGTGGGCGGGGATTGGCGAAATGCCAACTTTTGTTCCTCGTCGTGAGAAATCTTGCAGAGGCAATCTCGTGTGCCTTTAATCTACATATATCTCTAGTCTCCAGATTTCTCACTTCTAAAATACTTACTTGATACAGTAACCCAATTACTGTAGTTTTTTTTGTTTAATGTAAAGCGTTTGAATTTCTTGCTGAATATTTCGAGTAGTAAATTTATTTATGAGTCATTACCGTAATATGGTTACTGTATCTCTTTTTTTTTACTGTATCACTTTAAAAATGTTGAAACTTTCCATATATGCTCATCACACCAAATTTTTGATGTTGATCCTTACCAAAAATTGCCATTTTCCAATAGAAAAGAAGGTGTGGTCACATGGGGCAATATGCTCAAAAATTCAATATTCGCGCCAAATTTGGCGTAAGTGGTGCTGGGTGAAAAATTAGAGCTCATCGAACCATCAAATCAAACGAAAAATTGTCCGCTGATGAAATTTCATAAAGACCATTGATTGTTTGAGCTCGATTCTGAATTGGGCGCCTCGATTGCCGAGATCAACGCGACCGACACAATTCTATTGCCGCCGTCGAACTATAGCAAAATTCACGGGCTCTGCGAGCAAGTCGAGGTAAGTGTTTCGAAATTCTCGAATCATCGACTCTTTAAAGGAGTGCGCCCGTCAAATTCATTGCAAAGAGATTCGACGCGCATTTTTCGAGATGACCGTCTGCAGTTTTGTGCATTTTTACGTCACCGAGTTTGCAGAATGCGCGAATAAGGTAGTTGGCAAATATTTGAGACAACTGAATGATCATTTGTAGCTAATCGCGAAAAAAGACGACGTTCAATGCCTCGGCGAGCTCTTCAATCCGAAAGAAAAAGTGAGTGTTCGATGGAGCGCGTTTGCAACACACTGATTACAGACAATCGATGAGATGTGTGTAAGCTGGCGAAAAGTGACGCCGTGTGTGAAAGCAGCGATCCGCGAGAACTGCAACGACCGTCTCGGCATTCTCCAGATGAGATATGAGAACGTAAGCCCCCCGTCAGAATCCTCAGAATCGTTGATTTCTCACATTTCTCTATAGCAAGCGCGAAAAGGCGACGCGGTCTTCTGCGAGGATCAAGTTGCTTCAGCTCCACTCCACTGAGCCCCACCTACTACTACTACCACTGCTACTCGCTTCTATTCGATTCTTTCGACACATTTGACTGGTCATTGTGTAATTATATACCGGTGCTTATTAATTAGGTATTGCCAATAAAACTAAAATTAGTTTTTATAATCCATTTATTTTTTAATTGGCGGGGTAATTAGGCGGCCAATCGTAGGGCTCGAATCACCTTCTTGCCAGGGTATGAACCTCCTCCAGCTCCTCCAGCTCCACCAGCAGAAGCTCCGGCATCAGCGGCTCCAGCTGGAGCAGCACCTCCTCCGCCACTGTATCCACCGGCTCCACCTGCCGACGCTCCGGCTCCACCTCCAGAAGCTGCGGCTCCACCTGCAGAAGCCCCGGCATCAGCGGCTCCAGCTGGAGCAGCACCACCTCCACCACTGTATCCACCGGCTCCCCCAGCAGAACCTCCGGCATCAGCGGCTCCTCCGCCTCCTCCTCCGGCATATTCACCAGCGAGAACTGTGTAGGCCGTCAAGCACAAGGCAATAATGAAGAACCGCATAATCTCTAAAATGGATGTCCTTTAATTGATTTTCTTTTAAATGAAATACCTGTGGTGATTGGTCAAGCCTAATAAGTGTGAAGTTTTGGCCCTTTGACGGCCACATTTTATAGGAGAAGCTTGAAAACGGGAACTTTTGTGTACGATGAAAGATGACTATCATTCACACCTACAAAAACGAGTTTTCAAAATGTGACACTAATTTGAACAGTGTAATAAAAGTAATAATGATCGAGGCCTGCAATCGAGAGAAATTGAATTGTCTACAATTCAAAAAACAAAATTCAAACAGTTTTTCAATCCAGAAAATAAATCTTTTTTTTTTGACGGGTCTGTAATTTAACGTAGTGTGCAAACACTGTGACGCTAAATTGCATGCAATATGTTGGCTCTTTTCTTTTTGAAAATTTTCTTCGTCTTCTTTTCAGTTTTTACTATTGCTTTTTTTTTCAAATTTCAGAAATTATTTTACGACTAATTTTTTAACATATAGTAACCAAATTATAAATATGTTTATTTCGAAATAATCTAAAAATCAATATTTGCACGCAAGAAACAACGACCGGTTCTTTTATTGCCAAAACAATGCCTTGTATTTAAGAAGATCTGAAAATGCCGGCGAAACAAAAAAAAAATGAAGATCGCTGCGATACTAGCGTTCGTTTCCGTGTTCGGCGGCTCAATGCAAGGCGAGCACGATGGCGAAGGCTGCACACCGGAGGAGAACGCGCTTATCGAGAAATGCAAGTCCGTAAGTTTTTATGTTTGGGTCTCGCATGGAATATTCGAATCGCAGGTATCAAAAAAGCATGCGGATCTGTTGGCCAAAGCAAACCTAAACACCGACGGGCCGAAAGAGTACAACGAGCTGGCGGCAGCATGCAAGGAGGAAGTGGTAAGGGTTTTTTATGCAAAAGAAATTTCACTAGAAAAAATGCATTATTAATGTTTTTGTTTTTGCTCTTTCGAACAAATCGAAAACGCACTCATTCGCTTGGGTAGATTTACAAAGTAATTCACTTGGAGTTCTTATTTAGATTTGAATTACCTCTCGATTCTTCAACAAAGAACAATAGTACATTTCATTTTAAAAGGTGCATAAGATCACAGAAAAAATATTTTTTTTTCAGAAATGCATGTCGCAAATCAAATGCCAATCTGTGCGCAAATTCATCGACGAGGGCACGTCGGTCACTTGCCAATGGGCAGAATGCAGCGCGAAATTGCATCCGAAAAAAGACGAGATCCCATGCATCAAAGAGTACCTATTCTATGGCAATGATAAAGAATTTCCAAAAGAGGAAATGTGCAAAAAGGTGAAAGAGTATGGCGAATGTGTCGGCAATCAGCTGAAAGCCGTGTGCGGCGCCGCGATTTATAACATGCACAAATCGGTGAGAACAATTATTGATAATTATCGTCGCCAATTTGTTTTCAGCACATCGACCTACTCGGATGCTAATTAAGAGGACCCGTCAATTAATTAGTTGATTAGCTCCAAGTGCTCGATAAATGATTGAAATAGATTTGAGCGCGATCGCATTGTGGCTCGACGCGGCTATTGAGCCGTTGCCGTCTGAAATATTCCAACAATTTTCCAGAATTCATTTTTTTAAAGATACTTGGTGTTCTCGACATGATTTAGCCGCCACATTACAATAACAGGATATCTGAAAGATTGTCGAACAATCTTTAAGTATGCTTTATGATTTACACAGCGTGATCTAGTTCGAGGAAAAATCCGAATATCGGATTGTTCGACACGTCATCTTTTGATATGTCGGTGATGGCGTAAAAATAGATGAGTGTTATGGAAATGAGATGACCGATAAACGAGATTGTGACGAGTTCGAAAACCATCTGGAAGTATCTTTTAGATGAGACTGATTTGAAGGCGCATCCACTCTTTGACGAGATGCTCATTTCAAACATTCACTCGGTCTTTCAAGCGATCCAAGAAAATGAGAGTGTTCAAGCAAGACGATTTTCGGGTCTCGACGCGATTTCCGCAATGACTCACCTTAAAGACGTACAAATTCTCGGCTATCTGATATCGAGTGCTTAGAGTATAATTTGCCACGTCATCATCATGACCCTTTAAAGATTGTCGATACTTTTTGTTGAAGGTATAAATAATGATGAATATCTAAAAAAAAGGAAACTAGACGATGGTGCGCCTTTAATAATGGTCTTGAAAAGAAGGCGACGTTTACCAGAAACGACGGGAGTCCGATGAATACGACACATCCGATTCCGGTGTAAACCGAAAAATGGCGATAGCTGAAGTTGACGGCGAAGAACGCGGTGGCGATGAGCTCGCCGAGCACCAAAATCACACCGAGCGAGACGTTCTTATGCTTCTCATAGCTTCGCACATAGATGGTGGCGAATAAGCGCTCAACGACGATCACTGAGATGACATGGAAGCCGAAGAGCATGTAGCCGAGTTTAATGAAACCCGCCATGATGGGCGCCAGGTCGCCCGGATAGGTGTCTGCAAGAAGGCCGTCTTATGGGGAATCATGCCGCCCGACGTTTTACGTTGTCTCGGAATCACGTGCATCTCGTATAGAATGCATATCAGCGATGCAATTAGATACAATTGATAGGTTAGGAAATGAGATAGGTAGATGAAGCGGAGATTGCAGTGGATAATGCTGACCCTTTGGAATTTGACGGTTTGCCAGGCGCCGATTCCGGAGCATCCGACGAGGATGGCGATGATCGTCAAAGCGTAGATGGTGAACAGCAATCGTTGATTCGGATAGCAGTCGAAGTCGACGTAGATCGGAATCCATTGATTGGTTCTGGGTATCACCCAGATCGCTTCCGATCGCGGTTTGCACATTTTGAGATCTTCGACAAAATGACTGCTGCCGACTATTTTCGTCTTCTGCTGTGGAAATCGACCAATTATTTCTCAGATTTGATTAGAGAAGGACATTGGTTGTTTACACGGAATTTGTGGTAATAAAATTTCCATTTATGGTGGGGGAAAACTTGATTTTTTTTAAATTAAAACTAAAAATTTCGGTTTTAAAAGCTCTAAAATTAAATTAATTAATTTGTTTGAGAAATTGTGAGAATAATTACGTGGTGAAAAAAGTGTGTAATTCGGCGTCACGATAAATACACCATTTCAAATCTACAGTACCGCAAAGAAAATAGATTGATTTCTGAAGATTGAAATTTGCGGAAAATTTCGCGAAATCTGTGTAGATTTACATGAAATGTAAATTTACGCGTTGGCAAATTATTGAATGCGCGTACGTTAAAATGCAAAGTACGCAAACACGTGCGCGCCTCGTGACACCATAGCATATCGCTAATTTTTATAATTTCGAAATAAACCAAAAAAATGATAATAATGAAAAACGACAAATGTTTTGGTTAATTTCTAAACGAGAAAAATCACCAAAGCTTGAATATCACTCGCTTGAATGCGCTGATTTAAGATATGATGCATAATCTCATAAATGAACTTTTCTCAAAAAAAAAAAAAATTCGGAATTGAAATGCGGCGAGACCCTATGACAAATTGGATAAATTGATGTGCACGTTTAAAGGCGCATCGCGACATTCCCCGAAATGAGAAATTTGAACAAAATGGGACCAGAAGCGTGTGATATTAAACAAGAAACTCGAATGTGTAGGAGCACAACCAAAAAAGGATATGAAAAAAAGAATGAGAGATTCATAATTGGCGAATTTCGCCACACGCAAACGCTATTTCAATATAGGTCAACGAGGTCTTTGGGTACCTCAAAATCAATCGGAAAAATCGAAAATTTCAGAAATTTTAGAAAAACGGTATCAAAGAAGCAAAAAAATAAACACGAATGGGAGCCGAAAATCGTTGAATTTGAATTGTTTTTGAGTGATTAGAATTCTTAATGAGGCAGAGGCAAAATTTTGCGGGTTCGACGCAATGCAAGAATTCCTGAACGAATTTTTACTGAGTCAGCAATCGCTCGAGATGTTGCTAAAAGGAAATGCGCGTCAATTAAAATGTTTTGTACGCAAACACTAAATGATATAGAAATTGTAGTGCTGTGCGACAATTTTCCTGCCCGTCCACCTAGCTTAAAACGTATTGTTAAAGGGATGGCAACTGTCGTAAAACTCGTAGAATTAACAAATTCTCACATGCGCCTTTGATCTATACTGTAGTTTTACATATGTTTGATACGCAGCCAAATCGAGACCAAATCGTCTCGTTCAAATTTTTATGCTCCACCATACAAGTTCAACGCAGCCTCTGCTCACTCGAAACCAATCGGATCCGACAAAATTCGGCTCTCCGGAATCAACCTTCTCCGATTGGAAATTCTAGGGATAAGATTGGAAAATTGTCGGATCCGATTAGATTTTCTTCGAATCCGATTTGCTTTAATATTTCAATTCGAATCGGATCCGGCAAATAGCCAATCATATCCGTAGAATTACCAATCGGATAAGGTTGACTTCGATGCCGAATTTTGTCGGATCCGATTGGTTTTGAGAACCAGAGGCTTGCCGAGCAATTTGCAATCGCTTCGGTAAGCACTCTCATTTTTTTTTGGATGAAACGAGCCCACGCCATTTATTCGCTTGGCTCGCGCCACGTGGCGCGCGAAAAATGCGAATTATGTAGGGTCGAAGTCAAAAGGACGATAAAAGTGCGCGTTCACCTCTATTTGATCAATTTAATATATTTATTGTCGGCGCCAAACGATTGAAGGGTGGCGGGGCCTTCAAATTCGCGAAATCGGTGTAGATTTAAGTTTACAAATTTTGGAAATATTAATTTTTAAAAAAATTAAAGAAAAAATGCACATTTTTCCAATGTAGAGTTGAAAAAAACGAAAATAATTTAATGTAATTTATTTTATTTTTTATAAAAAAATTATTTAATATACATGCAAATTTGAAAAATTTAAATAATCAATCGCGCGTGTATTTTTCGATCATAACATGCGCCTTTAAAACCTACTCACATGCACTTAATATTAGATCCGATTAAAAATGATTCCAGCTAAAGTTTGAATCATTTACAAAATCACCTCAAACCCCCTTAATTCGAAACAATGAAATAATAGCTTTCGTCAATATTGGTTGTTTTCAAGTTCCCAATATTTATTGGGCATTTCTTTTCACATAATTCATGTTTTCCCCGCGAAAAAAAAGAGGTGATGGCAAAAAGATTAGGAAATTTGTAGCTTTCAATGAACAAAGTTTATTTCGCTGAACGGTTCGGTAAACAAAATTGACTTGCTAATTAGAATAATGATGCTCTAACAAAGCTTGAATGACAAATAATAATAATAATAATAATAATAATAATAATAATAATAAAATTGAAAAAAAATTATCAAAGATCGATTTAAACAAATTGTTGAGCGCAATCCGACATTGAGTAGACCTTCTGTTCAGGGAACGCGATGAACTTCTTAGTGAATTGGACCCTAAGGAATCTTGCAGGTTTGAAGGTTCCTGGGGCGGAGAAGCGCTCGCAGAGTTTCTTGCAATTCTCATTGGTTTCCGGGTACAAAAATCCGATGGCATTGTAGTTTCGCAAATTTGGAATGTCATTGAGAAGCGACGCGAAGAGGGCTTCAGCGGCTTCCTGGAAACATTTGTTTTTCGATATTTGAAATAAAAATTACAGAAAAATTCAAACTTCCGAGTCCGCGTAGAATGGAGCTGGTGAGAGCTTATTTTTACTGACAATTCGAATAGTGGCATATCCGCAAATCTCATTTTCAGCGTTGAAAATTATCTGAAAAATGCCAAATGATTCAATTCGCATTCATTGCCACCACTTTTGTGAAGGTGTCCGTCAAATTGAACCAATTCTTCATTATGCGATCGCGATGTCTCGTGCAAATCGTTCGGTCATACTTCATGATCTCCTCGAAGTCCACCTGATCCCAATTCTTGATCGTGAAACCTTGCGGGATATCCTCTGGAATCACCAAATCCGCCATTTTGATAGCGCCGAATAGATGCCAGAATGGTGCGATTTTGTCGAAGCCGTGCACGCTCGCATACTTCTCCGACATTTTGACAACTGTAAATTGAAAAATCTTCGAGCTACGGACATCTCATCACAAATTCCGACCAAAAATAAATGTCAAGAAATTATATTTGGCCCTTTGAAATAGTGCAATCATCAAAAATTCTAGCATCACAACATAATAATAAAAAAAACTAATCTTGGTGGCCGGCCGCCCATGAGATTACTATAAAATGAGGTCATTTATGGTGTGAAATTCATTTTCCCTTCATGTTGTCCTTTTATTTCTCAAAAATCCTACCTCCGGTAAGACAGGCATTTTTGTCTCCGACAATATCCATCACACGATTAAAAATGATTCGCCCTTGTCCAGTTCCGCGATATTTCGGCACACAATAATACATTCCGATGGAATAAAGCGATTCGCTGTCGTGCTCCCATCGCGCTAACGAAACTGACGCCACCAAATTGGTTGTACCTAAAAAAATTACGTAACTTTAAGGTTTTTGTGATTTATAGTTGGCAGATGAGCAAGAAAACAAGTTTTATTTACAATTTTGCTAGAATTAATAATAAATGTGAAAATTTGAGTTGAAAATTGAACTATGATCAAATTTAATTGAGAAATTCCGTAAAAAAAACAGGCTTCAATGAATGCCGCAAGTTTACAAAAAACCGTGCGGCACACTGCAAACTGTAAACACGCCCCTTTTTTTTCGAATTTTAATTTAAATAAGAATTTCTTGTTTTTATGGATTTTAAAAAATATTTCCCTTTAGGAAACTACAAGACTAATTTTGATTGTATATATCAGCAATAGCGGAAATACAAATGAAATGCCAAACCAAAAATTTCGAAAAAAGATCAAAAATACGAAAAATGTTGTTGATAATTCTAGTTTTTCAGGCTTGTTTTTCAAAGAGAGCCACGATGAATGGAATAGAGTCGAGTTTAGAAGTTTTCGGTAATTTTAGCGAAAAAAATTGCCCAATTCGGGTTTTGATTATCCAACAAAAAATTAAGTATGCAATTGCTCTTATCAATTCTTATCAATTCACCTAATACTCGCTTAACTGGCCTATTTAATTTTCAAAAGGAGAAAAAACACCAAGTCACGTATCTCATTTTCTGTTTCCAATTTTTTCGATGCTCAAAACAACATATAATCTTGGTAAAACTCTTAAAATCCGCAACAACCTGGAATATTACCGAATTCGATAATTTTTGGTCTAATCTTGTTTACCGCATGAGCGAATTTTTTTGAAATTTGAGTTTCTAATATAAATTTAAATTATTAAAATTTATTTATTGGCGCGAGATGAGCGGATTTTTTGAATGCTCCTTTAATGTAAAAAAAATGTAAGCAAATTCTAAACAGATTTTTGAAATTTTCATTTTACCTAAAAAATTACATCCCCGAATATGTCGCCATAGGAGTTCGCTGTTGTACGATTTTATGCAATAGCGACCATCAAAACAAGAATTTTCGGGAAAAAAAGCCGTGGCGAGTCACGTCGGAAAACGACCCCACCGGAAAAAAAAAGTTGGTGGACGCAAACACGAGCCCGCCCGTCTTGTGATATTGCACAAATAAGGAAGTTGGCCACCCCCGTGGTATTTAAACAAAACAATACATACCTTTTTCGACAACAACGAACAACCAGAATTGGTCGAACGCCGTCGACCAATATTGGTAGTCGGCGGTCTGAAAGCCCCAATCCTCCGTCTCGCCCGTCTGCAATAATGTCTCGTGTTGGCGAAACCCGCAAGAATGTCCTGGGCGGAGAACTTACGTGATGCACGATTTGCTCGAAGACCTCTTGCGATGGGTTGACGACAATCTCGAACTCGCTCATTTTCCAATGATGATTCCCTTATCTAAAAATTTCCGTTTAATATAATCGAGTGATTCGAACGAGTGAGGTTTGATATTCGACCTAACATCGGCCGCCGGGGGGTTCCGTAGATCAAACTATTTTAGGTCGCTAAAATGTCAGCAAAAGAGTTTATTTTCCATTTCTAAACAACAAATAGAATTTGTCATTTTTTTTTAAAGTTTCTGCTGCAGTGGCATTTTCAAATTTCATATTTAGCAGAAATCGGCCTACATTCTTGGATTTTCTTTCATAGAAACATATCAGATGTCCGCAGCAAGTGCTCTTTTATAATGTGATTTTTGCACTGTTGGTTTAAAAAAAAAGAATAGCTGCGGACAATTCAGAGGTGTCTGAAACCAGCAAGCACGAAACCTCAGAGAAAATGAGTGGACGTCGGGGGCGGAAAACCGAAATGACAACCCGCGCGAATGTCCGCAGAACGCCAAATAATAGTAGGCAGTAATTGACCTAATAAAAATGTTTCTCACAAGAGCACTTGAGAGGTATTCAGCCGAGTAGAAAAAAAAAGAAGAGGAGGCAAACGATAACAATGACCGCACGGCGGCCACGGCCACAGGCCTATTCGCAAACAAACCGCAAAATTTCGCGCGCTCTTACCAAAATCCAATATTTACGCGCACTTTTACGTGCGTACGTTTACGGCCCAATTGACCTAGGCCATCGCGCCACGTCTCTCTCTCTCTCTCTCTCTCTTCCACTGATTTTTTTGTTGTTGTTTCGTTCGCTCTTTCTCTCTATTAGTTTTGGTTTAGTAATCGTTTGTGTTGTTTGCTTCGACGCCCAAAAATGGGCGGCTCCATGCCGTCGACGTTTTTTGCCGCCGCCCCCCCCCTTCCCCATTCCCCCACCTTCCTCGAGCTCCGCCCACTTTTTGTCTTGGCCCATATTTAAGCGGCGTCGATGCGTTTGAGATTTCGACACGTCGCCGTCTTGCAGAAATCGTTGAACGCACAGCAATGGCTTCATCGACTCGTTGCTGTCTTGCCATCGTCATTGTAGCCGTCGTGTGGCCGTGTGCGACGATGGCGCGCGCCACCGCCGACGAGCTCGACCGCAAACTCGGGCCCGGAATGAAGCACGTCTCGTGTCAGGTGCGCGTCACCGGCCACTATATGAAACGCCACTGCGTCAGACACTTCAACACCGGCCTACGATGCGATTTGCAAGGTAATTCGTCACAAGACTACTACCGTATACCAATAGGGGGGTTACTGTAGCCATATAAACCGCGTCATTCATTGAACGCTGAAGAAGACATTTAAAACGTGCTAAAATGTGTCGCTAGCAAATCAACTCTATTTGATTTGCAGCTGACGAGCGTCGAAAAGTTCGACGAGTGGCAAAGATGTGTTGCGACGACGCGCCGAGCTGCGAGCCGGCGATGCTCTTCGACGAGTTCTGCTGTAAGCCGGGAGACGACTGCTCGGCGCAATCCGACTGCCAACCGGTGAGTCGATGCCACCACCGCCCCCGCTCGCCTACTCCAGTAATCAGACGGTATTTGGGTAAACGGGGGGTAAATAAGTGAGGCCCAACACGCCCTTCTCAAACAATGATTTTTGTGGGATTCACGAGATCGGGCTCCGAATGGACTTGGAATGCAAATAATTTGTTTGAGACATCATTTCTCATCCGATTATTGAGAAGAATAGCTAGCAAAACAAAATCGCGGGGATTTTCAACAACAATAACAACAAAATTCACACAAATCTTAAGGATAATATCGAGCGATGAGCCTGAGCTTGGTTACGGTAGTCGTCTTATGTGTTGGCATCATCTGCTGACTGTCAACCGGGCCAACATCTGAGAAAATTGTGGCCTGCTTAAATGTCGGCAGATGATTTTCGCGACCAACTTGTCAAAAAATAGCCAAAAATATGTAAAATGGAAACGATTACTAGCGAATCAGAAAGAGACTGAGGATTAAATTTTAATTCCCAGACCGCCCATGCATTTTTTAAACGATTGAAATAAACAAAAAAAACTCGTTTCGTTTTCAGTGGGACAATGCTGTCGAGGAGATCGAGCTCGCCAATCTCATCTTCGCCTCGGACGAGACGTTCGACATGATTCAGGATCGCATTCTCGACAAGCTCGATGACGGCGTCGTGCCGAGCTACTGGCCAGAAGCTTTGGAGATCTACAAAGCGAATCCTGACATGATCGACAAGAACGAGGTGCTCATTCGCAAATACTTTCGATCGCATCGACTCCAGGTCGCCCATATCGCAAAATCGCTCAAGATCATCGATGAGCACCACGCGTTGAACTTGTAAATTCAATTTCTGATCTGATTACTGTAGTTGTTTCGAGTGTAGCTGAACCGTTTCATAATATCTCCACACCTCTTTCATCCTGTTAATCAATTCAATCATATTACTCGTTGATCTCATCCTACTCCTTTAACTTATATATTTAATTCTATGCAACCATTAAATTATTTATTAATTATTTTAATTATATGTTACAATTCGAATAAAATCGTCATGTTAATTGACCCGTACGTTTTGCGTTTTTTTTCCATGGCGTTCGGAAAAAAATACCTAAAGTTTTGTGGTGAGACTCTCAATCGAGCCGTAATCGGTGACGAGCTGCATTTTTCGATTGAACACCGCTTCCTGGAATCCGATGCGATCGCGGAGTTTACGCGATGTGCCGCAGAACGGGAATTGCGGTAGGTCTTCCATCGCTTCTTCGACCTGCAATTTTGTAATCGAGTTTAAACTCGGTAAATCACAGCGGACACCGCGCGGACGCTCAACGGACGAGCAGCAGCGTCAGAGCGGACGCCGCTGTGCGTCCGATATGCGTCCGTCGGACGATATCGTCCGCGCGGATACCGTCATTCGTCCGCGCGGTATCCGATATGTGCGTCCGCGCGGTGTCCGCGAATTTTCGATCATCGGCGTCCGCTCTGACTCTGCTGCTCGTCCGTTACAACGTCCGCGCGGCGTCCGCCAATTTTTTCTATAGAAACGCGTCCGCGCGGCGTCCGCTGTGATTTACCGAGAAGGAGCATGGCCATTGGGTCTCGCGAAAAGTTTGCCGTTTCTTTTTTTTTTCAACATCTTGACAATATTCCTGACAAAAAGGTGTCGTGCATTAGGTCTCGCATGGAAATATAATGTATTTTTCATGAAGAATAGCTGTTTTGGGTGAAAAATTAACACAGCTAGGGCACAGATAAAACCCAAGTCATCGGCTCGAGACCACATTTAAAGGAGGCTAACTTTTGTTTAAAATTTTTTCCAAACATTCAAAGTAATAAGAAGACCAAAAAATGTTTTCTTCAAGATCCTATGGGGAACAATACGCGATGATCCTTTAAATATGGTACGGTTAAAATTGTTTCTTATTTGATACTTTTTTCTTCTAGAAAATCGCTTCAAAACTTTCGAATCTTTGAATTCTAGTATAAATTCTTCAAAAGAATTTTAATTGTCAAAAATTTTGCATAAAGTGGGTACTGAATATTAAAGACATCATGATATTCCCAATTTTGGAGGCTTCAATTTTCACAATCATTTCTGAATTCAAGTCACAACAATCTAGAACATTGTTGGCTGCTGCCAAATTTTGTTTTGGTGTAAACATAAGTAGCGTAAGCGGATTACGCCCAACACTAGTCTGAATTTGCTGTAATTTCCATTCGAGACCCAATGGCATTATTTCAATTATTTTTGTGTTCCTTGTATGCAAAATTAGTCACGTTTTTAATTCATACCTTGAAGAGCGAAAACCGGATATTCGAATTCTGCGGCACTTTTCCAATAATTGCACTAACACCAAATCGGATTACAATAATCGAAAATGTCGAAATCGAACGAAGAAAACAGCATATGACACGAATTAAATCCAGGATTTTTCAATCAAAAAAATTGGTTTTTTTTTGTCTTGTCTTATAAAGCAACATATTATCGAAATCTGTGCCCTTTTACAAAAATTGAAAAAAAATAATAATAAAGATGTACCTCAAATGGCGTCTTGTTTTTGGTTTCCGGCAAACTGAAGTACAGATAAACGAGCGAGACGAAGACGGGAACGACGAACAGAATCAGATAGGACCACGCTTCGCCGAGCTGATTCTTCATGGGAAGGAAGGCGGTGACGAGGACGAATCTCGACAGCATCTGAATGACGCTCGCCCAGCTCTGCGACGCGCTTCGAGCCGCTTGGCCGACGAGCTCGGCGTTGATGAAATAGCACAACGGGCCGGGTCCCAGCGCGAAGAAGAACGTGAATATGCAGATGAACGCGATGAGAATGAAGCCAAGCGCGTGATACTGGAAAACAAATTCGAATTGTTTCGTTGAAAATGCGTTTTTTGCAACCCCAAATTTGTAGAATGTCAGCATCAGAGCGAATATGACGAGATTGCAAATAAGAATTCCGGCGAATGCGATCAACAGAAGCGGACGTCTTCCATTACGATCCACTATGAAGGCGGCAATGATTGAGGAAATCTGTAAAGGAAAAATCGTGCGCCTTTAAATTTGATCAATAAAGGCAAAAGTGGTGAGCGCGACGATTAAAAATGAAGCTTACCATGCTAACAACGGAGACCGCGTCATTTGCCAAGGAAGCTTCTAGCACATCGAGACCAGTGTCTTTCAAAATTTCAAAGGCGAACGCATTGATTACTGAAAATTGAGCAATTAGAGCAATTTTCGATTTGTTCGGGGAAACCTGCGACCCCACTGAACGACATTGCAAACGTGACGACAACTCCAATAAACGCTTTGCTTCTCAGTGACTTCTTACGGACCACATCGAGCATAGTGAATTTCCTAAAAAAAAAGGGGCTTACGAACAGTTGTTGCGGTTATGAAATTGGCTTGAAACAGCCAACGAGAATTCCATTTTTTTTGTACAACGAAACGCCTACTTGCTGGAGGATTTCTGGTCTTCCTTGATGGCGTCAAGATGAATTGAAGCATCCTCTTCCTCGCATTTATAATAGAATTTGATTGAACTGACAGCTTCTTTGATTTGACCGCGTTGCACCAAAAATCCAGGCGATTCCGGGAAGAATGGGAGTGCGGCGCCAAACACCAACATAATTCCGATTTCGGTCGCATAAATTGCCCACCTGCAATTAAATAACCAATTGTCTGTTATAATTATGGCGCACTTAATTACCACAAATCGTCGCTTCCGAATATTTGAGGCATCGCCACAACTGAGCCGACGACGGTGCCGAGCTGAACACAAGTGCCGGTCATCATTCCGATCGCGCCTCTCGTTTCCTTCGGGCTCGCTTCTGATAGGAACAAGGCGGAGAGACCGAGGCTCACCGCCACCGACCAGCCCATTAGAATTCGAGAGACCACATAGAGCTCAAACGTGGGGACCTGAAAAACAACGAATTAAAAAGAAAATGCGAAAATGGTGTTTGCGGATTTGCGCGAGAAATGACGCCATTTCGCGGACATTTATTTTTGTTATTTCTATGGTTCTTTTTTTCATGTAAATTGTGTTGAACTTACGAATTTCGATGCTATCGCACATCCGCCGGAGAATGCTCCCACCGCAATCGAAATATACAAACCGCGTTTGCGGCCCAGCGAATCAGCGAGCAGGCGAATCGAAAATGAGCCAGCGAGAGCTCCAAGGAACAATATGGCGACAACGAAACTCCAAATATTCTGCAACATTATCATATAAATAAATATATTTATATTTAAAATAGAAACTATCAAATTTGGAAAATTTTTCAGGCCTATTTTTTATAATTTGCCGATTTTCGCCTATTGGAAAAATGAGGAATGTGAAAAACTGCAGCGATATCCTATGCATTATGTGCGTACGTTTCTTTTCATATAAAACAATTAATTATGAATAATATACAAAAATAATTACTATTACACTTTTTCAAAACAAAAATATTCATAAAATCAAAAATTAGCCAAGAAAACACAAAAAATAATTTTAAAAAATAATTGATTAAATAATTTTCAGTTGAGGTTACTGTAGCTAAGATTCAAATGTGTGACTCGGTGTACGCACACAATGCATAGGATATCGCTGCAATTTTTCATTTGTTCCACAATACCTGCGAGGTGTCCTTCGAGAAGCCCGCTTCGCCGAATCTCTTGCCAAGTGTGCTGTTCATGAAATTCAAGAAGGCCTCTTGCGACGGATTCGTGAGCACCAGATTGAATCCGAAATGGAACGAGCCGGCAATTGAGGTTATAATTGCCACCGCGAGCATTCGAAAGCTCGGCGCTACCACCATGCTGAAAAGAGGCAATTTTTATTATAACAAAACACGAAAAAAAATCCAAATTTTGGCGCGAAATTTGAATTATGAAAATTTCCAGAAAAAAAATAAGAAAAATAATATTAAAAACAAAAATTGACCCCATAATTTGAAAATGTAACAAGTTTTATAATTTGAATGTGAAAAAAATAGCCGAAAAATTTTTCCCAAAGAAAATGATTGGTCAATTTTCGTTTTTTTCCCCTACATCTCAGGCCACGCCCCCCTCCCCCCATCAAAAGAATAGCTCATCGGAAAATCCAAAGAAAAACAAATGAGGGCCTCGAATTTTCTTTGCGTGTGTATTTATTCTAGGATGGTCCCTCAACACATGTCAACCGGAAAATTGTAGACATTTAAAGGCGCAAACGGAATCGTTTCGGAATGCCGGAAACCGGTACACATAAACCGAATTAAACAAAGAGTCTGGAGGAATTCGAGGTAAAAAAAAAATACAAACACATACTGAGAAGAGATGATTCTTTTAGAGTGTAGGCGGAAAATTTAGATAAAAATTATTTTATCAAAACCAAAAAAAAAATTTTTCTGTCGGCAATTGATAGTCGTGCGATTATTGGACGGGAAAGTGTCGAATTTCACACTATCGGTGTGCAAATAAAAAAAATCATTTGAATTTTATGGTCCCAAATGTGGTCTTGTCATTAATATGAATAAGAAGAAGCTTAAACACTGGTTTGAAAAAACCTAGAAATGTTGAAAATTGAAGAAAAGGGTTCTCAAAAATAACAATCAAATCGAATACCATCTGCGGACAATTTGGCGAGCGACAAAAAATGACGTTTTCGATGAGAATAAAAACAGAAGCCTAATGAGAAGCCTCCAAAAAAACGACGAAATGCGGTGCCGAAAAGGGACCATTCAAATCAACGACGAAAATGAGAAGAGACGGAAACCCTCAAAATAAATGGCAATTCGGCGATAAAACCGAATTAAAAGAGGGTTAGACGCTTGATAAAAGGCTTACCGATTTCACGAAAATTCGAAATTTTTTTTGGTATCAATGGTAAGACACAGCTAAAATATTTTTTTTCTCAATTTAGGACCTTCAGGTGATGGGCGTAAAATTTCCAGAAACCGAGTTTTACGGATGCAAGAGGGGTTCTCATCTGAATTTTCATACCTGGAAATTTCAGAAGCTAATCTTACTGTAGTTATGTTCAAAAGCAAACCCATAACATATTAAATAGAAACAATTTTTCCAAAATTTGCTATAGGGTTCCTTTTTTCAATTTTTATTTAAAGAATATCGTTTGGGGATCTTGAATGCGATATCTACTGTAGAATTTGGGTCTCGCAACATACGTGTCGATTTACGTACAAAAATTTAAATAATTATTTGGCTTATTAGAAAAAATAGAATGACCGTGTGGAGTACACAGGCATTGTCTTTTTGCTTCTAATTAGACAAATAATTATTAACAAATTTTCTTTAATTACAGTATCAGTGATTGAGACACAAATTAATGGGACCGCGACGCGACCGCAACGCGTCTCACCTCACGACCGACCAACAAGAAAAAATAAACACAAATTTTGCACTAAAACGTGACAAAACTCAGTGCATTTAAAAATGGGATGGGGCGGCGTGAATGATAGCGGCGAAGTTCAACAAAACGCTGCTCTTTGGACCGCATGCGCCTTTAAAAACAATAATATTTATTTGAAAAGCCAACAATGATGAATTGAGCATTTCTGTATGATTATTAAATCGCTTTCGGCGCCTGTGTTTCCATCGTCTTCTCCCAATTCCGACCATCGAAATTCGTCCAGTTGATCGATTTGAGCGTGTCGCCGTCGATGCAGTGCGGCATGATGGCTGCAAGATTGTCGGCAGATGGAGACAACGATTTGAGAGCGCTCACCAATATCATTCGGATTTGATCGCGGATAGTAGAAACTCTGAACTCCGCATGTCTTGCAGAACGTGTGCTTCGCCTGACCGCTGTTGAATGTATACGTCGCTATATTGTCGGCACCCTGGAACACACACAGTGAAGCAGAATCAATTTGGATTTCAGCCGACCTCTAAAAGCTCGAATCGATCAAGTTTAATGATAAAATGATGGTTCTGCTTCTTTTTGCATATCGAGCAACTCAAAGAAATATTTCAAGCTTCTTCTAAAAGCTTCAAAAACTCACTTGCACTGAATCGCATCGACGACTTCTGGCGCGCGAACTTTCCACTTCACCGTTCCGCAATGGCAACTGCCGACGTGCACAACATCGCTCATATTCGGGCAAACACGTGTTAAAGGAGGGGGGGGGGAGGTGAGAGGTCTTATCGCGAAAAAAAAAGATGATAAATCGTAAAAATTGGTTGGAATCAAAGTGCAAATATAAATGCATATTGTTCTGCATAACCGGTATTGATGTTGATTTTTTGATCTCCGGACAATTCAAAAATAAACCAAGTTAACAACCCAGAAATTGTCCGCAGATGAAAAATGTTACAAAAGCTTCAACTCCTCAAATGTGAACCACCCTCGCCCCTTTTTAAATACATTTCACATTTTCTACGGAATCTATATTTCGCTAAATAGCGCATTTGACGATGTTTCTGATGAGCTACTAAATGTGATTGAAACACCGATTTTCCCATTAATACAAAACGACTTCAGGTTCCGTTTCACTTAAATTCGCTCCAAGACAATTCAATCGGATGACGGTTTGATTTCATAACGGTTAGACTAAATAGAAAATTGGGTGAATTATGAAAAATTTGATGATTAAATCGCTATTTGGGTGTACACTAGGGTTTGCCGATTTTTCGAAGTTTTCTATTATCGGCAATTTGCCGAAGTCCTGGTGTACGCAAACTGGCCAATCAAACCTATGGCAATTGAAACACATATTGAAGAATGAACGGAATTCGACAATAATATAATGTGGATTTTTTAATTTTGAAAATGATTGGAAAATCGCCAACAATGTGAAAAAGGAAAAGAGAAAGAAAATAAACATTCAACAATAATAAATTGAAACGAGTAACGGTGAGCTCACACATTTAATTTATCAGGTGTACGGTGAGCACTCGGTGTTTACACTCATAGCCGTATTGACGCCCAACTACAGACTGTGTCGAGTTTTGGTTTCTCGAGAAACTCATCCGACAAAACGGTGTCTTTTCTTCGCTTTCGGCTGAAAAATGAAGTTTCAGTTAAAAATAGAATAAATTTGTTGTTCTCATCGAAACGGGGAATCAGTGTGTTTCACGAAAATCGAGGAAGACCATCATCTTATTTTTTTTTCAGAATTGAAATTTGGTTCATTTTCAAATTTTCTTTGCATTGGTCCTTAATTGACTTCCACTAAAAAATTGCAATAATTTTCCGAGGTTTTTTTCCTAAAAATTCACAAAAATTATTGATTTTCAATTATATTTTGCTGATTTTTTAAAAATTTTCAGATACAAGCGATAATTCCAAAATTCAATTTCAATTTGCGTAAAATTTTATTTCAATTTTTACCCAAAAAAATATCTGCCAATAGATTGTGGGAAGCTTCACAACTGTTTGTGATTCGCTAATATTTTGATCAAAACGCTGTAAAACGACAGAACGCGACCATGTTCATCACAGCAAATAAGGAAATAAAACGACATACATAGAAGTTCTAAATTGCAAGACAACATATTCAATTACTCGAACAATAATAACCTTGAGAAGCAGCTTCAACTTCCGCATCGACAATTCTACCCATTATTATCAAATTCGCCGATCGCGATGTTCGTGAGATAACCGAAGACGTCAAAAAAAGGCTTCAAGGTTTCTCAACTTTACACCCCGCGATTCATAATCCGATAATTTGATTAGCAAAGTGAAAGGTTTGACCTTACCCATTGTTACATCACGAACTATTTCCATGGTCTCAAAACGAAAACGTATATTTATTTTTCGACATATTATACACATACAACGCTTAAATACAGACATTTTTCAGCGATGTTACAATTCTTTCTTCATCTTGTCAATATTCTCAATCTTCTCCTTCACCTCAGCCCGCAAATTCGCCGAATCTTGCACACCATCCTTCGCCGGAACCGTCGGAATGATCTTCTTCGGATCCACCGAATAAGGTGTGCCATAGGCAAGAATGAATCTGAAATCGGATCATTTCAAATTTCAATTTTTTTTCAACATTGCCCTTACTTTCCATCAACCTCGATCTTGCACACCAAATTGTCTCTAAAGTGGATTTTCTGCGAGAAATCCTCCAACGAAACTATCGTTTCGAAATTCGACGCAAATATGCTTTCAGCATAAGTCTGAAGTTTATTCGCAATCTTCTGAATATTGCATTTGCTCTTCGTCTCCTTAAACGTTTGCTCATAAGAGGTTGACATAAGCTCATTAAGCATCAAATTGCAGCAAACATAACCTATAAATTATACCTTTCGTGGTTAGATCAATCATTTTTCAAATTACCGCTTGGATTGAAGAAGCACGACGGCAATGGGAACGTTACATTGCCTTCTCCCTTTTTCCCATAGTAGTACTGTCCAACATACGTTTCATCATAAGTCTGAATACGGAAATTATAAAAAATGAAATCTTCAGCATTTCACACGCAATGTTAATAAATCATCATCATGCAAGGAAAATGAACAGGACAAGATTAGGTGGAAGCGATTCGGAAGCATACCTGCTCAATCAGCTCACAATTTGTACCTAAATTATCATTAGCGGACAGATAGGAATCAAGGCAAGAAGTGTGCGGTGAATAAAAAATTGGCTTGGTTAGGCACTCACGACTTCGACAGGCAATGGCTCATATGATGCGATTACTGGCGGGGGACTGTACACGTTACGCACTACAGCGGTCGTAGTTGGGACTGGTGTCGTCGTCGTCTTTCTCGGTGTTGTTCTTCTTCTGGTAGTCCTTCTCGGTGTTGTCGTCGTCGCTCTCCTCGTTGTTGTTGTTGTTGTTGTCGGCTCAGCATACACCACCGTTGTCGGCTCCACATACGTCACCGTTGTCGGCTCCACATAAGCTGGCGTCGTCAAATAGGTGCTCGGGCGGCGAGTCGTCGCAGGTCTCGGCGGATTTGTCTACATATTCAACGTGAATTTCGAAATAATTACGAACTTACAACAAGTTTTCGTGGTGAAGCTGGACGACGAATCGGAGCCACCTCATGATACTCCTCTCGCGGCGGAATATAAGCCGGTGTGGGGCGTGGAGCGGGACGAGGCAACGAGTTCTAAAATTCATCGATTCGATATGATATGATTGACCAAATACCTCAGAGTACACCATATCCTCCCCATAGTTGCCATTTGACGGCAACGGACGCTCTAGATAAGGTTTTGGCTGGATTCTAGCAGCAGGCTGCGGTGGCGGAGCTGCCGGTTTTGGAACATACGCCGACGGTCTAACGACAGGCCTGAAAATCGGCCTGGCAACCGGCGCTTGATAGAAGCTTGCAATCGGCTGCGGTCTTAAATTCAATCTTGGATACTGAATAGGTTGCTGGAAGACGTGTTTTGGTCCCAGCTGATAAGTAGCCTGGTATTGTGGCGCTGGCAGATATTGTTGAGAATAGACCTGAAACAAGTTGGAAATTATAAAAGCTTGAAAAAAAAACCAGCTTACCGGCGATTGAGCATAGGTGGCGAAGCTTCTCTTCGGCCGCTGCTCGCCGAGAATATCCGGCATCACCGGCACATCGATTTGGAATTGGCGCGGCTTGATGGCAAGAACCGGCTCATTCGAGCCAAATCGAATAATCTGATCGGGCGGACGTCGGTCGTCATTCAGCGGCGGCTCTTGCGCGACAACACTGCCGACGACAACGACGAGAAGCCAAACCGGCGACGTCATTGATGTCGTTCCGATGAATGACTGCGCGTCTATCAAGGTGGGTCGAACCGGGCGCCCACACCGGGTAAAACCACGCCTCGATCATGACAAAAGCCGCGTCTGCAATTATGTGTAAGATAACGTTCGAGATATTCCGCGGGAGCGTTGTAACAATCAGTCACCAAATTAATCGCGCTTGAAGGCATTCGTGACAAGTCTGCAAGACAAAATGCGGATCTCGAATGCGATAACGCCTTCCGGGTCATTCTGGAACCGTTTGCCTGAAAATAAAATGATTCGTGAGGTGTAAGACAATTCGCTTCAAGATGTTCACATAAAAATTGCAAGGTCGTTACATCATAATTTCAAGGCAAGCGCGTAAATCATGCAACTAATTGCATTTTCGTGTTACAACGATGATTCGCAGGGCGGCTGAAAATTCGAAAAATTAATTTAGACTAAACATGCTTAATAACCAATCGCGCATTTTTATAATTCGCAATTATCCGGTGATTGTCAGTTGACCGAAAGCTCTGAAAATATTACACACGAAATGGCGTTTGTCATGCCGTTGGTTTCTTTTTTCGACGATCAATGGAATGTGAACAACCAAGATTTATGTGATTGCAGTTATATGCGAGTAGATTTTCAACTGAAAAACCTGATCCGAAATTAGAAACGCTTTTGGTGATAATGATGATGGTGAGTAGAATCTTATGGTATGAAACTAGAATGTAAAAACAGAAAAATCGAAAATTTACAGAAAACGGTATTAAAAAATCAAAAAATTCATAAAAACGCGACAACAATTTTAAAAAATATCGGCTAAAAAAATTGCGATTTTGCGTCACAGTGATTACAGATTTGTTGTCCTTACAGTACATGAATTTAAAATTCCTACTGCCTTACAAAAAAGTGTTCAAAATATCAAAAATTGCTTATAAAATACCACAATCATCGTTGTTTTTCGTGTTTGAAAATTATTTTGTTGTGTTTTTGAAGATTAAATTTGAAAAGTGAAGTAATTTTGAATGTTTTTAATGAAAATATATAAATTTGAGCTAATTTTTTGACTAATAATTTAACTAGCCCTATACATTGCGTGTCGGAGCAAATCATTTTTAAAGAAAATCTGCTAAAATATGATAGAATTTCACAAAACTGTTGCTGTGCGTTTTCGCGTCACGATGATTGCACAATTTGTTTTACAGTATCTCGTATGAATTTCCAACTCTATTTTTTTACCTTAAATTTCCCAATGAAAATTGTGGCTTCCTATTTTCTCAGAATTAATTCTCCTGAGTGCAGTGTAATATTTATTGAGCTAATTAGGCGAAAACTAGTCTGTGGATTCGAAAAAATAGATCCAATCCATTACTTTTTCAAGATTTCCAAAGAAGGAAATAATCTTTAGATTGCATCTTCAAATTTCTTATGCTTGGTCGCAACACGAATGTTTCTCGTTTCCAAATTTCGCGGAGCCCCTCTCCTCAGCTTTTCCCCCTCCTATTTCGATTTCTATTCGTCTCCGCTCTCACGCCGTCTTCCATTTTTGGCAGCTCGCACACTTCATCATCGATTGACTCTATACTTACAAACTTTGCTTCTCCTCAAATAAATCTATATTCATATTCACAGTTGCCGACAATTCGCTGGCGATAATTTGTCAAATCCCGTAAGATGTCCGCAGCAGCCTATCCACAAAATGAAACCAAACTTCTCAATTGTCATGGATTTTCCTTTTCGCTCTTTTCTCTCAACTTCTCGCGTCGAGTTCATACCCAAACCATTGAATACGCTCGTCAAGCTATCTGCTCAGCCAGTCGTCTCGCTCGTCTAAACAAAACTTTGAGCTCACCGAGCAGCAAGAGTAGGCAAAGAAGCGGGCGAAAAAAAAAACACAACACAACAAAAACTTTCTTCAATTTTTTTTTACGACGATTGCCAAGATCGACTCATTCACGTTCCATCGACAACTCGTTCAAACATTTCAAAAAAAAAATCAAGCTTTCATGATTTTTCAATTAATTTTCAGCTTCTCCGTCCAGATGACGTCCTTCAACGATATTCTTCTGCTTCTAGCCTCTTTATTAGCAGGTTGGGCAATTTTTTCGAAAAATATTTAACGTTTACATCAAAAATGACGGGCTTTTGGGAAATTTTGCGTCAGGGCCAACTTTACAGGAGCATAATGTGAAAATTTGAAATAGCGATAGTTTCAAGCAACATTCTCATAAACCCTGAGACAAATATTCTCAAATTGAAATATCGAGACAAAATAATTGAGGTTATGCGCCTTTAAACAATATATATTGATTCGGGTCTCGCACCGATGCGCCTTTAACAGAAATTGTTTCAGCGGCGAACTGCGCGGCGAATTGCACATCGAAAGGCGAATTCTCATGCTTCTCGTGCATGGGCCGCGACATGGAGAACTGCGAGTCGGGATTGACGTGCTGCCAAGGAGCGTGCTTCAAACTCGAGGATATTAGTAATCATATCAAAAATTCGACTATCCGCCAAAATGCGGCCTCATTCAGAGCACAACGTCATCGTGAAAGGCTGCGTGAACACGAAAGAGGAAGACGCGTCGATGAAGGTGCGCGAGCTGCAAGTGCCGCTCTACTGGGCCAACAAGGAGCTAGTCAAAGGTGACGGCCTAAATCAGCTGCCGACATATCGCGGGTTTCAGGCGAGTCGTACTTCTGCACCGGCAAAGACTTTTGCAACTCATCGCCAACACTCTCCTCAATCATCCTCGCCATTACCTCAGCGCTCTTCGCCATCATCCTCTACTAGCATATTCTCCTTATTAGGATAGTAGTCGAATTGCCTTCTATAGCCGTCACGCTCATTTCAGTTTCTGCGAAACTCAATTTTCTTTTTAGGAATTATTGTTTTTAATTTCTTTATTTTTTTTTTTTGCTAATAAACCCGTCAATCGACTAACAACAATGGAATTAATTGAGGAGAGGTCCTACGAGCTTCCGACGCATTCGCACACGTCGGAAATTGAGGCGAAATCGCATTGCGACGACGGCGGCGTGAGCACGAACGGCTCGAACACCAACAAGTGCGCCGACGTTCTCATGTTGTACTCGGTGCGGATGCGCATTTTCAGCGGCTCGTCGCTCACCAACTCGGCGTTCACATCGAATTCGTGATAAATGAACTGCAAAATGTGTTGCGAATCTACTGCTTTTCCGGCTTTTTTCTAGCACATTTTTAGCTAAAAATTCACCACAAAAAATTTTCGAAAATCACCTACCGTAATCGACTGTTCAAAGGCGCACGCTGCAATTTTTCACGTCGCTTCGAGACCCGCTTATTTATTTTGCTTAGGCTTATTTTTTTCAAATAAAATTTAATAAAAATGTTTCGGTTTTGGAATATATTAAAAGAAATTTTTTTTATTTTTACTTCAACTTTTTTTGCATCAAAATTTGAGATTTTGAATATATCAACAAAAAAAATAAAATAAATTTTGCGAATTTTTCGTTTTCAAACATTCACCTCATTTTTGTGTGGTTTCGCTCGAATATCCGCGTTCACCGTAACATTGCCCTTCGTTCTGAGACCATGCCTCGCAAACGGGTTCATCGAGAGCGTCTCGAAGGGATTTCGAATCGCGAGAGATTCAACTTCCACACATTTCTCCAATTTCTTCGCTTTCAGCCATTCTTTGGTGACCTCGAGTGCGCGCTGCAACCCAATTATTATGATGATGGTCGATGAATAACGAATCAGTGCTATTGTCGAAATCTCTCGATTGTAACGCGTTGGCTAAATGCCAGAAGTGGTCCCGCGGCGAAAAGTTGCGTGGGTGTCGGACAGCATAAAAACCCTCTATAGTCGGCGTCCGGCGACTGCTCTACGCGGGTAGATTTACGCGTATGCGCCTTGAAAAGGTCTCGCCACGCTTGAACGCTTATTTTGCTGTTTTCACGTGAACTGCTTCATTCTTTCTTGATGAGTTTCGCATTTCTTGAAATTTCAGCAGTCGCCGGACGTGTCAAATTCCGCGGGAATTCGACGAAAAAGGAGGAAAAAATGAGGGAAATCGATAAATATCTCTCGCGGAGAGAGAGTGTGTGAACGGAGAGAGCGCGCGCCAAAGGGTAGAGATAACGCGCGCTGAGGGAAAGACAACGGGCGCAAAGGAGGCGCAGGGGGAGAAGTTAAAGGCCGGCACAGTAATGCCGCTTGGATTTCTCGCGGCGCGGAGCGACAGTAACCTAGCGGCGGCGTTAGGAGGTTTTTAAAAAACGTTGTTTTTAGTTTTCCTTTTCCTTTTCTAACGGGAGTAAAAGCCCATTATTCTGATTGCGGATTATGGAGCGATCTCGCGGAGGAAGGAGATGCGCGATCCAAGGGGAAGAGGACCTCCCAGGTATGTAGTTTAACTTGGTGGAGTTCCCCAAATTGGCGGCGCGGCCGCGTGGGAGATATCGGGGTTTTCTTTTCCCATTAAGAGGTAGGGGGATTTCGGGGCATTGCCCTTGCGAGGGGGCGGGGTTAAAGGAAAGAAGAGGGCTTAACTCCATTTGGGCGGCGATCTGACTGATAACTTCTTTTTGCACACAAAATTTGCTTTGCGGCGTTTTTCTGACTGTAATCCAAATCTACAGTAGAGCGCGCTAACCGCGGTTGCCTCTACGATTGCAGATAGGAGACTTGTGGCCTAATGGATAAGGCCTATGACTTCCAATCACACCGGACACCGTGCGGATGTACAACAGAATCAGAATGGACGTCAAGTCGAGACACAAGTCGTGGGTACCTTATCGAACGAATATCAGTACTACGGCATGACGTCAGAATCCGGGTTTTGCGGGAAAGACCCTTCGGGAAATTATTCGTGAAAAAAAACTTTTTTTTGTTTGAATTTTTTTTAGTAGATTCTCTATATTTTTTCTAAAAATGTTAGACCATTGGCCAACAGAACCCAATGCTATTTTACCAGAAAACCGAAAAAAATGAACGAAAGCCGATTCTTGGAAATTTAGAAAATTATTTGTAACATTTAAAGGTGTTTCCTGTCCAAAATCTAGACTACTTTTTGCTTGAAGGACTTGCAAAAAAAAATTAGGTAGGACCCCCCTCCCGCGTACGGGAAAAATGGGAAATTTCTCAGGGTCGGGGTCCTTTAGGAAGCTCAAAACTAATCGAATCCGACAAAATTTGGCTCGATTCAACTGACAATATTTGTAAAAATGTTGGAACCGATTTGAATTGAACAACCAATTCACAATTCTACATTCTTATCCGCAGCATTACCACTCGGTTCGGGTTGATTTCGAATTTTGCCGGATTGGTTTTGAGTTACCAGAGTCCTGAAGAAATACGGGAATCGTGCGGGTCCCGTATTGAATATACCAAGACGCGGAGCTGCGCGCTTCCTACCCAAATTGGACAACAGAATGCCAGAGAATATACAGGGTGCGGCAAAATTGAGAAACTGTCGAAACTTGAAGAAAATGATTGAAAGGTAAAAAATTAAAATGCGCAAGAAATGAGTCAGTGGCGTATGAGCGTGCGCTAAATTCGTGCACACACAATTTTGCCGATTCATCGAGTCGAATCAGAACAATGCCGATTCGCTGATCGCACCTTTATCTACGTCTTCGTCTCCGGCATGTTGGTCTTCGCCAACGGCGTCGTCACATTTGAGACATCAATCATGCACATGCAAAAGTTCTCCGGAATGAACGCATCCTTGCATTCCCTCAAAATGAAAAAATCGAATCAATGCTCGAATCAATTCAAACCGATCATTCGGAATGCTGTCGAACAAGCTGATACCCCTTCCAGAGGATGGCGGCGAGTTTTCGCGCTTCTCGCCGAATCTCATCTCGACGATATCCTCAAGCGTCTTATGAATATCAAAGTTGCCCGTCAGCTTATACTTGTTCTCGATGAAATTGCGATACTCCACCGGATATTTGTCCTAGAATTTCGAAATTGTCGACGACAGACAAAACTTGAACAAAAATTTGCCTTGAAGCCCGTGGGAAGTCTGATCGCCATCAATGGCATTCGCTCCTCAATTCGACCCGTATAAGAACTGCAACGAATAACTGAAACGCGGGTAGATCAAATCACCAAGTTTACAATTGAATAGCTCCAATACGATTGCCGTGATCACCCATTATCACGCTCAGTGTGTTGTCAAGTGCTCCCGCAATATAGAGCTGACTGAGGTCGTAGCTCAGCTGCTCATCAATGACCTCCAACATGAACGTCGCCTCATGGGTCAACCTACAACGACGACCTTTGACCTTTCGCTTATCATTTTTTTTTCGTTACGTTGTCACAAACGAGAAGCCGAAATGGCAAATGTCCTTATAATAGAGCGCGAATCGTTTCCACAATGAAATGAATTCGTTTTGAATTTGGCCGCCGTCTTTGCATTGCGAGTATTTCCATTTATGGTAGACGGCCAAATAATACGGCCGATAATAATGATCGGCCGGATTTTTGCGAAAGCCGGGCTGAAACTCGTGGTTCGGATAGTTGAACAGACCCAAGCCTTTCATCGAAATGTCCTCATTGAACATGCTTTTGCATCCGAATTCTGAAACGACTTTGTCAATTCTTTTTTTTGTTTTGTTTTTTGAAATTCCAATCCTCACTTTCACCCATCATTTTCCAAAGAAAGTCCAAATTCGTCGGATCGAGCGCGTCGCGTTGCGGAAGAATCGAGTCGATATTGATATCGCCGGACGCGTCGGTTTTCGGCTTCTCTTGCGCCTCTTTGACCTCGCCGATGAGAATTGGCGCCAAGTTGACCATTGAGTTATCAGCAATCTGAAATATTTAAACAAAAACAAGTATATAGGTAGAAGAGGGGGGGGGGAGGGGATTGAATCCGGGACCTCTCGCGTACGAGAATCATCACAGATGCTAGCTGAAACATGGGACCAAAAATTTCTTCACGAATTCAAAAGTGTGTTTAGAATTTGAAATGCTCATCATGAAAATTGAAGCTAATTCCAAATGGGCTTCATTCTGAAATGCTTCCATATTTAAGATTCCTGTGATCGGCAGCTCAGAGTTGATCCTGAGCCTGTAGTGCGCCATTGTGACGCACCCCCGGAAAATGTCCGCAGATGTTTACAATGACATTTGTCTCGTAACAAAAAGGACCATACGATTTAAAGAACCCTGATCAACAGATTCCATAATTATTCCATTCAACCCTCTAAAGGCATAAGACACTATCCGAAGATTCTGAAAGAGGTTATCAAAAATCGAGTAGGAAAAATTGAAAATTGATTGATTGAACCTTTTTTTCGAAGCACATGCCACATTCTCTATGATGGTCTCACCTTGGTATATCCATACAAAAAATGATATCCCAATTTCTTCATGATCTCCGTGGATCGCGGCAAATGTCGCATAAACATGTTCCGCGACGTCGAATCGAATCTGAAGGCCATCAAAAAATAGAATTGGAACGCTTATATGTAGTCGACAACACACCCCATGATATCGATTGAGTAGCGATTCGTTTGCGGACGGCGTGGCGCCTTCAGAAACTCCTCGCCAAAATTGCCAAACGATTGCAAGTCGGAGACGTTGAAAATCTTGAAAAAAAAGAAATTGGGATATTCTTCAACTCAAAAAATAATATTATCATCAGAATCACCTTGTTCGCGTTTAATTGATCATCTCGAATGCTGGCGAACGCCTTCTCCCAAACCGTTTCGTTTTTGCCGTCGATTCGATGGCATCGCACCAGAAACGCGTCGGCGTTCACCCAGAATCGCTGATTTTCGGGCGCCTAGAAGAATTGGCGACGATGCGGCTTATCGTGATGCTCACCTCCAAAACGGCAACCTCGTAAAAATCGTTCTTCGTTTTGTTCTTCTCCGGCTGCCGCAAACCGCCCTCAATGATGACGACCTGAAATCAGAAGAGGAGGTCGGGTCCCAGCGCGAAATCAATATCGTGTCAAGATTTTGTTGAATTGAAAAATCGGGAAAATGCGCCTTGAAGGCAACCAAGAGGACTCAAAGAAAAAAAGGAAACGCGATGCGCCTTTAAGGGTCTCGACACGTCTCCAAATAGCGGGAGTCTCATCATACCGTACCTTACAAGAAACATTCTTCGTCGTGTTCGGATAATTGACGAAATGCGGATGAACATACATATAGCCCTCATTGTCCATCGTCGCATAGTCGAGATCTTCAAGCGGACACCGAAATTGGCGCTTTCGTTCCGACAAACGATACGGCTTAAAATTGGGACACTACATATAATGTTTTTTAATGTCCCGTCTTACAATGATATCGTCCGCGTAAATGTTGGGCAAGAAAAATCGGCACGTATTATTGAATGGATGATGGGCCAATAGGGGCTCGCGCGGCTCGTCATCGCCAAGAAAATGCCAAGCGACATCTCTTCAAAAAAAAAAAAACAAATGCAAATCGCTCTTTTTTTAATGTATTTTTGATAATTTTCTACCGCAAATTCGAGAAGCTGAGCCTCGATGCCCGCATTTCGGCGGATTTTTCGCTGTTCCTCGCGTTTGAGTGAATTGTGGTGGTAAACAGGAATAATGTGAAAAGTAACGAGACAAACTGAATATTTCATTTTGTTTTAACGTGGGGCTTCTTCTTAAGACTCAAACTCGCCATTGTGATTTTTACCGTCGATATTCGTCGCCTCACATTTCGAATCATCTGAAATTAGGGAAAAATAATTGGCAAAAAAGTTTGTCATGCGACGGGGTCGAGTCAACGACATGCTGCGCACCAGGCAAAACGACGAGCATTACGCCAATCACTACCCCGTGTGCGCCGGTATAAATGGCGTATACAAAAAGCGTAAGTCACAGATAATTTTTCGAAAATTGTTTCAGAAAAAAAGCGGAAGAGAAGCCAAATTATAGGTGTGGAACCCGTCGGTTGTCCACAGCTATGAATTATTAACACATTTTGTTTTTCGGGGAAAAAAAAAACGAGTTTCAACTAGGTCTAACTGCGGAATTCGATTAGTTCCGTGGCCATTCTCCAGCCTTCAATAATTGTGGAGAAGAAAGTGGTGCAAAAACGAGGAGAATACCATTCAACATATCCATTTGTGAGCTCAATTTTTGCACAAAACCTTTATTCAACTGTTCAAACAATACACCATTTTTCGTGTTGCAAAAAAAAACAGGAAAGTGGCGGGTTGAAAAAAAAAAGAAAGAAGAGATTTTCCCAGTGTATCGCTTACTGTTTGCATTTCGATAGGTGACAGTGAATCGGAAAAAAATTGCGCATTTATAGAACTCTGACGGGAGCTCGTGGTGCCAGGGACCATTTGGACACATTTAGGAGAGGTTTCATTTTTTGGTTTTTCCATCCGGGAAAACCAGATTTGAAACAGCTGCGGACAATTTCCAATATTTGTCTAAACGGGCGGTGCCAATCAAGGCATACGTTGTGCAATTAAAAAGCATTTTTACGCAAAAATTTTCACCACAATTTTAATGGAAGAACAAAATCATATTATTGTGGAATTTGAGAAATTTGAATTGCGCGGCTGCCATTTTTTTAATGGTCCTTTAAAAAAAAAGTCACTTGTCCTAATAAATTACTTAATATTCATTAAAAAAATTATTATCTTTCATATTATGACAGTTGGAGAACGTGAAATTCGCTCCTAAACGTTTTTCCATACGAGACCCGAGGCGGCAATTCAAACAATAAAACCAATCGCACAAAAAATTCGTTTGAATGTTAATTTAAAAATACTGACTTAAACAATAACGTTGAAATTTAAAATATTGAAATTTCCAGGCAAGAGCTAACTTAAAGGAGCATAGAATAGAGATTCTCGAAACAAGCCGGTATGGCAAATTGAGTCCTTGGCCGATCAAGATCTCGAAATCAGGACAATAGAGATCTCATTGCAAACATGTGCGGACAGTTTACGGGATACGCCACAAATGCATTATTTCGTGAAATTCGCGCTCAAATGTTATTTTAGGAACACAAGCGGTTCGTAAAATAATTTGTAGTGAGCGAAAAAAATAAATACAAATAAATGGGTTTCAAATTTAATTGGTCCACTCAAAACAAGAAGATCAGCTCGTTCTCATCTGGTAGCTCGTATCCAATTGGATTCGGCATTTTAAAATTTCTTATCCGATTTTGCGGATCCGAAAAATCAATTGAATAATTTCGAATTGATTCCGGGGCCGAATTTTGTCGGAATCGATTGGTTTCGAGTTACCATAGTTCGTCATTTTGACATTTTTTAGAGTATTGAAAATTCCAACAAAAAAAAACTTCAGCTTTTTAATTATGATGGTTAGGAAACGCAAAATTCGCCCCTTTGGTGTTTTCTTTTCCATACGAGACCCAAGACCAAATTCAATATAATAATTGTGAAATTTCATTCCCAAATTTTTGGCGCTTCAGAGAGCTATCGCATCTCGACCTCAAATTTTTTTTGAAGCAATCGCTTCTCGTTTGAGGGTTGTCAAAATGGGAGCATATCTAATATTTAGTGTCTTCATTTTGGTCCACAATTTTTCGAATGGTCTCTCATTTTCTTCTCGATTCAAATCGTTGAATGGATTGTTTTTGAATCAAGACGGGTGCCAGTTCTATCATACATCATTGTTTCCAAATTAACAAGAGAAATTTCATATTAAAACATCTGCGGACATTTTGCCGGGATACGCGGCAATTCAAAACATGGGCACTGGGGGGGGGGGGTGGTCGACTCGAGGGTCCCTCTCGAACAGGGTTGCACGGGAAAATAAGATTTTTGTTTTCGTCAAACAACCAAAATGGAAACGAGAAAAACCTAAAATCTTTTGAAAAATCGTTTTTTCTTACGGTAACTGGAAATCATGGGGAATTTCGTGCAACTCTGCCGCTCAAATAAAGATGTTCGGCTCACAAGCGACATTAGTGTGATGCGCGAGAGGTCGTTGACTCGACTCCTCATCGCACAACGTCGCTGTTTTGACGAGAACACGAACAACACACATCAACACAATGATCATTTTGAATGAGCGGCATTCTAATAAAATATTTAGAGCCTACTCACATCGGAATGAGTTGGTGATGTTTGAGATGTAAAATATTTATACCACATCCTGGGCATCGCTCAATCAAGTCGCATTCTAATGATAAAGAATTAATCAAATTTTATCATACAGAAGTCAAATGCAATTTCAAAGAGTGGCCGAATTGAGGTATAGATTGAAATATAAAATTTCTTGAATTTTTTTTTCAAATTAAAAAAATGAAGGTGGTCTTAAATTTACAAAAACTGAGCTCTGGTAGCTCAAAAGCGGCTCCGAGTTGCCGAGTTTTGCATTCAGATTCGGAAGATGAAATTGAAATCAAAATTACTGCATCGCGTTGGATTTCCCGAGACACCATCGATGGAATGTTGCTAGAGACATAGTCACTTAGTCGGTTCGTCCTTCGCCTGTTGAGGCGCGAACCACAGCTTTCCAAGCTTTTCGGTCCTTGGCTTGAATGGACCACGGGGTGATAACGGCTCTTTCAGTTGTTGATCTCCTTCCGAAGCGAGTCCGACTATCTCATGGGAGGCCTTCCTCTTGGCCGTGGCCGAATTCCACGACCGCCACTCCGTTAGAAGAGTAGTCCATCTTCCATCTGTTCTTCTAGCAACGTGTCCAGCCCAGGTCAAAAATTATTTGAAATGAAAATGATGATTGAGCAATTTTTCGAGCAAGCCTTTTTCTTTCATTCTCGTCCAAAATTCAATAAATCTATTCGAAAATTGCCAATGCTAATTCTTTCTTATCGATTCGGGAGGTGAGCGCTTTAAAACGAGCCACACAAAAATTCAGCCATAAGGGGGAATTTATCAATACAAATTTCGTTTATCACTTGACATAAAATCGCATAAATCAGTGGGAAAAATTCGACGATTTTAGAAAATTGAGCATTTACATCATTATGTGGACAGTTTATTACCTTTTCTTGCTTTATTGCTCATTTTATTGTCGTTCTAACACTTCAATTTTATTAAAATTGATTAGAAAAAGTGGGAAAAATGATTTTGAGCGCTGAATATTCGGAATGGTCCGGTTTTGTTCATCTTTCAGTGCTTTTCGTAATATATATATATTCATATGTGTTCCAATTTTCAGAAAAATGCTATCCTTTAAAGGAGATCAACAACTGAAAGAGCCGTTATCACCCAGTGGTCCACCCAAGCCAAGGACCCAAAAGCTTGGAAAGCTGTGGTTCGCGCCTCAACAGGCGAAGGACGAACCGACTAAGTGACTAAGTAAGTAAGTGAAGTGCTATCCTTTAAAAGGTATAAAAATATCAAGGAAACTAGGGAAAAAATCGAATAAATAAAAAAAAAAGAATAAACAATGAAGATGTGTATTGTCGTCAAATAAAATGCACAAGTCCGCAATGATTTCAATTCTCAATCACGTGAAAATTACACGTCTAAATAAAGTCGTCGTGTAGAAGGTTAAGTCTTCATAAATTTGACGGTACACCGTCAAGGTGAATATAATGGCCGAACGGAGATGGCCGAATTGTGATGGCCGAGGACGGGGGCGGCGGTTTGTGTATTCCCGGCGGAGGAGACGCAAACATGCGCGGTCCGTTGAATCATTTTATCTTTTTCAATAGTACATTTTAATTCATTTAGGAATTTGAGATATTAATTGATTTTATTTTCGTACTACACATATTCCGGGTGTAATTACCCTAATTTTAAGTACTATAAAGGATATTTCAACTTGAGCACGTCGTAATTTTAAATGTCGAGTAAAATGCATTAGGTGCAAACACGCGAAATGCTAGAATGAGATTTCAGATATGATGCTCTTAAAAACCCGCCAAAATTGTAGTCCTAATCAGCAGAATAAATGCACTTGGGTTGATTTACGAGAATGCGTCGTTCTCTGCGGTCTTGTGCGGAATCACTAACTATTGTTGAGAAATGACAAATGTATCCAGTTGTCGTAGGATCCTGCGTTTTGTACGCAATGCTAAGAGACAGTTACCGTAATCCTCGCAGCGATTTACGGGGACTTTTTAATTTAATTTCACATATTCATTTATTTATTTTTCGCTCAACTTCCGTATTTCCCTTCGAAATTTTGTTATTTATATTTTGCAGAACTAGAGTTCAATAATTTATTTAGCAGAATAAGCACTTTTAAACGTTATTTTTGTGGAAAAAACAGAAGAGATTTAAAAGAAAACATTTTTTGTCGTTAGTAAAATTATTTAATCGTGTTTTGCTTTTTGTACGCGTTTCTATTATCTTGTTTTTGTATTCTTCATTTTCAAAATAAATTTTAGAGCGACAAAATCTTTTCAATAATTCCCAACTCAACTGGAAAAATGGAAAAGTGCATATTCTGAAAAATAAATAATTAAACTCGGTTTCTACAGGTTTTAAATATAAGATTTCTAAAGAAAATGAAAAAATTCAGCAAAAAAAATTGAAAGAAAATTAAAAAAAAACACTCCGTAAATCGCTGCAAGGATTACGGTAACTGTTTCTTAGAATTGCGTACAAAACGCAGGATCCTACGACACCTGGATACATTTGTCATTTCTCAACAATATCTCGCATTATCCAGCTCATTTCGATTATTTTGAATTAAAATGAAATTCGAAATTTGCGGAAATTCACGTGTCAAAAGTCGCAGGCTCCAAACGCCGACTACAACTAAAGATGGTCCCAATTGTTGCCTTGTGGCTCACAAATAATGGGCGCATTTCTACCAAATTTGCATTTTGAGGGTCGTTTTTTTCAATCTCACCAATTCGCCTCAAATTTCCCGTATTGATGTTCAATAATTCTCTAAAATTTTTTTAGGTGTTTCGAGATTTTCGAATCGATCGTTTTGAAGTGATATATGAGGCGCTGCCTGGACGAATTTCCCGTGGCGACGAGGCGCGGCGCGAAATTTTTCGATTTCAAATTTTGCTCGTCAATGTGAATTCGCGGTCATTACTAGTAGATCAAATACTCCACATCTCTACTTTAAAGGATCATACTATGCTATTTTTCTAGATCCTGAAACGAAAATCCTTGAATTCTAACAAAATCGTGTCATTTTCATAAAACAAATTCATGTTTCAACATAATTTGAGAGAAAAATTTCAACTTTTGGAAAAATTAAAATTGCACCAAAATTAAAGGCGCATATCATAGAAAACGAAACCATTAAAATTCTCAAAACCACAATGACAAAAAAAATAAAGAAAACACGAATCGAGAAAATGGCGAACAATCGAATGAAAATAAACGCCACTCGACGAGTCATTCGCTTTCATTTCAAAAGACCGCCAAACCAATTATATCGAATCAAATACAAAAGACGTTTATTCACAAGAAATTTAAGTTTCAAGTTCCAAGAAATAAAAGGCAATAAAATGATTAAACCGGTAAGGAGTTGGGTTACGGTAGGTCAAAGAGAGGAGAGGGACCTCGTAGATAAAATAAGCAACATTGTTGAGGGGGTATCCTTTTAATTGAAAAACGTCGAAGAAAAAAACACATTTAAATATTCAAATTTCGCGCCAAGCGAACTAAATTAGTGAAAATTGGAAAAAAATATGGGCAACCCGTGTTTCGAGTAGTAAAAAGCACTGACTTAAAAGGGTGCACAAAAATATAGGGGGGCGTGGCGGGCGCCTAGTTGCTCGTTCCGAGCGTCGCGCGCACCTTCTCCGCCCACTCGTCGATGCACGCCGAACATTCGGGCGGTGTGCCGACGACGGCGGGCTCCGCGTGCGAACACTGCGCAAACACGCGGATTCGCGGCGAGACCTCCAGCGACGACGATGAGATCTGAAACAACTACGTTTTTGAAAAAAAAAGACGAAATCAACACAAAACTAAAATTGCTCAATGTTTTCTCGCCAATTATTGCTTCGATTTTCGATTGATTTATGGTTTTTTTTTATTTCGACACGAATTCGCTTCTTCAAGACACATTCGGTCACTTTCATGTTTGAAATTTGAAGAATAACAAAATAATCGCTGCGAGACCCACTACAGTTTGCGTTGCGCCTCCGCAATTACTCTCTAGGGAAATCAAAAAATTGTTAATTTTCTATGTAGAGATTTATGGTGAGTTAGCTTCACAGGCAATCCAGAGTACGGTACCCCAATTCCCACTGCTTAAATTCGAATTTGAATTACCGTCAATTATGCAAGGCAATAAGAATGTAATTGGTTGGGTGTCTCAAAGTGGAAATAATACACAATTGACAGGTCAAAATCATCCGACCAATTTCAGAGACATTGAACGGAAAATCTGCAAAAATCGAAAAAAGCAGACAACAGTTGTTTTCGATGAGAATTATCCTTTCTAAAGGCAACCGAAACCCAATTTTGTCGGAAATTTGAAAAAAGAAAACAATTGGCTATGGGTGCCAAGTGGTCTCGAAGCAGCGATGGCCCCAAACTGGGCATGAGGTCAGTCAACGCAAAATCTTTTCACATGCGTAAATCTACACTGGATTTGGCGAATTGAAGGAAGACCCCCCGCCGTCGGGGAAAAAAAAGGATGATTCGCATCAATCAAAAATGCCTCCCACCGTGGCGCAATTCGTCGGCTTCGCCGCCGTCGCAAATCCATCCAGCATCGCAATTTTCTCGTCGATACTCAACGCGCTCTGCGCCATCTCATCACTCCAGACCTGAAAAGAAAAAAAAAAACATTCCAAAGTAATTCTATTTGGGCGTCAACGCGAAAATCTCACCGTCGGCCAGAGTTGCGCAATCTGTTTGCCTTTCCTCATCGATTCGGTCATCGGGACACAACGAAACGCGGCGGAGAGCGCATTCCTCGATTGAACGTCTTCATGATTCGCCATCACCTCCCAAACCAACGATGAAAGCGCTTCGAGCGCTTCTGGAGGCGTGTAGCGATCGCTTTTGAGCAGCTCGATCATCCGAATCGCCCGTTTCACATCGCCGGATATCAGGTGAACAAGTGCGGTGCTCGTGCAAATCGGCCCACTGTCGCCGTCGTACTTCTCCGCCGAGACTTCCATCTCGTCAACATCGTCCAACTCCTTCAACGAGCTGCACAAGTGTTTCGAGACCGCCTGCGCGACACTAACATCCAGATTCCTCAACTTCTCGATCATCGTCGTCTCATCGACTTGCACGTCCGATTCGGGCGTCGTCGACGACTCGCTTCGAACACGCGTGTTCGCAATCGGCGTCGGCAGCTGCACAAACAGCGAGTCGTCGAGATTCGGGAAGAAGCGGCGACCGTCCTGACAAATTACACGGTAAATAAAACAACCCACATAAATGATAGGTATTCCTATGAATCGTGTGCTCGAAACAACATATATTATAGAGCATATTTCTATTGAAAACCCCAATGTAATTTTTAAAAAATCCTTCTGTTCTTAAATTTTTGATTTTTTTAAAAATTTTTTTTTGTTCCGATCGGGATCAGAGTTGGGCGAAATTCGGCGATTCCGCCCAACTCGGATCGCGATCAACTCATTGGGTACCTTGGCCTGGAAGAACACCTTCTTCGCCGTCTCATTCGTCGCTTTCTTCGTCAGTGATCCGCACTGCGCAAAATCGTTGCGGCCCCATCCGTACACACTACCGTCACGAGTCGACGCCAGAGTATGATTATTTCCTGAAAAACAAACTTCTGCATCAAGAGAGAGAGAGAAAATCTTCAAACAAGGTGGTCCTTAAAATACTTGCAGTATTAAACGTTTGAAATTTCGAAAGTTCCTCAAAGATTACCATCGGAAAAAAACGAGCCTGTTGGGTTTTCACGGACCATCTATGGTTTTTTTTTCATGACGGTAATTCAAAATTCAATTAGAACAGTGAAAATACGCGTCAAACTAAAAAAAAATTCAAAACCGACTCACCACAAGACACCATGGTCCAATACGCATCGGCTGGCTCAAACACCTGATGCGGCTCACTTCGTTCCGCCTTATTCCCATTGCCGAGTTGGTAATCAATCGATTTTCCCCACGTATATATCGAACCGACGTCGGTGATCAGCGCACAATGCGACAATCCACAAGAGATGGCCGCAATCTGTCGATGACAAATCAATTCATTCGTTTCGAGACCCCCACACCACAACAACAACAACAACAACCAACCTTTCCGTTCAAAAAATGTTTGACTTCTCTCAATCCCAAACCATCTCGAGGTATTTTTGCCGGCAAATTCAGATTCTGTCGCGGCTGTGGCCCGCCAGTGGCGGCTGTCGGAAGCGAAGGCGGCGGCGTTTCTTCGAAGGCCTCGTCGCACTTGAGCTGAGCACTACGGAGCTTCTTCATCACGAACATCTTCATCTTGATCTCCTGCGGCGTTCGACCCCATTCGAATATTCGCTCGTCGTCGGTCACACAAATCGAGCGAAACGAGCTCGTCGCGATCATCGTGACTCTCGGAGAACCCTGAAAATCAAATCCACGCCATTTACAAGCATAATCAGCTTTTTGTCGAAAACAAGAGCCTATACCCATGAAACTCTTTCAAAATAGTTCTGTTTGTTTGAACCTTTGCTAATTTCACTGATCAACGGTGTAGGGTCTCGCGGCGATGTACACCACCAAATACACCACCAAAATACATCAGTTGTATCGCCGCGAGACCCAACTCCATAAACATCGTTATGCTCCTTGAAATTTACTCAGCGCGTCTATTGTTTTCTAATTTTTTTTGCAAAATACTTGTTTAAATAAATAAGCTCGACGATTACTGCAGCCACATTTTTGGCGGTCTTACATCAATCTGAATGGGTGTGAACGCGAACGTCTTCTTGATATCCTTATCGGTTCCCATTTGCCCATAGCTGCCAGAGCCGGCCACCAAAACTCGGCCATTGTCGGTGAGCACGACGGTGTGAGCACGACCACAAGCAACTTGCTCGACTCGTCTGCAACAAAACACCAATGAATGCAATAATGGGACCCATAAATGGGCAGTGATGGAGAAGAAAAAAAAACAAAAATTCTCCAATTTTTCTTTCCATTGGGACCATAATAGTGGTCAAAATGATATATAGTTTTCCTTGAAAACCACAAATTTATGATTTCGAACAAAATTTTTTCTGCTCACACTTTGACTTGTTAAACACGAAATATAATTCCATTTTGCGGCAAAAAAAACAAAAATTCAATTTTTTGAAATCGGGACCAAAATGTGCAACAAATAGAAAAAAGAACAAAAAAATCAACATTTTAAAACTTTTCTTGGCTGTTTTAAGCATTTCAGAACTCGTTTCATAATCAAAAAAGAAAAACTAAAAATCGTGACAAACTGTCTCGGGACCCTCTTACCCAATCAGTCCGTTAACACGAGTTGGAGTCGTCACATTCGAATTCCGCCGTCCGCCCAGCCCCAATTGTCCCCAAACACCCCAGCCGAACACCCAAAGCGAGCCATCTTCGCAAACAAATGCCGAATGAAAATGTCCGCAGCTGATTTTTGTGATAGGCGGCCAATCGCCCTCAATTTGCTTAAAAACATGATAATTCCAAAAAAACAACAAACGCAATTTAAAAAAAAACAAACCTGGAGATTGGCGAGTCGGAACGTGTGCCCGACACCACATTGGCCGTATCGATTTCCACCCCACGCCGCCAATTGTCCGGCCGACGAGAGCACAAGAATGTGCTCGGCGCCGCAAGCAATCGCTCTCGGCCGTCCGCCGGCGTACTCCAACACTTTCGCCAGATACTGTTCAGGCTTGACAGCGACGCTGACATTCGACGTCGACGACGTCGCCGAACTCTCAGTCGCCTTCTTTTTCGTCTCTAGAAACGGCATTTTGAAAAAAAAAAGAAGATCAAAAGATTTAAAAAAAAAATTACGTGTAACATCCAGCGATCGTTGCTGTTGATTCGTGAAATTTCCGAAAATCAATATTCGATCGTCTTCGGCAATGACGGCCGCGCAATTGTTGCCGCCGGCGATCGGTCGCCATTCAGGCGTCGACGAGTTCTGCAACAAAAATAGCGTTTAAAGGCGCACCTCGTAAATCTACAACGAGCGTCGAGGCTTACAGTCTCTCTCTCAACATCACTTCAATGTCATAATACCACGTATACTCATTTTAAAGGTGCATAGCGGTAATAAGATTTTTCAATATGGGCATTGCACATTATGAATGCGCACACCTCGCAAATATTCAGCCAGTAACGGAAGTGTGAACTTAAAAGCGTCCTGGCAATCAAATATTAGATGAAATTACTATTCTCAAATTTAAAGAAAATTAAAAAAAAACAAATCAAAAGATACCAAGCAAGTTCGCTTCTCGGTGACAATATAAATAGACGAGACGAGCGCAAGAATCTGACACGGTCTCGGGAATCTGAAAACGCTCGAAATAGGAGGCTTCTCGATTGCTGTACAAACTTGTCCGCATAGAAATTGGCGCATCTCAAACACATTTCATGATACGACGGTAGCGTCACATCTCGCTGCCAACCGGATAGAAGTGCACAAATTTTGGCGCCATCCGATTCCGCCAATTTCGACCAATCCAAATGGCAAACGAGCGACATAATCTAAAAAAAAAAACAAAAAATAAATAAAAAATTAAACCATAATAGGAATAATTGATGTCTACCTGTAGTCGATCCGTCGAGCTCGAATTCCTCCAAATCTGTTGACCATTTTTCGTGATATGCGTCAGAAGTTCAACGCAAATCGCATTCGAGCCCGTATTGTGAATTTGGCGATTCGCGAGAATCTGCGCGCATTTCCACATGCCGACTCTCGCGCAATCCATCGATCCGCTAGACAAATTCTCATGGCGAGCCAGAAAGCTTCTGCGGAAAAAAAGGGAAAAGTTTGGCGTTGAAAAATAATTAAAAAAAAAAAACAAAAATTCACGGCCTACACCAACATTTGATCTACCAATTTTTATTATGGCCTATTTTTTGTGGTGGCAAAACTCACAAAACCCCGGCCATAGGTATTTATTTTGATCTACCTCTGGTAACTTAAAACCAATCGGATTCGACAATATTCGTCTCCGGAATCAACCTTATCCGATTGGTAATTTGTCAGATCCGATTGATAATTCTACGGATAAGATTAGTTATTTGTCGAATCCGATTCAAATTGATTCCGGAGTCGAATTTTGTCGGATCCGATCGGTTTTGAGTTACCAGAGTACCCTTTTTGTGCGTATCAGATTTTTGTCTTAAAATTTTCAAAAAAAAATAATTGAGCAAATAAAGCAACCGAAACGAGACTTACGACAATTCGGCGTCGAGCTCGCGCACCTTCTCGCCATCACATTCCGACGCCGCCGCGCGCTTCACAAACATCTCAACGACCTTCTGCATGAGGTTCGCGTTCTTCGACGGATTCGACTGGATCACATTCATCACCTACGATTCAATCCGTTGGAATAAGAAAATTAAAGAAGCCAATGAGTAATACCTCCGACAACAACTGCTCGCTCATCGATTCCTTCTCAAAAGCTTTCAACAGATCAACCATTGATAACTAAAACAAAAAAAACGTATTTTTTTATTCTCGAAAGTTGTGCAATCTCTTTTTTTCGGCTTCTTGTCAAAAAATAAAATTTAAACATTTGGAAAAAAAAGCTGTAAAGATGGCCAGAAAATTAAAGAAAAAAAGCGAAACAAAAAATGCAATAATAGTTTGATAGTTTTCGTTTTGTAAGCACTTCTGGCGACAAAATACCCCACTCAGAATTTGAAAAAAAAACCAACATTAATGATTTTGGCCACTTGCAATATCTGCGAAATCTCCTTATGGCTCAATGTTCGATGTTTGCGCTTCGACAAAATACCAGGAATGATCGAATTCTGCACCGAAAAACAAATCGTTCATCGCTTCGGGACCTTTCGATTACCTGAAGTTCAGCGCGATCGATTCGAATCGCATTGGCGATCTGCCCGATCGATGTCGGATTCAGCGATAACGATGGTAGGCGAAAGATGAACTCAGCAGCGATATTCGCCAGTGTTCTGAAAAACTTTTCATCAAATTCCAAATTGGGTCTCATCGGGAAAACACTTTAGAATAAAAAAAAAGCGACTACGGTATATTGAATCATCAAGAGATCGAAATGAAGAAAATCATTAATTGATGAAGATTACACCGTGTCGTACTGTAGATTTAAGGTGCACAAAAGTCAATTTCAGACCAATCGCAGAAAAAACTATATTGACTGATGTGGAGGATCTCGTCACGAAAACTCTCTATAGACGAAGACAAACCTAAATTGAAACTCTGGTATTGCGGAAAGTGGTCCCTACACTCCTAAGTAAATATACTAAAAAAAATAATACAGTTGCGAGACCACAATGAGCGCGCAAGGCTCAAGTGGAAAGTAAGGGCCGAGTCAATAAAATCCAATTGGTCCCGTAATACATTGGACACTTCACATCATGCTGGGTTTCACATTCGAAGCGTTTCCGATCGAAATCTTCAACTAATCAGAAATCACGATGTTGGTGGCGAGAAGTGGTCCCGGAAAAAGTCCGCAGATTTATTCGCTCAAAAAGAAAAATTTTGCGATCAAGTCGAAAAAAAACAAGAATCCAAAACTCAACCAATCGACAATTTCAGGTGGCATTTTTCAAAAATCAAGAAACCTCCGCTTGAAGCCCAACTCAATAGCAACACAGCTGTTCAAATCGAGACGCAAACGAACGAGAGACAAAGAGATCCATCGACGACGGCCGACCGAGCACATGCGCTCGGCGTCTCATATATCAGAATCGTCTCATTCGAATACTTCCTTCAAATCGGCGAAAACCAAACCGCGTCAAGACGATGTTTGAGATTGATCAAATCGCTGCGGTGAGCAACAAGATGTTCTTTTGGTTGCTGGTGTGAGAAGAGGACGAGGAGGAGAGGAAGACCAACGAGTTGAATGTAGCAATCGCCCACACACGTTTGCACTTTTTTTTGAACACCTTGAATAACCCAATCTGCGGACATTGCCGCGGGACGCCAAAACACAATATTCGGAAACTATTTGGACAAAAATCAACCAAAAATTGCAAAACCAATTTTGGGTGCAATTTTTCGTGGGGGGAAGCTAAAAATGAAAGGCATTTATGACAATTTGTCAAAGTGTTAAATTTCCAATTTTTCATGAAACTAAATTTTACAAATTTGGTCATAGAGGAAGAGACTTACAAAAAATGTCCTAATTGAAAAAACCCACTAACCCAAATTCAGAAAATTCGAAAAATTCGAAAAAAAATTGAAGGTAGATTTTTTCCAAATTTGCTAATAGTTTGCTAGAAATGAACAATTTTTCTATATCAAATATTTTGTAATAAATTCTAAAATATTATGAGCAATTGTAGTTAGTTGATACTTCGCAATATCGAGACTCAACGATCCTAAAAATATTTTAAACAGTCTTATAACATTACCTAAAACTGATGAAGCAAATTCTAACTTATCTCAATACATTCTAAAATGTTCTAATTATTTCGAAAATTCATTGAGAAAAATCGAAAACATTATAGGGACACTGTAGTCTCTCTCAAGAAATCTCAAAATATAATTTTTTTTAATTTGCCCTGAGTTTAAAGGTTATTTTCCTGAGTTTAAAGGTTAAAGTTCCAAATTTTGAATTTAAAATAGAACTTCATAATTTCAAAAGAATAATTTTTTAAAGTCTCAAATTTAAAAAAAAAAGAAACAAAAAAGGAAATCTAAAACCCTTTCAGAGATTGGAGAAAGAAACTAAAAAAAAAAAGTCAAAAGTAAAATAAAGGAGTAAAAGCGCAAAACAAATCGATAAAGAGCGCAATCTCATAATAACAACAACTTCGCAGCTGGTGTTTGAGTTCGGAATGTGGCGATCAAGATGCTCCAGATGTGTTGAAGAAAGCCATAAAACGACTCGTTTAACAACCTGCCAAGGTCAAAATTTCTCGCAGAAAAAAAAACCAAAAAAAATACATCGCCAACCAGACAACACACAAATTTCGACGTCGCGTGTTTCCCCCAGTGGAATATTCAATGGTATCAATGAGCAAAACCGCAACGAGCCAACAAATTTTGGGCGTCGCAACAAAAATTAATGGTTCCTTTTAAGAAAACGCTTCGAAAAATATCAGAATTTGGTGAAATTTTTTTTTTGAAACAACGAACAAATGTAGGGTTTGTAATGAAAATTTTCAAATTTAGTTCGAAAAAACTCACAAATGGCTCGATTGTTCGACGCGCACCAATCCTCGCTCATTGATCACAAACACTCCGCATAGGCGATTCGGCCGTGTCGGCATCGCGGCGAATCCGAGCGGTCGCCATTCCGTCGACATTTTCACCAAAGAATATTCAAGACGAACAGCGGAGAGCTGAATAATTGATCATCTTCCTTTTTTTCACAAAAAAAAAGAAACAATTAGAAAAATCGCAAAATCAAAAACAAATTGCTAAAGGATCAATGCACAATGCAAAGTAAATAACAAAATAATTGTTTAGACCAATTTTATAATACTTTTTTCATTCAGAAGTTTCAATTTATCGAAAAATATCAATTTTCTACAAGAAAAATGTTGGGCACTCAACAAAAATCACAACTTGAATTGGATGAAATCGAAAAAAAAAATCAAAATCGAATTCTAAAATTTTTCGCCAAAAAATTTTTCATTTTTGCTGCAAAACTTCTAAAAAACGTTGGATTTTTCGACATTAGTCAATTTTCCTCCTCAAAACAAAAATTACTGCATATATTTAAAAAAAAACCTATGGTAAATAGTTAAAAATTAGAAGAAATAAAAAAAAAAACAAAAAAAAATGTCTCACCCCAAAATGTAGAGCGCTTCTCAATTCATTGCCATTCGACACTGTGAATATCGCATTATCCGCCGCGTGTACGAGCCAAGTTTCAGGTGGCACCTTCAAAAATCAATATTAATTTATACTAAATCAAAAAAAAAACAGTGATTAAAAACCCTAATACTCTAGTATTGCTAAAAAAATAAGAGCTAGAGAAATCGAAGAATTATGAAAGATTTTGAATAATGTCAAAATGTCGAATTATTTTTTCAAGAAAAAAAAAATCATTCATCGTCAGGGTGTTTTTTTTTCGCTGAGGATTTTGGGGAAAACTATTTCTCGGCACACCACATTTAAAACTCTGAAATTCTTGAGTTTCAGTGGCATTTTTAAATTTTACTTAACATTTGGATACTCGAAAATTAGAAAAAACGAGCTCCTTTGAAAACCCGTTATTCACATTGTATTTAAAAATTAAACATTATCGTTTAATTGCAAAAATAAATTCAACTATTTCGAAACCGAACATTTTCTTCTGGAATTCAAAAAATCCTATGGTTTTTCATTTTTTCGTATTCATATGTAAATCGAATTTTCGAATAAAAACTAGAACGTATCATATATTATTTTAATAAATAAATATTTGACAAAATTGCTATTAAAAAAAAGAGAAAAGAAATGGAACAAAAATTACCCAATAAGTCTGCTTAGATATATGCGAAATTGAGTGAATTGTCGAATAAATTTCCACATAAGCTTCGACCGTTTCCAATGCAACAATTCCGCACGATTCCGACGCGAAAAATTGCATATTAGGTGGTTCAAGCTGGAAAAAAACAAATTTTAAAAGTGACGGAAACGTTTTGAAGACCTCACGTACAAGAAAAAGCTTCAAAGCCATCACATTTTTAATGTTTTGAGAATAAATTGCCAAAAAAACCAACAAATTTTTGCAATTTTTTAATTTTTTTTAATGTTTTACGCATTTTTACGAGAAATACATAGAAAATTTTTCTCGCTGACAATTTGCAAACAACAAATTTCACAACAAAAAACAATTTTTCAAGCTTCTTTATTCAAAGAAAACTGGGAAAAATGATTTTCGCTTTCATTTTTAGCTTTATCACAATCAAAATTCATCACTTGTAGCACCACTATTTTAAAAAAAAAGTTCATCAATTCGAGCTGACGTTTATAAGCCAAAAAGCTCTCATTTTAGGCAATTTTTCATTCAAAAAAGGAAGAATTTAAAAAAAAGCTAAAATTACACAAGCCAACCATTTGAGTACGGCGAAAAAAAAACCAACCAACCTTATCAAATCGGGGCAATTCTTGCAAAATCTAAAGGAGTGCAAAAAAAAAGTAAGAGTCACACCACAAAATGGTGAAGGGTGAATTGGAGAAAAACGAAAACAGAAAGCAAATCTCACCGCTTTCAAATCGGCTGGTATACACGCGGTGAGCACTTCTCGAAATCCTTTCCCATTCCGCTCAATCGGGACAATCCATTGAGCTCCGGTGAATCCAGTGATCTACAAATTTGATTTGAAACAAAGAATACAAAGAATGGATATTGATATTATTGTGGTGATTATACTAAATTGTGATTCTGTTGTCTACAAACATTTCGAGAATATAACGATTTTCAACGAGAAATTGTAATTCATGAAAAAACCAGACAATTTTGAAAATCTTACTCTAACATTCTGACTAGGGATGGACCGGAAACTTCTCAACCGAAGATGACTGTAAATGTTTAAAGGAACCATGGGGAACACCTTCAAATATTGAACAACGAAGATATAATATCAAATTTAAAAATAAAGTTTAATTCTCTTGACTAATGGTTTTTAAATTATATTTATAGCAAAAAATTTAACTAAAACAGTTTAAAATCAAACAAAATTAATTTTTTCAGAAATTTTCAAGCAGGATAAGTTTTCCTGCATGGTCATTTTTTATTGCTCCGATTCTCACAACAAAACAAGATATGCTCTTTTAATTACACTATTATCTGGGTCGAGCAGGCTGGCTTTTTTCTAACTTTCAAAAAGCTCTGGCCAGTGGTCCGGTCGTCATGTTGTTTACATCTGGACGGCCAATTCGCGAATAAAAAAAAACCCCAGCCGATAGCCGTCCGGCTTTCAGTTCGGCATCGAAATTGACAAACGTGAAAATATTGACATTTTCCCAATATTTTTCAACATCAATTTTGAAAGAGAAAAAAACACAATGCTTACCAAAAGCTCAATTGAGTTCTCATCCAGGAGCACTTCCATATTATGAATACTTTGAGGCGCTTTGAGCTCAGAAACGCATTTTCGAAGTTGCAGATCGATGAGCAATATATTTCCAGCCTAAAATTGAAATTCTCCCTTACGAAATATGATATCAGTGTTAACAGAGCCCCCCAGCCGGCAAAATAATGTCAAAAATTTTCGAGCAATTTTTCATCGGGGGCAGAAATGTCAAAACAAACAAAAAAGCAAGAAAAAACATGTGTCGCAAGCATCGGCAATAAATCAAACGGGTCCCCCCACCTCGAGGTCCCCCACCTGTTAAGTGATGGAAAAAAAACAACATCGTTTGAATTCCTACCCGATTCGACACCACCGCCATGTTGCGCGGCGGAAAATTCGAGACGAAGAATCGGGTGCACGTGAGCAACGCTAAACAAGGATCGATCGTCGGCAGCGAGAGGTCGATGACGCTTGACGACGTCCATGATGATCCGCCCCAGGTGACATCCTGCAAATTGTCGGGTCTCGTATGGAAAACGTCCAAAAAAATGTTTCAAAATCACGACAATTTGGAAAAAATTGAGTTTGGGTCTCACATGGAAAAGCAAAAGCCTTCAGGTACAGCCCTCTGTGATTAGTCAAACTACAGTATCATACGATTTGGGTCCCAACTCGGTCACAGAAATATTACAGAAAAACTAAGACCCTTCAACCTCGTACTTTGTCTTGATTGAAGGCTTTCGCTATTCTCACAAGAACACATGCTCAAACGATCGCAAAATAATAACAAAAGTGCAATTAACCTACAATTAATGTCTTAATTGGCGTCACCAATAGATTGCCATCGGATAAACCGAACAGTACGAACGCCGCTTGGCTGCCGATGCAAATCGTCACCGGATTTGCGGAAATACCATTCAATTCTTTAACGTTTGTCACATTTTTTCGCGGCTTCGAGTCTCGGCCAGTCTCCAAATAAGCTTGAGCTTCACCTGAAAATGTCAATAAACAATTTAAAAATTATGAAGTCCTTTCTGGGAAACCTTTTGAAGTTAGAAGGATGATTAAAACAAAGTTCTCGTCGCTGAACACACTGTAGTCGATGATCGAGTCCTCAGCGCTGAGCTCATCGAGCTCCTGTGTGCAAGTATACGGATTTTCCATCATCTTTTTTCTTGCTGAAAATTTAAAAAATGCAATTTTCCTCGTAATTTTTTTTGCCAAATTTGAAGATTGGGTCACGCGACTTGCCTTTCTTGCCGGCGTGCCTTGTTAGCTTATGACGTGACGCGTTGAATGCGTCGCGTCGGTCTTCAACGATCGGCGATTCCGATGACGACGTCGATGAGCCTAGTGATACCGATTTTTGCAATTTTCGCGTTAAAAGCATTTCGAGGCGAATGATAGCGACAGCACACGGCGCGAATGTTCTGTGCAATGGTGGGGATGGAGTGCTAGCGGGCAGGGCATCTCTTCCGCGATTTTTTCTTTTTAATTGATGCTAAATATCATCTTGCGGGTTTTTTGTGCTCCACGTGATTTCACAGCAACAAATGTTGAACTTTTCCAAAAGAAAAAGGGTTGATATTATCAAAAGTTAAAAATTTATACTGCCAAAATTAACATCTTAAGAAAATTATTAGCTAATTTCTGCGCAATTAATTTCAATTTGATTTTTTAAAAATAATTTTATAAATATTTAAAGTACTTTTTGAAATCAAATTTGGTCAAACAATAGTGAAATTTAATTAAAGATGTTTACCATTAACCTAAAGCCACATGAGACTTCAAAAAATAAATCGCAAAGAAAACTACAGTATTTTCAATTTTTTTTTATTTCTATAACTTTCTTTCGAAATAACGTTTTTTTTTTTGGAAAATAATAGTAAACACTTTGCTCAAAATAAAAAAATCGAAAAAATATTTTGAAGCAAAAACTCGACAAGATAAATCCTCCGATAAAGAGCATAAAAACAACAAAATATTCAAAAATAGAAAATGGCCGCGACCTATTTTCTCGGCCACGGCCGCGAAACAATTTATAATTTTTGGGGGGAAATTTTCCCAAACAAACTTCTGATAATAATCGAATCATGCGATCTCAGCGATGGCGTTTATCAATTGATTGTATCATATTTATTTAAAAAAAAAAAAAAAAAAAAAACATTGAAAGAGCCAAAATTGAACAAGGCAGGAAACACAAAAAACAGGAATCCAACAACAATAAGTGAATGGGAGCACATCTCGAGTGGTGCGTGCCAATGAGGTTTCGAGGATCACACAGAAGAAAAAAAACAATAAAACTTTGAGCAACAGAGAACAACTCGTTATTGTGAAAGCTCTGGAATACAATAAAAGATTTTCTGGACAAAATGGGTGAATCCAATCCAAATGTTCTCGAAAAATTTCGGCCGCCATGTGTTCTTCACAAACGCCAGGTAAACTGGAATTCCAGACAAAACCAAAAAGACACCGCAAACCAGCTCGAAGGGGTTGTTGTGGAAGAATGGGAAGATGAGGATGAACAAGCACATAAGGAAGAACAAGATCGGCCAAAACAGACTAATCTTGATCGGTCTGGAATCGAGAATCTCTTTCGGCATTGTGAAACGCAGTTTGAGGAGTCCCGCGACAGAGGCGAACACCACCAATGATTCGGCAAACGATAGATAGTTGATGAGCTCGAAGACGTTGCCGAAAAACAGCATCGCGATTGAAGTGCCGCCAAGGAAAATGAGCGACGGAATCGGCGTGAGCTGCTTGATCGCGATCATCGCAAACAATTCGGGAAGTTGGCCGTTTCTCGCGCCCGAGAAGAACATCCTCGAGCACGTGATGAGAATACCGTTGAGGCTTCCGATGCACGAGAATGAGACGAATATGGGCATGATGATTTTGCTGCCGATTGGCCCCATCACACGATCAGCGAACGTTATCGCGACAGCGTTTGAGTCCAAAATCTGGAATTCATCGATTTTCGGGTTTCAAATTTGCATTCTAAACCAATTTTTGAGTCGAAACTATCTTTGAAATCTCACAAAAAAGCAAAAAATTGAATTATTCATTTAGAATTATTTTAAAAATCCGCGATATTAATTTTTAAATTTTATTCAATTTCTTTCAAAAAACGAAAATTTAAACCTTTATAAATTTCCTTTTTAAAGTTTGTTTTTCGAAATCAAAAGTGGTTAATTGCATCGCTCGATAAATAATTTTAAAGATAACGCTTCAAACCTCATCAACAGTGAGAACTGAAAAGTAGGCGATGTTCGCGAGCATGTAAATTATTGTAAGAGCCGGAATGGAGATGTAAATGGCTCGTGGCAGATTTCTACAAAAAATATAATTGCAAAATTCAGACAAGACATTTTTCAATACTTGAACGGATTCTTTAATTCCTCGGTGACAAAATTCAAATAGGAGAATCCTGAGAATGAGAAAACGCCCGAATAGAAGGCCATGGCAATTGCCGACGGTTTCGTTTGACTTCCTTCGACAATATCGGGCATTTGAAGATTCTCCCATTGTCTTTTGAACAGAAAAATGATTCCGCACACAACGATGAGAGTCAATGCCAGAAGTTTGGTGACAGTGAAGAAGTTGTTCGTTCTTGTCGCCGCTTTCATGTTCAAACAGTTGATGAACGTCAAAAACGCTGAATTGATAACTTAATTGCGGTTCAAATTTCAGACGAATTACCAATAATTGCGGCGGCGAGCAAATTAATGACGGTTTCAGGAATCGGGCAAGAATAGAATGGCTGCAAAGCGTAGGTGGCGCAGGTGATTCCAATAACCGCCAGCGATGTTGGATTAATAATAACCAGAGCGACCCAGAGAAACAGAAAAGCCGGAAGCGGGCCGAACGCCTGAATGTTGATGCGATGTTAAACACGCTTAATTTGAGATGAAGCTCACTTCATAGATATAAGCATAATCTCCTCCAGACTTTGGTATGAGAGTTCCCAACTCGGAATAGCAAATAGCTCCGACCATAGCGAAAACTCCAGAGAAAAACCAGATGATCAATGCCATTCCGCTGCTTCCAGATTCGATAAGAACTCCTAAAGAAAACAATTTTATTTGATATTCAAGAGGAAAAAAATATGGCTACCTTTTGGCGATACGAAGATTCCGGAGCCGACAATAACGGATATTATAATTCCGCATGCTGAAAAAAGGCCGATGCGCCTTTTCAGCTTCACCTGATTCAATGACTCCTTCTCGTTATCCTCCCCCATCTGAAAAAGAAACATGAAAAATTACGGGAAAAGTATGGAAAGTAAAAATGGAGAAATTAATTGTCGTAAAATCGTACAATTAAACAAGCATGAAAAATTGAGAAAATAAAGAAACATGGAAATTTCGAATTTGCGATCGTTTTGCAGTTTGAATTGCCGCATTGGGTCTCGCATGGAAAAAAATTTTTTTCTAGCTTCCATTTGAAAGACTGGATTTTTATTATTTTAAAAATTCACGAAATATTCAAATGACGAATTAAGAGATCATTTTGTTTTACGAGACCAATTAAATGAAAGGCAGTACAATATGAAAACCAATTTATAAAATGTAAAAAAAAACATTAAATGTCTTTCTTTTTACAACCCAGCAGTGAAAAAAAAATTAATAATGTGCGGTGAGAATATGAATTCGGTAAAATGGAGGCAGCCGTTATCAGCGGAGTATCGTTCTGATAAAAAATTGCTGAAACGATATCACGAAAAAAATTTTGCGTTTGATAGCGTTCGAACAATAAAACAGCGAAAAAAGCAAAAACCGAGAACGACTGAGAATAGCGGCCTCATAAAAAAAGCGTTGGGGCGGGAAGGAATCGCTGATAACAATCTAAATGAATGCCAGGAATAACAAATTAATTATTGCATCCATAAATGGAAAGGAAGGTCGTCCACCAATAATATTCTTATTATTACTATTTTCATTGGTAAATTTATGTATTTAAACAATAATTTAAGCAAAAAAGAGAGAAAGTAGTGTAAAATTATGCGAGTGTAACAAAAAAAAGAGTTGTACTCATCATTTAATGCTTTTTCCTCACTGGCAAAGTGTGATATACGTACAAACGGACCCATCGGATGGATAAAGAGGAAGCGAGAGAGTGTGTGATGTTGAGAGAGGCGAGACGTCATACGAAATGGTGGTGGCCACGAGCTGCACCATTCACTGTCCGCGCCAAAACTGAGAAAAATTTTCATTTTTTTTTTGAAGGAAAAAAATTTTAGTTTTTATTGACACAACCTTTTGGGCCGGCCCGAGATGAGCAAATAGAATAATAAAAGAAATTTTATTTGATGGAGTGTTTCGAATAAATTTCAATAAATTCCATGGAAAACGACTGATGAAAAAACTGGGCGGCCCAATTGAAAAAAAATTTCGCCAATGTTACTTTTTATCATTCACTTAATCTGTTGCGCAACGCGGCAAAGTACAAGGTCAGAATGCGGTTAATTCGATTAAATCGTCACTTTTCAAAAGAATATGAACCATGATTAATAAATTGTTGTAAGGTTTTCGGTTGAAAAAAAAAGTGATTTTCTGTCCAAAGAACACAAAAAATGATATTTTTCGGGCCAAGGATCGCAATTTCGCGGCAAACATTGACGAGGGTCGCGAACCACGAAGAAATGATGAAATATGACGGCGATTGTGATGGCTTTTATATTGTTTTAAATATATTATATGTTTATAATGTAGCGATTTGTGGTGGCTTCTTGTGGGCGGATATGTGAATCATTCAACGTCGCCGTTCTTCGCATTTCACTTTTGAAAATGCTACTCATATTTGAAAATATAGAATGATGGATAGTTGAATGGAAATTTGAAGAGAAAAATTCGAAAATCTGCCTCAGAAAGTTGCGCCGTCGAAAAATTGTTTGAGATAGTGAGTGATTGTGAGAAACGGAGACAATTCTTCGTAAACCGAATTTCTCTTTTTTTTTTCGTAGAAATGGATTCGAATATTTGACCATGGCGAATGAGATCATCGTACTATGGATAACCTGCACATCAAATCCTCGGACTTTTATATATTGCACCAACGAGAGGGCTTATTTTTTTTTGCTATTATTATAGTCGGCGTCCGGCACTGATGGACGCGGGTAGATTTACGAGTGCCCCTTTCGAAATGGAAAATGGTCTCGCCACATGTGAAGGCTTACTTTTAAAAATTTGGTGAAAATTTATTTCGTTGTATTCACGTGAACTGTTTTATTTTTCTTGATGAGTTTATCATTTTCATGAATTCTTAATATTATTGAAATTAAAAATTAACGGAACGATATTTAAAATATAAAACGACCGATTAATTCATATGAGACCATAGCGAAGGCGCATGCTCGTAAATCTACCCGCGTGTCGAGTATACAGTAGGTTACCAAATCTCTCTTTTTTTAAATTTGTTAACTTTTTCCGGAAGCCAAGTTGCAAGATGAAGTGTTTCAATGCTTAATGCAAACGATCAGCAGAGCAAAATCCGTATTCAAACTGGCAGCAAGGGCATACTTGACGAGCATTTTCGTTGTTATTTTTGAGACCACCTTTAAGCAAACAGATGAGCCGTTCGTTAACATCGCGCAAGTTGTGATATGCAAAAAACATCGATTGCGCAATTATGCCGGTTTCCAGCGATTGGTGTATAAAAGCGCTTGGAAGCCGCCAAAGAATCACATCTGACAACAATGCGCTTCTTCTTCGTGCTCTCTGCTCTCTTCCTCATTGCTTCGGTAATTAATTAGTTAATTATATAATTAGTCTCGAATTAAAATGTTTAGGCATCGTCTCTTCGCGATAAGAGACAATGCGGTTGCTCAACACAGCCGACGTGCTCCTGCCAGCAATTCGCGCCCCAGAAGTACACCTGCGACTGCCAGCAGCAGGCGACGTCTTCCTGCTCATGCTCCCAGCAAACCGTCCAAGTTCAGGCTACACAATGCGCTCCAGCTTGCCAGCAGAGCTGCACCCAACAATGCCAATCGGACACCCAATGCCAGACCAGTTGCTTGGCGACTTGCCAGTGCGCCACTCCTGCTACCACTGCAGCTCCACAGACTGTCCAGCTCCAATTGCAGCTCTCCGCTCAATGCATGCCCCAATGTCAGCAACAGTGCCAGCAGCAGTGCTCCACTCCGCAATGCAGCCAACAGTGTGTCCAGCAGTGCCAGACAACATGTGCTGCTGCCCCGGTTATCCAGGCTGAGACTTGCGCTCCAGCTTGCCAGCCAGCTTGTCAGTCAACCTGCGTCGCCCAACTTCCAGCTGTTCAACAATGCCAGCAACAGTACTGCCAGCCAATCTGCCAACAGGCTTCAGCAACCACTCAATGCCAGCAATGCCAAACCAGTTGTCAGTCTTATCCAACGGTTGCTCCACAGCCACAGATCGTCAGCATCGTGCTCCAGCCAACCATCACACAATCCGCTCAATGCATGCCACAATGCCAGTCGTCCTGCCAACAGCAATGCGTCGCCCAGCAACTGCCAGTCCAACAGTGCGATTCATCCTGCCAGACCACTTGCCAACGATCCTGCCAGCCAGTCCAGGTGCCTTGCCAGGAGCCAGTGAGCACTACCACCTGCACCTGCCAGACCAACTACTCCCCATGCGGAAACGGTCAATGCTGCAGAATATAGATTAGAATGAAGCGCTTAATTGTCTGTAAATAGTCGAATAAATATTAATTAATTCATTGAGCTGAAGTTTTGATTCGTTTCGACAAGTTTTGGGTGAGTTCGCCCTGGGGTAATGGGCCAATTACCTATTCAGAGTACTGAATTTTCAACGTTATAATCGAAATTGGACACGTAGCGATAAGAACAGATGGAAGATGGACAATTCTCATAACAAAGTGGCGGCCGTGGAATTGGACACAGCCAAGAGGAAGGCCTCCCATGATGGTCGGACTCGCTTTGGAAAGAGATCACCAGAAGAACAGCTGAAGGAACCGTAATCACACCGTGGTCCATTTAAGCCAAGGACCGAGAAGTTTGGAATGTGATTCGTGCCTCGACAGACTAAGGACGAACTGAATAAATGACTAAGTAAGTAATTAGAATTAAAGAATTACGGAAGGTTTTTTTTTGGGAAGCAGACAATTTTTAGGCCAACATTTTTTTTAATTCATTTTGTTTTTTTGATGTAGACAATTGTACAGACAAACAATGAAAAATGTTTCAAAACATAAGACCTCCTGCTTCATTCTTGGCCAAATCAAACATGAATGAAACGCGATGCCCATTGTTGATTGCGGTCGGCGACAAAAATTGGAAATTAGAGTCGCCTCAATGTGTTGGTGTGGAAGGGGACGAAATCGGATCGAATGATTCGCAAATTCATCTCATCAATTAATTAATTAATTAATTAATATTTATTCAATTATTTACAGAGAAAATTAAGTGTATCAATCTATATTCTGCAGCATTGACCGTTTCCGCATGGGGAGTAGTTGGTCTGGCAGGTGCAGGTGGTAGTGCTCACTTGCTCCTGGCACGGCCCCTGGACTGGCTGGCAGGATCGTTGGCAAGTGGTCTGGCAGGATGAAGCGCATTGTTGGACTGGCTGTTGCTGGGCGACGCATTGCTGTTGGCAGGACGACTGGCATTGTGGCATGCATTGCGCGGATTGTGTGATGGTTGGCTGGAGCACGATGCTGACCACCTGTGGTTGAGGAGCGACCGTTGGATAGGATTGGCAGCCGGTTTGGCATTGCTGGCATTGAGGGGCCGCTGGAGCCTGTTGGCAGATTGGCTGACAGTATTGTTGCTGGCATTGTTGAACAGCTGGAAGTTGGGCGACGCAAGTTGACTGACAAGCTGGCTGGCAAGCTGGAGCGCAAGTCTGAGTCTGGATGACCGGGGCACAGCGCATGTTGTCTGGCACTGCTGGACGCACTGTTGGCTGCATTGCGGAGTGGAGCATTTCTGAGCGCAGCTCTGCTGGCAAGCTGGAAGACATTGGGTAGTTTGAACTTGCACAATACGCTGGGAGCATGAGCAGGAAGACGTCGGAGCCTGCTGCTGGCAGTCGCAGGTGTACTTCTGGGGCGCGAATTGCTGGCAGGAGCACGTCGGCTGCGCTGAGCAACCGCACTGCCTCTTTTCGCGAAGAGACGTCGCCTAAACATTTCAATTCGAGACTAATTATATAATTAACTAATTAATTACCGAAGCAATGAGGAAGAGAGCATAGAGCACGAAGAAGAAGCGCATTGTTGTCAGATGTGATTCTTTGGCGGCTTCCAAGCGCTTTTATACACCAATCGCTGGAAACCGGCATAATTGCGCAATCAATGTTTTTAAGCATATCCCAACTTGCGCGATGTTAACGAACGGCTCATCTGTTTGCTTAAAGGTGGTCTCAAAAATAACAACGAAAATGCTCGTCAAGTATGCCTTTGTTGCCAATTTCTGCGGGTTGTTGTTAGCTGAATGTGTTCAGCTAACAACAACCCGCTGAATGTGTTCAGCTAACAACAACAACAACACTTTTTTTGATCATGCTGAACGACCGGTCAATTCTGAAATATATGGTTCAAAAATTTAGTAAAGTGCACTGCAAAAAGAATTTCGCTAATATTCGTGTGAAAAATTTTAAAAAATTTAGAACTCTAAAAGGCAATTTCTTGGACTTCCTATGATATAAAACTAATATAATCAACGCATATCAATATCATTCGACAAAGGAATGTCTCGTCATCAGATACACGGAAGACTTGCCGGACCACTTCCCCGTTGCTGGCCTACACACTCGAAGACGTTCTCGTCATAATGCGATGTATGTACATATGAATCAACCAATCAACCAATCCACTTCATTCAATCGGCAATCCGTTGAGAAAGAGCAACAACAAATTAACAATCGGTAGTCGATTGGAATCACACTAGAAACTATAGATGCATGTCCAGCTCTTATTCGAGCAAACCTGCCATTCGACCAAAAGCCATGTTCAAACATGAAACAAATGCAACGCCTAACGGTTATTTTTGTTATTTTTGAGACCACCTTTAAGCAAACAGATGAGCCGTTCGTTAACATCGCGCAAGTTGTGTGATATGCTTAAAAACATTGATTGCGCAATTATGCCGGTTTCCAGCGATTGGTGTATAAAAGCGCTTGGAAGCCGCCAAAGAATCACATCTGACAACAATGCGCTTCTTCTTCGTGCTCTATGCTCTCTTCCTCATTGCTTCGGTAATTAATTAGTTAATTATATAATTAGTCTCGAATTGAAATGTTTAGGCGACGTCTCTGGTCTATTAGAAACCACCCCTACTTTTTAACCCCCACCCCTGCTATTCCACCCCGACTTTTTAACCCCGACTTTTATTTATGATACCACCCCCACTTTTTCACCCCCAATTTTTAGATTTCACCCCTACTTTTTCATTTCACCCCTACTTTTTCACACTCAAAATTTGAAGTTTCTAACAGTAATGTTTAACAGTAAAATTTTACTGTTTTTAATATTTTCAATAATTCAAGTTATCAAGAGGAGATTCGCAGGACTGATGTCTAAATTAGATTTTTCAGAAACTATGTAGCGTTCTTATGAAAGGTTGACGTTTTGACAAAAGACGAAATTTTTCTGAACAGGGTTTTCCGAGAATAGTTAATTTCTTGTTAAAATTGTCAACCTTTCATAAGAACACTACATGTTGTCGGCGTCAAACGACTGAAGGGAGGCGGAGCCTTTAAATTCGCGAAATTAATGTAGATTTAAATTAATCGTTGACTGAATATTCAATGCGCGTACGCTATAATGCAATGGACGCAATTTCGCTGCCTCGAGACGCATTGGCACATAGCCAATTATTTTTTAAATTTCGTCAAGTCGTTTGACTTCGACAATAGTTTCTGAAAAATCTAATTTAGACATCAGTCCTGCGAATCTCCTATTGATAACTTGAATTATTAAAAATATTAAAAAATTTTACTGTTAAACATTACTGTTAGAAACTTCAAATTTTGAAGTGCAGTGAAAAAGTAGGGGTGAAATCTAAAAATTGGGGGTGAAAAAGTGGGGGTGGTATCATAAATAAAAGTCGGGGTTAAAAAGTCGGGGTGGAATAGCAGGGGTGGGGGTTAAAAAGTAGGGGTGGTTTCTAATAGACCACGTCTCTTCGCGAAAAGAGGCAGTGCGGTTGCTCAGCGCAGCCGACGTGCTCCTGCCAGCAATTCGCGCCCCAGAAGTACACCTGCGACTGCCAGCAGCAGGCTCCGACGTCTTCCTGCTCATGCTCCCAGCGTATTGTGCAAGTTCAAACTACCCAATGTCTTCCAGTTTGCCAGCAGAGCTGCGCTCAGCAATGCTCCACTCCGCAATGCAGCCAACAGTGTGTCCAGCAGTGCCAGACAACATGTGCTGCTGCCCCGGTTATCCAGGCTGAGACTTGCGCTCCAGCTTGCCAGCCAGCTTGTCAGTCAACCTGCGTCGCCCAACTTCCAGCTGTTCAACAATGCCAGCAACAGTACTGCCAGCCAATCTGCCAACAGGCTCCAGCAACCACTCAATGCCAGCAATGCCAAACCGGCTGCCAGTCTTATCCAACGGTCGCTCCACAGCCACAGGTGGTCAGCATCGTGCTCCAGCCAACCATCACACAATCCGCTCAATGCATGCCACAATGCCAGTCGTCCTGCCAACAGCAATGCGTCGCCCAGCAACAGCCAGTCCAACAATGCGCTTCATCCTGCCAGACCACTTGCCAACGATCCTGCCAGCCAGTCCAGGTGCCGTGCCAGGAGCCAGTGAGCACTACCACCTGCACCTGCCAGACCAACTACTCCCCATGCGGAAACGGTCAATGCTGCAGAATATAGATTGATACACTTAATTTTCTCTGTAAATAATTGAATAAATATTAATTAATTAATTAATTAATTGATGAGATGAAGTTGCGAATCATTTGATCTAATGTCGTCCCCTTCCACACCAACACATTGAGACGACTCTAATTTCCAATTTTTGTCGCCGACCGCAATCAACAATAGGCATCGCGTTTCATTCATGTTTGATTTCCTTTCTAGAGATCATTGGTCTGGCCGAGAATTAAGCAGGAGGTCTTACAAATGCAAAAACTCTTTTTAAAAAAAACTTGCGTACGTAACGCAAATATTGTCGAAAAATTCGACGCCGCAAAACAATGTCGGTATCGAAAAATCAAAAGTTCTCCAACAGAAATTTGCATGTCTCATTGAATGGGTCCTACCACGCTTTTGGGCTCTGGACTTTAAAAGACATCAAGATGAAGCCCAAGACGGTATCATGTGGAATTGTAAAATCGCTTCAAGACCCAGGAAGTGAATTGTTTCATGGAAATGCGTGGCATTGTACATGATCATATTAAAGGCGCATATTAAATGCAAATAATTTCAGAAAATGGAAAACAAACTGAATCGTCCAATAAAACGAGGTCTACTTTTAAAACCCTCCCTTGTATGGTTTGCAAGTTTCAGCAGCGCGATAGACCATCGGAATCGGCGAGACGTCTGTCGAAAATTACAAATTCAAATTTCGATCGGAACACACACACACACACGCGCAAAACCTATAGGAATTTGAATGGATGCGATTTCCGCGTCAACCAACCAAAAAAAAAAAACAAAAAGCCGCAATTTTTCGCACGGTGCAATGTAAGAAAAAAAAACTGTTGTCCCCCCCCACGACATTCCAAAGTGCAGAATTCTGTGAACAGCGGCTCGGCAAACACGAGGCGAGCCGTGCGAGAATGTATTGATGATCGACCGGTTCCATAATGGCAATTTGATAACCTGCTCGCGGTATAAAAGTGCGTTTCGCCGGCCGACATGGCTACTAGAATGCGCTTCCTCGTTTTCGCCACCTTCTGCCTTCTCGCTTCGGTAACTGCTTAATGTCAATCATAGGAATGTTAATAGCATATAGGGAACTGCGATTCGCGAAAAGAGAAACTGCGGATGCAGCACGACGCCGTCATGCTCCTGCCAACAAGATACCAATGCTCAGTACCACTGCTCTTGCGAGACGAAGCCGCAGCAGCAATGCTGCGTTTGCGTACCCAAATGCCAAGAGCAATGCCAGCAGCAGTGTCTGGCGCAGAAGCAGCCAAAGAGCCAGTGCATTTTGCTCTGCTTTGAGCAGTGCTCCCAGCAATGTCAAACAGCAGTCACCACCACCACCACCACCACCACCACACCGGCTCCAAAATTGATTCGACTTCAGGTTCAGGTGTCGGCGCAATGCGTTCCACAATGCCAGCAGCAGTGCCAGCAACAATGCGCTTCGCCTCAATGCAGTCAGCAGTGTAGTGTGAAATGCGTTCAGGCTTGCCAGCCCGCCATCACAACCACCAGCACTACGCCAGCGCCAACTTGCGCGCCAGCTTGCCAGCCAGCATGCTCGACTTCGTGTCAGCTTCAACTCACCGCCGTTCAGCTTTGTCAAATCCAGCAATGCATGCATATCTGCCTTACAGCGAGCATTCAGTGCCAGCAGTGCAAGATCGCGTGTCAGGAGACGCCGCTGACCACCACCACCACCACCACCATCAAACCTCCCACTGTTGTTAGCTTCGTGCTGAAGCCAGTAATCACGCAATCGGAGCAATGCGTTCCTCAATGCCAATCCGCCTGCCAGCAGCAATGCGTCGCCCAGCATCAATCACCGCAGCAATGCGCCCCCGCATGCCAGACCACTTGCCTGCAAACCTGCCAGCCCGTGCAGGTGCCGTGCCAGGAGCCGGCGAGTTCGAGCACCTGCACATGTCAGTTCAACTACATCCCGTGCGGAAACGGCCAGTGCTGCAAAAAGTGAACAAAGCCACAACATGTAATTTTTTATTTTATTCCTTATTTAAATAAATGTTATCAAACAATTTTCGCTGTACAACATGTTTATTCACATGAACAAACATCATAGGGCTGTAAACGACTTTTCGGAATCAATTCTCGCCTCGTCCATTCATCGATTCTCCCATATTTGGCGATATTCGAATGACGAATGCTGAAAAACTGGCGAACTCGTGCTTCAATTCCTACTCGTTTTTTGTCATTAATTACGCGCTATGGATTATTGTTACGACTTTGAGCTTCTCGGTGATTTTAACTACTTATGCGATATATTTCCATCGAGGCGTTATTGATTTTGATCCTACCAAAGTAAGCAGAAAATCCGAAAAAAATTCAGTATTATTTGTGGTCAATATTGATAATGAAATATAGACAATTCTGTAAAAGTGCGTCATTTCCAGTGCAAGTCCGTAATTTGCAACACCACCGGAATTTGCTGAAAAAAATAGTTATTTCTCTCCATTTTGTCCATTTTTCCTTAAGGTTGCAAATATGCAAAGTGACCGGACGAGAATGTCAAATAAAAAAATAGAACATCTATTTTCCTTATTTGTTAAACGCGATAAGTCATCTAAATAATGTATTATAGGGTTTCGAAACCCGTGGGACCCCGTTGTCATCGGCTAGACTCACTTTAGAAGCGTTGAAATCGAAACAAATAAAAAATGAAAAAGTTCTTCGTTGGTATTATCAGTAAGTTACTAATTACTTTGAAAAAACTTATTTTGATTCAAAATTTTTAGAGAGAAACGGACCAAGCGAGAAGTGAGCCCAAGTACAACCACTCTAGAGCCGATTACCGTGGATTACGATGATTATGGAGTTAATCCTGAGCCAAATTCTTCCGATCTTAAGGATCACTGTGAAATGTTCGGATCGCTAGGTCAATCGATACCTTACGACGCCTTGGAATACCTATCGAAGGTCATGATCAAAGTGGAAAGTTGGGAAAAGGTTGAAAAAAATCAATAATAATATTTGAATAATTATTCTGCAGCTTTTCACGGTGCCAGTTCTAAAGCATCTATGCAATATTGATGATATTCTGGATTCGACGATGAACGAGACCAAATTCAAAAATGCTGCCTCCACTCTTCAACACTCCTTCAATATTCCTCGATATACAACTTGTGTGAATATGAGCACTCCAAATAGGTGCGATTCAATCAATCAAAACGAGTATGGCATGGATTTTCAAAGAAAGAATATTCAATTTCGCTATTTTCAGCGTTTCCTACTTTCGAAGCCTTCTTGACAGTTGCCGGCGGAACAGCCTCGATCCGAGATGCCAAGCATTTTCTATTGATCAAGCGATTAATCTACTATTCCAAAGATCAAATGATACAGAGGATACTGTAATTACAGTAATATTTAAGGTTGAAATTAATGCATGCGTTTTTTTTTTCTAGAAAATTTTTATTTTTCAAATTAAAGGTGCAAGTGTGGACTGGCGAACAACGAGATTTCTATGACAAGCTTCTAGTTAATCTCGGCAATTACATAGAGGAAAATGAGAATCTTCAATTGGTTGGAGTCAATTTTAATCTAAAGGAGCAGATATTTGTGGAGCAAATCAATAAAGAAGCTCTAATTGCGGGAATATCAGGTTGGGCAGGAAAAAAAAACTCGTTGAAATTTCTCATTTTTCAGCGTTTTTTGTATTCCTTTGGTTTTTCGCCTATTCGAAATCCATCGTGTTCACATTGCTGATTTTCCTCGTCGTTGCGCTTTCCGCAGGCGTCGCATTTTTCATATACACGGTTTGCCGATGACGCATTTGATTTTGACAAAACTCTGGTTTCAGTGTATTCTCGGCGTCGACTTCTTTCCGTTCATCAATTTGCTGGTGATGGTCCTTCTCATCGCCATCGGCGCCGACGACGCCTTCCTTCTGCTCGTCTACTTCAGAAGAGAAGTTAAGGTAGTCAGAAAGCTGCCGACATTTTCCGTCAAACACTTTTTTCCTTGCAGAAAATGTCGAATTTGGAGTACAAAATCGGCGCCGCCTATGTGCCTTTATATCGCGAGCAGGATCTTCTGGCTCGGAGCCTGAGGATCTCGCTTCATCACTCATTGTCGTCGATGTTCGTCACCTCGCTGACAACAGCTGCCACGTTTCTCACCAATCTCACGAGTCCGGTGATCGTTCTAAGGCATTTCTCCGGCATTTTCCGATTTCTGACTGAACGTTGTCTCAATTTTCAGATGCTTCGGAATCTACGCATGTACAACCATCATAGTTAATTATGTTCTAGTGGTGTTGGTCCTTCCCGGTGCCATAATTCTCACTAAGCCGGTCTCCACAAAATCGCGCAAAATTTGCACCGACGAGCCGGACGCCAAAGACGAGAAGAGGGCCACAGAATGTGGAATCGCGGCGAGAATTGCGCACGCCACCAAAACTGCCCGATTTGGTATCATTGCGCTGACAATTCTCCTCACGTCGGTGTCGGTGTTTTTGATATTTGAGACACCCGGCATGCGGGTTCCCGAGACGAATCCCACCAAGGTGTTTCTGCGCACATCGACAATTTCGGAAATTTTGAATTCAGCTTCTCGTCGATAGCAATTATCACGAATTCTTTGATAATCATGTGCATCGATTCAATTTTGAATGGAAACGATCGGCAAGAATCATCAAATACTTCATTTTCGGCATTAATCCTGTAAAGTGAGCGAGAGGAATTCATCGAAAACATGTTTTACTACGAAAATATTCAGAGATAACTCGTCTTTAAGCCCTTATCATAAGCCATTGCTCCATAAACCACCAGCATTTGGAATAAACGAGAAAAAGTTGGAGTTTTATCAGGTATTTCAACGATTATTTTCGAAATTTGTCATCTCGAAATTAAAGGAGCTCATTCGTTCGGAAACCAGTCGCTACTTTTATGGGAATATCAGTTTTCCGTCATGGGCGGAGCTTACCAGAAAGCTGAATGAGAGTTGCATTGGGAAAAATGTTGGGAATGTCGAGAACGCCCAAAATGTGAACGTGTAACATTTCAGGTGATTTCCAGCGAGTGTTCGATGAGAATATCCGTAAAGTATAATCAACTGATACACGAATTTCCAGAGGATTTCAGTGTGATTCCTGGCGACGGACCATTTATCAATGAGGATCTCGAAACGATTGGGTTGGTTTCTATAGTAAGAAATCCCACTAGAGGAAAATTTTAAAAAAAATTGGAAATTTTTTATTTTGATGAGACGATTGAAATTTGAACGCGGTCTCGCACAGATTGCCTGAGAATCAGACGTGTAGAAAGTGTCCATTAAAGGCGCGCGTGCCAAAACTCGTTCATTTCGCTCCAAGAATTGCATGTGCCTTTAAATTAGTTGCTTCTCTCTGCGACATACCAGCAATTTTCTAGATACTTTATTTCGATACCAACCGATGAGAAGCTGCGAATCGATGCGAAAGCCAACGCCAAAATATTCAATGAGCTCGACGAATCTTGCTCGAGAATCCGAAAATCCATACATGATCCTGTGATTTGTTTGTCGTCGACGGAAATCACGCGATTCCATGATATCATTCAGCAATTGAGGTCGCAATTCGTTTTTCAATGTTTGAAAAATTCTAGAAGTTTCAGAAGCTCCAGCTTAATGTCGGTTATCATCTCAATGACCGTCTGTTTGGTTGTGATTGTCGCGTGCACGCGGGTTGTGAAGCTCTCGATCTTCTCAAGCTTCATCATTTTGTCGATTATTGGATGGACGACGTCCATATTGATATTGCTTGGTAAATATTCGTAACAATGAAGGTGTTCATTGAACCTATTCAGCGATATGCAAAAAAAATGGATTTTGGTTTTTACATGTGAATTCATCTGACAAAAATGGTCATAATATTTACTAAAATTATCAAAAATGGCCAGCATTCGCTGAAAAATTGATATTTTCAAACTACCATTATAAATATGAATAACAAGAAGTTAGGAAACATCGCACACGAAATTAATTTCAATCATCAATTTGTCAAATTTCGAATTTTGCAGGCTGAAAATATTTAGAATTCGTTAAGAAATTGTTCCTTTCGCAGTATGATGGTTAAATTTAACACAACTCGCTCCTAAGACTTTCCATACGAGACCCAATTCGGTCATTCGGTAATAAATCAATAGCATCCAAAATTCTGCCCTACTTGCTTATGTATATATTGTCGGCGTCAAACGACTGATGGGAGGCGGGGCTTTCAAATTTGCGAAATCAGTGTAGATTTAAATTTTTCGTTGGCTGAATATTAAACACTATAATGCATTGTACGCTTGCGTACTTCTCGCGGCCAACTTTTTTTTCCAATTAGCAAAAGTGCACATCAGTGACATTTTTTGTAAAAATTTACATTTCATGAATAGGTCCAAAAATAAGCGAACTCATAACAATAGAATCCAATAAATTTTTTTAAATAAATGTTTTGCTGCCGACATTCATCCGGGTTGCAGGCTGGCAGTTGTCTGTGGTCGAATCGACAATTCTCGTCATCACAATTGGGCTCAGTTTTGATTATACTCTTCATTATGCGGTTGCGATAAGGGATGTTAAACGAGTTCCGACGGTGGAGAAGATCAGGTAAAGTTAATGGCAAAATTGAAAAAAAGAACGGCTAATCTTCTTAATAAAATTGAATTTGGCATGAGATTTTTTCTGCTCCCGACCGAATAACTGAGATTTTTCAAACATTTCAGTATTGCTCATTCAACAGCTGGTGTTGCGTGCGCTTTTGGAGCAGCTACGTTGATTTCAGCAGGAATTCCGCTGCTGTTCTGCCAAACTGCCTCATTTTTTCAGGTATTTTTCGCGCGAGTTTTCCCCTCCAAAATTTTGCCAACATTTTTTCTTAGATTGGCTCGATGCTCATTGTGCTCGGTGTGACGTCGTTCATCGGTGCAGCCTTCGTGTTTCCAGCGTACATTCTCGCGTTCTCTTTTAGCTTCAGAGAACGAACGAAACTTTGAAAAAAAAAGTTGTTCTTATTTATTAATGAATGTATGACGCAAGTGGAAAATGTACAATTGATTGATTTGGAATCGGGTTTGGTCATTCATTGGACGAGGAATGGGTAGACGGCGCTGGAAAATAAATGGAGATTTGAGGAATTATTCGATATTCCCTAAAAAGATGGGATATTGCGGTTTCAATTGATTTTATTTGCGCCAAAAAAGTGATGGTAGCTTTCCCGCGCAATTCAAAAAATTTAAAGAGTCGGCCAAAAAAAATGCTTTTCTTGGTATAAAATTTTCCAGTCTGGTGTAGATTTACGAGCTTTGCGCCTTTAAAATTGTCTCAGAACGGATTTTCTTAGTAGACAATATTCTTTCCCCATAATAAACTGCTTTAAAATATACGATTAAAGGCGCAAAGCATTATTACAACGAAATTTTGCTTAGAGAATGTGTTTTTTTTTAATGTGTTTTTTTCTTGTTTTTTGCGACACTGAGAATTTGAAGTGATTGGGTTTTTTGGCGAAAAGCTTCAAAAGCAAACTTACGCGAACGCGACAATCGCGAACGAGGCGATGGAGATGATGGTCGGAACGTATTTGTACTTTTTGATAAGCTTCTCGGCACTTTGACTCACCGCTTCTGCCGTCCAAATTGGTTTCATTTGTTTTCCTTCAAAACGAAACGATTTGTTGGCAAAAATGAATGAAATGGACGCGGCTGGGCGTTGCCACAGACATCATCCCAAAAAAGGAAGACGGACAACAAAGGAAAATCAAGGGCAGAGAATTACTAATGATAAGGCTAGACTAGAAACAGAAAAGCAGACATTCTCGGTTGGAATTTTCAACAACGACTGGAAATTTTTGTCTTTTTTTTTTAATTTCGATTTTCGAATTTAAATGACAGTGCAGATTTTGAAGAAATTTGAGAACATTCAAAAATACTCAAATAAATTTCTAATAATTTTAATTGAAATTATTATCTCTGCAAAAACTGACCATTGCTGGAAGCTTACGGACCATCATAATTTGATTCAAGACGAAAAAATTGAGGGGGATAAATCGAGGGCAGTGTGCGAATGGAGTGTCGTACTAATGGGATTAACAAGTTTTTGAGAACTTCCGTGGAACACCAATGTTTAGATCGAAACCAACCGAGGTTCTTCCTATTCGAATAAAAAGTACGTTCCTGCAACAAAGAGTAGTGTGATTTAAAGGCGCACACGACTGCGCCTGAACAATATCCCGTGGCGAAACAAATCGCTGACCAGTTTCACTGTAATTTGGTGTGAAAAAAGAACGAGCGATGATTTGCCGAATTACGATATCCGATCTCCTAATAAGGGAAAATTAAAATTTGAATTGCCGCCCGAAAAATTGTTCAAAGATCTCGTTTTTTGGTAATAAATTCTACTTATAAACATTGGCATTTTGCCACTTTTTTTATGAAGAGAAAAGTTTGCCTTCAAAAAAAAATGTTGATGATTTTCGGCGACAAAAAGCGGCGCATAAAAAATGAATGCGGCATCTCTATGGGACACACGTGTAAATCAATAAAAAAAAATGACGGCGAGAGTTTACATCGAAAAAAGCATGGTGCTTTCGATTATTTAAAAGAAAACGAAAAAAAAATTGCGAATTTTCGGGTTTTTTAAGAAGAAAATAAAAGTATAAATTTGCGGAAAAAAAAAGAAAAAATACAGAATTTCGATTCAGAAAATCGAAAAAGAAAAATATTTTCGAATGTTCTATTGGAAATTTATCGCGCAAAAATTGCTATTTTAAATTTTGCAGGAAGTAATTTTCATTTTTCTTTGATTTTTTGGTGAAGTTTTGCCGATGAAAAATCGTTAAAATTTATTGAAAAATAAAGGAAGCGACTTTTGACGAAAATGTTCAAATTTGACAAAAAAAAACGTCCTGCAATCAATTTTTTTGCAAAATTCTCATTTTTTCCCAAGTTCTTTTATTACGATTTAACAAGCAAAAGTGAAACGAGAATTAAGCAAATTCGCAATTTTCAGCTGCCGACAATGTTCGGGGTTTCGCGCATAGCCTTCATAAGTCGATGTAATAGTAAAAATCGATGGGGGGGGGGGTGGCAAATGAGCAAGAATGAGGAAAAATGGCCGACTCGGACAGTATTTACCGACAACGACGAAATAGTGTGGAAAACGAGGAGACGATTAATTGTTCGGTCGGGGGGCCACTTTCTGGCCACCCAACAATTCATCTCATAATTAAGGTCGGATGAATCAACCGATTACTGTAATTGGCGTGGCGAGAAACGCAAGTTCAATGCAATATGTGTGCCTTTAAAGGCGCATCAGAGAATTAAATAATTTATGGCTGGATTTGAAGCCATAAAATCGATCGGATTATTCTAGAAAAAAAAGGAGAGCGACGGAAATTGGAGAATATTGATGTATAGATTCTCGTGATGTATTGATTACTACTGTAAATTTTTCAAAGGTCTCAACACGACGAAATAATTTTTTGAAATGTGTAAGAAAAAAGAAACAAGAAGCAAATCTCACCTACTTTTACGGAAATAGATTATTCGAGAATCTCGAGGAGAGAATTTCGAGGATTGGCCATTCAAACAAAACCAAATTGTTTCCATGGAAACCCGAAAAAAATGAGCGCAATTTGAAAAAGAAATCGAATTCTAGAATGTTCCGAAGCCATTTTGTCGATGAGGTCCGATGAAAATCAGAATGATGTAGAATCTAGGCTTAAACACATCAATGAGATTAAAGGTCCCAATCTTGGTCGTTCATTTTATAGTTGAGTTCAGCTAATTTTTTGCTTTAAAACTAAAACACGATTTGCAAAAAAAAATCATTGAACGCTTTTGAATAGTCTGGATTGAATAGGGCATAATGCCAAAATTTGTCAAGCTTTGAACACCTCTTTTTTATGGACCATTATTTGATCATTTAGCCTCAACATTTTTTTTTCGAAGAATTTCAAGTGACCAAAGTGATTTATCACTTTGGATATGCCGAATGCGCCTTTGGATTAAAACAAAAACATGTTCAACGTTAAAAAGTCTCTCTGCGCCTTTAAACATGGTCTTGCCACGCCACTCATTTTCCTATCGGCGACTCGTTTTTATTGGGGCCATAAATTTATTAAAACTAAAAAATTTGATTCTTTGATTTTGCTTTGAGTGAGACCTATTTTAATGGAGCATGCCTGCTAGTATCGATTCGCGCATACTATTTAATATCCCATAATTTTGCGTCTATGCGCCTTTAAAAATATCAATCGTTCGACTTTCAAAAGGGACCACAATTAAAGGCATACAGAGAGGGGGGGTCGATTTCTTGAAACCTGAAGAAAATTCGGTTTCTCTTCAATTTAAAGGCGCATTCGTTTACCGTATCTTTAAAAGTGTCATTTTTCAGACAAAAAAAGAAACGAAAAATTTATTATGTCGCGAAATAAGTATAAAATAAAATGAGAAAACAAATATTTACAAAATAAATTGGCAATGTGTGGATTTGGAAAGAATTGCGGAACAAATCCAATAAAGTACCCACATCAAGCGGAAAAATTCAAAAAATTATCAATTTATTCTCAAAGTCCGATTAGAAGATATTCAACGGACCAATTTTTGCTTTATGACGGGACCATTGGATTTTACCGGAATTTCACATCAGAACCGTTTCGATTTGTCAGCAAAATAAAATAATGAACAGAGAAGAATGTGAGAATCGTACCCGTAATTCTAATGGATTTGCAAGGCTGGTGGGGGAGGAAAAAAATTTAAAAAAAAGAGAACAATTCGCAAAATCGAATTTCGACACAAAACAATAATTATCACAACAACAAGAATAATGGCCGAAAATGAATGGAAGACAATCGAATCGTTGGGTTACCGGTAGAGGCAGATAAACAGTATTAATTATTAATCAATTATTACATATGCACCTTTAACATCGCGTTTCAAGGCGCAACCCCACCCCCTTCTATTCATTGATGACTTTCGCGGTTTCATCGTATTTCGTGCGATCGATGAGCTCCTCGCGGGCAATCTCAGCCGGCAGTCTCGATTCGTCGAAATCCCATGATTGAATATCGGCTGCAATGCGTTCATTTTTTTGACAACCAAAAAAATGCCATGAAATCGTCAAAATCAAAATTTTCTTCGGATTTTTTTGTTTTAAAAAAGCGACTCGGAATCATAGAATACTGTGAATTGTTCGACTTTCTTCGCTGTTAAATATTTCTACTTTGAAACAAAAAATTTTTTTCCAAAATCTATTAAAAAAGACTAAAAAAAACATCGGAGTATGCCCAAAATAGATCAAAAATCTTCCACATTAAATTTTATTGTCTATTTCTTTCAGAAATTCGCCTCAAACATAGATTTCGTCAAAAAAAAGCCAAACTATCAAAATTTTGCGATAAATATATCAAAGTTCGGGATTTTCCCATAAATTGTAATCAAAACAAATTTTCGGTGGCAAAAAATGTCATATCACAAAAATTGACTTTAAATTCTTGAAATCAAATGAAAAATTTATTTTTAAAGAACGCCAAGTTTCCATTAAAATGTGGCAAAATTTTGGATTTCCCACAAAAAACCAAAATAAAATTTCCCAATTTTCCGCTATTTTTTTCAAAATTAAAAGAAGAAGCGATTTTTTTTCTGTTACCTGATCCGAAACACTGGAAGAACGCTCCGGTGACAACACAAATTAGCACAATGACGAGAAAAACGATTCGCCATTCTTCGGCGCTTCCCTGCTTGGTGGTTGCACCAATCAAGTATGGCGCCAGTGAAGAGGCGATTTGAGCCCAAAGTCTCGTGTAGGAGGCGATGGCGGCGGTTTGTGATGGTGCAATCGTAACGACACTGAAAGGGACCATTGCTTAAAAACATTTAAAAAAAAAGAGGCGGTGTGCATCAGGGCTGTGCGGCAATCGGAAATTTCGGCAATTCGGCAATTCGGCAAATTGCCGAAAATCAAAATTTCGGCAATCCGGCAATTCGGCAATTTGCCGAAAATCAAAATTTCGGCAATCCGGCAATTCGGCAATTTGCCGAAAATCAAAATTTCGGCTATTAAATGTTTTCAACGATAATTCGAAATATAAATACCGAATTTTCACGGTATCCCAAATTATTCAATGGACATTCCTTTTTGTTTCGCCGATTTTTTTTTGATATCAAATTGCCGAAAATCAAAATTTCGGCAATTCGGCAATTCGGCAATTTGCCGATCGAACGTTCTCTTCGGCAATTCGGCAATTCGGCAATTTGAAAAATCGGCAATTTCGGCAATTTCGGCAATCGGCAATTCCATTGCCGCACAGCCCTGGTGTGCATACACACGCACGCAAAATTGCACACATTTGAATAATTCAATGAATCCGCTTTGAAAAATGCATTTCTTCCAAAACAATTGAATTTAGTCTCTTCTCTCATGTATGATTTTTTTTGACATCAGAAAAAAAATTTCAAGTTTGTACGCCAACATTTTTCTGCGTTTTTTAAAAACATGAAGCATCATACCTAGTATTATAGCCGGGAATGTAGCCAGAAACAAATGCCATCGCCATGAATATCAAAAAGATCGCAAAAACGCGATTCGAGCAATCGCAAAAGCACAGAATTCCGAAGCATATCGCGATTCCAAACGATGCTGAAATTTTTGGAAAAAAATTATTGCGGTTTTTTTTTTCAAAAATCAAACCATTCTTTGGAATTTTCAATCATTTCCAACCAAAATTTTAGAAAATTTAAAAAAAAAACTCAAATTAGCAAAAAGAAAAAAATGCGTAAAACTGGTTCATTTCTTTTTAAATATTCAGACATTGATTTTTTCCCATCAAAAATTCATAATAGATATATTTTTTAAAAGTTACCACTCGAATTTGATATTTTGGTGACCGCGTCAACACTCATCCATTTCCTCGCCTTCGCCTGATCGGCAATCGAAGCATACGCGACTTTCGAGACAAATTGTCCAACAAATGGGATCGCAGAAAGGACGCCATTCTAAAAAAAAAAACCACTACGGGTCTCGAAGCGCCGTCTCTCGCCCCCCCTACCGATGTCAAGCTCATATTGAGGACGGTCTTATAATAAAGCGGCAAATAGGTGATAATGCCGACGGTGATGTAATTGTGGGCGAACGACGAAGCGGCGACGGCCCAGACGACCGGCGAGGTGAGAAGCGCCTTCCAGTTGGCTTTGACGGGCCGATGCTTTTTGCCGAGCTTCGATATATGCTCCAGCTCGTCGCTGGATATCACGCCGGCGGCGTCGGCCGGCGTGTCGTAGACGAACAGCCACCAGATGATGCACAACGCGATGCCGAGCACACCGTACACGTGGAACGCCATCGGCCAACCGAGTGGCAGCTGGCAGAGCTCGGCTGTGGCGAACATTGCGATCACCACGGAGAGCTGAAGGAGGAATTCTTTGGATTCGAGCAAAAATAATTTTTCATTTCAAAATTTTCAAGATATTGGATAATTACAGTATATGACAATTTAAGAAAAGAAATTTTTCAAAACCCTACTGCGAATTTTTTTGAAACGAACAAAATTGTCTTATATTTCACCGAAAATAATTTTTTTAATGGCATTCGCCTTTTGATTCCGATCGCTCTTTCATACCTGATTGCCTGTCGTCGCAATAGCCAACGCCGTCGATTTCTCCTCAACCGGAAACCAGTGGGCGATGAGCACACTCATGCACGGCCATAGAACACCTTGTCCGAATCCCATGATGAACCGCACCATGATCAGCGGACTCGTGCCCAACTCGCTGTGTGAGGCGACGAATGGTGTGACGAATGTGCCGAGAACGTTGGCGATGGCACCATAGAGCACGGTTTTCGTCGAGCCGACGCATCGAATCAATTTCTGCAATTGAGCGCGTTTGCTTGAACGATTTTGATGGAAAAGAAAATGTTTTGAATTTTGCGGAATTGCTTTACATATTTATTTTTTGAAAATGATCATAGAGGAATAGTTTTTATGGAAATTCGTTTAGAAGTCAAAAAGCTAATTATTCATATAATCCTATTCGAGCCCACAAGATTATTAGTACAGAAGAACGCGATTGCTTAACATATCTCTTCGTACAAGTTCTCTTTTAGTGGTTTTTTTAACATCAGACTACATATATTAGCGTATAAAGATGATCAGTGAGATTTGAACTCGAGTCCAATGTTCAATGATCATACCTCGGAGAAGAGTGTCGCCGCGAGACCGCCGACGTAGAACGATGCGAAGATCACCGCTCGTTCCTGTGAGCTCCAGAAGATCGTGCCGTGCTGAAAAACGCGAAAAAATAAGCCAATCGGATTTGTTTCGTCGGATTCTTACATAATCCACGTGCTCTTTGCTTCCCATCACCAGCATCGGACATTCGGCTCGATGCGGCGTCGTCGTCTCATTCGCATTGTGCAGAGACGATCGGCCGTCGGAAAGCGCCGTACTATTGAGCATGCACACTATCGCCTGCAAACATTGTAGAAGTTATCATGAGAAACGGGAAAAAAATTATTGGATTTTTTAGTGAAACTGGAAAAAATGTAGTTTAGAGCCGGATTATAGCAAAGAAAAAGCGGATTATGTGAATCAAAAATCGCGTTATTCTTAGCGTTAAATAATCGGACAAAAATCGAATGAAATTCAATAAAAAAAAACTCCAAAAAGGTAATTTTTGATATTTCGACCAATTTTGGGCAATTATCGAGAATGAATTCATGCTTGAAAAGCTATTTTGGGCCTCAAAATTGACATCTTTGTTGCTCTAAATCGAGACATAATTGATTTTTAATGCAAAATATCAATACTCGGTGGTTTGAATCCCTGATTCAAAGACAAAAAAATTAAATTCAATGTTTTCTGTTAAAAAAATCTCGTTTTAAAGCGATTTTCAACACATTTTGGCTCGAAATTCACGTTTATTGAAAATTGTACCATATTGAGATTCGATCGCATCAATCCTTCGATGGTCAATGCGAGCGCGATGGCGCACACGACGCGCAAACGCAAACTGCCGATCGACCATAATTTACAATTGGACATTCAATTGTTCGGAAACAAATCGAGCAAAATTTCCGCGCCTTCTTTCTTTTCACAACGTGTTCCGCCACGTGAAATTCGTTCGAGTGGCCAAACACCTCGAGTGAATTCTCGTCGGAATGTCTGCAATAAAAAAAGAGCATTTCCATATTTGGAGACGAAAAAAATATGACAAATAGACGAGTGAGGGGACCACACCGATTTTCGGTGTTTTTTCCCCACGATGAAAGAACGCATTATGCCCTTTGATTTACCATATTAGGGGCGTTGGAAATAAAAAAAACAATCGCAAAAATGTTGATTTTCACACTTATAATCTATTATTACAAAAAGAGCATAACAAAAAACACCAATTACTGCGTTTTGCGGGAAAAATAAAAATAAAAATGAAAATAGAATGCCTCGGTGATTGCACGGAATGCGCTTGAGCCGACGACATTCTGCAGACATAACCATGGTTAAATTTACAATTGGCAAGGTTATCGAATGTTGAGTTTTCACGCCGAAAAAGAAACGTTCTTTTTAAGTAATGGATTACCAACAAAACATTAATATATTGGACAGCGAGAAGGCAACAGAGGACAAAATTGTCAAAAATAAATTGTTGACATATTTTTTGTGGGGCGGAACAGCTCGCCAAAGATTAAATGAAATACGACACTGCGTGGGACGTCGGCAATCTTCTAATTTTTCATCTACGGACATTAAAGGATCGAAATGATTTTAGATATTAGCAAAAAATTTAGAAATTTGTATGATATTATGCAAATAGTTGGCATCTGCGGACAATTGAGCGGCGAAAATTATGCGCCAAATTTCGGGAGTATCGAGTAATTTCGGCGATTGAGGCCAAAAACCATTGAATATTGAACGGTTGTCACTCGGGTGTGACCCATAAATCGAAAGAACAACCAAATAGAATCTAGTTCATTTCTAATTTAGGTCAATGAAGTACCCACGCCCGCGAGATGTCCGCAGATGAATAAAAAAATGCCATGTCTATCTCGATTCATATAATCGCTTTGTGTCTGCAAATGGGCGTGGCTTCATTATTAAAGCCTATTGAATAAGTGGGCGGAGTCATTGGAAATGGCTTTTTGATCCACCTCGAGTAGTTCTGTCGATCCTTTTTCGTCACGAGACCCTACAGTAGCCAAGATTAAAATACTACCCAACACCCCTTTAAACAATAGGGTTTCAATGTGCGCCAAAAATTTGTCGGAAGCCCGCTCTCATACAATTCATATACGCAACACGGGTAGAAAGACGGGCGGTCATCATTAGCATTGCGTTCCGCTGGGATGGAAGCCCTAAAACGCACGCATACACATGGCGAAGCTCCGCCTCTAACTATGCTATTTATATGCTAATTATGTTGAGGCGATTAATGCACCAACCATAAATGGTCAAAAATCTGTTATTTTCATTTTTCGTTCATCAATAGATTCGAAATTCATGTTAAGGCATTAGAAATTAGAGATGAATGGTGTTTAGGTGATCACAATAGAGAGAGAGATAGAGAGGCAGAGAAAAAGATTAGGATGATCGTTGAACGTTTAAAGGCGCATCGAGTTAGTTTGGGAACGAAAGCATCATTGAAGGAATTTGAAATTCGCGGTGGCGCGGATTCAAATGTATGCGATTTGTTCGATATAATATCGTGGCAAGACCAAAAATTGAAATTCGAAAAAACTGTCAAGAGAGGCGCGAATTCAAATCGGCAATTAGCGGCGAGACCCAAAAGCGAACCAAAAATGACAGCGGACGATTCAAATTTCGAAAATTCGCTTCGTTTCGGAACCCACAAGCGAAAACGAAGAAGCTCGAATTTCGCGATGTCTCGCACAAACTGAAATTCGTGTTTGAAGCTCGAGCACGAAGAAAACAAATAAACAAACAAGTAAACAATGAACAGCAACAAGCTGAAGGCGAAATTCGGCATCAGGAGAAGCGACAACAGGGTCCTAAGTGAAAAGGGGTAGAAGCTGAGAGGTGGTTGGGAGGCAAGTAAAGGGGGTGGGGGGGGGACCTCAGAGATCAGTGACCAAAACAAAAACAGCGGACCAGAGCTCTTTTCAGCGCGCTTCTGATTCTCTGAGTCTCTCGGCCCCAAAAATGGGCAAATCGTTCAATTTATTTGGGAACAATTAAACAAAGCACACAATTTTTTTTCATCATTTTTTTTTTCATATCGCCCCAATGAGTTGTCCGCAGATGCAAATCGGCATTATGTAAACAAGAGGAAATCAAAAAAATTTTGAATCGCGTCGAGACCCGACGGCAACAGAAATCATTGGACCACATTTACGACGAGTTCTACCCGATCTACAGTAACCCGATGAAGTTCGACACTACAGTAACCCTAAGGCAAGCTTTTCCTCGCCAACACTCAACGTCAGAATTTAAAATAATTTGCAAACTTCTTCAGATTGATATTCGAGGTCAAATTTACCGTATAACAAAACAAACCTTCGATTCGATTCGCATCGGGACCCACTGCTATCGTAGTCGAATGAGTGGCTTGACAAATATTTTGAGAAGGGGGAAATTTCACAAAAAAATAGTCAAAAGTATTGAAACATCAAAAACCAGTCGCATAAAATTTTTTTAAGGGAATCGAGTTTTCGTCGGTTTGTGTGTTGCAGATTAGATGGTCTCTGATCATTCGCGTGTGATTTTGAGCACCGCGAAAATAATCCATTCCATATACACATATTTGGACGTATAATTAATTTAGTGAACGCGATTTTTCGCACCCATTTATTTTTTAACAAATTGAAAAAGGCCGAAAAAATTTTTTAATTGCGGCCTGGTTTTGTGGGTGTGGCTTACAAGCCCATAATTGGATAATTCTTAAATGTGGCGATTTTTAAAAATTTGTAAAATATGAGCAAAAGTTGAAAGAACGATTTTGACTTTTTCAATTTTTTTTTTGAAAAAATTGACTATTTTTTGATGATACAGCAATCCATATAATATCTATTATAATTTATGCTAAACATAGTTGAAATTTTGTTGCTTTTTTGGATTAAATATCAACGTTTGTTTTATCGCATTTTTTTTGCTTAAATATTGTCGAAAAATGACGAATGTGAAAAACTGCAGCGATATCCTATGTATTGTGTGCGTACACCGAGTCGCACAGTTCAACAAGAGCTACAGTAATCTCAACTAAAATTTATTTTTTTTTTTCGTTTTTTCGTGTTTTCTTGGCGAATTTTTGGTTTTATGTATATTTTTTTTGTTGGAAAAGTGTAATAGCAATATTTTTGTATATTATTCAAAGTTAATGGTTTTTCTAAAAATTTCTAAAAATTGAGACAATTATAAAAGATGGAAGGAAGTAGAAAAAAAATTTTTTGCGCAATTTTTTTGCGAATTTTTATAATGGTATATTGCCGATTTGGCGAAATGCCAACAAAAAAATATGACACTAATTTTTGGCGCAAATTTGAAAAAAAAATCTGAATAGCATTATTATTTAAAGGCGCATCGCCACAAGACCTCTTCTCGCAAAAAACTGCAACATTTTGAAATGTACACGTAAAAACGAGGCGAAAGAGAAAAAACTTTTCAAAAATCAACGTGTTTGTCGCTTTGTTCTGGCTTTTCGCGCGACTTTTGCTCTTTTTACGTATGACGCTTGTGTATATTTTGGTCTCTTCACGCAAATTGTCGTTTTTCTCCCGAAATCAGAACGGTGTCCAAAGCACCAAAAAAAATAACGTAATATGGTTTTCAAAACACGTTTTGCTGACTTAATTGGTTGTTATGAGCTTGCGCAGAAACCATAAAATGAAGGCTGGAAATGCTGGGAAATATATGTAGTTTGATGCATGAGACGGAAGGGAAATATTAATTGATTCCGTCGAATATGAAAATTCGACATTTTCACTTTTTGGCCTCTAGAAGAGCATCGTTTTTTTGGCGATCGCCGACGTCACACAACGTCAATAAACATAACAAAGGTTGTTCAAACAAAGCGGGTGTCGCGGCGCGGATTCGAAACCCGCGTCCCTCACGCGGAACAGCGCGAAAACGAAACCGCTGCGCTAAAGGCGCCATTATTTCCGATGTGGGGAAGTGCGTATACGAGCTGCGACAATGGAGGGAAGCGTTGGCATTTATTCAAATTTTCAAAAAACCATCGCGTGTTTGCACCTAATGCATTTTATTCGACGATTAATGTAAAACGTGCATTTAAGAATTTTCAATAAGTAGTTTTTCTTACAAGAGCAAAAAATCAAATGAGAGAGAGAGTGAAAAACGAATGAATGCTCAATGGCTATTACGAGGCATCGAAATCAGAGAACACTCGTCTCGGCGTTAATTACATGTTTAGCCGCGACAGCTAAGCCATCGAAAATCGACATTTATGGAATTTAATCACACATATTGTGAAGATGAATAAGATGAAGAAGAAGAAGAAAAAAGAGGCGGCGAATGCTCAAACATCAAAAACGCGGCGAATGCGTAATGAGTTGACTGCTTCGAGGTGCTCGCGCCAAGCAGGAAGCAAATGGATCAAAACGCCAAATAGCAAAAATAGAAAGATGGCCGTCGAGTCACACTCACAATTTTGAAAGAACAATGAGAAGTGCTGATTATGATAGCCATAAAAATTCTATGGCCTAGAATAATGACGATTAAAACGGATTTCGATGAAACTAGGCCACGGCCACTTCGAATTCCAGCATTTCTAAAAGAAAGTTATCATCTATTTTTGAGAATTTTGTGTGGCCGATAAATTTATTGATAGAGTTCGGCCACGGCCATAGCTTCGATTTATTCTGATTCCAAATATAGAAGGCGTCAAAGTTCGAAAATTGGTCGGCTAGCGGCTTTTGACTGAGGGATTATCCTCCAGAAGACGATCATCGAGCATGACAAAAAAAAATAATTGGAATTTTCAGCAGAAAAAAAAAGTCGAATTCGGTAGATCAACGAGCATCGACAACGAGAGAATTTGTATATTGAGAAGAATTGAAGAAAAAATTCGAAAATGGGTTGTTCGTGACGGGACCCCAATAATTTTCAAACAAAGCGATGCGACAAAATTGGACGAAGCATTGATTTTTTTTTGATAACATAGAGCGGCGCGAAATTCGAAATTCGGCTGTTTAAAGTGAGTGGAAGATAGATTAAATTTGGCGCGAAATTCAAAAAAAAATTTTTTTCAAATTTCAACGACAAAAAAAATTTTGCCGATTTTTGGCGCGCGAAAATTGGCAATATCAAACAACTATTTCGAGTGCGAAAGGAACGAAAATGAAGCACCTGGAAGTCCTCTAAAAACGGCAAAAAGCAGATGAAAAATGCGGAAATGAGAAAAAAACATCAGGCGTTTTTTTTTAATTTGAAACGAAACAAAATAAAACCATTTGAATCATTCCTGAACAATTGATGTTTGGTAGGTGGAAGAGTGGTGCGACGAAAATGTGCGAATCGGCACGTCTTCTGAATATCAAAGGGAGGAATGATCAATTAAGGACCTTCAGTGGGGGGTAAAGCAGCGAAAAAAGCACATACACACACAACACAAAAATGAATACATTCTCGTCGGCAATGAAAAAGTAGAAGAAAAGAGTAACGCAAACCACAAAAGAATTGGAAATACAAACTAGAAGAAGACGCGGCAGAGGGCCGCGTGTCGGTCGAGAGACCGCGTCGCGACGAGAGACGCGCGACGCGATAAGCAGCATCAACGGAAGCAACATACCACTTTTTGTGTGTGTGGCGGCGGCGACGGAATCGAAGAACACGAGATTTGTGGTCGCTTGAACGAGAATAGCGCAGCGCGCCATTCACAAAAGTTCGCCTGGAGCCGGGGGGAGTCGAGCACGCGACCTGTCGCGCGCGAGCGGAAAATTGAGCGCCTGCGCCACATCGGCCATCACTTAGAGTCGGTGTAAACGCCGTATATGAAATCGGCGCTTTTTGGCCAAAAAATGTCCGCCTTTAAAAATTATATTTTTTTTTCTTCTCAAAATTTCCATTAAAAAATGCTTCTCAAATTGATTTTTATTTTTTTATTATGCTTTTTCCATATATATATATTTTTTTTTAAATCTTTGCACGACGAAACCCATTTATTATAATTCAGAGAGCATCGAATCACGTCCAATTCATCATGTCAACGACTCAACAACACCATGTGTCATCGAAATTTTTTCGTTTCAGCAGAAAAAAAAACAAGCAAACAAACTTTTTTTTTGATTCTTTTTAAAATCGTATAGTACGTTTCTTTAAAAAAAAAAAGAGGCCACCAGAATCGGTCGCCACAAGACCCAACTATTTCCGCATTATGGGCATTAATAAAATAATATTCGATTTATTTTAAGAACCGCGATTGAATTGCGTTTTTTTCACAATTTCCATCGATTTTTTCTTGAGTGCGCTTTTTGAAAACATTTGTTCAAAGGCGCACACATCGTTTTTGGGTTGGGTCTCGCCACGACCACAAAAATGATGGAAAAAATTCTTATTTGATCTTTTGGTTTCATTCAACAACAAGAAAAAAGCTCACACACTTCTTTTTTTTTCTTCTTGAAAAGTTTCAAACTAATTGTAAAGTCACAGGTCTCATGAAATATTTCTTGAGAATGTCACGTTTTCGCCTTGTTCTCTTGTTAACATTGCCATCATTAGGGATATTCGAGGCCAACTTCTCGCCATTCCATAATTGGGCATTCAAAAACAAACATACGCATAAATAAACGGATAGGTTGAAGCGCGCAGTGCATCGGACCCTCAATTTGTTTTGGCATACTGCCAATTTTGCGCTACAATCAATATATGGCTTATATTGTCGAAATTCGCGCGATTGTGGAAAATTGGCTGAATGCCAACACAATTTTTTTTGGTAAGCGGTGTGCGCCTTTAATCTATGCTCCTCTCGTAAATCTACACTTAGTTTTTTTTTGCGTCAATTTTTCCGCAATCGCGCCACTTCGAAGGGTTTCATTGGGCGCGGATGCCATTTGGGTGTTGGTGTGATTTCACCTTTTCCGGGTGCCTTCATCCAAATGAGCGTATTGGTTTTTCTGAAATCACATTCAATCTTTTGCATTATTCAGACTATTTTTTGACAAATTTACGCCGAAAAAAGGAAAAATCCGATTTTTCCACGTCTCACATCGTAATGGATCGAATGCAGCACTTCATGCTTGCTAACTATCTGGCGGACGCCGGCCGCGGCCGCCAATTATTCGGCCATGCCACACTTCACGTCCACCATTGTTTCGGAATTTATTTTTTATTTAATATTTGAATTTTTGTGAGTTTTTTAGAAGATTTCTGATGGGAACACATTGAATATATGAAAAAAAAAATTAAATTTTCAAAATGAAATCAAAAAATGGGAAGAATATTGTTAGAGATAAGATTGAAGATTTTTAATGTACATTTCATAAAAATTAATCAAATACTTCGCCATTTGGAGCTTTTTTTAAGGCACTTAAAATTTGCTCGAAAATATACAATTTTTCATATTTCGACTATCACATAAGATAGCATAAAAACCGTTTTTGAGGAATATTTCCATACGAGACTCAAAGCGGCAATTCAAGCTTTCAAGCAATGGTGGCTCTAAAAAATCGCCCAAGCTCGAATTGTTTTCTTGTTGGAAAAAAATTGAAGCCAAATCAGCGACGAAGGGGAAAAAAAATTCCAAAAAATTTTTTTCGTGTTTCGTTTTTTCTTCTCTGCTAGTCATTTTCTTTTTTAGAAATTTGATGAAATTTTGTTTTGAGACCTAAAATAGCAAATTTTTAGTGAATTATTGACTATCTTGATGATTTTTAGCCATTTACACACCACACAAACGAAAACAACCAACAGAATAACGACGAAGCTAAAAATTTATGTCCGGCGAGACAAAGCTCCGCTAACTGCGTGCGCTTTTTAATCAGCCTCAGATGTTTTCCATATGTCACCCAGCGTTTTCTTTTCTTCGAGAAAAATTCGAAGAAACGCATTTTTCAATCAAATGTGTGCAATTTTGCGTGCCTGTGTATGCACACCTTTACGAAGCGGCTCGCTGTTTGTTTTGAAATTTCAACTATTTTGGGTCGCACCCATTTTTTTTTGTCTAAAATGTCCAATAAATATGTATCAGTGACTGCTATACGCGGGTAGATTTACATGCATGCGCCTTCTTTATGGTCTCGCACCGACTAGCTGGTTATATTGCTTTTTAAAGGTCATGATGGTAATTTTTAACTTCAGTGGTATTAAAAATTCAAGAAAATGCCATACTCATCGGGAAAAATAAATAGTTCTCGTGAAAATTTAAAAGTAAACCTTCGTGGCGAGACCAATTCGAAAGGCGTCCTCGTAAATCTACATCAGTCGCCGGACGATCTATAAGCAGCTTATAATATGTGTTACGAAAAAAATTATTAAAATTAATTTATTTGTTTTTTACCTCGCAATTAAGAACTCCAGTCTTTAAAAAAAAGATTTCTGTCTGATTTTCAAGTCCAGCTAACTATGCTAATTATTATGGAAGACAAAAATCGACGCGACATCTTCTCAAAAGATCAAATTTGATATAAAAATGTTCAGTAGACAATTAAAAAGAATTGAGGAAGCCAGCAAAAAAATATTGATAAATGCGGTCAAAAATCACATATTAAATGGAAGAAAGAAAAAATCAACAGCGTGCGTTTTGATAATGCTAGTTTCAAGACCCCGATGCTTGAAATCAGGCAAAGAGTCCATAGCTACAGTATCCTTGCTCGAAGCTATTTTTCAGTCGTTTCTCGGAATAGCACGCTCTGCTTATTTGGCGTAAAGTATGGGTAGTAGTGTGAATCTCAATTTTCAAAGATTTCAAGAATTTCAATTTCTCTGCAAAACAAAAGAACAATTGAAAAAAAATATTCACATGAAATGGATTTTTTCTTCTGTGACATTTTCTGCTTCGGTGTTTGCACACATTTTATTATCGCTGAAAAAGAGGGCCTTGAATGACACTTTTTAGAGGCGATTTGAATTTGAATTCCTGCGAATTCGAACTACCGTACTCTGGATAACCTGCGAATCAAACTCACTTCAAATCGGTGCCATTATTTTGCGATTATAATACTATTTATTTTTTATTTTTCTGAGCTTTTCGATCTCAAAAATCAAGATCAAAGACCAAAAAATGATTGATAATGGCGAAAAAAAAATCACAAAAATTTTAAATTTCTGCAAGAATCGCAATTTTGGCGGCAATTCAAACCCCTTTCTCATTTTTTGATAAATTTTCGAATTCTGATGGTATTTTTTTAGCTCACCGACTTCTAAGCTTCCCACGTGGCATATAATTGATCCTCAATTAAAAAAAAATTTACCAAGCAAATACAGAAAATCGCTTATAGTCGGATTTCGAAAAAAATGAACATGAGCTTTCAATCAATTATTTTTCTTCATATATGTATGTAGTTAAGGGTGAACGAGTTTGGGGGTTACTGTATCATTGCCATTTTGGGTCTCGTATAGAAAATGTATTATGAACGAGTTTTATTGAATGTAACCATAATAATCTGAAAGAGCATAATTTTTAATGAATTTTGGCTTTTAACAAAAATGGAAAATGACGAAGAACAATTTTCAACGCGCTTTTCAAATATTTCAAATTGTTCCATTGTTTCTTATTTTCTATATAGTATTACCATTGCAGTAAGTGTGGACCATCGCACTTTTCGAGGCGGCAATTCAAATATGAATTTAAACAGTTGAGGTTCCGCATTTATCAATCTCATCGTAATTCTACGTGCTCTCTATTTTTTGCAATTTTAATATACGTATACATATAGTTAGCATAATCCAAACCAATGCAAATTATGCGGTCACCCATTGTATATCATCGAGACCACTCGTCGAAAATTACAGATTATACATCATGCAAAATTTATTTTAAAAAAAATAAATAAAGGATTATTAAGTTCAAAATGCTCACTTTCGGAGCAATTTTGCCGTTTCGAGCTCCCTGGCCAATTGAGCCTCATAGGTCGTTTTTTGCTCCTCATCATCATTGAGAATGCTGCCGAGGAAGCCGATATAGGCGGTGGCGACCTGCAAAATAGAAAATACGTTGGTCATTTGCGATTGGAATTGAGCAGCGCGATCTGCGGACAATTTCAAGGTTTCTCCCCCCTGCATCGCATGACACCCGACATTTCAATATAAATAATTAATGATGTGGAATTCCACCTGCGGACAATTTTCACATGAGTAAGATCAAACAACTAGCCGCTTTGAAAATTTCAAATTGCCACCAAAATAGGCTCGCTCGATTTGAATGATCATAACAATATTTTTTCTCTAATTAATAGCTACTGTAGTTCGAAACGTGTGCAAACACCATCACGCAAAATTGCAGTGAAATTTTTTTGTTTAAAATTGTACTAATCGCGCAATCGGTGATTCCTCACCTTCAACGTCGACAATTTCGAGATTTTCACCTCATCGGGAAGCGGAAGTGTGACGCGCAGCTCATTGAACATATTCGACAACTGTTGGACCCGATTGCGTTCGCGCGCATTCGCCTCGAATCTGTAAAAAAAAACAAAGAATAAAGAAATCGACCTAGTGATTCAACAATACATATAAATTGTTTGAAAATGTTCATTATCGTCTCGAACATCTTGTAAGTTACCTACAAAAATGGGAAACCTGAGCGCGGGGTTGAACCTGGGGCCCTCGGTAAATCTGAGTGGGAGCAGTTCGGGCGCAGTAGCCCGAGTTAGAGCCGAAACGCTCCCGAGTAGGCCCCGTTGCCCCTGCACTGGTTTCAGTCGGCACCAACTTGGGTGATATCGCCCGAGTTGGGCCCGGTGCGCACCCGATTTACTCCCGCGATTTGCAGAAACCCGAACTGGTCCAAAATTACAACCGAACGGGAGCAGCACAATGTGTGCCGCAGCATTGCAAAATAGTGCGCCGCGGAATTTGCGCGTCGTTTTTTTCAAAATCGTTTCTTATTTAAAACTTTTTTTTGCTTTTTGTCGATCATTTCTCGAGGTTTTTTTTTTAATTTTTTTTCCTAAAGTTTTTTAAAATATGTAGATATTATTTCGTCTTTCTTTAAAGGCGCCTTTCGCGCAACAAGCAGAGAGCTTAGCCAAAAGCAACCCTAACACATCGCTTTTGCCGCCAAAGACTGCATATAAAAAACCCCACAAGCGTTTGCTACCTCTTCGGGCAAAACTGCGACTTCCTCTTGCGATCCGCCTTCCTCTCCACATCCTCTTCGCTCGACATCCTCCGCTTCGGCGGCTTCTTCGCCTCGGCCGCCTCCTCCTCCTCAGCAACCTCGACGACATTGATCATTTCGTCGGTCTTCTCCTCAGTGCTGACACCATTGGCGACCAATTGCGCCAAAATTCCCAAAATATTCTCATTGATGATGTTCGAGTACATTTCGACGAGTGCCGCCTGAAGTTGTTGCTCGAACTCGACGGGCAATTGTCTGAAAATGTTCGCCAAATGTCGCTACCAACCGAAATCATTGCCGACACTTACGGAACCGCTGACGGCGTTGTCGTCGATGTCGTCGGCAGCGAAAGATCCAACGGCTCGTCCTGCATAATTTTGGGCACCAATCAATTAGTATAGTTGGAGCTGAAGCTGGAGCTCGTCGATAAGGCGACAGCGGCGGGTATGGCGTTGGACACCTGAAAATGACAGGTGCCTCTTTCAGGACCCAGCCGGCTCGGCTGTTTTCGATTTTTCGGCCGGCTAATCGACTTCACTGCGATTATTAAATATCGCCAATGAAAAAAAAAGAATCAAAAATTCCAAAATTCGAATTTGTGGACAATTTCGATTTCATAAAGTCTCACAAGAATAGTGTTGCGAGGAGCAAGAAAATATGAAGAAATATGTTATTAATTTTAAATCCTGCAATTTAAATCCTGCGGTTACGGTGAAAATCACGGTGTTTACACACACACCAGAGTTGGCGCGCAAATACACGAAGTTGAGTTGTTGGATTGTTTTTAGGCCCGGACCCGAGTAGCTTGATTGGTTTTCGATGTTGATTTATATTTTTCCACCGTGCTGCTTATTTATTATTATATTCTCATCCGATAACTAATTAATTCGCACTTCGTTCGTTATTGTTGTCTAACGCTTATTTTAGATAAAGTTTAAATTGTAATTCGAGTTACCGACTTACAACAAATTGTTTTTTAAAGAAAAACCCCAACTCATCATTATATGAATCTGCGGACAGTTCGCGGTTCGCGAAAACAAAGTCGATTTTCAAAATTTGCGGAGAAAAGTGGCGATTTTGAGTTTCTGCTCGGAAATTGCCAAAAAAAATTTTTTCGAATCAAAACCTAGTTTTTTTGTAAAGTTTAAAACAACAGAATAAATTGAAATTTTTAAATTTTAAATATTAACTGTCATGACTTTTTTTGCTAATTCACAATTAGCGGAGTGTCATTTTATTAATTTTCGCCTTTCAAAAACGTTTCCCAAATTTGCGACATTAATTAAAGGCGCATGTGGCTAGCCATGCGGCAATATCTTGTGGCGAACGAAGAGGCAAAAAATTGCAATTTGAAAATATTGGCTCGCTATTTCCAATTGTTGTTTTCAGTAGAAAAAAGTTTAAATTTGGTTTTTTGAAAACCAGGTTTTTTTTTTTCAAAATTCTTAAAACTAGAATTTTGGACGAAAATTCGACCGCCAATGACCGCATTTTATCATTTTGTAAAAAATCATTAATTTTTCGACTATAAACGGGTCCAAATTGTATCTCCAATAATCATAAATTCTATTAAGCTAAGAGAAAGCACGCTCACATAATATTTCACTTTTGATTATTCCAAAAATATTCGATTTTTTTTCACGGACTTGTTAATCTGGCCTAACTTTTTTTGCGGCCGCCACCGAGTTAACTAGTAAAATTCGATTAGCCATTTAAGAAATTAAAAATGGCCAGCCAGTTTTAGCCACTAAAATCGATTTTAAAAATTTTACACGAGTCATCAAATCGAATTTAATTTTTTTCCTACAAACAACTAGTTTTTTTGAAACCGCAAAATTCAAGACGGGCAGCTCTGATGGCAATTCCAGTCCATATACGGAAAACATGTTCCAGATTTCAAATCGGAATTTGAATTGTATGATTTCGTCTCTATTTCGATGAAAATATTTTTTTCAACAAAATTCACAACAAAAAAAAATCCAAGAAAATGAGTGTAATTTTTTGCAACAAATCGTCGCCGACGGATTTTGCTAATAAGCAATACTATTTTAATAAATTTCAGCTGTTGTATTTGCTGGAAGAAGGAGAAGAAGCTAAGAATTGGAAAAAGAAAAATTCAAAACTCAACAGTCAAATCAGTCAAAAAGAATTCTTGCATTTTTTTTTACTTCCTGACAGAATAGAAAATTCCGATGAGCGGGGCGTGGCGAATTGCCAAATTCGGCATGGGTAGATTTACTAGACTGCAACAGGCTTCATAGGATCCCATGCGCCTTTAAATCACGTTAATATGCATTTATATATAGATAAGCGCGCTCTACTCAACAATTGGGGTCTCGCCACGTGTGTGTGTCGATTTACGGCCGAGTACGGGGCCAAATAATTCTATGGGTTAAAGGCGCACACCAAGACATCTCACATAAAAAATTTGTTTTCAAAATTAGGCATTTCTGCTCATAACCATTTGCAACAGATAATTATCACTACAACAAAAACGTATCGAAATTTGGGAAACCAAAAAAAGAAGTGAGCTGCGGACAATGTTGCGGGTTTCATCGTTGATTAATCAAAAATGGGAGGAGCTCGAAAAGTTGCCAAACGGCTCGCCGAGCCCCCCACACGCCGAACATCGGCTAGTGAGAGCAGCTGGACGACGGCATGCGCAATTCCTGCTCGCGATTAAGCCCAGATGTGCTCCAAACCAACACCATAGAGCTTTTTCTCTCAGCATTTTATTTTTTTTTCAATTTTCGCTTACCAACAAAAACACATTTAGCAGATAATCCCTTCTTGCAAATTTTAGACATATTTATAATTATGCGATATATAGATATAGATAATATTAATAATTTTCACAAATATACACAGACAATAAAGAATCGAGAAGCATGAGGCCAAAAAAAAGGAGACATTTTAAAATCTAGGGGTTTTTTTTTGTTTTCTGTTGGGAAAAGCCCGTGTAAGCCGATCGAAACGAGAATTCGACAAGATTGAGCAAAAAAGAGAATTTGAAAGCAGCTTGAAAATGAAACGCGCCTAGTAGAGATAGTTATTAGGCCTGTCGTCGAGTGTATAGGCGGCAGGGAGGTCCAAATTCACCGGCGGTACTGTAGAATACGGGCGGTCGATGGCCGAAATCGGCGCGTTGTACACAGAGGCTGGAAATGTTTGAAATTTTCAAATGAACATCGAAAACTCTTAATTGCTCGAAATTATCGAAATCTAGGTTTGTGTTTGAGAACTTTCATCTACGGACAATTCACGGGTTAAGCTTTTTCAAAAACCAAATGATTTTAGGGACAAAATATCGAAAAACCCAGCTTACCGGCTGATGTCTGCACATGGTATTCCTCAGCGGCCATCTCGGTGTTCTTCTGCTTCTTCCTCTGATGACTCATTCCGTATCGGACCATCGCCAGAAGGCAAATCGAGATCAGCAAGATCGTCATGATGATTGCCAAAATGATCCATCCGACCATCGACAAAGCGCGACCAATCAATGGCTGCGCTTCTTCGTTGTTCTGGCAAAAGTCGATTGATCTGAAAATCCGCGATCAATTCGTGTTTTTAAGTTTTGACAAAAAAAACTTTCATTTTTTCGAGAAATCAATTCCGCCGAAATTAAGTACAATTAGAAGCGGTTTTTTTTTGGAATAACTCAAAAAAGTCCGGTTCACCCACCACTAAATAGCCTTATGAAAATTGCGACAAAAAAAACGTTTTAACCGTTTTTTTAAAGATTTTTTGCCTAAAATTACATGTGTAGATTGTCTAGTCATCAAAAGTAAAAAGACGCATTTTTTTTTTGTAAATAATCAGCTATTAAGAAATTTTATTTTTTTTTTAATTACAGATTAAAAATTTCTAATATTCGTCTTTTCATAGCAAATTTAAAAAATTAGGATTTTTTAAAGCTATTTTAAAACTCAATTGGTCCAAATTCAGAAAAAATGTCTCGAAAATCAATCGTTTTCACCAATTTGTTTCATTTTTTCCGCAGGGTAAGCGATAAATAGAAAATTAGCGATAAAACAGAAATTTTTTTTTCAAATTCGTTAAATAATTTTTGCATATATCCACAAATTCCAAAATTTCGCATTTTTGTTGGTCCACAGATACCTCAATGGAGTTCCTTCGACGGGACATCCATTCGGCGACGAAGCGCACACCGCCAGACAACCGGGCTTCTCAATATCGATGTCCAAATTGTCGCGGAGCAGCGTTCGGAACCATTCAAGCTCGTTGTTGCAATACCACGGATTGCCGCACGCGTAGATCACGCGACGATCGTTGGGTTTCGGCGCGAACGTGTTCAGGAACACGTCGCTCGGCATTGTTTGCAGCAGATTGTAGCTGTAATACGCACATATATGTGAGTCAGCTGGTACACAAAGGTGTGCGGCAATTGCGCGCCGACTGGAATCAAGCGAGCAAATATATGAGCACGGCAAACGCGAAATCACTTGAGTCGTGTAGTCGTTTCTCTCAATACCTGATGTCCAAATGGGTGAGCGAAGGGAGATTGGCGAATCCGAGATTCTGAACATTATCGATTCGGTTTCCCTGAAGATCGATGGAATATAAATCGTTGAGTCCCTCGAAGAAATCAGCGCGAACTCTGCAATTTAGAAATGTTAATCGAAATTTCAAAAATTCTCCTACTGTGAAAGTCGATTCTTGTTCAGCACGATCGCCTGAATTTGAGGGGTTCGCTGGAACGCGCCGCGCTCGATCGTGTCAACCGCCGCCTCGGACATCTCCAATCGGATGAGATTCGGGATGTGCATGAACGCATTGTTCGGTATCACGGAGATCGGCGTCTCGCCGATGCCCAACGTCTTCAATTGGGTGATGTAGCGGAACATTTCCGGCGCCCATGACGGGAATTTGTTGCCGGTCATGTAGAGGAACTCAAGATTCGGCACGCCTTGGAACGCTTGCGGTGGAATCACGGTGATGCCGTTGAATTCGAGCGACAGCGACGAGAGCACGGGAAAATCGAGCGCGCCAACCGGCACCTCGTTGATGCTGTTCAGTCCTAAATTGAGGTTGGTCAAAGTGTTTCGCTGGTTGACCAAGGCGGATGACGGAATGGAAGTGAGAGAGTTGGTCTCAAGAGAGAGCTCCTGAATGTATGTTTTAAAAAAAATGCAAAATGCTTTTTCCTACCTGAAGCAAAGTTAATGGTCTGAAGACTGTTGCGTCTCCAAGAGTGGCATCAGTCAGACGATTTCCCGCCAATTCCAATTTCAGCAGAAGATCCTTGGATTCAAAGGCGTTGAACGCCGTCGACGAAAGTTGATTGATACGATTGCGATTCAAGTACAATTTGCGCAAATTGCGAAGTCTTGGAATGCCCATTTGCGGAATTTGTCCCAAATTGTTGTCATTGAGATCGAGCTCGACGAGCGAGTCGAGAAGCGGACCATTGAAAGCCTGATCATCGATGTTTTGTAATGTGTTGCGATTAAGAACGAGTCGCAAGATGGTGAAACCCTGGAATGCGTTGGCGGGTAGGTTCGGAATCGCGGTGTCGATAATCGTTAGGGAATCGATCTAAAAAAAAACGATTTAAAAAATAATAGTTTAAAATAATTTTTGAGTTTAGAACTGAATTTTTCTTGTCAAAAAATCGGTATGTTTTTTTCTACATGTATCAAAATCACAATATATTTCAAATTAAAATGAAGAAAAACTGAAATTACTGGATAAAAATTGAGAAAATGTGATGAAATTAGTCGAACACAAAGAATACAGAAATAAAATCTACGTGTTTCGTCGTCACGGTGTATGCACTACTACCTGGCTACAGTACCACAAACAGAGAATTCAAATTGCGTGAAATCTCAGTTTTTAGAAGTTCGAAGTTATGACACTGTTTTTGAAAATTTAATTGTAAATTAAAATAATCTGTTTAAAAGAGAGTCACTGAGATAAAATTTAGCAAAAAAAACAAACAAAGGAAATCAGATTGAGATTCGAATTTCTCAAAAAAATCCAGTTTCAAGCGGGTGACGCAGCAAAAAATTTCACAATATTTAAATTTTCGATATTGAAAAAAAAAACATTGAAACAAAAAAAACAAACCGGAACATCTCGAGCAGCCTGAATCGCTTGAAGAGCGTTCGCAAGACTTCCAGCATTCTGGCAAATGATGGCAACCGGCTCGTAAACGGACGGCGCGCATCGACAAGGTCCCGACAGGGTCGGGCATTGTGCGATGACGGCGGCGACAAGCGTCGTCGCCAGAATCCCAACGACGAAACGCATGCTTTTTTTTTCACCAAAAAATTAATAGACGGTCTGGCAGCTGCAGCAGAAACAGTCGACGGCTCGTCCTGTTCGGCTCACTCTCTCTCTCCTCACTGGAGAGCTTTTCTTCGTGTTTTGCTTCGAGCTGATGTGTTGGGTTGGGCTCTGTGTGTGTGTGTGTGTACGCTGCGCGACGAGCGGCAACTCCTCGATTTCTTTTCCGCAAAACCGTTGCCTATTCGCCTTCTCTGTGTATGCTAAGGGATTAGCGCGGACGGCGGCGCGTCGAATGCGGAATGTCGTCGATTGCCGTTGACTGTGGACGAGGGGGGTAAAAGAGCACTATCGGACCGGAAAGATCTGAACACGAAAATTATTTTTTTTTTCTGTTTGTGCTCGTCTTGTTCGACATCATTCTTTTGTGATAAAATATTGCGCAATGGTCATAATGAGCGGAAAAAACGAATGATTGCGGGGACGGGGGTCGAACAATTGACTGTTCGTGTGGGAGTTCAAAACCTAAACACTTTGCAAATTAGAAACACGAGAGGGCGGATGCTAATTGCGTACACATGAGTTTTCAAAAATCGAACTCTCGCTTGCAATTTTTAAAGGCGTAGGTACATTGCAGATTTCGCAAACTGGAAAAGACATATATTTTTCTAAAATTTGCTCATTTTTGCTCCAATCTCTAGAAAACACTATAAATTCCGCTAATTTCGATGTATTAATTATCGACAACCTTTCGGAAAGTACGCTGGGTCTTGCAAAAATTACTGGCAAAAAATGATCATCCAGGATCTTAATGGATGGTGCAAAAAAAACACACATATTTCGGATGAATAAATTTGATGGAATTTAATTGCAAACATCTGCGGACGTTTCGCGGGATGCTCCGTAATCGTGTTGTTTCGTGAAATTCACGGAATTTCAAACAATGGTCCGCCAAGGGACCATAATTATTTATATGAATCTCTGGTAAAAATAAATATTATTATAAATTAATCTGCTTTGAGATATTTCTTAAAATTGAAAATGGGAAATAAACCAATCGAAGTTCAATTAATTTTCAATTGAATCAGGTTAATTTCAATTTCAATTTTCTTCAAATCCGATTGATTTTCATTCTTCTGAGATCTCAATTGAAGACGTTGTAAAAATACATATATAGAAGAATAATAGTAATAAAACACTTGACAAATTCGACCTGCGGACAATTTTGGGGAACCGCGACAACCTTTCGGTGGGACTCCGCGAGAAAGTAGCCAAAAATAAAAAAAACTTGAAAATCCATTCAATTCCGATGGTTTTACAAAAATCTTTTGTTTTTTTTTTGCTTGTCTCTAGTTTATGATATTTTTGAATTATTTGAATTAAAAAAAAATGCTTTGAATACTTAAAATTAGGATAAAAAATTATGTTCTTTAACATTGTTAAATTAAGCAAAACTTGGTCCATACGAGACCCAAAGAAGCGGAAATTCAAATAATTAATATATTCGTCCGTTCTTGAAAATAATCAATCAGAGTTATTCAATAAAATCAAAATGCATTGTAAGTGGTCCCGTTTGAAGAGGACCATAATGAAAAGGTTTACAATTAAAAGGAGTCGTGTTCGGCTCTTCCTTCTGCCAGGTGACATCTCATTATTGAAACAGTAATTCACAAGTTGGGAAACACTATCCGGTTATTCATGTTTGACCAGGTCGGCAAACAGAAGGCGCCTAACAAGTTTTTGCCAACACAAACATTTCATGATCAGATTTCTTGAGCCCCGCCTATACTCAGTCGAAAGCAATTCGCTTTTGCTAGGAGGTGGATGGGGAGGGGGGGGGGAAGTCTTTATTTGGCGCTTCGTGAATGAATTGAATTGAGCTGACCGCTCAATGCTTCTCGCGGAGGGATGTGTGACAAGGCAAACATTTACATTATCATTTCCTTGATTACAAACAATACGCATCTCGGTGTCAATATGTCTCGCAACGAAATGAAGTTCTATTGGGAATTGAGGTTTGGAAAAAAATTTGTGATTAGCTTTCAAAAATCGGTTCAAAAGTTGATTCATTTTTGATCAAAACACAAATCACAAAATTTGAGAATGAATTAAAAAAAAATGCAAAATGAGAAAATTCGATGGCCGGTGTCGAACTCTCGACGTCACGCGCGTCAGGTGCAAAATGGTCACACTCGGACACGGGTCCTAACGTGACTGGGAGTGTAAATGGCGTATTTCCGAACACATCTTCAGAAAGAGAGGGGTCGTCTCGCAATTATTATATTAATTTGACAATCATATCCAAAACTACCGTTTACTTTAAAGGCACATGCAAAAAATTGTTGCGCTATGAAGCGAAACAGTATTTGGCCAAAATTCTTAAAATTGCAGACACGCAAATTTCAAAATGTAAAAATTGCATTGAGAGGGAAAATGAGAAAAAATATGAATTTCGAGTGGATGAATAACCAAAAATGGAATGATCTCGTCGGCGAGCTGTGTCAACAGCACAAGCAGCCGCTCGAGCCTACTTTGTCGTGTGCGCGCAAAATGAATATGAAGCGAATAGTAAAAACGGCGAGCAAGAGGAGGAGTCGAAAACGAAGAGGAAAAAAACTGAAATGAATGGTTTTCTTTTGTGAAACAATGCCGCTTTCAACCTACGCCCTACGAACCGGCATAAGCCGGCGAGCGGGAGAAGCCGGTTCGGCGTGGCGGGCGGCACACTTCACGCGGGAGCTGTCTCGTGCTCCATGGTGCTGCTGCTGCTCCCATGGAATTTCTCGTGCGCAGCAGTTCAAATCACGCAGCACACACGCGCGCAGGTTTTCAAGGAGCTTCTTGAGATTTTGCATGATGCTCTCCAACCCGCCGCTCCCTTTTTCTATACTGTTTTATCAGTAGGCAATTTGAGGGGGGGGGGTCGCATGTGAGAAATACACTTGAAATTTGGCTTATGAACACAAGTAACGTTTTGCAAAAAAAATTTTCTCCGGGCTCGGCTCGAGTCCGCGACATTCCGCGTAAGCCACCTGGCCGTCGCATCACACTGACCACACTCAAAAAAACCGCATTTTTGGTGTTTGCACAATGCATTACATTTGACGGATTACTGCGGAGTCGACAAGATTGTTTGGTTTTTGTAAACTGGAAAAAAACTCATTAGCTGAACAAATTAGACGTAAAGCACCGGTTTTTCTTTAATATTTTTTCTCAGATTATTAGCCAAAAATGTTTAAAATAAAAAAATTTAATGTAAAAAATGTTTCTTTTTCAATTAAATTTCCTGAACAGAATTTTTTGTCTACGAAATTTCTTCGAAAAGTCGGCAAAAATTTTTTCAAAATTTTCAACTTCACCAATTTTTCTTGAATTTGCCACATAAATTGTAGATAATTTTCGAATTTTTTTTCGATTCGACGATTTTCACCTGAGTTATGATAAGTTTTTTTTGCGCAAAATGTTTAGGCGTGAAATTGTGTCGGAAATTATCTAATGCGCCTTGAACCCCCCGTTACTGTAATTTTTATTGTTGAGTTGGCAAAATGAAAATTTTTAATGAATTTTTCATTTTCTTTTAGCATTTTTAATTGAAATTAGTTCATTTTTTCATAACAGCTTAATTGCCGGCATAAATTTGCCGAAAAAATAGAAATTTCACACCATAAAAACTATATAGTGAATTTCTAAGAAATTAATTTAATTTTTTTTTGTTAAAAAATCGAGAGACCAGCTTTTCTCGTTCAAACATAAAACTAAGAGGTTTTGTGACTTCAAAAGAAATCCTCTCACGCACTTTTTTGTTCATAAATAATTATTTTATTCTAAAAACTATGAAAAAATATCAGAAAGACGATTGAATTTGTTTAAATCATTGCATATTTGCTAGAATTGCTCAATTTGATGAATCCGACGACGAGGAAAAACGCGACGACGACGATGACGACGATCTGTGTTTACACATTGCATCACATATGACGGATTATTGCGGTACTCACTTGCTTGATGATGAGCTCGACGATATTGATAATGATTCAACGCTATTGCGAAGCTCCTCCTCGATTTTCAGCGTATGGCTTCTTAATAGAGAAAATGAGAAAGCAGCTAGTAAAAATATTGAGAAAACCTTGGCCGAATTTCAGGTTTGACGTCGAGATGCTCAAGAAGCTCTTGCGACGCTTTTTCGAGGTCATTCTGAACGAGAAATTATCGATATATTGATTTTTGTCGTCCTACCCATGGAATAATGCCGGCGAGTTGTTCGCGATGGCGGCGTAAAACGCTCAAAATGAACCTGAAGATTTATTGTTGCAAAAAAAAATTTACATTTCAAAATTGACGCTCACTTATCGGTATAAACATTGGCCTTAATTATCTCTGTCAGCACGTCGTCTTTGAATTTGGTGATCGATAATTGGGCTGACGGATTTTGGCGGAACACCTGAGATGATTGAGCTGGTTTATGCTGAAAAATATTAATGCAAAAATGGGAGACTAGTGTGCGTCTTCGAACTCGCGACCTTTCGTACTGCAAGCAAAAATGCAAAGAACATCACAGTCCGTAAACTATGTGGCGCTTCTCGAAATGTGTATACACTGATTAAGCGCGACGCAAGCATAATGGAAGCATTGTGGGAAATCTGTGGAACGGAAGCATAATGCTTCCATATAGGAAGCATAATGTAATTCTTAGTGGCTGTGGAAGAATTATGGGACGAATATGGATGGAATGAAAACGGGATGAATATGCTTCCGGTGTTTGCGAGCCGTGGAACAAATATGGATGGAATATGGATAAAATAATCATATGTCAATAAACATTATACAATTGGCGTCTGGACGGCAGACCAAGACAATTTCTAGAAAAATCAATACAAAAAACTTATGCTATCATATAAACAATGAAAATTTGAAAATTACATGATACACAACGGACGAAATTTAGCTTCTACCATTTAATGACTTATGTTACTCAGATTTATGTTAATTCAGTCAACTGTTCCTCACTTTGTTTAAAGATTGCCAACTACAATTTAGTCGTATTAATATATTTTTGCCGGTTTTTCCGAAATTGGCATCGCAAACTACTCACAATTTGCTCCAAACTGGTAGCAGACGCGCGTAGAAGAGGCGTGCCGCAGCATTGCAAAACCGTGCGCCGCTTTGCACAATGCGGCCACGCCTCACATTTTCGAAATTCGTTTTCAAAATTTTTGTCCTTTTGCTTTTTCTCAATGAATTTTCAAGATTTTTTGTGTTTTTTTTTTGTCAAAAATTAAAGAATTTTTTTCAAAATTAAAGGAAAAATGTTTTTAAAAAATAAAGGAAAAATTTTCATATTTATCATCAAAATCGAAACCAAAAATAAATTGATAGCATTCGAAAATTTTAAAATCGATACGATGTTTTCAAATCGTTTCCGACACTTTTAAAATCGAATTTAAATATTTTCTCAATCGAATTGTGTTTAATTTCTCATCGAATCCGTTTTATTTTTATTTACTTTAACATATTTTTTATTATCGCTCGCTTTTTTCTTTTAATAAAACATAATGTTTTGAAATTTTTTACAGATGAAGACAAGATCGAGAGTGTTGTCAGATATAACTGAAACTGCTCTAGAAGTCAATAACAAAGAACCAGAAGTCCCTAACATGGAACCAAATTCGCTCGACACTTCAGATCCAGATAGTCCAATTTACTCGCCAACTCAGCAAAAAAATTTTTCTCCACAGTCCTCACAAACAACAAAATCAACGCCAATTCCTAAACCTTCGTACGCCCAATTTGTAAGTTGTTATCATCAAAAATTGGCCTGTTCGACTCCAGAAATGGTTTCAATTAGAAAAATATGCGCAATGAAGTCTTTATAAAGTACTTCCTAAGTTTAAAGCTTGTTGATTATTTGGTTCCAATCAGGGCTGTGCGGCAATGGAATTGCCGATTGCCGAAATTGCCGGTTTTTCAAATTGCCGAAGAAAATTTCGATCGGTAATTTGCCATTAGCCGAATCGCCGAAATTTCCGATTGCCGTACAGCCTTCGTACCAATATCATTCAGTGGCATTTATCTTTTTAAGTGGGGCTCTAGTACAGAAGTCGCCAGACGCCGACTATATAAAGATCCTATACTTTATTGCAAATATCTATATTACAGATGCTCTTATCCATGGCTTTGGGCAACAACCGACAAATGACTTCAAAGCGAAAGCATTACGCATGGTTCGAGAAGTCATGGATAATCTTCTGTAAGATTTTGAACTATGACTATTAATTTATTTATTTGATTAAGCGATAGAATGCGCCAACGACTTCAAAGGAAATTTGGTGTAGCGCCGGAAGCGCTCGCGGCGCAATTAAGGAAGCTGCTTGATTCTACCAGCAACCCTCAGATGTGAGTATTCATATGTCTTTGAAATTTTAACCAAAATGCCTTTTTTCTTCAAATTTTGGAGTTGTTCTTTCTTCCGCCAATTCACTTTTCATTTTGTGCACTAAAGGGTTTCCAAAAATGCAATAAAAATAAATTATTTTTATTTTTAAGAAAATTATTGATGTAAAAAAACTGATTGTATTTTCTCGAAAAATTTAGTTTACGTAACAATGGTTTACAAGTTTTTCAAATTAATAGGCCCATTATAATCTACTTATTACAGCGTCCCGCTCGATGTCAGTACTGACAATGATTCGAATAGTTCGGCAGTTGCCAGTAACTAATGGTTTGATTATATCTTAATTGAAATTCATTTCATTGTTGTTTTTTTTTATTTTAAATTAAATAAATGTGTTAATATGAAATAAATTTTGAATACAGCAATCAAATTGTTTTCTTATTTTCCCATATGGAAGGCATACGGCTCATTCCATATACGAAACACGCGGTTCCGCAAAAAAATGCTTCCATTATGCTTCCATATAACTTGCATATAAGATTCCTATGATATCCACAGCCGTTCCACTATGCTTCCATTGTGCCTATGCCGCCGTTTATCTGTGTATGTGGCGCTTCTCGAAATGTGTATATGAAAGCGCTCGCCCAAAAACTTACATTTCTCCGTCTTGGTGGCTGATAATTGCGATTTTCCAACAATTTCGGCTTCGCCAATTCGGTTAAGCTTGAACGAATTGGCAATGGAAGCCTAAGATTGGTAGATGAGTTTCTTCCGTTGACAAAATCGTTCAATTCCCGTTGAGATTTACTCAAAGGCTGCAAAAATTCGAATATGATTGAAGTTCTTTTTTAGAGACAATTGTACCTTTCTTTTCAAAGGGTCCGCTGAAGAAGCGCGTTTTGGCAGATAATGAATGCCTTTAATAATAATAATAATATTAATTTACAATATACGCGATTACTTACTTATTGGACTGTTGTACATAGAATATGGAGCGGTGGCATCGACCACGGCTGGAATGCCTTTCGTCAATCGATAATGATGCGAAATAATTGTCTCCGGGGATACGGACCAGTTGGAACGCGCGGCACGCATTCGGAGACGAAAATTTTGGAAAAAGAAAGCGGAGAGACGAATCTGAAACAAATACGAGTTGGCATGGCAACCAGCGATTGGCATGAATCCAAAGACGAAGCACGACTTCTCCATACACTCTCCGCACCAAAAGCGACGTATATCTTTATGAGATTAATGTTAATCGCGTTTGCCACTTATTTGCAATTTTTCTCGCTGGGACGTCGACGACGATGAAGCGCTTGCGCGCGGTTTCCAACGCGCAATGCGAAAGAGCGCGCCGATATGAGAGACATTGACGACGTGACGCTGTTGGTGACATATACGCCGAACATTTTTGCGTTGTCACCGGGCGTTGTGGCGAGCGCCTGTGAGCCAGCTTCTAGGCGGTAGACAAGTGTGGATGAAGTGAAGGGAGGAGTCCTGTGTGTGTTGCTACCAACGGCGACCGAGCGTCCGCGCCAAGCGCTGCGTCGCTAGGGGCTAACCGACGGAGGTTGGATGGTGCCGGGCGGATAAGGAGAGGCGTACGGCTCAGGTCCGCGAGGAAGCAGGCAAAAGCCTCCGCGCGGTGCAGTGGCCGGATAGCGCTTGTGAGTTGGTGCGCACACACAGCCTCCCTGATACCTTCAGACCGCTTGTCGTTTTGCTATTTTTTTCTACAAATATCCGATTTCCCTCATTTTCCGTTTGCAATTACGATATACATATGTCGCTGAATTACGAAATTCAGCGATATATGTATTTTTGTTGCGAAATGGACTTAACATTGGGAAAAATCGTGAACAAAGCGATAGACAGTCGGTCTGCATTTGTGCGTAGACTAACACGGGACGCGCAATTGCGTACGCGGCCCTCATTTTTTTTTCGCAGCACACTTATTTTGGCGTCGTTTTACGCGTATTTTCCCACCAAAAATGTGCATCTTTGTTGATTTTCAGATGTTTTCCAATAGAGCTGAGAAGAATACGAATAATGTAACAAATCGGGTCCTGCAGAACTTTGACGAATTTCGCAACGTGCTGAGAAAAGGGATTGAGCTTGACGAGTCGATTCCGAAGCATGGCAGAAGTGTGCGGGATAATTTGAGAGTTGCGGAGATCTATAAAGAAGCGAGAAATATATTCAAAAAAGTTTCAAATTCAAAACTATGGGAAATTATTACATTTTTAAGGCTAACGCGTTCAATATAATGGATATACCAGAAAATGATAGGCAGTTTATAAGGGAAAAACGAACGCAGTTGCAATCGATGGAAAAAACCGCCGAGGAGCGAATGCTAGCGATTTGTAAGTCATTATTTTTGGAATTAAAATGACAATTGGAAATTTTGTTTATTTCATTTTTCAAAGAGAAATTGCAATAAAAAATCAATAACAACACCAAATAAATTATTTTTTAGTCAATTTAAACTCAAAATTTAACTTTTTTGGTTGAAATTTGTTCTATTCTGCTTATTTTCAGGCCGTGAATTGGAGTCGCAAAAGCCGGAAACTTCTCGTGCTCGTCCGACAACATCAAACACAGCACCAGTGAGTTTTGAAATTATTCTTCGAGAGCTTGTGATCATATTATTGCTACTCCTATGTTTTTGTTGGCATTTACGCAGGAAAAATCGGCAACCGAAAAACACGTGTGTTCGAGAGGCGCGCGGTGTGCTGCCGCCGGCACAGAAGCACCAACTAGCGGACCATCGACAATCGGCCAACGAAAACCGCTAACCCCAATTAAGACCCCCAATCGAAAGGTGTTGATTTTGTTTGAATGGAATGCTTTGAAATCGAACAATTTTTGACCAAAATTTGACATTCGTTATTTTGCAGATTTCTAGGAGAATTCCAGCCACTTCAATCAATAGAACCGCTATTTTGAAAGGTGTTGATCCGAAGTTTGGTGAGAGACTGCTTGATGAGATCCTTGATCAGACGGGAGTCCGAATGGACGATGTCGCTGGATGTCGAACGGCGAAAATCGCACTCGAAGAAGCTGTCATTCTGCCAGCGTTGAATCCGCAGTTGTTCAGCGGCCTTCGGCAGCCGGTCAAAGGGATTTTGCTGTTCGGACCGCCGGGAAATGGGAAAACACTACTGGTGAGCAGAAGAATTGATTTCTTTTTTAAGGGATATTTAACAGAATATCTGAAAATAAAGCAAATTTTGCAAAAAATAAAAAGAAAATTGGACGTTTTCAGGCAAAAGCTGTTGCTGGCGACTCGAAGCAGACATTCTTCAATATCAGCGCGTCTTCGTTGACTTCGAAATGGGTTGGTGATACTGAAAAGACGATTCGAGCGCTTTTTCAAATTGCCCGAAACGCGCAACCATCAATTATTTTTATTGGTGAGTTGATTTTTTTTAAAATCATTTGTCATAAAGAAAGAATCAATGACTTTTGCGAATCAAAAAATGTTTTTTAAAAAATGCAGTTTTTTTTGCGAAAATTAGCCAATTGCTATAAACCTGCATTCAACCAATTATTTCCACGAAATTTTTCAGAGTTAATCAGAATTGTATTTAAAAATTTGAAATTTTAGCCACGAATTGTTTCGAAAAATTACGAAGCTGTGAAAATTGTAATGTTTCTGAAGAAGCCTAATCGCATGCGCCTTTAATTCCGGTTTTGTGATCATATTAAGGCCAAAAACTGTTTTTTTTTTGTGCTTCGACCTGAAAATGGACAAGCCGGAGTTTTTTTTCTAAAAATTTCTAATTTGTTTCTACATAATGAAATTCATTTTACTTTTGTTAAGGCTGCAAGCTCAAAAAGAAAAATTTGCTTTCAAATTGAATTTCTCGAAACCACACAAAATTCAGATGAAATCGACTCAATTCTTTGCGAGCGAAGCGAAAAAGATGCCGACGTCTCGCGACGAATGAAAACCGAATTTCTGGTGCAATTCGACGGCGCCACCTCGTCCCCAGATGATCGGATTCTGGTGATCGGGGCGACGAATCGACCGTATGAACTTGACGACGCAGTTTTAAGGTTTGTTTTCGAAGATGTTACACAAAATCACAAATTGTTCAAATTTTGAATGGAAATTTTTTCGAATTTCGTGTCTCGCTTGGAAAATATCAATAAAAATCCGCTTTTCAGACGTTTCCCAAAGCGAATTCTTCTCGGCCTTCCCGATGAAGAAGCTCGATATGAATTAGTGAGGAAAACGCTCCAGAAGCACAATATGCTTTCAGAATTATCAGATAGAGATATTAGGTAGGAAATTTGGCTAAAATAATTGAAATTTTTGAAAGAAAAAATTCGATTTCAATTTTAAGCGCGTAATTTTTTGATTTCATTATGAGAAAAAAAACAAAAATGCCTATTTTTGGTTTTGTTGGGTACAAACGAAATCGTTCCTTAAAATTTTTTTGAAGACGAAATCATATTTTAAGTCATCGTGAATTTCCAGATATGTGGCATCTCGAACAACGGGCTACTCGAACTCGGATCTCGTCGCGTTGTGCAAAGAAGCGGCGATGGTGCCGATTCGCGGAATGGACAAATCGAAATTGGCGTCGGCTAGCAAACACTCGCTGAGACCGCTGCAGAGAAACGATTTCGCCGAAGCGATGCGGGTGATTCGGCCGTCGACGTCCGAAAAAATTATGTCGAAATTATGCGAATTTGCCAAAAATTTTGGCTGCTGACACTTTCATGTTTTTTTTTTTTCAACGCGTTCTTTCGATCTCCTAAATAAATCATTTTTCCATTGATCCAAAAAGAACAAACGAAATTATAAATTAAAATATAAATTAAAGGAACCCGTAACAAATTAGGCGACATTTGGTTGAAGCTCGACGCCGTTCTTCGGCTCTTCTTTGACACGCGTCGTTCGCACGAAGAACATTAAAAAGATCGGCAGGAAGATGAGACCGTGGATCATCGAGAAGATGATGACGAGGAAGACGGTCTTGAAGAAAATGATGACGATGTAGGCGTCGACGAGAGCGAGCAGTGTGATTCCGAGCAGCGTCGACGAAGCGCCGAGAAACACCGGCCAACCAAGAGTCTCAAGGGCGGCGACGGCGCGTTGATGAGAGGTTCCGTAGCTCTTCAAAAAACATTTATTAGATTGTGGAGGGGCTGGGTCTCACAACGATTTCGCGCGCTTTTTATTGTTTGCTTTGAAATCGCCTAAAAATTCAAGTTTTTTGAAATTGCATCATTTTGCCTAATTAAATTACCAGCGATAAATTTTATCTTCGGGTCCCAAAGCAATCATGGTGTTGTCGATTTACGGGGGGTTTCTTTCTTTAATCACAACTATTCACTTTTTTGCTAATAAATTGAAAATATTGATTGGCGATACTAAAATTTCGCACCGAGACCCCCGCCCCCACTCAGCAATCGTTCTCACCTGCGAAAACGCGTAGGCGATATGCGCCGACAAATCCACAGCAAATCCGATGCACATGATAACCTGCAATGGTTTGTTTGAATTGATCAAATTGATTAATTAATTAAAAACAAATTACCGTGATTATCGAAACGCTATCCAAATTGACTCCCCAAAATGACATGAATCCGAGAACACCTTGAGAAAAGAAAAAAATGAGATTTGAAAATAAAAACCAAAAAAAAAGAAAGCTCACCAACATTAATACTAGCAATTGAGACGACAATCGCCAAAGCGCAACGAAACTCAGGCACCATCAATAGGGAAATGGCGAGAATCGTGATGAGATCCAAACTCATATTTTGGAACAATGACGGCGTCAACTCGAAATACTGATCGGCGAACGGATAATATTCATGGAACGTCGTCACGTTGAACACCGCATACTTTTCAGCGATCGAGCGCATCAGCTGACAGCTCTTCGTGTGATCCGTCGGCGTACGGTAGTTGCGGAGTCCCAACTGGAAACGGAACGCTTTCAGACGGGGCACCTCGTCGATGGTGGAGTTCGCCCACACCATGTCCATTTGCCAGAGGCGACGGCCGCCGGCGATCAGAAGCCAATCGCGACACCGCTGATAGTACTCGTCGGACGAGTTCGGCTTCTGGATGTTGAGCTCGACGAGCTCCGATTGCAGATGGGTCTCGTAGGCGCGAATCCAGAGCATTGTCGCGTTCTTGTTCATCGTATAGTGAGTTCCTTCGAATTCTGCAATTTTTTTTTCATTTTTGATTGATTTTGAAACGACTTTCTCAAGTGACCTCCAAAAATGCGAATTCTGATCGAAAAATTTTTATGCAAAATCTAAAAATTCCTTTTTATTTTCAGCAATTCACCGAAATATTCGTTTTTCAAATATCACTTCAACACAAAATTCAAAATTTTTATATTTTCAAGATTTTTTAGAACGAAATTGTCCAACTTCGCTTCTCTCGGTGTTTTGTTGTTCGAAACGAACAAAATTTTACGAAAATGAACAATAAAGAAATGTTGAATTTTGAAATATTAAAAATTTTTGCATATTTTAGGAAGAAATATCGAAAAACTAAAAAAAAAATTTTTTTTTTGTGTGGAATCTGAATAGTACCATTATTGTACTATGCTCATTGCGGAAAACTGTTGTTAATCATTTTTCGACGTTTTCTTTTTATTTCAAAATCTGCCATGAGCTTGTAGAAATTGCCATTTAATAATGGAAATAATTTTCAGTTTGAAAATTTTGGTCGATATCATGAATTCAAAAAAATGTTTGTCTGTAGCCCCATTTTGGCCATTTTCTCTTTATGACAATGACAAAACGCGAATATTTCGCCACTCACCGCTCATCATTCGATCAAACATCGTTCGCGACTCATTCAGAAACAAATTCGGCGGATTGCTCACAACAACTTGCATTTGGAGTCCTAAACAATTCGAGAAAAATTCAAAAATTAAAAAGACAAAAAAAAAAATCAAAATCGCACCTTCTCTCCAAAACGTTTCATCGATGAGCTCGTAAAATTTGGCAAGGTAGAATGATTCGCGCACAAGCAATTTCGGATCGAGACCTTCTTTGATGTTCAAACAACCAACGATGGCGAACGAGATGTAGACAATATAAAGGAGAAGAGCGCAGACCTTCAAGTTCATTACTTGCCAACGACTACTAACTTACTGTAGCATTAGTTTACCTGTGTGCTTCTCTGCAGAATGAAGGGACCAATAATCTCGCGGAAAACCTTCGAGACCAACGTTTCCTCTTGATTATGCCCTGGTTCCGCGTCATGAGCTTCAAGTTTCGATTCAAGCTTCTCAACGATATCGGACCATTTCGATTTGCTCTCTTCCTTTTTGTCGGCCACCTTATTCGGCCGCTTTCGAATTATTGAATCATCACGAGTTTTGCGATTCACCGAGCCAGAAAGCAGCCATAATTCGAGTTTGTTTTCTACAAAACAAAATTTTGTGTCAACTTGATATTTCCAAAAAAAATCAGGGACCCCAAAAATTGAGTTATGACGCTTTTCGACCATATTCACGCCTTTTTTCTTAATCAAAATTTCGCCAAAAAAACCAAAAAATTCAATAAATAGCATTAAATCATTCGTACCAGTCTTCTCCGGATCGACGGCTTTCCTGAACAACAATGAGTGCTGATTGTTGTCCTCCATTTCGGCGGCGTAGCCCAATACGGGTCCCAGGAAGATGATCTAAACGCAACTAGCAAGATAATAAGCTGATATGAATACCTGGTAGACATAGCAGAAGAAGCACTGAACACAAGTGTACAAGCAGAACATTTGAACACCTGGAAGTGTAGTGTAGCAGCCAACCGCGAATGTGGTCTGAAATAATTGAATGCAAACAGAAGAAGTAATTCAAAATTGCATTTTTTGCCAATTTTTTTGCTTGACCAAGTCCAAATGGGGTCAGTAATAGATATAATAAAGAAATTTTCATTCATTGACGTTCAAAATTCTTACAATATCGGTAATCGAGGTGATTGAGATGGCGACAGCTGCCTCGGACAACGTGTGACCGATTCGGACCTCCGGTGAATCTTTGGGATTCGTTCGATGCCATTCAGCCGACATGATGAACAAATCGTCGATTCCAATACCTTAGACACTTTAGTAAAACAAATTTTCAACACGAACTCACAAAGAATAAGGAATGGTGAGACATTCACAATTGCATTGTAGAGCTGTCCGGACCATAAAATGAGGCCCCATGAGGTTATGGTGGCAAGAATCGGCGTGAGGAGTCCCGCAGCGGCAACCATCGGCTTACTTCGCACCCAGTCGATCGTCACAAGACCCGAGTCATGCTTCTTGAAGACGACGGAGACGAGGAATGAGAACGTGTAGAGGATGACGCAGGTGCCGGCGAACTTGGGCGTCAGCGTGTCGGCGACATCCTGAAGGCCTTCGGGTAGCGTCGCGTTGTAGGTGATGCCGAACTCGAGCAACTCCGACACCGGATTCCGTTTGTCGGTGATCCATTTGACGAGCCGCTTCCGCCACTCGAACCCATATTTGTCGACTTTGCCCTCGCGTGTGTTATAGGTGAGGCGAATCGCGGTGGCGAAATCAAAATGACCGTATTCGTCGACGAGATTCGGCGCGCCGACGAGCGCCCCGAAATAGATGGGCTCGGTTCCGCGCCAGCCAATCGGATAGGTGATGTTGACCTGATTGTTGATGATGTCGCTGGCGAACTCGGCGATCGGTCCCGAAAAATTTCCCCAACGCTTTTTCGGCATCAGCATGGTTATGTGATCGTTGAGGAAACAAGACCAGTCGTATCGCATGCACAAATCGGTATAGGCAATCTAAACAATCAATTCGTTTCAAAAGCATTAAGAATTTTTCCAAAAACTTCATATTTTTTCCCGTTAATTTCGGCTGGCACTGTGAGATTATGAATGATGTAGTCATTGATACGGGCGACTTCATCCAAATATTTGATATTTAAAATATTCGGCCTTCCATATTCGGGATGATTTTTGCCGGCCGCTAAAAATATGGATTTATAATATTTAAATAGTATGAATTACCAATAACGTCGATGTAGCCGTTCAAATCGTAGCTTTTTCCCGGCCAGAATTTGTCCTCGTCGAGCGGCCAGTGCTCGGTGAGCACGGCTCTCTCGTATCGCCATGGCGCATTGTCCGGTGAGAAAACGTACTGTGGATCGCGAGTTGTCTGAAACGAAAATGCGTTTTCGGCATGCAGGAGCAAATAAAAAATTGTGTGCACAATTGCGCTTCGGTGTACGCACAAAATTTTTCAAATTTTTTCTTTTTGATTTCAAAAATCCCGCAAAATTTTTTTCACAACATTCAGCAAACCAGTTGAATTCTAGACGTTTCGAATTTCAAATTTTCTTGTTTGTTGATCATTCGACCTTGCAAACCACATGTAAATCATAGATCAACGATGAATACACGGCAAATCGTCTTGTTTTATAGCCTACCTGCTGTTCAAACCACACAAATCCATATGAGGAGAATGCGACAAGCGCGGCGGTGAATAATAATGAGTAAAGGCGATACTGAAAGAAAAAATTGGCGGAAATTCTCGAGAATTTTTTTTTTGCAAAATTTGACGTACCCGATGCACATGGACCCCTATTTGGAAGAATATCGCGTGAATTCGATCATTTATGGAATCCATTTTTAGGGCACATTGACTAGAACACGCTGAAATTGGTCGGTCATCGATTTTATAGGCGAAATGAATGAGTCATCAACGGAAAAGCTGTAATGATTACAATAGCGGAAACCTGTTGATTGTCCGCAGCATGGCGTCATTGTATAAGATTTTCTTAACTTCAATTGCCATTCATTTGATCTATACCATCCTCCAAGGAATTTTCAAGTTTTTTTTTAGTAGCTTTTTGGTATTGACGAGATTTTCTCTCAAAAAACGCATTTCAAAAATATTCTCATAGTAAAAGCGTTGTTAGTGATAGTAGCGTATGGTTATACGCCTTTAAATTCTCCGCAATTTCAATACGGTATTGAAATACCAAAAAATATGAATTCCAAACATGACAAATATACATATATATATATATATATATATATATATATATATATATATATATATATATATATATATATATATATATATATATATATATATATATATATATATATATATATATATATATATATATATATAGTAAAAAAAAATAATGCGGGTGTTCCGCAAAATCGATAAGAGGTTGAAAACCAGAGAGATAGAGAAAATCATCAGGATTTCGGGCTTCAGTTTGTATGCGTGAAGGCGAAAATTCGGCAATCGGAGACCTGTTCTGTTTAATCTTCTCCTTCTCCTCCCCCCGTCGTCGTCGGATGATGGCGATGACGAAACTATTCGGAATCGGCTGAAGCGCGTAAATCGACATCACAATTAAGTTGACACCACGTTTTTTTTTTTGGAGAACACCTTATTTTTTCGCGATTTTTTGTGTCAAATTTTAGTTTTGAAACACCATTTCCCCCAGAATCTTCTTGAAAATCCCCGCCAGAAAACATTCGTCTCAAAACTATCTAATGAGATGCGAAATTCTCAAGAGTGTCAATCTAACCTTTCCGGTTTTTTTCGCCACTTGAGCGAAATCAACAAACGAATTTATTCGACAAAAAAAATGTACACGTTGTTTTCGAAATTTCACAAATATTATGCACCGTTTCAGCAAATAATGGCTCCTATGTCGTTTTTTCGCTCACTTTCTCTATTTGTGATAAAGTGTCTTGAACAGATCGACGTCGGCTTGAAGGAGCACCGAGTTGGGAACGAATGAGATTTGCGGATTGAATAGACGAAGGGGCGATCTGAAAGAATGTCAAAATCAAAAAAAAAAAATTAAATTCCATAAAAATCTACATACCGTATCGAATCAACATTGAGATCAAAACCTTGAGCAGTCGCCGAGTTCACGAAATTCTGAAGAGCGGTTTTGGTGGTCCGTCGAAGTCCATCAAGGTCCGAAACCGAAAGACCAAGAAAATTGACGTCGCGAGTGAATTCAAGCGTCCGTAATGTGATGGTCCCTAAAAAGATTCAAAATTCCAAAAATTCTCCACCCGAAAAAGAAACCTTGCAGCTTATTCCTGATTGTCTTCATATTCACAACAACGATGGTGGTGAATGGAATCACGCCAATTTTTTGTCGGGTGCCCTCGATGAAGAAAATGCACCTTCCGCCCATGTTCACGGTGGCGGTGTCTTGGCTCAGGCTCACCACCGGCGGTTGCGACGAGCGAACGATCAACTCCAATCGGCGATTCGGGTAAATTCTCTTGATCTAGAAGATCATTTCTTACAAAAAATGGCAGGTTTGCGAAAATTTTTAGAAAAAAAATCTAGCGATCAGGAGAAATTTGAATAATTTATTCGAAAATCGTACCTTTCCAACTTCATCCGAAATGCAGACTTCGTCCAAAGTGCACGACGTCTTCAGAAGGCTTCCGATTCCTGGTGTCTTGGAATCCACGTGGAAAAGAAGCGAATTCGTTCTAAATTTCACAAATTTTTGTTTGAAATCAAAAGAATTTTGGTCACCTATGGGCGTGGAATAGAAGACTATTCAATGTGTACTGCGAGACGACGACGTCAACCATTTTCCTCGGATTTCCCGAATACTGCGGAAGGCGGAACGGATAAGGAGCGATGTAGGGCGACGAGCCTTCTGAAACAATGAGAAGCTTGCACAAAAAAGTGGGTGACGCATTTTTTTTACGCGATCGCAAACTGTAGACGTTTCCCGAGATTCCCAGCGAAAAATCATTTGTCGATGCGGCGGCGTCGAGAAGTCGCATGTCGATGAGAATATGTCCAAGGCGATCCTAACAAAACAAAAACACATTGGATATTCAGGCGACGTTTCGCATCGCGTCGAGACCACACCACCAAAACTTACAATGTTGAAGAAATTGTTGACATCCTCTTTGGAGAGTTGAATTCGCCGAAAATTCGCTGAATATTAATTAAGAAAACGCACATCGTTATGTTTTATTGGTATTGTTTCTCTTCTAATTCTACTATTGCCTGATTTGAACAAAAAAGAAACCGTTTTCGCTTCAAGCTAACTTGAGAAAAAATATGGCTCCTTTAAGTTAAAAAAAAACAACATTTTCAAAAAATCAGTTTGTTTTGTTTTTTTTTGTTCGAAAATTGGCCAACCTGCTGGGACCACCTTATTTGGCTTTATAGGTCCCTCAGCCTTCTCAATATCGTCATAATAATCGTTGTCATCGGTGGCGGCTCTCGTGTGCCTTCGTCGAACCATGGCGGTGAAGCTTCTCGCCGGCGTGCTACTAGATTTTTTGATATGATTCTAAAAACCACAATTTCGATAATATATTGATCATACGTGTGCATTAATTACTGAAATTACGATCTCCATGAGCTCTTTGGCGGAAAAACTGCGCGGAATTCTCGCGAGTCTTGTAGAAAAATGCTGTTGGGTTAGACGATTCATGTGCTCGCAGATGGCTTCTTCCAACTGCATTCTCGATTGGCTTGAGAGCATATTCTGAAGAATTCGGGTAAATCACATCATTAATAAAATAAGATCACCCCGAATTTCTGATTAATCGAATCCGTTATCAATCCCATATTGGCTAGTTGCGCAAGCACAAATCCACCGTCGATTCGACATTCCAAAAATCGAAAATACGGCAAATCGTTCACTGTCTTCTGCATGTCCATAACAGCACTAACTCCAATGTTTCTGCCTAAAAATAGACCAATTTTGTGCGATATTATCCATTAAAATTTGATAATGATCGTTCAATGAACCGGTTTCAATGAGTAATCGACGCCATTGGTCATTTTCTTTGTTTCGAGTTTTTCGTTTTTGTTATTTCGAAAAAAAAAACAGCATTTTGGGCTGGTTCGTTCCGTTCCTCTCAACTAATTATTTGTTCGCATATTCTCACCAGTGACCACAATTGTTCCAGTGATTGGAATCGGCAGAATCACTTGAATTGTGCCGCTTAGCTGTCCGGTAACCCTGAAAGCACAAAACGAAACATATATTTGAAAAATGATCAATTCGGCTGCGAAACGAACATAAAGTCAAAATCGTTGACGCGTATCCGAAATCGATTCGGGAAATGGGGTTCAAAGGCGACGAAACTCGGCTGCCGGAACGAGGCCATCCGGAATGAATCAGCCTGAATTCGATTTTCGGCCTTTTGTGTTAAGTTCTTTCTTTTCCCTCAGACTTACGTTCACGCATCCTTCAGTGAAGCATTGCCGCGTTGATGGAATCACAATTCGCGGCACTTCGTACTCAATAAGGCCCTCTAAAAAAATCAATAGGATTATCGAATCAGACATTCTTTTTTTTCTAAAATTTTATTTTCGAATCAATTAGGTCAATGCACTTTTCGATTTCAAAAGTTCAATTAATGCTTATTTAATGATTACGAGAAGGTTGAGTTTATCAAACATAAAAATCTACGAAAAAAAGCAAAAAAATAATAAAAAAAGTGAAATTTGAATGCGCCGGCGATTGCGGACAAGGCGCCATAACTTACGCACTTTTGCGAACTTATAATTTATTTTCCAAATTTTGACAAACCGTAGGCATTTTAATGGAAAATTTCAGATTTTGATTCGATCCACTTACTAACTATCAACGATGCTTGATCGAAAATCTGCCGATTCAACCTCACACGAATCGCCGGCCTCAGTTGTTGGGCATTTGTCTGCAAATTAAACAAACTGTCCTCTCCACCTCATTTTGTCAAGGTTGTCACAAAATCATTCTAGCCTCCAACCGCAGATGAATTCCATTTCAAAATTGATTTGACCAGTTCGTGATGTTGTTTTGGTCGACAAAAATTTATAGCGGCATCGAAATCGCACAATTTTTCAAACTACATTCTAATCGCGAACAGATATGGCGATGATCAAGGTCGAGAATAATTTTTTCGCGAAAAAAATTGTGGCCGGTTCCTTTTCTATTTTGTAGCGTATTTATCAAAAGTAGCTACCAAATTGTTGCGATTTTGTGATAGAATAAACCAGTCGAATTTCTTGAAATCATCTGCGGACAATTTCGTGAAATCGTGACAAAATAAACTAACCAGGAACAATAAAAGGATGCACGAAAAACTACAGTAATAATAATAGTGATAATTAGCAGATGGGTAGAATCGCATTAAGACCCTTTTTAGTTCATCGATGGGTGGTCAAGATGGCGGTGTTCGAAGTAAACTGCGAGTACTCGAAGGGGGGCGGCGCAGCAGTAGAAAAGATACGTTGATGATGATGATGATGATGACACTGTGTTTTTTTTTTCGGCCTGAGAATCGCCGCCGTTTTCAGACCCCCCCCCTCTATCGCTCCGCCCATCTTCTTATGCAGCAAACGGCTGGCAAGGACACCGGCGAATTGGACGGAACGAGCGACCCGGTTTCGTTTTCGGAGGTCGAATTCCATTGAAGATTATGCCACGCGCTTATGCCAAATGTTAGCTGCGGACAATTTTGGGAGTTCGATTCGTTGTTAATACAAGTGCAGGTTTCTTCCACGCGATTTCGATAGGCTAACGTGGCAGCCTTTTAGGTGGGGATGCAACATTTTAGCCTGGAACGCGAGCGGTCGCGGGATCGATCCCTTCTCCAACATTTTTGTTTTTGCGATGCATTTTTAAAGGAATGAAACTCGGTAAATCACAGTGGACACCGCGCGGACGCTCAACGGACGAGCAGCAGCGTCAGATCGGACGCCGCTGTGCGTCCGATATGCGTCCGTCGGACGATATCGTCCGCGCGGATACCGTCATTCGTCCGCGCGGTATCCGATATGTGCGTCCGCGCGGTGTCCGCGAATTTTCGATCATCGGCGTCCGCTCTGACTCTGCTGCTCGTCCGTTACAACGTCCGCGCGGCGTCCGCCAATTTTTTCTATAGAAACGCGTCCGCGCGGCGTCCGCTGTGATTTACCGAGAAACCGATTGGAAGAGCGTTTGGTTCACCTTGAATATTTTCGCAATTATTTTCAAATATGCATGTGTATTTTGAAAGCGGACAGGTTTCTTTTGACACCGAAGAAAATATTTGGCCCCCAGTTTGATTGGAAATTCCTTGGAATATTTGTTCAACGCAATCAAATTCGAGGACAATTGCGCTTCAAAAAAAAACGAGAAAAAAAAACACGGGATTCGTGACACTTGCAAAATTTGATTGATGAGTTCGGTGCTGCGGACAATTTCATCCAACGGCTTTGTTGAGATGAGCGGGCGCCGAATTCATAAACACAGTTCGCGATTGCAATGCAGACATCTCAAGGTGAAGTGGTTAACACTTTTACCGAGCGCGCGAGACGTCAATGGTTCGAGCACACTACATGGAGGAATTTTTGAAAACTTTTTTTTCATTGAAAAAAAAAGAAACCATTGAGGAAACAGATGGTAAAAATTGAGATTCTCGTTTAGAAACGTTGATTTCCACTGCTTTGAACGCTGCTATTCCGTTTTGGGAATACGCGAATCTCATTTTTAGCGCTGCTCGTCCGCGACGCCATTTCGTCAATTGTTGCGAGTTTTGGCGTGATCCCGTCGACGCCAAATCCGGAATTTCACTGCAAAAAAATGGAACGAACGCAATTCGAATAAATGCCGATTAATGTGATGAAAGTCGTACGTGCACGAGACAATTGCCGTCACAATCATTCGATACTTCTGCGAGAACATCAAATAGATCAGAACCGTCGACGCCGAATAAGTGAGAAGGAGGAGATTGGAGAAATGATGAAGAAATTTGATGATTGGGTACTGGAAAATGCATAGTTGACAAAAATGTTTGAGCCGCGCGCCAATTGGTTTCATATACGCCTCTTGTGCCTAATGTCACATGTGGAAGTGAAGCATTTTATTAACAGTTTTGCCTGTGGCGCGAAAGGTGGCGAGTTCGATCCCGACCCACAACAAAACTATTTTTGCAATAATTTACCTTCATCTGAGCGCGATTTCCAAATATAATATAAGTCGATTTTGTGCCAGTGATGAACATATGGCAAACAGCGAACAAAATAACCATTACCAAAAGCATAGTGGTGGTTTTTCGCTCTTTTTGCTGCTGGAAAAACAAAACAGTTCGAGTGTCATTTTGAATTTTCAAAAAAAAAAAAGAAACTTGTGAAGTCATCAGCTTCCGCTCGCGTCTCGATATCCGCAATTGGCGAATAACTTGGGTGTTGGTGACGAGAATCACCATGAACGGGATGATGGTGTCGAAGACGATCGAGCGAATGCAATAGTAGATCCAAAAGTACCATCGGTTTTTGTCGGCTTCGTTGAGAAGCGGCGTGATTTTGCCGGTCGTGACGCTGAAAATTTGAGCGATTCGGCGATTTTTCTTCGCTTCAAATGTGCCAACTTGACGGAAAACTCGAAAAATCGCGAGACGTTGAAGACGATCGCGACGCCGACAATGTACACCATCGCCTTCTTCGTGTTGGTGAGCGTGCAGACGATTTGAACCTGTCGTACGATTTTTGAGCGCCTTGAGCGAGAATGGAGCGCACCTGAAGCGGACGGCACACGGCGAACCATCGTTCGATCGAAATGAGCACAATGATGTACTGGCTGCACATTTTCAGAATTCCCGACAACGGGTACGCGAATTTCAGACCGATGAGGCCGTATAAACGAAGGTGCAACGAGCCGCTTTCGTATTTGCGCGCCCTGAACTATATGAGATTCATGCTGCGGACATGGTTGCGGGTCGGCCAAAAATTGTCTCCAAAACAACCGACTACATATAAAAGTCGGAAATTTCTATTAAATCGGTCTCTTTAGTAGTAATATGTTGCAAACGCGCTCCACGGCAAACCGCTGTGTCGTTTTCGATCTACCCACCATATCGGCAGACTAAACAGGCAAAACGCGGGCATCGCGACGAGAAACATGAGCAAATCGATGAACGACAACGACAATAGCAGAAATCCGACGATATTTTTGCGCATTTGGCGTCGAAAATAGACGAGAATCGACAACGAGTTGCCGAACACGCCGAGAATTATGACGAAACAATTGGCGACGGCGAAAATCGATTGCAAATCGACATTGTTGGTCCGACTTGTCGAATTCGAGACGCTCTAAATTGACAATTAAGGCGAGCATTTGGCGAGAGACGACAAACCGAATTCATTGGGCAAGTTGGGACCATTGAATGACGCACCCCCCCCCCAGCGCTCAGACTTTAATTGGACCACATTCTTTACATTTGTGTGTGTGTTTTAATAGTTTATTCAATTCGAATCGTATAATTAACCATAATTATGCAATTATTGAAGTTGATGTGGATGAGAAAAAGCGGCGCAAAGTTGAGATCATTGATGGTGGTGGCGAAATGCACAAACGGGGACTTAAAGGGCCGCCCATTTTATAATGAGCATCAAACCAGCTGATATGAGGCCTGAAATACGCCATATAGCGATTTGGGTTGCGACCCGCAACGGTGTCCGCAGATGGGAGATGCTATTAGACGACGTACTTTGGGAATGCGCAGAGGGGCGAAATTTCAATTCTCCGGGAGTTGAGAAGCAAATATTATTGTAGACGTTTAAAGGTGCATCGAGAAACACCTTTAAATATTTGGCCACGAAATTTTTGGATTTTATTTTTTTTTTCAGAATTCTATCTTTAGATTCCGTTGGTTTTTGATGATTTTCGTCATAATTGAAAATCAAACAAAAAACGAAACTTCTCGATTTTTTTCGGACCAGACGGAACCGTTTTTCGAAGCGAAAAAAATTTGCGGAATGCCAAAAATCGTAAATTTGTAAAAAAAAATAATTAGAAAATGCAATTAATTTTTTTTGTTAAAGGCTGAAAAATTCTAGAGGCGTTGTTGCACATCGTGGTGGCCGAGTTTGCATGGCCGCGACACGATCTCTTCCATTTACTCCCCACCAAAAGGCATTTTGAATTTTAGGCCAAACTGCATATTATCAATTTTTTTGACATGGACCTTTAAATTTTTTTTTCATTATATCGACTTTTAAATTTTTAGTTTTTCCCCCTCCTGTGAATTATACATCCAAATGTTCGAAAACTCGAAATGAAATAGTGGGATGACTTATATCGCGATTATATCCTTATTTGGCAGGCAGTTAGTTGGTTACGGTGTCCTTAGTGGAGTTGCGGGTTTCTTTGCTTGAGGCAACTCCGTCAACGGTAGTTATCTTGATGACAAGACATGTGGAGGATTCCTGATAAGGAGAAGCCTTCCCCAGAGCCCATTTCGCAGCCAGCCAAGCCATTTATGAATCAGCTATGGACAAGGTGTTTCTGGAATGCTCCCAGCCTGAAGAAAGTGTCTAGCTCTTCTTCAAGACCCATTAGCCCACCGTAGCAATTGGTGGGCCCTTCTGTGAAGAAGATTGCGTCAGGCTTCACCTGATAAGAAGCGTGCCGAAAGACCGAACACGAAGTTTTCATAATTTGCGTTTGTTCATGAATGCAATCATGCGAATTATCGATTTTCGAAAATTCGCCTTCAATTTTTATTGCCTACAGTAATCTTTCATTCAAACTTTTTTAATTACTGCAAATTTGGGCTACAGTCAAAATCACCCCTGGTTTTGCACGACATTCCAGGTTGATTATACGTATTTCTAAACACCGGCGAAACCTGGATGATTGTCCGCAGATTGTAAAAGAATTACCAAGTTTTTTAAGACAAAATTCCAGTTTTGAAAATTGAAATTTTGCTTGTGAACTATATAAACATTTTTTGATAATTTCCCGTTTTTCGAAAATCGATTTTCAAATATGGTCCAAAAATCGAATTTTTAATAAAAAGTCCTATTTTTTTAATTAAAAAAAATAATTAAAAAAATAGGACTCAAATATAGATTGAATAATTAAAAATTGGGAGAGAACGCTGATTTTAAAAAATTGCACGTGTGTCATAGCGCTGCGGCATTCCAATCGATATGTCTTATCAAAACCCATCTGCGGACAATTTCGAGCGACTCACCGGCGACTGGAAGTGTCACCACCCACGAAATGACGACATTGCGGAAAATCGACCATTTGACACCTTCGCCGGATCGCAACGATCCGACGGCAACCACACTTCCCACCTGGAATTCATCTCAAAATTTTAATGGTCCCCCCTTGACGACTATTTTAGAATGTTTTGAATTTGAAAGAAAAATTGCCCTTAGACCCCACGCGAACCGCGTCGCGTCTGACGACATTGGTTTAAAGAGAGCTCACCAAACAATGCGTTGTGCTAATCGGCAATCCCAATTTGCTCGCCAACAGCGCCGTCATCGCGGCGCCGAACTCGATGCAAAATCCGCTCGCCGGATTGATCTCCGACATTCGCGTGCCGACGGTCCGAATCACACGATGTCCCAACGTCCAGAGGCCGATGCAAATCGCGAGCACGCCATAGAGGAGCACATAAATCGGCACCGCCTCGCTCTGACTCGTCGACTTGTAGCGATAGATGGAGATGAGCGCCGCCAGCGGCGCGACGGCATTGCTGACGTCCTGAGCGCCGTGGGCGAAGCCGGCGAAGCACGCGGTGAACACCTGAATGGTGGCGAACATCTGGGTGATGCTCGGACCGTCTTGACGATTGCGATCGGGTAGAAGCCACGCGACGAATCGCCGCATCGCGTTCGTCGTCTCGTCGGCGTCGGTTGGCGGCGACGTCGTCGATTTGGCCGATTCGAGATCGCTGAACGCGATGTCGGCGATTGTAGGTGGCGTCGCATCGGCACTCTGGATTTTGCGCTGGATTCTCGGCTTCATCACAAAGTGCGAAAACGCGGCGGCGATGAGTCCGACGCCGACGGCGATGATGAACACACCCCAGATTGGGATCTCGTTGAAGTGGAGCACTGAATGAGAGATGTTTGACATTCCCACCAACCTCCTATCTCACATTGCGATCCATCCCAGAAGATCATGATGGCGTTGAAGCCGAGACAAACGAAATAGAAGGCCGGCAGAAGGCGGAGTCCGTGCTCGACGGGATTTTTCTGCAATCGACGCAACGAATCAACGACGTGTGTGTGTGTGTGTGTGTGTGTGTGTGTGTGTGGCGAACCTGACGCAGGACGAGATGATCGACGATCAAATAGAGGCACGACGAGATGAAGCCGGAGAGCGCCGGCGAGACGAACCACGAGGCGACGATTTTCGCGATCGCCCACCATTGGATGCCGTGGAAGCCGCGCAGGACGACCGAGAAGCCGACGGTGGCGCCGACGAGCGAATGCGTCGTCGAGACGGGCATGTGGAGGGCGGTGGCGATGAGGAGCCAAGCGGCGCAGCCTAAAAACGAGCATCGCGTTGCACTTTATGTATATTCCATTCTTGCTGCGGACAATCTTACGGGTTCAATTTTTTGGACCCTTCAATTTTTTGTTGGACATGGGACCATTTTGATTGCTATGCACTTGCCTCCGAGAATCGCCACCTGTCCCAATAGCAGCTCCTTCGGCGAATCGGCGTACTGGCTGGTGTCGACGACGCCTTTGCGCATTGTGTCCGTCACACTCCAACCTGTTTATTTTTAAAACGACGTCATCGATAATGTTGGCAGAGGAAAAAAATTTGCATTCGCTCACCAACTAGTACCGAACCCAGCGTTTCAAAAATTGACGCCAAAATGTAGGCCTGGATTACGGTAACCACACCGGAACCTATCGAATAATATCAAAGAACAATTTTAGGTCGATTGGGTGAAACTGGATTCATACCGACAGATGTGCCGAATGCGTTTGAAACATCGTTGGCGCCCATTCCAGCGCCGAGCAAAAACGCGAGAATGATGCCGACGATGAGGGCCCATAGAACAGTGTGCTGCAAATTATCTGGTTGGCATCGGGTGTCGAACTTGCGGCATTCCGCGCGCTAGACGAAAACGGAAGCAATTAGCCAACAGCTAGCCTGTCGGCGGTGGCGCGAATAGCTAATATGAATTCGACGCGCAGAAATTATCCTTTTCAAAAACTGTCCGCAAAACACAAAAATGTGTACCTGATCGAAATTGCCGACGGCCGTGTCGCTAAACGTTGAAATATCCATTTCTACAAAAAATGAGTGTTTTGAAAATGCCGAACACACAAAATGGTATGCACAGAAAATAAAAACGAGTACTCGTTTTTATAGTATTCAATTTGGTCGGCCGATGATCGTTTGTTGGTGTCGGTAAAAATATGCGATGAGTAAGCAAATAGAGAAAGAGAGAGAGAGAGAAAAAATAGCTATTAAGCATACTGTAGCACTAGTTTTGCGATGTTGACAAGCTGTTTGATTCTTGAGACGATCTCGATAAAATTCGAGTATTTGATCAAAAAATTGATGTGGAGATTTCGATTTATGAAACAAAAAATGCGGCGGCGAGATTCTGAACAATTAGCGACACTGCGGACAATTCGCGGGTTGGCACGAAAAGAAATTGGCATTGTGTTTCGAATCGACGTTGTTTCTCACGGTGAATCATGCAACACGAAAAAAAAAATTGGGAAAATGACACAATAAATGACAATTTCGAACAAAACCACAATATAATATATATGATGATGATGATATTCGAAAAGGACTCGCGTGTGCGCAAATACTCGCAAAATTCAAGTGGCTTCTCGTCAATGTCCACCACCAAAGCCAAATTCGGCGACATCTCGTTTCGACTTTATCAATTTCATCTGCGGACAATTTTCGGGCCATATTTCCGAATATTCGTGAGTCACAATCTGAAATCGTTCTTCAAAAAACTACAATATTCTCAGGCATTTAAAATCATCAAATTGTCCGCAGATGGAAAAAATCTTAAATATTTTTGTATGTTACAGCGAGCCATAGAAACATTCATAAAATTGTGGATTCTTTTCGCACATTCTAAAAAATGACCGACTTAATCGAAATGAGCCGCTAATTATTGGTTCTTCCCAAGTAATTAGTCATGCGATTTTAATTAGTCGACTAATTATCGCAATTCCTATAATTGCTCCCAGAAGAGCTTGAAACTGTCCACAAATTCATATTAAATGATTGCTTTAACAAGTACAGTAGTTCATAGTTTTTTTTGCTCAAAATTTAGTGTAGACCATTGAATTGTCCGCAGATGGATTCTTTGAATTGCGAACCACGCGAACCTTAATTTCTTGAACCTTCTCGATGGCCTCCTGATGATATCAATCAAACAACACGAAACCATCGCTGCTACATGTATATCAATGATCATTCAAAGACAATCAAATCGCAAACGCAAATATTTATTGATTAATGTTCAACCCGTATCAAAATGAACCAGAAAAAAAAGTGTCATTCTCAGCGTGTATTCTTATAGCACGTGTCCAAATAGGTGTAGGCGAACTCGGCGACGAGCGATCGATCGGGAATGGCCTGCGCCATTCCGTAGATGGCCGCCTCGCAGTTCTTCTCCGACGGCGCCGGCGGATTCTCTTTGACGTATCGAACCGATTGGCGGCAGTCGTCGATGAACTGCTCGGCGAGACCCGGCCGCGTGTGATTCATCGTCACCATGATGTGAACGCCGGCGGGGAATTGAAGGCCGCTCAATTGCCATTGGCGCTCCTTCATCTGATTGTGGAATCGGAACACGTCGACGCCGTCGGTCGTCGTCCAGCTCACGATGCACACATCGCTGGCGCCGTTCAAGCGGATTTCCGGTATCGTCGCAAGCCCGTCGCGGATTCGTCGCGTCGTCTCGACGATCTTTCGCGCGTTCTCCGAATACTCGTCGCGACCGTGATACAGCATTCCCGCCCAGCATAGGGCGATGTTCATGCCGGATCGTGAGCCTTCAAGTGTTGCCGACGCATAGATGCCGCCCTGCCAATCGCTGTCGCAGAAATACTGATTGTGAAGAAGGTCGAGGTTGCGGTAGAGCACCACCGACGATCCTTTCGGTGTGAGACCATACTGCAAATTGATTTCTAGACGCGACTCGAATTCCACCCTCACCTTATGGGTGTCGGCTGAAATCGACGAGACGCCGGGAACGCTGAAGTCGTACTTGATGTCGTGCTGAATGAACGGCAGAATGAAGCCGCCGAGGCACGCGTCGACGTGCACTGGAATGTCGAACTCGACGCCGAGCCGTCCGATCGCCTCGATGTCGTCGACGGTGCCGTAGGGGAAGTTGGGCGCGCTGCCGACAAGCATGCACGTGCGCGAGTTGATCGCACTTCGCATTTTGCCGACGTCGACTTTGAACGTCGTCGAGTCGACGGGAATTTTGCGCACTTTGATTCGGAACACCTCGGCGGCTTTGTAGAACGCGGCGTGCGCCGAACTCGGCAGAACCCTAGAATCGAGGAGTTCATTGATTTTCGGCGTAGTCAATCAATATTACATCTCGGGATACTTGACGCCGCGTTTGATGAGACGATTGCGATGGGCGAGGCACGCCAATAGGATCGAGATCGATCCGCCGGTCGACATTGTTCCGCACGTGTTCGCGTCGCCGCCCATCAAATCGCAACACATTCGCACCACTTCGGACTCCATTTTGCGGACGCCCGGAAACAGTTTGGGCCAGAGCGGATTCGACCACGCGAACTTCTTGAACACCTCCGAATAGACGCGCATCTCATCGGCGTCCGACTCGTCGCTGAACACCGCGCCCGACACGCGTCCCTCCAGATACTTCGGACCCTCTGAAGGATGACGATGAGATTGATGGCGACATGTCTCATTCTTACCCATGCTATCGTAAATCTCGGCCAATCCGATGACGTCGTCGCTGCTCATTCCGGCCGTCGGAATGCGTTCAATGAATTTGCCGTCGTCGCCGTGATAGACGAGACTGTTGGCGAGCTCGTCGTTCACCTCGCCGAGCTGCTTCTACAATTTTGGAGTTGTCAAAAAAATTTTTGGATTGGCCATTACATTGATTTGAGCGCGAACCGCCGGAATGCTTTTGACGACGTCGAAGAATTTGGTGCGAAGACGGCGACGAATTCCGAGCTCATCGCGATGCATATGCCACAAATTGGTGGCGGTGTACGTCGACAAAACCGCGGCGGCGGTGAGAATCAACGGATCGACGGATCGTAGGTGATCCGACAGAATGCAGCGGTAGTCGTCGATGGCTCTCAAAATGTCTGACATGTTCTTGAATGCCCAATGAATTGCGCTTCAAGCTTCTTTTATATATATATCGAAATCGACGGGTCGCGCTCATCCCGCCCCCCTCACTTACTATCAGTTGTAATCAGACACTATCAAATTTGGACATCGGTGAGAGAGTGTGGAGAACGCGGAGGTCGTCGCGCCTGGACCGCCAAATTTTTTTTGGTGGCCGCTGATTTTGTGATTGGCGCCAAGGGACCGGTGGGGGAGAATTTGTATCTAGTGTGATCGGCTACAGTATGACACTAATGTTTTGTTGATGTGCTGCTGCTGATTGATGTCATCAATTCGCGCACGTGAGAGAGAGAGAGAAAATAACAAGCTACGGTAGATTACGGTAAGCTGCGATCCAGTGAGAGATAGAGAAAAAGAGAAATTATTCGGGTCCAGAAAATCAAATTTTTTTTTAGAATTTCTGCTTGTCTCAATTGATCTGAAGCTGGAAAATGATTTTTAATTGAAAATAATTTTTTAAAACAATTGAGCAAGATTTATATGGTGATCCTTTTTTTAAGAACATTGTATATTTCATGTGGCTTTCTGAAAGCGTCCACCAAGTGATACGTGCGCCTTTAAACGATACCGATAATTTCATAGAATGTCATCATTATTGAAATCGTATCTCAAGATGGTTGTGATCATTAAAACATCAGGGTTGTAGACATCAATCAGGCGAGCGCAGTCTCCCCCCATATCAAGCTACATTCACATTTTTGCTAACACCAAATTTTTTGCGTGTTCAATCATCTGCCCTCGTCGTCGTCGTCGTCATTATTTTTTCTGCTTCGCCTTATCAGTCGAATCGGCTGATTTCGTATCTAGTTTGCGCTTGAAACTCGGCCCCGCAAATTCGAGAATTGGGTGTGTTTGAAACCATTTTTCTGCTGCGGACAAATTCTGCGAGTGATTTCGTTCGTTCACGATATGTGGTCGATAGCCTTTTGACGCGAGAATCGATGACGATCGGCGCGCGGACGCGGTTGACGTCATCATCTGCAGATGATTCTAAATTTAGAATTTGGTAGCCGTTGCCCTAGCTTCTGATTCTCTACTCTTCTTTTTTTGCAGATATTTTGGGTCCTCAGATTTTTAAGCCTCAAATCACGAAATTTTAGAGGCCAAGATTACGGTAGCCTTTAAAGGTGCATGGGGGGAAACCGCTTAAAATATTCTGAAGCGAAAAATGAAATATTCTGTTTCAACCCCATAGATTTCTGTTAGCATGTGGGCTTATCTTCATAGTTTTTTTTTAATTGAAATTGCTAAAAATCGAAATGTCTCGAAAAATGGTTCATCCTGATTCCCAAAATTATTTTTTGGCTGAAAATTTTTGATCCAAAGCTCATTATTTTTTTATAATTCAACTTCTTCCACATTTTTCCAAAAACGGGATATTCAGGCCATGTCGTTCAAATGACAATCAAATCCAAGCATTATCAGAAGCTCTCCACGAAGGCTTCAGATTCTCAATGCTCATATCTTTAGTGTTCCAAATCGAATTGAATCTCCAAATTTGTTCGGTTCTTATCAAACTGCCAACAGGAATCGAATTGAACCAACCAGCTTTCGATTCGATCAGACTAGACACACAAAAATTTCGCGAAAGAAAGAATGTTCGCGAAAATAGATCGGAATTTAAGCTACACACTATTGCCTTAAAGATCGATCGCATGCACTTTTTTCCTTTTCTTTTTCCTCTTCGCCTGCAGAAGCATTCGCCCCGAACATCACGGATTGTCTAGTGGACTTTGGACTGTTCATTCGAACAAATCTTTTCGTAATAATTTTTGTAGATCTTTTTTTTTTGCGATTGCGTCATCAACACAAACCACATCAGGCCATCGAATTAACGATACTACATACACTAATTCGAATTCGCCATATAAGGGGGGGGGATGACACGATTTGGAGGAACCCAGAGACGTGACCTTGGAATTCTGCGAAAAAAATGATGACAGTGGTCCCAAAAATGGATATCCAAAGATTTTTTTTTTGAAAAAACCGATGTTCATAAAAGGGTTCAACTGATAAGTGTGTGTCTCCTGATTCGAAATCAAACTAAACACACACGGCACCCCTCTCCCCTGGGTTTGGGTTTAAAAACCAATCACGTGATCTTATCATTATTTCATAATACCCATAAAAGAGACGAATGAAAAAAAAAGCACACAAAATTATTTCGGACAACAATAGGCATAGACGGCGCCTTGTTCGCAGCGATGGCTCGCCGGGCAGAAACGATCGGCGCATGATTTGCCGATGACCGTCGACGTGAAGCCGTCGGCGCGCTCGACCAACGCCGGCTTTCGATTCGAGCATTCCGGTCTGAACGCCGCGTTGAATTTGCCTAAAATGGCATGCATTTGAATTGTGCACAATTGGATGCTCCTTTAAATACCAATATACTGTAACACTATTGGTCCGATTTAAAGGAGCATCGTTATTTTCATTTTTGCAAAATCCGATAAAGTTGCCGGAATTGTCGATTAATCGAAATTTGAAAATTCTGAAAAATGTTAATAAAATTCTGAGGTGGTAAAAATTTAAATAAAATTTTTAAAATATCGAAAAAAAAGTTAAATAGTCGGAAGCCCGTCTCACTTTGCAGATTCTCATCGCAACAGAATCCGAAGAACGCTCCCATCACGCACGTGTATCCCCTCGGACAACCATCATTGTTGAGTTTTGGACCCGGTGTGCTGATTGCCTTCATTCCTGAATCAATTGAGCATTTAAAGGCGCATTCGCGGTGCAACTACCCGGCGCCGCCAAATTTCCACACGTGTAATATTGACGATTCGATTTTCGCGCCGGACGCGAATTGAACGCGCATGAGAAATAGTCGGCTGAAATATTGAATCGCGTTTCTCTCCTCTTATTGATGGCATTTTGTCGTGCTGGCTTCAGATTCTTGCATTAGAAGAGGCGGCCGCCACGCGTGGCCGCGAATTATTCGGCCATCTGTCATTATTTCGAAATTTCTTTATTTTTTATCGGAATTTTTAAGAGATTTTAGAAGATTTCAAGAATTAATTAGATTTTTAAATGAAATCAAAAAATGCGATAGACTTTTTCTAGTTTTTTCCATACGAGATCCATGAAGTCAATTCAAATAATCAAAAAAAAATGATGAAAATAAAATTTTTAATTTTTTTAATCGTCGGAATGGAAGGAACTGCGCAAAACTCTACACAATGAGCATCGTCTCACCCATCACACACGTTTCGTAGCACGCCGCCTTCGTGTTGAACTTGTTCGCATTCCCGCCGCATCCTTTGTGCTCGAACGGAAGGCACTGGAATGTGTGAGCGTCGAACCAATATTTGATCGACGTCCGATTCTGCGGGCACGTCGTTCCCGGATTCCGATCGATTGTGCATTGCGGTCGGCCGGCAAGAATGTCCGGAATGTTCGATGCTGGCGCATTCTTATCAAACGCTTCAAATTCGGAAGCGTCGATGGAGAATTCTGAGAACCTCTATCAATTAGTTGGGGAAACTTGCTCAACTCACCAATCTGATTGCACTTTTTGTTCTTCGTATTGTCCAATGAGCTTCTCGTTCCGGCGATCTCTCTTCCGGTCTTCCTGTCGACGCAATAGCAGCGATTCGCCGACGGCTCGCATTGAAGCGACTCGAAGTCGCCGTGAGCGACGTCGCATTTCGGAATGAAGCTTTTCGCCGGCGGATCGCCATTTTTGAACAATTTCTGAAGGTAGACGAGACAAGCTGAAATTTATGACGATGGGTGAGTTTCAGAGTTTCAGAATGATTTGATTTTATGCAATAAATATTATCCCCATGTCTCCCACGGTGGTCCCGTTGGGCTTCTTCCTTGAAAACGCTTATTTTTGAAGTATTCATTTCTCTAGTGTTGGTTAAAAAAAAACAATAGGGGCAAGTTTTCGGGAATTTTTTTGCTCGATTTTTAACAGTTTCAGTTATTTTTTCTAAAACCCTAATCATTAAATTCGGAAAGAAATTAAGCATGCAGTAATCTTGCAACATATACAGTTCCACTCAGGAAACCCGAGAAAATTTCCGTACATACATAAGTGTGTACTACTACGTTTCAAAAAAAAACCTTCCACTGGACCCAATTCATTTTTTGCGTTTTGAGCCTTTAAACAATTATTTCATATTTTCCGAGAAAAAACAATTGATGAAGCTTTTTTTGAGAATAATTGTGAGTACGATAGTTGAAGCAATTTGAGATCGTGTTTCTCAGAAACAAAACATTCTAAAAATTGGGTTTCACCCAAAAAAAAAGCGGTGGCCGAGAATTCGCCGGCCACAAGAATTCGACCGCGCGAGTTGTCAAAGAAAATTTCAAAAATAAATTATTCAATCAATTCATACCTCCACATTTGGGTGTGATTTTACTGTTCGTCGTCCTCGTCTCATACGATATGATTCCGGAATGCGGTGTGACGCAGAAGCACGAGTCGGCGTCGCATTGAACACTCTCATAATAGCCTAAAACACGCCAACTATATTCGATTAACAAGACGCACCGAAACCGTGAATGTTACACTTGAAGTTGTCATTGTTGAGAACACAGGGTCCAGTTTCAGGCGACCTTTAACAATTCATTGATTGGTTTCGCTGGGAATGAAATTATATATGAACCTGTCTGACAAGCAGCCAACAAAATAGACGAATAATATGAGAGCTCGAAAACGCATCGCTGAAAATCAATTAATTTGTCTATATTTTTTTTGGAGACGAAAACGATGAAATTGCCAATTTCGCGAAATGTTATCAATTGAAGATTGTTGGGGAATGAGAAGAGAGAAAGGGTTATCGAGAATTAAAAAAAACACACACACACCCATATAGTACATTTTTGAACCCCAAGTTTTAGATTTTTTTTTGAAGAGGTCGAAGAATGTTGAAGGCGTCGGCACCCTTATCACTCTTCATTTTGTTTTCGATTCAATTTTGGAACTGAAATATGGTCAATGATGGGTGTTCGCTTCAAGACCCAAAGGGTTTTGTTGAGCTTTAATTATTTGCCAATTTGCTGAGATGCAATATTATGTCTAGGTTGTCCAAAAAGATAAATTATAATTCTTGGCCGAGTTTTTTTACGACCACCAATTTCAAAGAGTCGATATATGATTGTATCACAGTTTTCTGATCATTGATTCCCAAAAAAAATCGAAATTGAAATTTTCCATTTCTTTCAACAATAAATTTACTCGTCAACAACAATGTTTTATTCTACTTGCAACAATGGGAACACAATTCGCCATCGTCATCACTTTTCAGAGCGGGCGGCCGGCGGCCGTGAATAATTCGGCCATTGCACATTCCACGTCCACAAATATTTCTAAATATGTCCATTCTTTATTTTCTTGATTTCTATGTTTTTTTTTTCTAATGGCAATGATGAAAAATAATTTATTCAATCAAATTTGAAATGCAATGGAAAATAGATATGGAGAAAGAATGCCAGTTCCGCTACCATCATTTGTTGAATGACTCCTCGAACGTTAAGAATCTTAGCATTAAATTGATGCTTTTTCATGCATTCTAGAAAAAGAAACGCGTGGTCCGTTGTTGTAATAATTGCAAGAGAACACAACACACCAGGAAGTCGGCGAGGACAACAGTTGGCTCACGGTTGCATCGGCTCAGCCAGACCTCATTCGATTGAGTTTTTGAGGATGAAGGTCGTTCTCCTGCTCGTTCTCGTCGCCATTGTCGCGTGAGTTGTTGTTTGCGATGGTCCCCCTAACTAAGTGGTCCCAACTCTTAGGTGCGATGTGAAGCCGACGTGCAAGAACGGAAAGAATTCGGACAAGCTCAAATGCGACAAGAATGGCTATTTCGAGAAGATCCAGTGCAAGAAGAGCTCGTGCTTCTGCGTCTCGACGCACAACGGACAGATGGCGTACGACACGAGGACCGCGAACAACAAGATCCAGCCGAAATGCGGAAAATGCTTGGATGAGGTGGAGAAGATCTTCTCGAAGGGAAACCCCAGCATGAAGACGTTTGTTCCCAAGTGCGACGTGATCCTCGGCGACTACGAGCCGCTTCAATGCGACGCTAATAAGGATCAGTGCTATTGTGTGGATCCAAAGACTGGATTAGCCATCAAGGGAACCGAGAAGAAGCTGAAGGGCACCGAAAAAATGAAATGCGATGGAGTCGGTAGGATCAAGTAGCTCTTCAAATCGTTTGACTTGTTCTTTGGTTTCAGAATATACCGTGGATCCCGTATACTTCCAAACGTTCCCTGACGTCCTCCGTCCCGGATACGAAGCATCGCATTGCCTTGCAAATCGGGATCCGGGAACCGCGTGCTCGGGAAAAACGTCGTCGATCAAGTACTGGTTCGATAAGGAATCCTACATGTGTCTTCCATTCGAGTACAAAGGATGCGGTGGAAATGCGAATCGGTTCGATTCTGCCAGCGACTGCTATCGTCAATGTGTTCCTAGTAAGATTCTAAAGCGTGTCGCCTGATGATTGATTGTGTGTTCAGTGGATTATGCGACATGCGCAATGCAATCCTCGCCAGCCATGAAGAGCGTCGACATATCGTTTAACTGTCGCGAGCCGAGATTAATGGGTGCAATGGACGCCAACGCGCCAAAAGAGCCGAAGCTTCCGAAGCTGAATGCCGAAGGAGACTGTCCGGCTGGATATCAGTGCCGAAACCATGGAATGGTCTCGAATTGTTGCGATATCGAGATTACTGGTATCATCTTTTTCTGATTTTCAAAATTGCCTTATCTTCTTTTGATTATGCTGAATTCAGAGCTCTACAATAAGGAGACGAATCCGAAGTGTCCAGCGGGACAATCTCTGTTCACCGAGAAGCGGTACGGAAGCGACTCGGCGCTCATCGGCAAATCGTGTTCGGACAATTTCTGCCCGAAAACCCATAAATGCATTTCTGGCGAATTATTCGCGTATTGTTGTAAATAGAAAAAGAAAACTGAAAATAATAAATAATTTTTCGTGCGTTTTTAAATAATGGATTTATTGAAAGAAAACACGTGCGGGTCCAGGAAGTCGGACAGCTGTCGACTGATTGAACACCCGGGTTCGCAATTTGTGTCGGAGATAAACTCGGTGCTATTTGTGCTGCTTCCCAATACTTTTGGAGCCATCGCCAGTTTATTGTAACAATGGCTTCCTGTTCAAGTGAATTAGAAGAAGATGCTCCCGGGAAACGAATACTTCTCGAAGAAGATCGGTACGTCGAAGCTGCTTGAATCTCGTTCCTGTTATTCCACAATAATATCGCCTCTAGAGCTTGACCCTCAAAAGAGCAATTATATGTCTCTTCTTTAAAATGATCTCGACAGCGAGAATGGCGATCTGGAATTGGATAATCGTAATCAAACAAAAATGGGTTCAGCCAGTTGTTCGGCTACCAACTTCCGTGTTCACACATGCCAAGGATGTGACATCTCGAGGGTTCTGATCTTCCGATTCTGATCGAACACGAACAAACACACAACAGGGGCATTTATTTGCAACAATATGCGAACAAATCATTGGTGTAACATTTGTAATTATAAGGACAGAATTGGTGTGAACACGATTTGCCGAGCACCGCACTGTTGAAGTCACCACTGGTGTACAAGGATTGCCCTTTTGGGCATTTTGGAGAGTATTGAGAGTTGACGTATTCTGAAGAGAAGCTTTGCATTTAATAGCTCAGCTCAGATTTTCATACCATCAAGTTTGGCATCGCAGCACATCGAATTGAAAATTCCGCCCTGGCAAATGTAACCAGCTGGACATGTTCCATCAGCATTCATCTTCGGAAGTTTTGGCTCATTTATTGGCTTCCTCGAAATTTTCGGCTTATTTTCTGGGCTCATTGGACCATTGGCTTTGTCTTCGCACTTGAATAGGAAGCCATCGTTACGTCGAGCTGGCGATGAATGAAGTGCACACGGCGCATGGTCCACTGAAATCAAGAATAGTGCATTCAGAATCTGAAGAAGCATTTTTACTAAGCATGCATCTCCTCGTGCAATCACTCCTCGTATTGAAGCGATTTTTATTTCCACCGCATCCGTTGTATTTGAACGGATAGCACTTTTGAGTGTCAACGTCGAAAAAGTATTGAATGGCGGACGCGTTTCCACCGCAAGTCGTCCCCATATCGACATCCCCTTTGCATCGCGTAAATCTACTCCGACGAGATTCGGCTGAAGCACGGAAGATGGACAAGCCTCCATCTTTGACGAAGTATTCTGAAACCACCGAGATCTTCAAGACGCTATATTCATGCCATGCTTACCGATTCCATTGCACTTCATTGTTGAGTCAAATTGAAGCTTCTTCTCTGTTCCCTTGATGGCCACACCAGTCTTCGGATTAACACAATAGCAGCGATCCTTTGTCATATCGCACTGAAGGGGTTCGTAGTCTCCGAGAACGATGTCGCAGGTGGGGACGAATGTGTTGTTTTCGGGGACTCCCTTCTCGAACATCTTTTCGACGTCGTCCAAACACTTTCCGCACTTTGGAATCGTCGTGTTGCTATTGGTCCGCGTGTCGAATGCGATGGTCCCTTGAAGTGGCGAGACGCAGAAGCACGAGTTCATTCGACACTGGATCTTCTTGTAAAGTCCCACCTCGTTGCACTTGAATCGGTCATTATTGACACCGTATTTGCATTCATAGTCTTTCTCGCACCTGAAAAATCAAATGAAAATGGTCCCTGTTAAAGGCACACTTACAAGACGCCGACAGCGAGCATTACGATTATAAGGAATTGGGACCTCATGGTCAACAGAATGAATTTTGGTAGAGAATATTTCTGTTTAAATATTGTTGAGAATCCCACAAAGGACATATTAATGTAAGCAAATTGATAGGAAAATTTGCGAAACTATGAGAGAATTGACAATTTTTGCATATTGTTTTATTGATTCAAACACACCGTGGCACCTCATCAATTCTGTCAAGAACGCATTTGACTATTGAATGCGAAGTGTGAGAAATCGATAGAGTTATTGTTTATTGATATTGTTTATACTAGTAAACGTGTCTAGACAATTTTTAAAGGGACACAGTTGTTCTTGGAATTTAGAGGATCAAGCTCTACATATTATTGTGGAATAACAGGAACGAGATTCAGGCTGCTTCGACGTACCGAGATGTATTCATTTATCAGGATCCAGCTCTTTGGACCATATCAAATCACATTCTTCTAATGCACTTGAAGGGGAAGACATTGTTACTGACGATGGTTCCAACAGTGATCGGTAAACCAATTGCACAAGGAATACCGAGTTCATCTCCGAAACAAATTGCGAACCCGGGTGTTCAATCAGTCGACAGCTGTCCGACTTCATGGACCCGCACGTGTTTTCTTTCAATAACTCAATTATTTAAAAACGCACGAAAAATTATTTATTATTTTCAGTTTTCTTTTTCTATTTACAACAATACGCGAATAATTCGCCAGAAATGCATTTATGGGTTTTCGGGCAGAAATTGTCCGAACACGATTTGCCGATGAGCGCCGAGTCGGTTCCGTACCGCTTCTCGGTGAACAGAGATTGTCCCGCTGGACACTTCGGATTCGTCTCCTTATTGTAGAGCTCTGAAGTCAGCATAATCAAAAGTAGATAAGGCAATTTTCAAAATCAGAAAGAGATGATACCAGTAATCTCGATATCGCAACAATTCGAGACCATTCCATGGTTCCGGCACTGATATCCAGCCGGACAGTCTCCTTCGGCATTCAGCTTAGGAAGCTTCGGCTCCTTTGGCGCATTGGCGTCCATTGCCCCCATGAATCTCGGCTCGCGACAGTTGAACGATCTGTCAACGCTCTTCATGGCTGGCGAGGATTGCATTGCGCATGTCGCATAATCCACTGAACACACAATCAATCATCAGACGACACGCTTCAGAATCTTACTAGGAACACATTGACTATAGCAATCGCTGGCAGAATCGAACCGATTCGCATTTCCACCGCATCCTTTGTACTCGAATGGAAGACACATGTAGGATTCCTTGTCGAACCAGTACTTGATCGACGACGTTTTTCCCGAGCACGCGGTTCCCGGATCCCGATTTGCAAGGCAATGCGATGCTTCGTATCCGGGACGGAGGACGTCAGGGAACGTTTGGAAGTATACGGGATCCACGGTATATTCTGAAACCAAAGAACAAGTCAAACGATTTGAAGAGCTACTTGATCCTACCGACTCCATCGCATTTCATTTTTTCAGTGCCCTTCAGCTTCTTCTCGGTTCCCTTGATGGCTGATCCAGTCTTCGGATCCACACAATAGCACTGATCCTTATTAGCGTCGCATTGAAGCGGCTCGTAGTCGCCGAGGATCACGTCGCACTTGGGAACAAACGTCTTCATGCTGGGGTTTCCCTTCGAGAAGATCTTCTCCACCTCATCCAAGCATTTTCCGCATTTCGGCTGGATCTTGTTGTTCGCGGTCCTTGTGTCGTACGCCATCTGTCCGTTGTGCGTCGAGACGCAGAAGCACGAGCTCTTCTTGCACTGGATCTTCTCGAAATAGCCATTCTTGTCGCATTTGAGCTTGTCCGAATTCTTTCCGTTCTTGCACGTCGGCTTCACATCGCACCTAAGAGTTGGGACCACTTAGTTAGGGGGACCATCGCAAACAACAACTCACGCGACAATGGCGACGAGAACGAGCAGGAGAACGACCTTCATCCTCAAAAACTCAATCGAATGAGGTCTGGCTGAGCCGATGCAACCGTGAGCCAACTGTTGTCCTCGCCGACTTCCTGGTGTGTTGTGTTCTCTTGCAATTATTACAACAACGGACCACGCGTTTTTTCTTGAATACTTAAAATAGAAGGCACTTGTCTTTAATTATTAAATTCCAAAAAATAGGCATCGGAATTTCATATGTAATTATTTGAGCAGGCACGACTTTTCATTAAATCCGATTATTGAAGTACTCGACGTGCCGATTGCCGATTGAGGCATTTTCGCAGATGTTAGCAATTATCACCAATCGGTCATAATTCGTTCTCATTCCTCTTGTCCAGCTTCAACTTCAATTTGCAATCAAACTAGTTCGTCGTCTACTGAGCTTCCTAGAGGTGGTAGAATCGATTGAACGCCTTGAGATATCAACGATCAGGACTCTATTAACAATCCTGAATGGTAGCTGAATCGGCATGCTTGCGTGAGATCCAACCGATTCGAATTTCTAGACACATCTTGATGTCTGAGTCATACTTATTTGATGATGAGTCGTCCGGGCAACTTATTCATAGGGTAGCCCCTTCAGTGATCGCGTCTCTGTCATATCAGCCATTGGTTTGAGAAGAAATGTCGAAAAGTTAGAAGAGCTGATGGATCATCCAAACATTTTTCGGCTGAATCTTATTTTTCACTGTTGTCGTGTCATAAGCCAATTGGTATATTGTGTACAAGCACGAGCTCTTATTATTCTGGACTAGCTATTCACATGTAATTCCCACGTGATCCTACAAGAGCAATTATATCTCTCTCCTTTAAAATGATCTCGACAGCAAGAATGGCGATCTGGAATTGGATGATCGAAATCAAACAGAAATGGGCGAGCCAGTTGTTCGGCAACCAACTTCCGTGTTCACACATGCCAAGGATGTGGCATCTCGAGGGTTCTGATCTTCCGATTCTGATCGAACACGAACAAACACACAACAGGGGCATTTATTTGCAACAATATGCGAACAAATCATTGGTGTAACATTTGTAATTATTAGGACAGAATTGGTGTGAACACGATTTGCCGAGCACCGCAAGGTTAAAGTCACCACTGGTGTACAAGGATTGCCCTTTTGGGCATTTTGGAGAGTATTGAGAGTTGACGTATTCTGAAGAGAAGCTTGGCATTAAACAATTCCAATTTTCAGATATTCTTACTGGAAAGTTTGGCATCGCAGCACCACGACATGAAGGCTCCACGCTGGCACGCGTAATCAGCTGGGCACGTTCCGTCAGCATTCATCTTCGGAAGCTTTGGCTCATTTGTTGGGCCACTTCGGCCGGGTGGTATTCTATTGCCACACTTGAATTGGAAGCCATTGTTACGTTGAGCCGGCGATGAATCAAGAGCACACGAGAAATAATCCACTGAAACCGCGAATCATACATTCAAAAATTCGATGAAGCATTCTTACTAGGTAAACAACTATTCATACAGTCACTGTCCGTATTGAAGCGATTCCTATTTCCACCGCATCCGTTGTATTTGAACGGATAGCACTTTTGAGTGTCAACGTCGAAAAAGTATTGAATGACGGACGCGTTTCCACCACAAGTCGTCCCCATATCGACATCTCCGCTGCATGCCTTGAATTTTCTATGATGAGATTCGGCTGATTCAGGGAAGGTGAGGAAGTCGCGCAGCTCGACGTGGAACTCTGAAACCAAAACCAGATTTTCAAGACGCTATCTCATGTCATGCTTACCGATTCCATTGCACTTCATTGTTGAGTCAAATTGAAGCTTCTTCTCTGTTCCCTTGATGGCCATACCAGTCTTCGGATTAACACAATAGCAGCGATCTTTTGTCATATCGCACTGAAGGGGTTCGTAGTCTCCGAGAACGATGTCGCATTTGGGGACGAATGTGTTGTTTTTGGGGACTCCCTTCTCGAACATCTTCTCGACGTCGTTCAAACACTTTCCGCACTTTGGAATCGTCGTGTTGCTATTGGTCCGCGTGTCGAATGCGATGGTCCCTTGAAGTGGCGAGACGCAGAAGCACGAGTTCAGTCGACACTGGATCTTCTTGTAGACACCCGCCTTATTGCACTTGAATCGGTCATTATTGTCACTGTATTTGCATTCATAGTCTTTCTCGCACCTGAAAAATCAAATGAAAATGGTCCCTGTTAAAGGCACACTTACAAGACGCCGACAGCGAGCATTACGATTATAAGGAATTGGGACCTCATGGTCAACAGAATGAATTTTGGTAGAGAATATTTCTGTTTAAATATTGTTAAGATTCCCATTAAAAACATATTAATGGAGGCGTTTTAATGGGAAAATTTTGCACATTAAATTTAATTCGATGGGAAAAATTGTCAGTTTTTTTTTAATTCACAAAATTCATTTTAAGGGCGCACATTAATTGACTGCTGCAAGAGTGGCGAGACCAATTTTAAAGGCGCACATGATTTTTTGAAGGCGACAATTTAGGACATTCCAGCATTTTTATTATTTACAGCAATACGCGAATAGCTCGCCGGCGACACATTTATAGTCTTTGGGGCAGAAGTTGTCCGAGCACGATTTGCCGATAACACTGCTCGTGAAATCGTCGACCTTCGTCTCATAGATCTTCTGACCCTTGGGGCATTCAGGTCGCGTCTCTTTGTAGTAGAGCTCTGAGAAATCAATCATAGAATCTGCTCAGAAGCTGGCGCAACTACTTTGAAGCTTCTCCTCACAGCATGTGTTGAAGAAGGCGCCGCCGACACACGTATAGCCGACTGGGCAGCCTTCGGCGTTCATCTTCGGCTTCTTCGGCGTCTTCGGTGGCACGAATCCTGGTGGGAACGTCTGCTGGAACTGCGAACACTGGAATTGGCCTTCGTTGTTCTCTGCGGCGGCGCGCGATTGCATGGCGCACGATGAGTAATCCACTGAAGGTATTATTGATTCAATTCTACACACTTTTGAACTTGCTGGGAACACATGACTCGTAGCACGCGCCAGATGAGTCGAACCGATTCGCATTCCCGCCGCATCCTTTGTACTCGAATGGAAGGCAATGGAATGAGGTCTTGTCGAACCAATATTTGATCGAGCTCTTATTGCTCCCGCAGCTGAAGCCCGCGTCTCGATTGAAACCGCAATTCTCGAGATAGACTAGATCGAAAGTGATCATGAAATCGGGAAACGTCCGGAAATATACCGGATCTACCGTGAACTCTGAATCCTAGAAATTAGAAGGTGAAACACTATAAGACCCACCGATGCCATCGCACGTCATTGTCTTTGTGCCGTTGAGCTTCTTCTGAGTTCCCTTGATGACGGATCCCGTCTTCGGATCCACACAATTGCATTGATCCTTGTTGGCGTCGCATTGGACGAGATCGAAATCGCCATCGACGGTGTCGCATTTCGGCACAAATGTCCCGTTTTCGAGGTCGCCATTCGCGAACAATTTCTCCAAATCGTTCAAACATTTGCCGCATTTCGGCTGCATCTTATTGCTCGTCGTTCTCGTGTCATATGCCATATTTCCATTGTGTGCGTTCACGCAGAAGCATGACTCCGAATTGCACTGGATCTTCTCGTAGTAGCCTGAAACGTTGCAAAAATTGAGTACGTTTGGCAAATCATTAAAAAAAAACAAAGCTTATTTTTTATCGATTTTTTAAAATGCAAATTTTGGGAAGAAAATTCAAAAAAAAACTAGATTTTGATAGTTTTTTTTTGCAAAATTTGCATAGTACCATTAATATAAAACTATTGCAGTGTGGAATAAATTCGCGAATAAATTAGGTAAGAAAATGCTAAACGAAATAAAAAAATATTGACAATGTGAAGCAGCGAGAAGTACGCAACATATTGCGTACATTACATTATAGCGTACGCGCATTTAATATTCAAAATTGAAATCTAGACAAATTTGAAGGCTCTGCCTTCCTTCAATCGTGTGACGCCGTCTATAAATATTCCTTATTGACAGTTATTCTTGAAGATGTGATGCCTTGAAAAATATTCATTTTATTAGCGTATTGTTGTTGTCGCGCGATTACGGAAAATTGGCTGAATATCAAAAAATTAAGAATAGGTCTCGATGGGCTTTGTGCGCCTTTAACCTAACCCGAACACTGTACCATTCTTTTTTTTGGCATTTAGCCAGTTTTCCGCATTCTTTTTCATTTTTTTCTTACTTGTCATATTTTCATAAATTGTTTTCTACTTGGTTTCCCGCTTTTCCGTGTTTTTTTTAGTGAAAATCGGAGCAAAACATTTGAAACAAAAAATGGTCCTATGAAATCGGTTTTCGACAAGACATTCTGAAAATTTCTGGCAAAAATAATTATAGTTTTCGGCTTAAAATCGAGAAAAAAATTTTTTTTTGAAAGTGACAGAAAAAAAATCGAATTTCGGTCGATTCGCAAGAGTATCAACGGCCTTGGCGCAAAATTGAAATACAGATTTACGCGCTTAACAAGTGTAAGGTTGAGTTTTTGGCATTTTTTCAATTTCCGCCGACAAGATGATTTCGTAATATTCCGTACAAAATGGGGTATTTCGACGATCGCGACTAATTTTGATCGCTGAAGGTACCATTTACGGAATATTACAGAATCATAGAACATGTTGGGTTACGATGAGCTATCATGATTATTTTGAAGATATCCCCTTTATTTGACCAGCTTTTAATAATTGCACCAGGTGAAAAAAGTCATACCAAAGGATCATCACTAAGAAATTGTCTAATTACTTTAAATTTGGGTAATTAAGAAATTATAGCATATTCTCATGAAAAAAAAAACCTTTTAAAAATGTGAGGATCATTTATTTAAATTTTTTCAAAAATCTTGAAAAAAAAGTGGGGATGTTGTAGAGAAACAAGCAGAGAAATAGAGGCTTCAAAAATCGGTGTTGAAAATAAAAATTGCTGGATACCTTGTTTCGTGCACTTGTACTCATCATTCTTCTTGCAAGGCCCACATCTGAAATCGATCGAATTGGGGGTCCCCAGAGAAAGAAATGAATTTTGAGAGAGAGAGAGAGAAAAGGAGAAATGTCTATGAAAAACTTACAATACGACAGGGAACAATAGAAGAAGTAGAATCGAATTCATTGTGAGTGTATGAGTGAATGTGTTTTCGCCAATGCGGACAGATCTTATATACTGATATACGCATCAGACAGCAACAACACCAACAGAAAAAAAGAACCGTCGAGAGCGAAACATATGGCATTCGGTTGGGGGAATTGCGAACAATTCGCTTCCGGGTTCGCTTCTTCCATCCGCCAAACAATTTTTTGGTGGCGATTTTTATATCAGTAGAACAAAAAATGAATTATTTACAACAATAGGCGAACAGTTTTCCGTGGTGGCATTTGAAATGCTTCGGGCAAAAATTGTCGGAGCACGTCTTGCCGACGACGATCTTCGCGTAGTTGCCGTCGGCCACCGTGTGCAATTCTCGGTCGCCTTCGCATTTCGGATTGAGCTCGGAGAGGAATAGATCTGAAATTTTTGAAAAAAAAGAAACAATTTTTGAATTTTTTTCTGGTGAATTTTGATAAGAATTTTATAGGGTCTTTGTTATATAATGTTTCAGCTCGGCTTGTTTTGAATTTGACGAATGGGAACAGCCAGCGAGCATCGTACTTCGATAATTCAGAATTGTGAAGAGTGTGTCCTAATGAGAAAATTGGAAATAATAATTAGTTTTTAGATATTGAACAAAAAATTTCTCATTTAATTCTGACTATTGGTTTTTTTTTTTGAGGGACCCTATAAAGTACAAGAATAATATTCTCCCAGCAGGCTCACTTTGCAGCTTCTCGTCGCAACACTGGCCGAAGAATACTCCCGTCAGACACATATAGCCGATTGGGCAACTCTCCGAATTCATTTTCGGCTTTTTGATGGTCTTCGCCGGCTCGATGCCATTTGGCGACGGATGCGGTGGACAGATGAAGATAGCGTCGGTGGTCTTCATCGCCGGTCGTGACGCCATGGCGCATGACGAGTAATCGACTGAAAATGCCAAACCATGAAGCGTATGATCAGAGCGAATCACCTGGAATACAAGACGACTCGCATTCGCCATACGATTCGTGACGATTCGCATTCCCGCCGCATCCTTTGTACTCGAATGGAAGGCAATGGAATGAGGTCTTGTCGAACCAATATTTGATCGAGCTCTTATTGCTCCCGCAGCTGAAGCCCGCGTCTCGATTGAACTGACACGGATCATCAGAAGTTGTGTAATCGTAGGGCAGATTCTCGGGGAACGTTCGAAAGTAGACAACGTCGATGGTGAGCTCTGAAAACAATTTTTTGATTCGAAAAATAATTTCACTTCTTGGTTCTCACCGATGCCATCGCACGTCATGGTTGTGGTGCCGTTGAGCTTCTTCCGAGTTCCTTTGATGACGGATCCCGTCTTCGGATCCACACAATTGCATTGATCCTTGTTGGCGTCGCATTGGACGAGATCGAAATCGCCATCGACGGTGTCGCATTTCGGCACAAATGTCCCGTTTTCGAGGTCGCCATTCGCGAACAATTTCTCCAAATCGTTCAAACATTTGCCGCATTTCGGCTGCATCTTATTGCTCGTCGTTCTCGTGTCATATGCCATATTTCCATTGTGTGCGTTCACGCAGAAGCATGACTCCGAATTGCACTGGATCTTCTCGTAGTAGCCTGAACCATTCTAATGGGTGGAAGGAGGGTGTGGGTGTTGTTCGGGGCGATACCCATCCTAGTGCATTTCAACGCATCGAATCGATTCATCGTTTTGAAGCATGGCGAAAATGAGCCATCAACGACGGCAACTAGTAGAAAACCGCACAATATTTTCAGCATCTACAACGCTTTCAAAAAAAAATTACACAATTTCCTGTTTTGGCGGATGGACGAATAGAGATTTTCGCATAAAATTTGCATTTTATTTGTGTGAACCCGTCAAGAGCACAAACTAATTAGGCGAACGGAATCATTGGGCGGCGGCGGCGAGATGGAGGAGAAGAGGAGGAAGAAGGAGAAGAACGAGTGGGTGATGATGGGTCGATGAGTGATTGCAGAGCGGTGTGTTGCAACAACAGACGTCGGTGCCGCGAGATGTTGTCATACACGCATTCGCCTAAACGTCGTTGGTTACTATTTGGCAAGCGACGCGAAAGTATGAAGATTGGTTCTTCCGTGTTCGAGGTTTAATCAAAACAAGCTGCCGACAATTCCCCGGGTCCTACTATTGTCCGCAGCTGGATGTCACTTTTAAAATTTTTTCAAATTGTTCGAAACGAATGAGCGATTTGATTCCAGTTGAATCATTCATTCAACCAAACGGTGCTGCGGACAACCCTCGAGGCCAAATTGAAAATGAAACTGAGGAGTTGGTTTGAAACCGCGAAATTGTCCGCAGCACAGATTTTATCGAACATCTGCATTTCTTCGCATTTTTTTTTTCAACAAAGCGAAACCGCAAACGTGTCCGCAGCAAGTTAATCCTAATTGCGATATGGCCATCATGAATGTCGATAATGTCTCTACTTCGGCACAATTTTGCTCGAGTATTTCACGAAAACAAAAAGTGCACCAACCGTGCAAAATGGTGTGAAATCGTCGCACCCATAATAGGCGGCACCTTCCGGCTCAGTCCGTCTGAAAACACCAGAAATTTCCTTCAAAAAAAAACGAAAGGAAGAATTGAACCACTTTATGCAAAATTCGGTCTGACAAAGCCTTTGTTTGAAGCGATGCCCATCGCCGGAGAAGCCTGCAAACATGTCCGCAGATGAATTTCTATTTCGTTGCTGTTGGAACCTTTGTAGCACCGAATCGTTGAGTACGAATCGCCGAATAGAATGGCAAAAACTAGTAGGGGAAAATATCGACGCATGAGTTGTTTTGAGAAGACGTCGAGCGCATCTGAATATTCACCGGCGTCCCTTCGCCGCCGCCGCCGACGACGTCTTCGTCTTCGTCCCTCCCACTCCTATTAGTTTGCACTTTTGCGCACTCGTGCATCGCAAAATGTCCAATACCGCACTTTGTCTCGTAAGAAAGAAAAGTGCATTTTTGTTTAAAGGGGTGTCCCGCGTTGGGTCTCGACGCGAAAATATTTCAGTCTTTCACTACTAGAAGGATTTTCGAGGAGTGTCGCCTGGTTTGGATCTCGACACGAGACTTAAAGGAGCACACGTCTTCTCGCCATCCCGCCAATCAATGGGCTTGTCTTGCAGCGAAAATGTGGTGTTTAAAGGATTCTAGAATCGCGAATTGGGTCTTGACGCGAAATTTGGTTGAAACAAAAATACGCAAAATTTTCAGCATTTCGACGAATTGAAAAAATCGAAATTCTGAAAATCGGAAAACACTGAAAAAAGCTTCAAGGTTTTCGAATAATCTCGAAAAATTTATTGATGCTCTTTTGAAAAAAGCTGTGCTCAAAATCAGAATTTTCTGCATATTTTTCAGCCATATTGCAAAATAAATGCCCTTTTCTGTATTTGTCCTCGACGAAGCTTGTCGCCCTTCGAACAAAAAGATTCAAGAGAAAAAAACATGCTTCGAATACCAGGATGGTCCTTTGGGATTTTTTTTTTGGAAAATGCATTTCTATTAAGCAACAATCAAATATTAATTCAAATTGTTCGATTTTCTATATTTTTGTGAAACCGAAAAAATACAGAAAGTCGAAATTTTATAATTCAATCTGAGTGCGAAAATTCGATAAAGCATAGTCATCTGAGGACCCCCTTATATCCAACCATTATGGTCCGATGCTAGAAAAATTTTCTTCTGAATGAATTCGTCTTATTACTTGATATACTTCTTTTAGGGTTTTCAAATAGAAAAAAAATTAAAGGAACATGTTGTGTTTCTTATCACGACATCCCTTTAAATTGTGAAGAATAGATATACATTTTTCGCATGAAGGCTTCTATAAAAGAATCGAGTGTATTCAGGTGAGAAGAATTATGGAAGAAAACTACAGATGGATGGGAAATGCTGGGGGAGGAAGGCATCAATACGCGCAACACAATACCCTCGCTGCATTTGTCATCAGATGTTTTCTAATTACAACCTATTCGAATAGATTGATGAAAAAACGACGAAGAACCTGATGTCTTGAATGAGTCACAATTAACTAAGAATGGAAAAAAAAGAATTTGTGTAATGAATTGTGAAGGTTTCCTTCTGGAGTGTTGCATTCAACAGAATATAACAGAGATATTGGAATGCAAAATGATTTATTGTTGGTAAATTGTTGGAATTTACTGTCTGGAGCGGGAAACGAAGACGGCGGATCTTGGTGGGCACGCGCAGTAGGCGGCGTCTGGTCCTGGGAGTCCTGGTCCTCCGTTCGATCCTGGCTGTCCGTCGGATCCTGGGTTTCCTGGCTGTCCATCCTGTCCGGCTGGTCCAGCTGGTCCTGGCTGTCCGTCTTGTCCTGGGGCTCCTGGCTGTCCGTCTGGTCCAGCTGGTCCGGCGTTTCCTGGGGCTCCTGGCGCTCCTGGGGCTCCCGATCCGCGTTGTCCGTCCTGTCCTGGCGCTCCTGGCTGTCCGTCTTGTCCTGGCGCTCCTGGGGCTCCGTCGTCTCCTGGGGCTCCTGGGGCTCCTGGCTGTCCGTCGTTTCCTGGGTTTCCTGGCGCTCCTGGCTGTCCGTCTGGTCCGGCTGGTCCGGCTGGTCCCGCTGGTCCGGCAGGTCCAGCTGGTCCCTCTGGGCACTTGATGCAGTCGTTGGAGACTGGCGCGCAGGTGAGTGGAGCATAGGTCGAGGTGTTGTCCTCTCCCTTTGGTCCTGGTGGTCCTGGAAGTCCTGGCTGTCCTGGCTGTCCTGGTGGTCCTGGTGGGCCTGGTGGGCAGGTTGGCTTGGTTGGCTCGCACTGGCACCAAGCTGGGAGTCCAGAGAAGGTCTGACGCTTCTGACGGAAGATCGAGTTGAATGGATTGACACGTGGCTTCGATGGTGGAGTGACGGTGATCTGGATGTCCATCATCTCGGTCCAAGCCGAGTCGGTCTCAACACGGAAAACCTGGACACCATCGAGAACCTGAATTCAACAAGGAATTAAGATTTGAAGGGAATCAGAATCGGACTACCTCATCGTGAACCTCGTTGATAGTGTTGTAGAGGGATGGGATGACAACAAGGCAGGCGATAACCGCCAACGTTGAAAAAGCGGATGCAACTCCGACGACTACCTTCTCCTCAAACATGACTGATGCCACGATGATTCTAATGCCATCTTGGCGCGCATTTTATACCACCCGCTTGGCGGAATATTACAATGAATCGATCAAGCGCCGCCCCTTCTCCCCTCGTCCCAAAAACCTGCGGTGATTACGCAAGAACTTGCTATGCGATAATTGCGAACGAATCGCTCAAAATTAAGGAACTATTGGAAAACGTCTGGATTTGGGGAAAGTATAATAGTTGTAATAGCCATTAAAGGACAATGGAAGACATCGAATTTGCATATTCATTCATGTGAAAGTGAATCGAAGATCGGAAGCCGAATTCTATTGTTTTTTTTTCGGCAATTCTCCCAACTAGTCAATATTGTTTCAATTTGGCCATCTCGATGTACGAATCACCTTCACATTCCTTCTTCGAGATCATCATTGATCAAGATCGCCGCTCAACGCTACCAAAATCGCTCACAAATATTCGTATTCGTCCTTCACGTAATCAGTTTTTTTCGAAGAAACACTGCGATCTTTCTCTATGTATTTCTATCTTCTCCGCCTTCTTCTAGTTCACCTTGGTCTGGGTGGTCGGCGCCGCTTGAGGGGCCCGACTATATAAGGAACTCGATGCCGGCTGGCAAATCATCGTGGCATCAGTCATGTTTGAGGAGAAGGTAGTCGTCGGAGTTGCATCCGCTTTTTCAACGTTGGCGGTTATCGCCTGCCTTGTTGTCATCCCATCCCTCTACAACACCATCAACGAGGTTCACGATGAGGTAGTCCGATTCCTTCAAATCTTAATTCCTTGTTGAATTCAGGTTCTCGATGGTGTCCAGGTTTTCCGTGTTGAGACCGACTCGGCTTGGACCGAGATGATGGACATCCAGATCACCGTCACTCCACCATCGAAGCCACGTGTCAATCCATTCAACTCGATCTTCCGTCAGAAGCGTCAGACCTTCTCTGGACTCCCAGCTTGGTGCCAGTGCGAGCCAACCAAGCCAACCTGCCCACCAGGCCCACCAGGACCACCAGGACAGCCAGGACAGCCAGGACTTCCAGGACCACCAGGACCAAAGGGAGAGGACAACACCTCGACCTATGCTCCACTCACCTGCGCGCCAGTCTCCAACGACTGCATCAAGTGCCCAGAGGGACCAGCTGGACCAGCCGGACCAGCGGGACCAGCCGGACCAGCCGGACCAGACGGACAGCCAGGAGCGCCAGGAAACCCAGGAAACGACGGACAGCCAGGAGCCCCAGGAGCCCCAGGAGACGACGGAGCCCCAGGAGCGCCAGGACAAGACGGACAGCCAGGAGCGCCAGGACAGGACGGACAACGCGGATCGGGAGCCCCAGGAGCGCCAGGAGCCCCAGGAAACGCCGGACCAGCTGGACCAGACGGACAGCCAGGAGCCCCAGGACAAGACGGACAGCCAGGACCATCTGGACCAGCCGGACAGGATGGACAGCCAGGAAACCCAGGATCCGACGGACAGCCAGGATCGAACGGAGGACCAGGACTCCCAGGACCAGACGCCGCCTACTGCGCGTGCCCACCAAGATCCGCCGTCTTCGTTTCCCGCTCCAGACAGTAAATTCCAACAATTTACCAACAATAAATCATTTTGCATTCCAATATCTCTGTTATTTTCTGTTGAATGCAACACTCCAGAAGGAAACCTTCACAATTCATTACACAAATTCTTTTTTTTCCATTCTTAGTTAATTGTGACTCATTCAAGACATCAGGTTCTTCGTCGTTTTTTCATCAATCTATTCGAATAGGTTGTAATTAGAAAACATCTGATGGGTTGTGAGGGCATTTTTAATACAAATCGCGGCGCATCGGCAACAGGGCAAATTAATAAACCAAAACTGACACATAATGTGTCGCAGTAAACAATTTTTCATTCAAATTGTTCGATAAATTCTAATGCAAACGTGATTCTCTCAACCCACAACGTTTTTTTCTGCGTTATGGAAATAATCGACATTTTTGCGAGTTAATGGGCCGCAGAATTCAAGATAAATAAATCAGAAGACCAGAATGCCTGAATTTCCATAAATTTGCATTTTTTAAATATCCAATTGTGTTTATTTTTTATTCACACCAGTAATAGAAAGAAAAACCAGTATATAAACAAGAGCGAAAGAGTAAATTTTAAAATTCGAACAGGAAACAATTTTAAATGTTCACCGGCTCTGCGGACTTGCTATACATCTGCCGCATTTCTGCAGACAGTCAATTGCTTTCGTATTTTTAAGACAAATTTTTAAGCTTTCGTGATTTTTAAATAAGTTCGTTTCCCCCAAAAATGGCTATTTATTATTTTATGCCTTTTTTTGGGAAACACTTTTTATTTTTTTTTTCTAACACATTGACAAGTTAATACAAAATGCAGAAATCAATTTTTAACTTCGACTAGAATATTTCCATTATACTAGTTTTTTCAAATTTACAATTGCAGTTAATTTGTAAAAAGTGTTCCCGTTTTTCTTTAGTTCAAGTGCGTTTCGATCATTCATTCAGAAGACTCCAGCTGCGCATTATCGACGCCAAATCTGTAGCGGAAGCATACAAGACGTCCTTGAACATATCCAGCTTTTGCTGCCATTTCCTTTTTTCGAGGAACATTTTTTTACAACAAAGACAAGAAGAAAAACAAGATTTGAATGCAAAATGATTTATTTTCGAATGAATGATGCTTCCATTTACTGGCGAGCGCGGGAAACGAAGACGGCGGATCTTGGTGGGCACGCGCAGTAGGCGGCGTCTGGTCCTGGGAGTCCTGGTCCTCCGTTCGATCCTGGCTGTCCGTCGGATCCTGGGTTTCCTGGCTGTCCATCCTTTCCGGCTGGTCCAGCTGGTCCTGGCTGTCCGTCTTGTCCTGGGGCTCCTGGCTGTCCGTCCGGTCCAGCTGGTCCGGCGTTTCCTGGGGCTCCTGGCGCTCCTGGGGCTCCCGATCCGCGTTGTCCGTCCTGTCCTGGCGCTCCTGGCTGTCCGTCTTGTCCTGGCGCTCCTGGGGCTCCGTCGTCTCCTGGGGCTCCTGGGGCTCCTGGCTGTCCGTCGTTTCCTGGGTTTCCTGGCGCTCCTGGCTGTCCGTCTGGTCCGGCTGGTCCGGCTGGTCCCGCTGGTCCTGCTGGTCCAGCTGGTCCCTCTGGGCACTTGATGCAGTCGTTGGAGACTGGCGCGCAGGTGAGTGGAGCATAGGTCGAGGTGTTGTCCTCTCCCTTTGGTCCTGGTGGTCCTGGAAGTCCTGGCTGTCCTGGCTGTCCTGGTGGTCCTGGTGGGCCTGGTGGGCAGGTTGGCTTGGTTGGCTCGCACTGGCACCAAGCTGGGAGTCCAGAGAAGGTCTGACGCTTCTGACGGAAGATCGAGTTGAATGGATTGACACGTGGCTTCGATGGTGGGGTGACGGTGATCTGGATGTCCATCATCTCGGTCCAAGCCGAGTCGGTCTCAACACGGAAAACCTGGACACCATCGAGAACCTGAATTCAACAAAGGATTAAGATTTGAAGGGAATCAGAATCGAATTACCTCATCGTGAACCTCGTTGATGGTGTTGTAGAGGGATGGGATGACAACAAGGCAGGCGATAACCGCCAAAGTAGAGCAGGCCGAAGCCAATCCAACGAGAACCTTTTCCATGACTGGAAGCTGCCATCGAATCGCCCCGCCGTCCTTTTATACCCGCTGGTCGTAGATGGAATAATGCGATATGCCCCGCCCACCACTTCTTCTCAGCCCCGCATTCCATTTGCGTAGTACATCGCGCGTGGAGGTCGTCGCGTTGATAAGAAGAAGCAACGGAACAAAAAAAAGTGGCTAACGGGTAGCGACGGCGGTAGTAAACATTTAGCGCCGTCAAGGTCGTTTCACATTTTCTAACACATTTGCGTCGCCCCCAAAAGGACATTCGACAATTTTTTTATTACGAACAAAAAAGTGATGAAGAAATGAAGAACCCGTAGATGATTTCCACAAAAAAATGGGTGGCATGATTTTTTTTCGAAAATTATCAAAAAAAAATTCGACAAAAACGTGCCACGTGGCAATTGCCCTGTTCAATTAACGGTCTGATCCACTGGATCCAACGCTCTCGCTGTGCCCTTGCCCAACACCAGCGACTCGACGACACTCCCAACCTTCGGACGACATTCGCAATTGATGCCCGCCGACACCGTCACCGGCACCCATTGGCCGCTGTCGTTGCGCAACACGTTGTACTGCTGCATGCCAGTGTGGCAATTGGCGTAGCCGCTCAGACATGTCGTGTCGACGTTGTCGCACACCACCTCGTTGAGGTACGCCGGAAAATAGGTGCTCGGCAATCGACGCCACACCCAACACGCGCTGCACAACGACACCGTGTTCAAACCGTCGGCGGTGATGCCGCGCGTCGTGCACGAGATCGGAAATCGGACGCCTAGAAGACATTTTTCGAAAACTCGGCTATTCGACCTTGCCGCTCACGCACAAACGACAGATTGCGCAACGCGATTATGCGAGGCGACGATGAAAATCAATCGAAGCGCCCCCCCCCACCCACCTATGATGCCCGGCGCGCTCACATTGTCATACACCGTCGTCGTTTGACGCTTCTCGATCTTCTTCACATCCGTCAGTCGTTTCCCATAGAACCATTCCTCGAGTGCGCTCAGCTCGATGAGATCGCCTGAACGTGTATCGCATTGGATTCGACTGGATCGCGTCGATGCATTACCATCGCCGCTCTCGTTCTTCTTCTTCTTCTTCTTGTTCTTCTCCTTCTGATAGACGCCGGCGTCGTTGCGCGTGAAGCGATATTTGCCGCATGTGGTGAAGTTGTGCTGTTGTCGGAATACTTGATTGATTGTCGATTGGAGGAGTCCGACCTGAATTGGGTCCCGTGTGGAAAATCGTCTTCAAAATTTCCCCCCTTCTCATAGTACCGAAAATTGTGGGGGGATTATCGAGAATCTCATGGAACCCGTTTTTAAAGGCGCATCCCCCCCCCAAAAAAACCAACAATGGGGGTTTTCCGAATCTAATTCATATGCGCCTTTAAATAACATCAGGCTATTCATGATGCTAATTTGATTTTCTGGTCTCGTGTGGAAAATTCGCATGATTACCTTCCTCAACTGCATTCGCAAATCCTTATAGCAATCGCGACACTGCCGACTATTGCAATTCGTCAACGAGCTGACCAACGTCGACGGCGCCACCGACTTCTCCTCTTGTTGGGTGATCGTCAAATCAGGGAATGCGACGATCGCCTCCTCAAGACTCGCCGCCTGAATTCTCGAATCATATTTCGTGCATTTTTGCTGTTCCGAAGGACAATTGCACTTTGATGATTCGGTGGTAGTGGAGACTCTCGATATAAGATCATCGAAAAGATCAATGGTCCTCGGCGGATCGAATTGGTAGGCGGAAGAAACGAGAATCAATTCAATAATAAATAGAATAGAACAATTCATGAAGAGCGAAATTCATTACTATATTTATGATGGTGATCAGCGGGTGAATACAACAAAAAAAAGATAATCCGTTAGGCATTACACAAATCGACGATCTGCTGAGCGTGTAGTGGACTGACGCTCGCCGCAAATCCCCCGATTCCATTCTGAGCGCGTTGCGATTCGATCGACTTCATCAACGCCGAATGGATGGCACCGGCCGACATGATCAGCGGCGGCTCGCCGATTCCCTGAAATCGATCAACGTTGGTGTTTCGTTTGATTTTTTGAAACGGCCCAATTACGACTAATTCCAATCACTCGCTCATCGAAATGGTCCACTAATCCGCTTACCTTTGATGAATACACTTGGGTGTTCTTATGCTTCTCAACGCCGAGAAGTTTCACGTTGAACACCGGCGGCACCTGATCAGCTCTGGGTACCTTGTACTTCCCAAGGCTCGCCTGCTCCAGCTTTCCAGCGGCGTCAAATGTGATCTAATTTTCTCATTTGATTTTTAAAAATTGGCAACCCACCCTCTCGCTTGTCACCAATCCATAAGCTTGCATAAATGCGCCTTCAATTTGTCCAATGTCAATCGCCGGATTCAAGCTCTCACCAACATCCATCACAATGTCGACGCGTCGAAGCTGAATCGACAACAATCCGTATACAATTTCGATCGCACCCACCTTGTTCAATCCAGTGAGACAATCAATTTCCACCTCGACGGCGCATGCTCCAGTCGTCGTGTATGGCGTTTCATGAGGTTTCACTCCAAATTCAGCACGTTTCACGCTGAAAGAAAGATAGAATCACGAATGCTCCAAAATAATTAAAATGCTAAAAAAAATTATGATACCGAATATATTTTTGTGCAATTTTCCCAATTTTCATTAAAAATATCAACTTTCGAGCCAACGAAAATCTAATTTTCACGGCATTTCCAAGGTTTTTTTGAATTAAAATTGCATGACACGGGTAGATTTACGCGCATGCGCCTTTCGAAATGGACTCGCCACGTATAAATGCTTATTTCGCTTTTTTAACTGTTTATTTTTTCTTGATGGGTTTGGCGAATTTCAAACGTCATTCAAATTAGCAACTATCGAACCGAACCCTAAAATGCAAAATAATCAGTTAGTCCGCGTGGGACCACACATCCCGTAAACTTACCCGCATACAACAATCGAATTTGTTTTTTGTTTCCCGGATATACGAAAAATAAGAAGCCACTTACTGTCCATATTCGGTGCATTGAAGTGGCACGACTTTTCCATACGCTTCAATCACCGCCTTATGCCAATCGCCGTCATTCTTCTCCAAAATCGACTTCAATCCTTGAAGGAGGCGATCGCAGCAGGCCTTCACCGCCAGCCCGTGAACATCGGCATTCTGACTGCCGCCGGTTTCCGGCGCATTCACAAGCTTATCGGTGCTCGTGTCGATGATCGCGATTTCATCGATGGGCCGATTCAACGCTTCGGCGCACACCTGCATCATTTTCGTGTTCAAACCCTGACCCATTTCGGTTCCGCCGATCGTCAACTGAACACTACCATCGATGTTGATCAAAACCGACGCCGATCCATGCGATGGTCCCGGATGGGGAAGACCAAATCGGACTGTGGAAATGGCGAGGCCGCGCTTCGCCAATTTCGAGCTTCTGAATATGAGAAGAGTTGTGGAAAAAAATGGGCAAATAGAAATAATCGGACTTTTTAAGGTAAAATTGAATGCCAAAATTCAGGAAATTTCCTTTCTCTCATAAATTGAATGCAATTTTTCATGATTATTTTTTTTAATACTTGTTAAACTCGTCAACGAGCTTCTCGCGCTTCTCAAAATCGCTGAGTTGCTTGCACGCTCGCCAACATTCGATCAAAGCATCATCGCGAATCTGCTGTCCGCAAAAGTTGAATCCGCCCTCGTGCAAAAAGTTGAGCTCTTTCACATCTTCCGCCTTCTTTCCGACAATGAATGCAATCCTTCGCATCACTTCCTCGTTCATCAATTTCTGCTGCGGAATTCCATAGCCTCTGAAGGAAAATCCATTTCGATTAACGTTGAAAACAGTCTTAAATGCTTTACGCTAATTGCACAAATATTTCTTTTTTATAATCAAAAATAGCGTCCCATAGCTGAAATTCCAAAAATTTAAAGATGGCGCGCTGTGGCAAAGTGTGCGCCTTTAATTTATCATTTTATATAGTGTCGAGACCTCTACCATAATTGCTTTGGTTTAAATGCTTCCTCGGCTCCACCTTTCAACAAACCTCATAGCAGTATTACTATTGGTATTAGTTTTGACCGGATATCCGTCCAATCTGTACATTTCATAATCATACACATCGCTCGACGTCAATCCCAAAACCATAGTGACCTGTAAGTTTCATCCCACATCCTCATTCAGCATCTTCTATCTATGGCCCACCCCTTCCGTATGATCTTTGGACCATCCTCCGTTAAGATAAGCCTCATAGTGAAGAGCCTTGACTTTTCCGGAAGATTCGAAGCCAACTCTGAAAACGAGGAATGCCGGATTTTTTTCTCGGCCAAATGAGAAAAAAAACCTTATACCTATATTTGGCATAGACCGCATGGCGTTTTCCAGTGATGAGCAAATCCTCATTTCGCGTATAACATCCAAACACCGGCTTCTTCAATCGGCGGGCGGCAATGGCGCAAATGGTGGCTAGCCACGTGGCAACGTTCACCTTGCCACCAAATCCGCCACCAAGCCGTTTCGTCTATAATCATCAAAATGCTTTGCAAAAATTATTGCCCAATTAAACACCTTGACAATTATTTTATGAGCTGGAATATTCAGCGCCTTCGCCATCATCACCTGTGTGAATCCGGTGCCTTGTGTCGAGCAATGAACCACACTAAAGCAAAATTGGCAGGGTTTTTTTGAAACTTTCATTTTCATACAATTCGTTGTCCTCTCCGGGAATCACCAACGAGCTTTGCGGCTCCATATAAAGATGGTCCTGTCCGCCAATCGAAATCTCGCCGTCAACGACATGCTCGCACGAATCGAGCGCAGCGTTGATCTCATCCAGCGGTTTTCCGTAATTCTGTACTTTGCCGTGAAGGCTGTTCGCTTCGCGCGCTTCTTTGAAATCGATCAACGCCTTCAGCGGCTTATAGTCAACCTTGACGAGTTTCGCGGCGCGACGAGCAAGCCGCTGATCGCTAGCGGCAATCGCGCCAATAATTTGACCAATGCTTTCAACCTGAATTATAGATGCTGATAGAAGATTGGGTATTGTATGGAAGACATTGTAAATTTACGGACGAGCTCTATTTTAAAGGCACATTCGCGTAAATCTACACCATCACTTATCCACCTTGCCATCAGCAAAAATCGGGGTGTCATCGGGAAATACCACATTCGTCGCATCCAATCCCGGAACATTCAAGCCGGGAACATCTTTGACGCTGAAGAATCCTTCAACTCCGTCAAGCTTCAACGCTTCAGAAGGATCGATGCTCAGAATCTCGGCGTGAGCATGAGTTGAGAGCACAACACCGATGTAAAGTGCATCTGAAGCGACGGATGATGCTGAGATTCACAGATGACGTTGCTCCAACCACACTACCATACGTTTTGATGTCATTGACGTACACGGTTTCTCCGGTGATCGCGCGCTCGCCATAATGATTCGCCAGTGGACGACCGACACAATTCGCGTTTTTTGGCTGGAATTTGCCAAAAAATTGACAAAACAATTCAAAAATATGGAAACTTGCCTTATAAAACTGCAAATAGCTGAAATTCGATTCCTCGATCGGCTCAGTTTCCTCCAAAAACTCCCAAAATTTGGACACGACCGCTTTCATTAGTCGTTTCTTCGCGCCGTCATCAACTTTCAGACATTGCCCGCAATAATTGAGCATGCTTTCCGGATCTCGACAAATTTCAAGATGCTCCTCGAGTGGCTCGAGACGAACTGGACGACCTCCGACGCCGATATTGATGCGATTCGGCGACAAGGCGGCCGCAAAATTGAAGATCGTCGAATCATTTGTCGCCGATTCGCCGATTTTGTAGAAAAAGACGCGTCGATTCTGAAACGAAGCAATAATTACGGCTAGAAATTCGAAATTTTTAGAGTTTTTGGGAAAAAATCGAAAATTTAAGTCCGCTATTTCAAAATGAGCACTTCGCGTGTTTGCACTTAATGCATTTCATCTGACGACAATTTGCACAAGTAATGTCAACCTTGGCAATATTTGTATGTTTTTTTTTGCCGAAGATCGTTCGTGCTTGGCAAAAAAAGTTAAATATTCAAATTTCTCAACAAAAATGAATTTCGCGCGAAATTCAAATTACTGCAGGATTTACCTCAGTCGTATCAATGAGCGCATCAATCACAACTCGATCGAGAAGCTCGCTTTCGAACCACTCAGCAATGGTCACCACTCTCCGCTCGCCATTCTTCAGCAACACCGTCAATTTCCAATTGAGCGTCTCGAACAGAATTAGAAGATCGTTGACAGCGACTCGCGATCGCGCCGCCATCACAATCGAACCAGTCCAGGTCTGACAAGGCGAGAAAAAAAAATGAATTTTGGAGAATTTTTAATCTACCGCAAAATTGGCGACTTGTGCCGACGAGAATTGATGGAAGAATTTCTCGATTTGAGATCGCACGTTTTCATGACAATGACAGATAATCGCCTCGACGAATTCTAGAAGCCAATTGATTTTTTTTTACAATTCATTTTTGGCTACTCTCAATGGAGACCGACGACCCAATTCGTAGAATCGCGCCCTCTTTCGTGATTCGACTGAATTCGGGGATATGACGCGTCGAGACCCATTTCTCCGACGTCGTTGCCTTGCTGGCGGTTACTGTAATCCGGCAAAAATTTCAATGAATCGTTGAGAAATCCTACTCATTCTAGTGATCAATCCACTCGAGACCACCTTCACACCTTGATTCTCGTCGAGCACCTCCTCTAACTGTTTCAGGCTCTTCGGAATGTGCACGTCGACACGAGACCCTTTGAGAACTTCGACACTATCGTTGGGTTCGATGGCGCGCAAGGATGGCGGAAATATGAGCTCTTGCGTTGGATCGTATTTGGGTGAATCGGCGAACGTCGCCAACTTCTCCTCGTACACCGAATTCGGTTTGTCTCGACAGCATTTGCCGTTGGTCGCGCCACCGCCACAACAGGCGTCGGAGAACGAGTAGAGCGATTCGAGAATCGGACGATAGCCGGTACAACGACACAGATTCGCTAGAATCACAAATTGTCTAACGGCATTGATATTCATAATACTCACATCGTACGGCTCTCGTAATCTCGTCGATCGTCGGTGTCGGATTGTTCCTTAGAAGGGCGTATGCTGACATGACGAAGCCCGGCGAGCAGAATCCGCCTGAACAACGCGCTCAGTGCGATGGATCTAGCGAATCTTACACTGAACACCATGCCCTTTGACAAGTCGCTCCTGAATCGGATGCAATTTGTCGGCGCTTCCGATGCCTTCGACGGTGATGACAAATTTGCCGTGAACCTGGAAGGCTGGCACCAGGCAAGCGTTCACCGAAGAGTAGCTGAAACCGCAAGATTTTTTCAGAAGCGTCCATCACTAACGAAAATGTGTACTTTTTCAAATTTTTTTGTTCACTATAAAATCATATTTAAAACGAAATAATTTTTTTTACTGGGCTCGATTCTCGCGCTCGTCCCATTCTCCAAGAACTACTGTGCATGATCCGCAGACGCCTTCCTCGCATGCGAGTTTTGTACCACGAAGTCCCACTGAAATTGATCAGAGGTTTCAAATTGGGCTAACTTTCTTCTTTCTAATATAATTTTTATGAAATTTCTAGATTTTTGGGTTTTCCCGTTTGAACTATTATAGTTAGCCCAAATTCCTTATTACTCTCGTTTCATTTTATAGAATGGTCCGTATTTTATCGATTCGTCTGGTTTTATGGTACTTCCATTGACATCCCAAGACTGTTGATGGCATTCGGCTTCTTGTCGGTAAAGATTTGTACACGCGCACGCAAAATTGCACAGTTTTCAGAATTTTTAAGAATGCACTAGAAATGAGGAATTCCTTTTCTCTATTTTTTTGCTGTTTAAAAATTTGTTTTTCTTAAACTGCATTTTAAGAAATTCATTTTTTGTTTGAGATTTTTCAGTTTGAAATTTGAATTTCAATTCAAAATCGATGAAATTGTGTCAAAATTTGAAAATTGGCGCGCAATTTTAAAAAATCGATATCTAAAAACTTTCATTTTTTAAGCGTGTATCTTAAATTTCCATTAAAACCAAAAAAATATCATTTGATTTTCGTGTCTAGAATGTCATGAAAACTAGAAAACAGAAGGCGATTCAAAAAAATCTTACACGAATTCCGAAGGTAATCGGCAAGACTCAATTCCGGATCCAACGCGTCCGCGTGAACATCCCGACCGTTCACGTTGAACAACACCGACATTCCTGCAAATATTTGTTCGCATCGGTCGGTCAACAATGGATTTGTTTGAAAAAAAAGACGTGTCAACTGGTCACCACAACAACAGCAAAAATTGGATTGCGGATTAGGGAAGCAAGGTTCAGCGGTCGAGAGCGTTCAATAATGCCCCCCATCAATCGATAGTGACAACAAAAAATCTTGTTCGACCACCGATAAGAGAAACCACGAGATCACGCCAAATTTGATAACGCCCAACTGGTCAAGTGAACTGTCCAAAACAAGTTGTATGAGGGGGAGTGGGTGGATGGCTCTCGGCGAGCAACTAGTTGCTCCAGAGCTGTAAACAACAAAATACAGTATAAAACGGGAGGTGGGAAGAATTGGGCGAAGCGAATCGAAAATGCGCCAATTTTTGATCTACCTGGTTTTCGCGGCGGGAGCCATGGTAAGACATTCAATTTCACTCCTAATAATTTTTTGAGCATCAGGGGAACGCTGTCCGCGATCAATGCCATTGCGTATCGAGTGTGAGCTGCTCTTGCTCGTGCGCTCCAGCTTGCCAGAAGAGCTGCAGTCAGCAATGTCATGACGTGAGCTGCTTGCAGCAATGCGTTGCGAATTGCGCGGCTCAGTGCGCCATCACCACCACCACCACCGCCGCCACCACCACCAAATCGCCGCTGCTGGTTCGCATCGATGTGTCGGCATGCAGCCCACAGTGCGCGACGAACTGCCAGCAGGAATGCGCCACACAGGGCCAACAATGCGCCAATGAATGTAGTAGGCAATGCTCGACGGCTTGCGTCCAGAATTGCGCCAACCAGTGCGCCAATGAGTGCTCGTCGTATGCTCAATGCCAGCAGTGTCAGAGCAAATGCGTACAACAGGCTTCTATGATGGCGACGACGCAGGCGCCTGTAGTTCAGGCAAGTTTGAAAATAGACAAAACATTCAATGGAGATTATTTCTATTTTTCGTTAATTTCTTTTGATGCTTTAATTTCTGAAAAACAACGATTTTTGATTATTTTCAAGATTTTTTGGTCGAAAACTATAAACTCAAATTGTTTTGTTTCAAATTTGAATAAAATAGATTGTTTAATTTAAAAGTACACTTTTCCCAGCAAAATAATAACAAAAGTCATACTTTGATGCAAAATTAAAATAAAATTTTTTGAGTAGGCTTCAACTATTTCATTTTTTCAACAAAGCACCCTGGAAAATGTGAATAAAGGATTTTAAAAAAATATATAAAATGAACGGGGCAATTTTGAAAGAAAAAAGAAGCCAACTTCAGATTCAAATCCAGTCCAGCATCCTTTCGGCTGGAGCGCAATGCGAGCCCCAATGCGAGCAGGCCTGTCAGCAGCAGTGCACTTCGAAGCAGTTCAGTGCGATGCAGTGTGCTCAGGGATGTCAGACAAGCTGTGTGACGCAGTGCCAGCCGGCCACCGTCTCCTGTATGCCAAATTCGGCGCTGAACACGTGCTCGTGTCAGCCGAACTACTCGCCATGCGGCAATGGGCAGTGTTGTCGGCGATGAAACGCATTCTGCAATTTTTTATTAATACACATTTTTTTTGGAATAAATCGATTAATATTAAGCTTTCAGTTTATTCATAATTTCTCCGAAGGAATAGCAAATTTACACCGAAAAAAATGAATGCAAAAATATTCCAGCCTGCACTGGTGGGTTTCAGACGAGTTTTACAAAGTAAGGGTTTTTTTCCCCCAAGGGTTTGGAATTTCTTCTAATTTTGCCCAAAAATTATTCGTAAAATTCCGTATATCGTTTTCTGCAAAAATCCGAAATGTGTGGGTTCGAAGATTGAGATTATGAACCACTTTTTTCTTTGTAAACTAGTGGATTTTTTTGCGGTGAGCAGTGGAAGAACTCGATTGGCCTTCACTGATCCACTGGACCGAAATATCCAACCTATGATCCACTTATGATCAAATCGACCCATTTTTCGTTCAAGGCAACTTTTATTTTTAGAAAATAAAGCTTTCCATCTACTTTTACGAAAAAAAAAATTGGGGGTTTTTTTCGGAAAACGACCTAGGGAATTTTGCGAGCGATTTGTGTGAAAAGCTAGAAAAAATCCGAACTAAAAACACTGTAAAGTTTTCCGAAAAATGACTGAAAAATTTTCAATCAAAGATTACTGTAGACTATTAAAGGTACAGGGGGCAAACACTTAAAACATATTCTTTAATTTTAAAAATTTTCAATAATCGGGTTTCGAAATTTTCAATAATCGGGTTTTTTTTTTATTTTTAGTGAAAAAAAAATGATTAACAGCAATTTTTAAAAATCATAAAACTCAAAATTTCTCGAAATTTTCCAGAAAAATCTACTCGGTGCGAGATCGCTCGCCTGCTCCTTTAAACACGGTCTCGCTATATTTCCAGCCATGAGGGATGAATGAAACAATGAATTGTTCGAATAACGAAGGCGGCGGAGCCGCAGACCTACAGTAATCATTCACCTAGACTCCGCCCCTTTTCGTTTTCAGTTTCACATCGGGCAGAGCACATTTTTTTGCTACATCGACGAGACAAACTTCTTTTTTTTTGACAAGCCAAATTTTTTTGTTTTGCCCACAACATTTCGCTTCCTTTTGTCGCATTTCTATTAGCACATTTTGTGGAATAGTAGTAGTCGAATGAGTCAGAGTGACTACATGTGCGTATATAGTTGCGGACACCATTCTCAACATTTCCACAATGATCAAGAAGATGGGATTCATCGAGACAAGCTCAATTAGCAGATTGTCGAAGGGTCATCGAACCCACCCAGCTACAGTAACCCCATCAGAAACTCAATCATAGATCAACACGCATCCACCAGACGGCAATTCACCAATAGAAGAAGGTCACTACGCGTAGTAGTGGGCGTTGACTCTAATAATAAATATTGTAAATATGGACCAAGCACCCAAACATTCCTACAGTAATCCACCGTAGTCATTGAATCGAATTTCAGGATGCCGTGCGAGAAGACGTCGTGGTCGATCGTCTACCTGATGGGAATCTTCTCGCTCATCCAGAATACCCAATACTCCATCTATTTGACGACGATGTTCGCGTATCTCAAGAAAGTAAGGCGTTTCGATGCGATCCGACGAGTCTCGAGATTCAGTTGAACCACTCGGCCACCGAATCGCAATTCGGCTTCATCATGGCGACGTCAAGTTTGGGCCATTGCCTCGGATGCTTCGCGCTCGGCTACTGGAACAGTCGAACCGGCAAGGTAGATGGCCGAATCAATTCGGATTCGGATTTCATTGATTCCAGAGCGCTCATTCAATGTACATCGGATTCTCGCTAATGCTGTCGTCGAACATCGTCTATCTGCTGGTGGAAGTGACGCCGGTTGGAATGGTGATGCCGCTGATGCTCATCTCGAGACTCCTCGGAGGCTTCGGAATGGGCAACTCGAGTCCGATGCGAACCTGCGCGTCACTTCATTCAACCTACTCGGATCGCAGTAAAGCAATGGCGTCGCTATCCGGCGGCCGATCAGTCGGCACCGTCATCGGTCCCGGACTTCAGCTGTTGTTCGTCCCTCTCGGCGAGCAGGGCGTCCATCTCGTCGGCGGCTTGTCGATTCACTCGAACAACGCGCCGGCGTTTCTCGGAATCGCGCTCACCCTATTCGGAATCCTCTCGCTGATCATCCTTTTCGACGAGTCGACTCACGCCGATTCCGATGAGATGGCGATGTGCAACGACGGCGGCGATTTGCCGCATCCCGACAAAATCGCGATGAGCATCTGCCTGCTGACGAGATTCGTGCAGAATTTCATGCAGATCTCGATTGAGACGTAACGAATGCCAATTGAATCCAAAATTGAACGAATTGTTCAGACTTGCGCCGGCCATTCTCATGCTCATGTTCTTGCAATCGCGTCAGGAGTCGGTCTCGTCGATGGCGACGACTTACCTAATCACTGGTCTCATCGCAACACTCCTCTACCTTCTCATCATCTTCACAGCCCTCTCAAAATAGTTTGATCGCCGCGTTCTCAATTCGATAAGTCGAAAATGGTTTTCAGCGTTCGCCACAAGATCATCAACGTTCTCGTTCTCTTCTTGTTCGTCGCCCACTTGTTGGCCACCTATCCGTGGCAGTTTTTGCCGAATATGGGCAACGTCTACTCGAATGGTAATTCGGGTTCTCATTTTTTTAACTTTCTTCTTTTTTTGAAGAAACTTTGACTGGCTGCGATTTTGACAAGTTCACATGGTGCGATGGGCTCACTGTACCTTCGGAATGGGTAGTTGTCTATAAGATCCCCCCTAGCTTCTATCCCACCCTTTCAGCTCTTCTATCTCGGCTACATCGCCTCGTTCGGCCTCTTCATGCCATTCATCAACGTGGCAAATGCCACATTATATTCAAAGCTTCTGAATCCCGACTGCCAGGTATGCAATCAGAGAATCATCTCTGCGAAACTTCTTCAATTTTCCAGGGGACCCATCAAAGTCTCTATGACATTTCCAACACCGCTTCTCGCGTGTTCGCCCCAATTGTGATCACGTAAGTTTTTGCCTCCCGCCTGCTTAAACCAATCAACAAATTAAAGGACCATTTACACTTTATGGGGTCCCCGGCGAGCGTGGGAGTTCATTGCAATCATTCTGCTAATTACCGCAACCCTCTGGATCATTTTCGATCAGCGGATGATGCCGATTAAGCCGATCGAAAAAACTCAATTCAATGAGAATGAGGCGTTCAAGGAAGAAGCCTAATTGAAATTTTCGCCCTCTTAAAAAATGTTCGGGTTCGATTTCATGCTTTATAAAATAGCGATTTTCCATTATACATACATATAAATCACTTTGTGTCATTATTATTTTTGGAGTTGTCGAACAAATCCGCCAGCGAATAGAACGCGTCTTTGAGTAATTGCGCGAATCGTGCGGAATTCGTGTTCTCCGATGAATGATATGAGGTGATATGGACCATTATTGCCTGGTTGCCGGCGAATCGATAGCAAATTCCTGAAATGAGGCATTTGAAGCACACAAATTAGACCGATTCATACCGTATCCATTTTCAGCTACTGCTCCGAATGAGGCTCCAATGCAAATCGAGTCGACCGATTTGTCTTCGTCGATGGAGTTGGTCATATTTGGAATCTAAAATTGCCAAATATCGATTTTCAGAATTGAAATTACTCACGTTGCTCGTGCTCAAGATCCATTTCTGCGAGGCGAAGTGCTCCAGGAACTTGCTCTCATAGCCAAATGCCTTCGCAATGACGCATAGCACGAACAAGTGGCGATCAAATCCGTTTCCGACCAGCACGTTCTTGCAATTGTTCACGTGAACATCGCAAGCTTCGCGTAGAAGACGGCAACGCTCCTCTTTCTGAAAGAAGACAAAAAACTTAAAGGCGAATTGAGCAATTGATAGCTTACTGTGACGTCATCGTCAAACATTGAAGTGACGAACTTGCAAGAGGCATCGGTGACCGGACGAACTGTCTCGGTACGGCTATTCGCAAACGAACGAACTGCTCCTGGCTCATAGGTGAGCACGAACTTGCCCTGATCCTGAAACTCATCAGAACATTGATTTTTCGAGAAAACACTTGATTTTCCTGATAACTGGCTAGTTGAATCGCCATTTGCAAGAATCCATCGGGCGAAATTCCGCACTTCTTGATCAAACCTTTGCCGAAATCCAAAAACGCCAACGAGTACAAATCCAAATTATTCGTTGCTTGAATATGCGCTTTATAGCAACGCTCAATCTCATGCTCCATTCCATCAACAAGCTCGAAGTCGAGCTTCTCGACGAGCTTCAACGTGCCGCGTTCCTCGTCAGTGAGCTTCACCACTTTTTGTTGCTCATCGATCGAAAGCATCGGCAGAATGTCGCGATCGCACTTGAGAACGTTCTCGCAAAGATGATCGAGTTCAGCTCCATCGCATGGTGAATGTTCGCCGGTCGCTCCAGCCTGGATAGAGATGAGAATTGGAAATTATCTCCACTTTTTTTATGAGATTACCCTTCCCGTTGAATCGACAGCGTAGTTCATCGTCTTATCGACCCAACGATTCATTCCGCTTCCCGCGAGCATATCTTTCATATATTTGGAAAGTCTGTCGGGCGTTTCAACGTCCCATTCGAGATCATCATCAATTGACATCACAAAAGCGGCGGTTTCAATCATATCAAGGAGTTGGCGATTTTTGGGAACGCCGACGAAGAATTTCTTGCGATTTCGCCACCATTCGGTACGTGCGTCATGTGTTAAACTAGCGATTTTCGAAAGTGATCCCGTCGATATGTCATCCCGACCGAGCATTTCAGTAATAATCCTAAAATGGTGGTAGACATTCGATTTATCATTGATTAAGCCGCTACTTTGCCATTTCGTCAATTGTGAAAATCCGATTTTTCTCATCACAAATGTCCATTTTATACAGTGTGCCGGCTCGAATCAGAATCACATGCTTTGCAGGCGGATTCCATTGGAAATGATCATATTTCTCGCCGGGAATTCGACATCCATTGTACATGTTGCGATAATGCCTAGTCGACATTAGACCACCGCCAGGCTGAAATCATTCAAGCGTTTTTCATTTTCATCAAAAAATTTTGACTCCGATATGTTACCGCCATGTATTTCTGCTGGTCCACGCACAAATTAGCAATCGTTTCAATATAAATTATCCGGGCCGCCTGATAAGCTTGCAAGTTTCCGCTTTTTCCGTACATGGTGCACTGGGCGACACTTGAATTAATTAACAATGGATATCTGAAATTCGCTTGTCTTTATTCGAAATTCTCCATCAATTCTAGAACCTTCCAGCATTATAAATGAACTTTTCCCAAATCGGTGTCACATAGTTCTCTGTGCACTTGTGCCATACCCACGCGGCGGCTTGCAACTTCCATCCTTCATTCTTCAGAAACTCATCGCCCATCGTTTGTAGCTCCTCGTATTCATTCTGGAAAATTGCACAAACTATACAATAGAATTTATGTGCATTTGAAATAATGTAATTCTTCCCGATTAGATAACGCGCATTTGTGTTCGGACAAAGTTTAAGCACCTGACTGATAAGATGTTTCATTGAAGCGATGTAGGCGTGAACCGAGTCGGCGAGTTTCGGCAGCGGCATTTTTGGAAGAAGCGAATCGCATGACGAGAGCTGAGGCTTCGCGAATTTCGCGAGAATGTGGCGAGTTGCCTGAAAATTGAAATTTTCAGCATGTCCAGATGATCAATGGTGTCGGCTAACCGCCCATAATTTCGTTTTAATCGATGGATTTTTCGGGTTCTCAAACAAAAATCCCTTGTACGAAAAATAGCAATATTTTAGGAGTTGACGGAACAAGAACGTTGCGCCATAGGTCGCACCAACGGAAATTAAAATCGCGTGAATTATCTGCAAACAAATGTGTTTTTTATTTGAAAATTAAAATTTCTAACCTTCAAATAATTCTCGGCACAAAATTCGACATTATTAAAATACTGCGTTTGAAGCGCGACACCGGCGAGACACAATCCGGCAAAAGGGGTCGGCCGAATTGGCCATAGTCGATTTTCAAACCAATTCTGAAAAAATCTAGAAATAATATTGTCGGCGTCAAACGATTGTACGAAATTTGAAAAACTATTGGCTACGTACCACGCGATACTGCGTACATTGCATTATACCGTACGCGCATTTAATATCATTTCAACAATAAATTTAAATCTTCACAGATTTCGCGAATTTAAAGGTCCCGCCTCCCTTCAATCGTAATTAATTAAATTAAAATTTCGGCAGCTGGAAAAATTAGGCAAAAAAAAAGGTGTCAAGTTCTATCAATTTAGAGAATACTTGTTAATCTTTTCGAAACAATTTCGGCCAAAAAAATCTTGCTCCTTTAAATTACGGTAGCAATATTTCAGTTTTCGATTATTATTCCAAAATTTCACGAAAATCTAGCTCTAATTTTGAAAATTCTCTTTGTTAAAATATTCCATGAAATTTTATTGAACATATTGTAACAATATTATTGTTGAAAAATGACAAATGTATCCAGGTGTCGTAGGATCCTGCGTTTTGTACGCAATGCCAAGAGACAGTTACCGTAATCCTCGCAGATTTACGGGGATTTTTTTTTAATTTCGCACATTCATTTTTTTTTATTTTTCGTTCATTTTTTTAATTTTCTTTCGAAATTTTTTAATTTAAATTTTTAAATTTTGCAGAAACCGAGTTTTTTTTAGCAGAATAAGCACTTTTAAACGATATTTTTTGGTAAAAACTGTCAAATTCCGCGGGAATTCGACGAAAAAGGAGGAAAAAATGAGGGAAATCGATAAATATCTCTCGCGGAGAGAGAGTGTGTGAACGGAGAGAGCGCGCGCCAAAGGGTAGAGATAACGCGCGCTGAGGGAAAGACAACGGGCGCAAAGGAGGCGCAGGGGGAGAAGTTAAAGGCCGGCACAGTAATGCCGCTTGGATTTCTCGCGGCGCGGAGCGACAGTAACCTAGCGGCGGCGTTAGGAGGTTTTTAAAAAAAACGTTGTTTTTTAGTTTTCTTTTTTCTTTCTAACTGGAGTAAAAGCCTATTATTCTGATTGCGGATTATGGAGCGATCTCGCGGAGGAAGGAGATGCGCGATCCAAGGGGAAGAGAACCTCCCAGGTATGTGGTTTGACTTGGTAGAGTTCCCCAAATTGGCGGCGCGGCCGCGTGGGAGATATTGGGGGGTTTTCTTTTCCCATTAAGACGGCGCGGCCGTAGGAAGGGAGAATTTCGGGAGCATTGCCCTTGCGAAGGGCCGGAGTTAAGTGATGACAGAAGGCTCTAGCCGTCCATTTGGACGGCGATGAAGAGCTTCTGACTGATAACTTCGTTTCTTGCCACACAAAAAATTGTTCCTTCGGGGACGTTGAATTCTGGGCGGGGCCCAGAATTTTCAAAAAAACAGCAGAGATTAAAAAGAAATCATTTTTGTCGTTAATAAAATTATTTAATCGTGTTTTGCTTTTTGTATGCGTTTCTATTATCTTGTTTTTGTATTCTTCATTTTCAAAATAATTTTTAGAGCGTCAAAATCTTCACAATAATTCCTAACTCAACTGGACAAATGGAAAAGTGCATATTCTGAAAATTAAGTAATTAAACTCGGTTTCTACAGGTTTTAAATAAAATATTTCTAAAGAAAATAAGAAAATTCAGCAAAAAAAATTTAAAGAAAATTTAAAAAAAAAACTCCGTAAATCGCTGAGAGGATTACGGTAACTGTCTCTTAGCATTGCGTACAACACGCAGGATCTCACGACACCTGGATACATTTGTCATTTCTCAACAATAAAAAAAAATAAAATTTTCATTTAAAACTCAACTCACATAGGTGCGATATTGTAGGCGCTCGAATCGGCCAGGCACGAACTTGATGAACTCATATGGCGATTTCGATTTGCTCTGTCCGGCCATTCTCTGAAAAACAATGAATACTATGCGCTGCATGGTAAATCACCAAAATTGGCTTCAATCGTCGAATGAATAAACAACACAGTGGTTTATATAAGAAACAATGCGGGCCGTATCTAATCGAGACCACGCTTTCAAAAAAAAAAAAGAAAGAATTGCCATTTTTGGTCGCATGTGCCGGACAAAGTACAAGACATCGCGCGTGGCGGCGTCTCATAAAATCGGTCGGTTATCACTGCTTATTTTCGGTGCTGATGATTCGCTGTCGGGCAAAGTATACAAGTGAAAGTCGTCTGCACTCTGTGGGACAATTGGGAACATTCACGAATTGCTTATTCGAAATCGCATGGGTGCTAGAATTACTGGAAACCTCGCAAATTTCTAGAATCCAGGTTGGGACCAATTTTTTAAAACTTTTCGGCCTTTCTACAAAAATTATTTTTTTTTAGATTTAAGAATTTTACCTATCAAACTCATTTTTGCGGTTAGATTTTTGCAAATTTTTGAACTTATAAATGTAGAAAAAATATTTGCAAAATAATTTCTTTTTTTTAAATCCCTCTAAAAAACTTTCTCCTCCAGTTGAATAAAAGATTTTTTTTACATCGTTTTGATTTTCAAATCAATTTTTTTTCTAGAATACCTCAATTCTGAATTTTGTCGGCTAAAAATCTAATTTTTGCTGTCAGGTCCTAATTGGAACTTTTTCGCTGTAGGACCCAGTGATTGATTCCAGTCGATCATTAATAGTTCACAATTCGAAAGTTCAAACCCGATTTCATATTTGGCTGCAATGATTTTTGATTACGTTCGATCACAAAGTAATTGTTATCAGTTGGTTGTCAACATGGTGTGCGCCTTTGATGAACCTACCGTAACCGTCGGTTGTGTTGACGCTTGACATTTTTATGGGACAAAATAATTTTGGCAATTAAAGAATTGCAGAGAAATTCGATAATATGGTAATCGCGTTTGGAATTTCAAATTTCCGTCAAACAAAAATATTTTGAATTCGACATTTAGGTCTCGTATGGAAAACGGTTTCGCTTGTCAATTGTTGATTTCTATTCAAAACTCTTCCAATCTCTTGTCAGATGTGAAAACCATCATATGCGTCGCGGTCGCGTTGCGGTCATTTTTAAAATGCCTGTTTGCAGCCATTCTCAGTATAGGCTGCTTCGAAAAATCAAATTAGTCGCGACGAGACCCAACTGCTTGCGCCTTTAATATTGATAGTCATTCACTCTTCGTTTTGTTTTTCGGAAAGCTTACTATAGTTATTTTTAACCCAAAAATGTGTGCGCGCTAATTATTATAATTCAATTACTGTAGCATTGAATGTGTGCAAACACCGTGACGCAAAATTCCACGAAAATACTGCTGAAGACAGGAAACGTTAAAGGATTTATGAAGGTTAAATGCAGTTTTGTTTCTATCGTATACGCCTTTAATGGATACTGTAATCTTGATACGCAGCCAAATTGATGCCTCCAGGAAGCCACAGTATTTCATTGTATTGTATTCGTTGCGAGACCAATAGAAGAAATAACAAATTTATTTTTTTTTGTTTGAAAAAAGAAAACTGAAAGAAATGTTTCTGAGGCAGCACAACAATGAAAGCTTTTCAGATTTGTCGGTGTGACGATATACAGACAAACAACAATAATTGCAAATTGCAAATTGCAGGCGGGCGGCAACGAGTAAATGTGAAACGATAAATAGGCGATGATCTATCGGCGATTCCAAATTTACTTGTGTCCAGTGGCGTATCCACCGGCTGGCGCGGCTGGGGCGGCGTAGGAGGCGCCTCCGGCTGGGGCGGCGTAGGCTCCATCAGCTGGGGCAGCTGGCGCGGCGGCGTAGGATCCTCCGGCTGCCGCAGCTGGAGCGGTGGCGTATCCTCCGGCGGCTGGTGCTGGTGCTGGTGCGGCGGCTCCGCAGCACGGGCTAGCTCCTCCGAGCGATGGAAGCTGGATTTGTGGGAGCTGGAGTGGTGGGAGAGCTGGAAGAGCTGGAGCAGCGGCTCCGCAACCGCATGGCGGTGGTGGTGGTGGTGGTGGGCTAAAAACGAATTGATGAATCGAAATTATTAAAAGAGGGAGGGGGGGGGGGCTAGGGATTGTGGGAAGTGAGGGGCACTTACGCGCATCCACATCCTCCGGCTCCTCCCGCCGATGGGAAGAGGAAGGCCTGGGTGGCGGCGATGGCGGCGAAAGCGATGATCAACTTTTGCATGATTGGAATGGATGTGATGATTCGAATACGATGAGGCTTCATTGCCACAAATCGCCTTTTATATAGGCGGTCGAACAAAAAATTTTTGTTGGCCACACCTCCTTTGCGCGCCGCCGCCAATGCCATTGGACCCGAGCCGGGACGAGTTTTCACTATTCATTCAAATTGATAAGTGAAATGAGATGGAAAAAAGGCCTTTTTGACGATGAAATCCGAGTAAACGTTGAAATTGTTAAAAAACTCTAATTTAAGCGGTGGAATTTCATCACCTACTCATATTTTGAATAGCCTTCCGAGAAAAAAAATTAAATGAATAATAATTCGGTTACTGTAGTACATTGTGTGCAAACACCATGCCGCAAATGTCGCACACCAGAATTTTTTCTCCCAAAATTGCATCATTTTTTTTTTGAGATTTCTCTGAAAATTTCAGGAATTCGTACAATTTTCTATTAATTGTTTTTTTTTTTTCTATTAATTATTTTTGTACGATATTCTATTAACCGATTCATTATTTTCTATCAAAAATCTTTTTCTAAAACTAAAAAATTATGCAATATTTCGAATTGTTTACATTTTTTCCAGAATATTAGCATCTTTCAGACGCGAACCGGACCTTTTGAATTTTAATTTTGACCTCCGACAATCAGACGATCCGAAATTGAATGGTAGTACAATTGGGATATCGGTGATCTAATTAGAACTGGAAAGGGACATACGCGCATATAACCATGACGAGACCCATCTACAGGGGCTCGAATTATCACAAGCTCTGTGATTGTTTAAATATCGCTGTAAGATATTTTGAAATCATGTTTCTTTGAATTGAAGTGGTAGTATGAGGGCTCATTCTACTTCAACAAAATCAAGATGCCAATCCGTTTAGGTCAGAATTAATTGCACGTAAATCTACACGCGGAATCAGAGGCAAGTGTAGTCTATAAGTCAGTTTTGATTTTTTTAAAGATTTCCCATTTTAAAATATTTGTAGAAACCACAGTTAAAGGCTCACAGCGAAGTTTATCACGATTGTTTGATATCCCGAATTTCGAATTGATAGCTTTAAAGGCGCATCGCAATTCAATTCTTGATTTTTGCTCTCAAGACCCATTCGAAATTTGCGATCTAATCAAAATAATTATTCGCATAGTCTGTCGTTGAAAAATCGAAAAACGAGACACGCAAAAGTCCATTCTTTCTCTCTCTCACTCACTCTTATGCAACCTGCTTGACGGCATTTTCTCGGATTTCGACGGCGCCGCCGATGGCGGCCTTGTCTCATACGCATCTTCGTCTCATTGTCGATGTGATACGCACAATTTGGCAATATTCGCTTTCGCCGTCGTTGCGAAATCACCTTGACGCGTTTTTACACATATTCGGTGACGCGCGTAAAGGCTTTAAACTGTTGCACTTTTTTCCCTCTCCTCACGCGGCGGCTTCATGCCGACGGTGATGACGAAGTAGGAATGGATGGAATGGCACTCGGCTTGTAGGGACGTGACCTCTTCTTTGAAAAAACCACCCGGGTGGCGGGAATTGTGTTCTCATTGTGTAATTAATACGTAATCACGTTCAAGCGTAAGTAATTTGAAAGATATTCTAGAAGGTGATATATTTAAAAACGGGTACAGCGCCAAAAGGAAATAAAAAGGGGTCTCAAGAAAGATAATTTTCGTATAAGAAGGCAATTTTCAAATATTGAGGTCGCGTGGATCGGATCAAATTTCAATTCTTCCATTTGGATCATCCAGAAAGGTCTACGCGTAAACTGAACGATAAACCTGTATCAAGTTGGAAGATTTGATTTTGGATTAAAAACTATAAAAATTATTTGCCAAGCCGATCCAAAATCGAATTTTGAAAATCTGTTCATTTTTGCGTAAGATTGATTGCGGACATCGATACCGTAACGCACAAAATAAATTTTTAAAACACAATTAGAAATAATTTTTGGCGGACTATAAAATTTGAAAAATGGAATTCCGTGCAACTCTGTTTGGAGGAGCAACCTGGCATTTTTCCTCACATTCTTCCACTGGAGATTTTCGTGAAAAAAAATTTCAAAATTTCTCTTAAAGCGTTTCTTGAGTATTTTTTCTCAAGAAATCCTTTAAATAAGATTTCCACTGCGTTGTCGATTTTTCAGAATCTTTAGTATATTAGTGAGCAACCTTTCTTAAGAAAAGTCGGATACCCAGTGAGATTTACTCTATTGTTGGGAAATTAATTTGATACTTGAATTCTGATTTCATACCCACCTCATAGTTAAGCCCCCCCCTCCCTGAATTTTAACTAGTAAATATTTATTCATGGTAGAAACCAGTTGTTATCTTCATCATAAAACGGTGTTTCGGTGGAAAAAATTCTAGAATAATTCATAGGCAAAAGGAAGAGTCGGCATTTTGTAAAATATTAACTTTGCAACAAGTTTTTAGCATCTTAAATAATTCCAAATACGAATTCAAGCAGCTCTTCGAATAATAGTATTTTAGAAGTTTTCAAAGTCAATCTTCACACACTTCGAATGCTATTACTGTATTTCCCAAACTCTGATTCTTCAAAAATTCAAATTTTAAAAATTCCTAGTTTATCTGCATGAAATCTAATCAAAACATAAAAAAACGAACGAATTTTTCTTTCCTATTCTTTTCATTCAATCAAAAACTCCTATTCTTTGTACTGAAACGGTCACTATTTCGACTTTTATCAAGAAAACCGGTTATTGACTTCTCACTGCCGGTCAGATTCGATCTGTCTGAAATTTCGACATTTTTTGAACCAAAAATTTTGGGCATATTTTTTTCTAAATTGATCCTTTTTTACCGAAATATTATAGAAAATCATTAAAAAAAAAAAGAAAATAAATAAACAAATCTTGAAAAAAAGAAAAATTTATCATTTTGCCTCTTTTTCTTGAATTGACAATTTCTTCATTTTTTCTCTTTTTTTTTTTCTCTGCTTTACAAAATATCGAAATTTGTCGTTCGTGAAGAAATTTGAATTAATTGGTCTCGTATAACAAAATGAGCTTCTGAGCCGTCAATTTGACGCCTCTTTTTATTTAGAATCCATAAAAGCTTATGCTCTTTTATATTATGAGGGCTAATCTAAAAAAATGCGATTTTCCATGTGAGACCCAAGGCGGCAATTCAAACGATAACGCATCCTTAATTCCATCCGTTAACCGCAATACCAAAAAGAACACGATGAGAAAATTGCGCCTAAATTAGACAAGTCTGACTGGTTTTCAGAACGAGTGTTAAAATTGCTGAAAATATAAAATTGCCACCGCTCTGTTCTTTCATTTTTTACCATTTTTCAGAAATTTTCAATCCAATCAATGCCATTTAGTCGATAAACTGATTGAAAGAAAAGATTCCCAAAATTTGAGGCATTTACTTTATCTTGATGAAACTTTTCTTCTCGTTGAGACAAATCCAATTTGCTTGCCAATTCATGTCATTCGCGTGTCCACGTCGTGTCTCACAACATCTAGAACATTCCAAATTCCATATCTGGATAAAGCGTTGTTATATTCTTTCTACCATAAACATTAATTGTTGGTTGCCTCTCATCCAAAATTCAGTTTAAATTTTATTTTTTCGAGGCTCGTTTCAATGGAGCGCGTTTGCTACATTGGAGTCTAAGAGTGCACCGCTTTTTTTTTCAAAAAAATTGATTTCTTGCGCATTGCGCTGCTCTCGCTTTTCCCAATAAATCTACATTTTCGTTTCTTTCATTTGCAAAGCATTTTCTAAATCATCCAGCAATTGCCTGAAATTGAAAATCATTGATTTAATTCGAATTAATTTATTTTATATTAAAATTCAAGAGCAATGCGAAATTAAAAAGAAACCTTTTAAAACTGAATATTTATTTAATTCATGTGAATTTTGAATCGCGATCTCGCGCAGTTTGGCCACATTACGGCACATCTCTTTATTTCTCAACATTATTTCAAATTCATTTCAAAACCTCGTTTATCTGTTTGTATTTGAACAGTTCCGTGAATTATTGACTTACTAGGAGGACAGTGCGCTTCCGATGTTTAAACTCGCGCATAGTTTTTTTTCCGAAACTTTTCCAGTCAGCAACGAAACAACACGCGTACAAAAAGTGATTGATTCGATTTCTCACGTCCAAACTGCAAAACCACTCAATCTATGTGTGTGTGTGTGTGTGTTTTTTTCTGCAAATGCCGTCGTCTTCGCAAGCCAATCGCGTCTCTCTCGCCACGCGCAGCGCTATCTCGGCCCGCGATCCATAGCTTATAATGACGTGGTCGTTTTCGAATTCGGTCCGTCGCACTTTTTTTTTGTTTCGACACAGGGTACTAATGTAGTACACCACAACTGATAACACATATTGTGCCTCGTATCATTTGCGTTTCGTTATTCTCTTTATTTTCCAGCGATTCTTCTATGTAGCGTCGATTGTGAGGCGACTGTGATTTCAAGAGCGGGTTCCAAAAAAACCAGTCCATATCAAAGAACAATGAGCAGTGTGCTTTTAATATTATTATTAGAGTTCGTTTTTGGTTTGATCAGCGCCCAAAATCAATATTATTGCTATGGTGATGGAATTCTCAATAATGTAAGTCTTATTTTTAGTACAAAATTTGGCAACCGACATTTTCCTTTGAAGAAACTTTCTTTAATCTATTTTTTGTAATAAAAAGAACGTTTTTTGAGACATTTGCTTACAAAAATATTAGTTTTTCCTAGTATACTTCCGGGAAAAATCGATCGTTTTGGTTCTTTTCAATTCGCGAACACTAATTTTCTTTTGTTTTTTTGAAAACTAAGGCAGGCTTCTATAAAAAACTAAAATTTCTGAAAATCATTTTGCAAAAATGATTCATTTTTTGTTTTAGGAAAAAACGTGTCGATTCTTCACTGTTGTAATTGACGCGGGCTCGACAGGCACCCGATTACACCTCTACAAATTTCTTCATGATCCCGAAAAAAATAAAAATGGAATGCCGTTCACTGTCGAGCAGGAGATTTTCCAAGAGGTTCGTAATATTGAATTTTTCTATTTTAGTAGTCGTAAATTTTAATTTGGATTTTTTAATAGTGCCAAATTGGCGGAGATCTTTGAATGGTAGCCCGCGAAATTCATAATTTTCAAATTCGTTTATCCATAAAAAATAATTAAATTAAACAATCTTGTCGGCCAAGTTTACATTTTTCTAAACAAACATTCGATTTTCGGAAAGCACGCGATCTTTTGGGTGTTTTTTTGATTTGGCTGATTTCAATTTTCAAAAACCAAATAATACACTAACTACAAAATACTGAATTGTGATCATGTGAATTGCATGAGAATTGTAGTCTCAAATATGGACTGTTTCAGGTGAAACCCGGGCTTTCGTCGTATGCCAAGAATGCGGAAGACGCCGCGAAATCGCTGGAACCGTTATTGCAAAGAGCAAGGTAATGTTGGAAATGGTTAATTGGGAAAACATTAAAAGCAATTTTCAAGATCGATTTTTTTTACTATTTCAAAATTCAAAAAATGATAGAAATTTTGTAAAAAGGCTTGAAAATTCACGAAAATTTGTCTTTTAAATTTTGGCAAAATTTTAGCCTCTACATAGTTTTGAAGCATCAATTATACAAATTTTCAGGAAAGAAGTTCCTCACTTCATGTGGGAGAAGACGCCGATCACATTGAAGGCAACTGCCGGTCTTCGGCTTCTACCCGGCGACATGGCCGATGATATTTTGGAGCAGGTCGAGAAGACCATCTTCAACAGCGGATTCTATGCAGCGTTTCCCGAATCTGTCTCGGTGATGTCGGGATCGGACGAAGGCGTTTATAGTTGGTTCACATTGAACATTCTCCTCGAGACCCTCTTCCAAGGTACATTACATTATTGGCATCCTTCATTCAATAAATTGAATTGAATTTAGATGAGAAGAAATCGGGTTTCGTGCCGAGACCCGCGGCGCACATGTCAGTCGCGGCTTTCGACTTGGGCGGCGGATCGACGCAGCTGACGTACTGGCCGAACAACGAGGCGGTGTTCGAGGAGCATCCCGGATTTGAGAGGGACATTGACTTTTTCGGGCACCACATTCGTCTGTTCACGCACAGCTTTCTTGGGAATGGACTGATCGCGGCGAGACTCAGCATACTCAAAACGGAGACGCCTGACGCGATCGAGAGGGATCACAAGCTGACGACGAGCTGCATGCCGAATGGCTACCACCTTCCGGACTGGGAGTACTCGTTGAAAATGTGGAGTGTTAAGTAAGATTCATAGTATGTCAAATTTGGAATGAGAAAATTTGAAATTTTAGCGGAAATGAGAAATATTCATTCGAAAATTGTTATCAGGTCTCGAAGCGATTTGTCGAATCGAGCAACATCATGCATTTGAGAGGTTTCTTTTTTTTTCAATCTGTTCAAATTTGAATTAAAAACATTGAAAAATTCTAAAAATGGAGAATTTTATCCAGGAAATTGAAAAAATCGGATTTTCTAAACAATTTTTTTCAGAACTGAAAGGCTCTCCGATCTACCTCTTCTCATATTTCTTCGATCGCGCCCTTAACAGCGGACTCGTCAAAGACAATAATGGTGGAAAGGTGATGCTCAAAGAGTTCAAGAAAGCCGCCAAAATAGGTAATTAGCGCAATTTTGTCGAGAAAATGCGAAAGGTGGTTTCAGCTTGTCAGCGAAACGTCCGAGAGATCAACGATGGATCGCATTGGATGCCATGGCAATGCCTAGATCTCACCTATATCTACTCGTTGCTTCATGATGGATATCGGTTTGATGATGAGCAGCCAGTAGTGGTAAGTGGGATGAACTATGTTGAAGATATCTCGCAAAATTGGCGGGGGACGATGTCAGTCTCAGTCAGTATTTCCAAAAAATATATTATTAAAAAAATAAAGCACACAAAATTCTTTCGTTTTTTGTTTGAAAACAAAATATTCAAAATTTGGAATTTTAAAGTGTGTGGTTTTTTTCGAATTAAAAAAAAATTAGATGCGAAATTGAACGCCCTTTTATGGTGATTATTGCAGCTGGCAAAGAAGATCAAAGGAATGGAAGTGTCATGGGGTCAGGGCCTCGCGTTCGCCGTCTCCAATGAATTCCAGTCATCGGATTCGGCGACGTCGTCGGGATCGAAAAACACGACGGTTGTTGATCAATTATTCAATCTAGTCTACACGAGTACAAATCATGTATTAACATTCTTCAATATCATTTCTTGAGAAGCGCGATTCTTTAACAAAACACAATGTTTCTTGCCAGTACGGTTCGAAAACAGTGATATCCGAATTCGGCATTGTTTAGTCTACGAGTTTGTATTAGATTTTCACTTGTCCCTTTCTTTCAATAACTCCACGAAAATTCCGTTTATTAGTTACCCGTCACGACTGTTTTTCAAATATATACTCGACGTCTTCTTCTTCTTCTTCTTCTTCTTTTTTCACATAAATTATTTTTGGAATGCGTAGAAGGTGCCGAACAGATTGAGGTACTCGCCGTACGTCTTTTTGGCTTTTGTCGGATTCGGCCAATTGTCGACTTGGCAATAGGTTTTGCGCATTAGTTTGTAGTAGTAGACGAGCTTCTCGGCTCGCCAATCGCTGCAGCGTCGGAACATTTCCTCGCTGATCGCGCCCCGACATTGCTCTTTCTGCTGCTCATTTCGACGCATGATTAGCTTGTAGTAGACGCTTGTCTCGTGCTGAAATTTGCAAATGCAAAAAAAAGAGCCCACATCGGAGGGACCATTACCTTCAACCTGGCAATCACCTCATCACTTAGTTGGTCCTGATTCGCCAGACATTCCTCTTCGGGCTCCTTCGCGTCCGACTAGAATCCACCTAATAATATTATTGAATCAAATTGAAAATGATTACCGCTGAGGATTGATCTGGACGGGGTGGAAGGTCGTCCTCATCGATGTCGCCATCGAATCTTGGTATTGAAGTCGGCGCCACTGAGACCCAAGCTTTTGCTTGAAACTAAAAACGATGTTGTTCGAAGCGAATTGCTAACCGATCGTTCAACCTCTTCACGTTCGCTGGACATAGTAGTGTAGTATGAAGGATCGTCGCCGACTACCACCGGATCATCGGACGTCGGCGTCGCCTGCACAACATATTCATACTTTTCCTGCTCGTTCGTCATCTGAACACTTCGCGCTTCTGGTTCAGTTATTGGCTGAAAAAATATAAGTCGTTTATGAGACATTGATACGGAATTGGAAGATCGCGGCGAGAGCCACCAACCTGTTGTGTTGTCGTCGTCGGTTCGCTTCTTGTCTGATTCTCATCGATCAATCGGATTTCGATTCTTTCAATGGGTGCATCAAGGCGTTGAACTTTAACCATGTATAGAAATATTAGAATTTTAAAAGTATTGGTAGTTGTAGATTTACGAGTGGATATTTAATTTGATTTCCTCTGGATGAGACGAGATTATTTTCGATTGTCAGAAATCTACTCAATATTTCAAAAAATTGAAATATAAATTTGCGTGGAAGAATTAAATTTGAAATCATCGAAGCAGTTTTTCCCCCGACCAGAATTTCAGGTTTTATTTTTCTTAAATCGACCATTTCACAGAATTTCTAAATTCTTATCATCGAAGGAATTGAAATCAACAAGTCAATTCAGACGATTCAGATTTTCTTATTGGTGGGAATAAAATATCTAACAAAATATAGCTGGAAAATGACGAATGCCCTCAAGTGCCGTGGGATTTTGTGTTTTTCTTTTTACGAGATTTTTTTTCCTTTTAAAATTTTTGATTTGCTAGCGATTCGAGCTAAGAAAACCATTAAATTTGGAAAAAAAACGTCATCACAAAAAATTAAAAAAAAAGGAAAATTCATTTGAAAAAGAAACCAAGAATAAATGTGTTTTGTTGCGAATCGCGTCGAGACCCATTGCATAACTAAATGGCATGCGTCTTAAACTACCGTTTCCTTGCGCCAAGAGGTTTTGTTTTTAACATTTTTGCTGGGTTTTTTTTTTAATTTTTGACGAAAAAGAAACGGTATTGTTGAGAAATGACAAATGTATCCAGGTGTCGTGGGATCCTGCGTTTTGTACGCAATGCTAAGAGACAGTTACCGTAATCGTCGCAGCGATTTACGGAGTTTTTTTTTAATTTTCTCTCAATTTTTTTGCTGAATTTTCTTATTTTCTTTAGAAATCTTATATTTAAAACCTGTAGAAACCGAGTTTAATTATTTAATTTTCAGAATATGCACTTTTCCATTTGTCCAGTTGAGTTGGGAGTTATTGTGAAGATTTCGTCGCTCTAAAAATTATTTTGAAAATGAAGAATACAAAAACAAGATAATAGAAACGCGTTCAAAAAGCAAAACACGAATAAACAATTTTACTAACGACAAAAATGTTTTCTTTTAAATCTCTGCTGTTTTTACCAAAAAATATCGTTAAAAAGTGCTTATTCTGCTAAATAAATTATTAAACTCGGTTTCTGCAAATTTAAATAACAAAATTTCGAAGGGAAATACGAAAATTGAGCGAAAAATAAAAAAATCTAATATGCGAAATTAAAAAAATAAGTCCCCGTAAATCGCTGCGAGGATTACGGTAACTGTCTCTTAGCATTGCGTACAACACGCAGGATCCCACGACACCTGGATACATTTGTCATTTTTCAACAATAAATTAAAAAGCATGCCTTTTATTTGTGCGATGGGTCTCGATGCGAATCGCACCGAGAATACGCTTATTCATTGAATTTTCTTTTTTTTCCTCCTCTGCATTGGAATCATGAAATCATAATGAAATTAAATAACGAAATGTATACAAGAGCTTATGCGAACAAAATGTAAATTTGAAAAATAAAAAATTATTTTTTTCTGATTCATTTCATCAAAAATTCGATTTTACAACGATTCACGAAATCAATTCTTCGGATTTTCCCAAAAAAGATGATTATTAATGAAAAATGAGTATAATCGAAAATTTCCGAGCATTTTACCAACCTGCAAAAGTGGGATGCGTCGACGTCGGCGGCTCATCATCGGCAATCGGCGACGTCGTCGTGACCCCAATAAGAAACACAAGAATAATGAAAAAGTTCATGATAATCATTGAATTCATCGTCATTGTTTTGCCTCATGTGTGTGTGTGTGCGTCTGAGAGTATATGTGTAAGACGAGCAGCTGACGACAACCAAATGGCCTTGTTGTTCGATTTGATTTTGAGAAAAACCACACTCGGAGAAGAATCGGGAAGAAAAAAAAACACACACACACACAAAAATTTATGAAGCGAGATATTTGGATTTGGTTTTGGATAGCGTCGGCTCGGAATCCGTTTTGCGTTCCAGCTGTTGCTGGTCGAACGTCGGCATTTTTAGGATGTCGTGGGTGGTTTGGCGCCTTCCATCGATGAATTCCTGCTCGCGTTCGCCGCCGTGCTCCTGAAAGCCGGAAATCGAAACAGTTTTTTGCGAACCATCGAAATTTTGTTTCTTTTTTTTCGAAGACGAAGTTTCATTTTATCGGAGGCCGGAGAATTTCGCGGTCATTAAAACTAGGCCATATGTACTTATAGTATGTACGAAAGGCGAATTGCCTCAAAAATTCAAAAAAATTGTTTTTTCCTTTGACAATTTTTTGATGGCCTAGAATTAGGCAGCCACAATTTCCTAGGCCATTATGCCATTTTCATGGGGGATTTTTTCGTGAATATTTTACAATAATAATTGTATTTTTCTTCATTCTTCCAACAAAAAAAAACTGTGCCATTTTAAAATTTGTGAAGCAAATTTGAGTGAAATTCCCGATTTTAGCCTTCACATTATGAAATCGCTCGCGACAAACTGGATAAGTCTTGCAGGCAATTGTTTTTACAGACATTAGCGAATAAAAAGCGACACACCTGCTTACCTGTGCCTCCGGCAACGCGTGGAATATTGGCTCGGTGGCGCGATGCACAAAACGCTTGCGCATCGTCTGTAGAAGATCGTTGGCGCTGGCTCTGAAATCAAATCGCAATTGAATGCTGCCGACATGCTTGCGGGACTCACTTCTTGTTCTCCTCGCGGTTCGCGCATTTGTCGATGGACGACCTACAACCTTTCGTCTTTAATATTTTCAATCGTCCCTTACGTTGAGCTTGTGCTGTCGCGTGTGCCGTTCAACGTATCGCTGGATTCCACCTGCAATTGCGTTTCGTCAACATCTGTGCTCTATTGCCAATCATTACCTTTTTAAGTGTTTTGATGAACTCGGTGACGCTCACCTTCTCATCGAGATCGCCGCAATCAGTGATGAATTGCCCAAAGTTGCCGCTCATTCTTCATTTTTTTTTTGAAAAAAAATTAGTAAAGAAAGTACAATAAACAACACTCAATTTAAAGGCGCATTGGCGAAAATTCGAAAAGAAGAAAATGTAAACGCGAAAAAATTGATTCAATAATTTCGGAAAAATGCAATTCCACCTGCCTCGCGGCAATATGTTAGGTTATAATGAGCACGACGAATTGAGTGAATTTCTCGATTGGTTTGTTGCGATCAAACACAAATTTTGTAGCATGCGCCTTTAAACAATCAATTTTTTCGTTTTTTTTCTCGCAATTCTTAATGGGAAGCCAAGATTTACAATATTCTTGCGGTGTGTGCAGTTTTTCGCGTAAAATAAAATTTATAGCCAATTTTAGCCGAATGTTCTTTAGAACTTGATTCCAAAACTATGTGCCTTTAAATGGAATTTTTTGGAACACTCGAACTTTGGGAAAAGTAAAAAAAAGGGCAAAAGTGAATGAAACATGTCATTTTCCCAACTTCAGTGAAATCTTTTTTAAAGACATGCAACTATCGGACATTCAGTTTTAAATAATTTTTGAATGCGCCTTTAATGGATAGTGTAGTCTTGCATATGTTTGATACGCAGCCAAATCGTAAATTATTGCGAGACGAATTGAATATGACAAATCTCGGCTCTGGAATTTACCAGTTTAGGCTCGAAATCAAATTTTCAAATCAGCGTATTCGATTCGAAAACTAATTACCAGGGTAGGTCAAATTTTTATAAACCAGAAATGCTGAAAATAATTTTAAGGGTCTATGTTCCTTTAAACTTTTGAATCGCTTCAAAAAAAAACAATCAGAAGAAGATAAAACGAAATTTTGAACTCATATTTTAATCGATTGTTCGAGTTGATCAAAATTCAAAAATTGAGAAGCCCGTAAGATTTGTCATCAAATATAGACTTCTCACAACGCATAATCACGTCAGTGACAAATAAGAAAAATCGCATAAGGCGAGAAATAATGGGAATTGGGTGCCCTCGGAACACAGCGAAACACACACACAATAGGCATGTGTATATCCGTGCCTCCTGGATTTTGTGCACATGTACATATATGTGTTTGTGCGTAATGAAATTTTACAAGACCACGCCCATTATTCGCGGTTGCCACTAGCGATAATATTGTTCGTTGTCCGCAGATGGAATTGGGAAAATGATTCGATGAAAAGTGTCGTGGGAGGAATAAATCACGATGGTCCTGATATACGTAAATGAGTAAGGGGGTCAATCTCAAATTAGAATGGCGGAATTAATGTTGGTACCAATTGGTGGTCTTTTGGTCCAAAGGTAAACAAGGTCTTTTGGATATCGCTAAGCAAATTATTTTGTAGCTAATGATCACGAACGTGCGTCAAAACGCATACAACCCAGCTTGTAGTGTGGGAAAACGAGCTGCTCGTGATTCAGCCTGAAACACGAATAATATTGCATAAATTTTGAGAGGCTGGTCGAAAAAAAAACAATATATTTTTCGTTTGATATTGCAATAATTTGTAGCCACCGAATTGAATTGCTCGCCCCCGAAAACATGCCACAAAAAAATCTGCAAAATTTCTTTTTGGGGGGATTTTCGCCCAAAATAAATTAGTTTATTCATATACAATCTTTACACACACTAATGTTGGATTTGGATGTGGAATTTCGCTGCAGGAAGGCTTTCGACAGTTGGAGTCACGATTGCCTGAAATATGAAAGTCTCAAAAAACATTCTTTCAATATAAACGTTTACCCGAATATTCAGTCCGGACAGTGCTCCCCTTATAATTCCGCAGGGAAGTGCTAGAAAATACCCGCTCTCTTTCACATATTGTGGTCCTTCTGGAAAACTGCGAAGCGTCGTGAATCTGCTGTCTTGGACCACATAGACACCCTGAGATGAATCCAAAATTCAAAAAAATGTTTTTCAAAAAACTGGACACCTGGTGATTAGTTCGGAGATTATCGACTTGTTTCCCAAATACATTTATCCAGAACTCTTTGCAAATGAATTTTATGCATTCAAGCTCGGTTATCAGCTTCGGTGCTTCTTTGGAAATCTTCTCGACTAGCACTTGTCCAACCTTGAAGCCTATCGACTCCAATTTGGTCTCTGCATTGGACTGAAACCTTTTAACTTTCTTTATTATATTTTTATTTAACTTACATGAAGAAATGCTTTTTGAATTAACCCGTCATGTTTTTCAATTTCTACAATACCTGAGCAATGCTCTATTATCTAAACAAGAAATTTGATTGAAATCTCAAATTGAAAATTTACATTATTCCATTCGTCCTTTGCCTCACATCGTACTTTTTCATTTTCAATTGCTTCTCGTATAATTTCTGCGTGCAGCAAATCAAATGGGAATGACATTGGAATGCAAAAAAAAGCGATAAAAATATGAAATAAAAAACCAAGTGTGCAAACACCGACACATTTTCTCTGCGTACATTACGTCATAATTGACGTAGCCTATCACCAAGTATTTTTTTAATGGACCTATTCATGCAATAAGAAATATAAAAAATTACACAATCTTCTAATTCAGGGTCGTAAAAAAATGCAAATTTAATGCAATTTTTTACGAAGAAATGTGCAATTTCTGTATTGCATGAATAGATCCATAACCCATTTGAAAGGTTTCGCAATATTCTATATTTATGCATTAAAAGATATTTTAAAAAACACACACACACACAATTTTCGAACGCAGGCTTGTAAAAAACATTTATTTTTTTACAAAACTTTGAAAAATTACATTTCATGACAGTTCATATTTAATCAATTTTTTTCAGATTTTATGAGAATTACTCACAATGCAACAATTAACACAATCAATGTCTACAATGGATCTTAAATCAGTGAATCAGCCGTTAAAAATATTGTTGTTTTTTTCTTTTTTCTTTAGGAATGGATGCCGCGATCCGAAGAACCATGCGAAGGAAGATATTACACCGAAAGGGTCAAACTCGTTGTGAATTGGTTTCGATTTATCAACAAAATCACTGACATCACCATTTTCGAATACGATATCGTTATTGAAGAGTTTATACGGAAATCTTGGAAACCGGTGGATAAGTACGACTATAAATTTTTGGAGAGAGAGAAAAAGAATACTTAAAGGAATGATCGTAGCAATTATTTCTGGAGCTTCGTTCGATATAATGAACGCGATTTTGGAGGTGTTGAGCAGGTTGTGTTCGATGACGTTAGCCAAATCTACAGCAGAAATAAATACAAAACGCCGATGGATTTTAAAATGGAGATGATGGTGGGAAGAGTCAAGGTTTCAAAACACACTATCAATCGCATACGCATTTTTTTCCTTTCACAGAAGCTCTTCAGAATGCGTGTAAAATTTGCCGCCTCGTTCGATTTGATATTCCGACGCGACAATCACATGCGAGAGGAGGCGGTGTCGCGAAGCTGCAAGTTTCTCAAGATTTTGATGACGCAGAAAGCGCGATATATTCCGCACAATAATGAGACAGTGGAAATGTGAACCATTTTTTTGCCGATTTCGACAAATAATTTGATATGAACTTTTAGGGAGTTCTCAAGCAAATTTGTTACTGATAAAAGCTCAATTTTCTACATTCCACGGGCCGAAGCGGATCCAAAGGTTGGAAAAAATATATTTTAAATATTTATGGGCCGATTAATTCACAAATTAATATTTCCGAGACAAATTACTTTTTAAAAATTTAATAGAAAATGCCGATTTTGTAAATTTTATGTAGGCAGAAAATTGGAATTACCGGGGGAAAGCGTTTCTGGTTTTTTCGAAGCCTAGAGTACAACAGTTTTTTTTAAATTAAATCGCGATTGTGATTAAAGGCGCATTTTTTTATGGCTTCAAAAAACCTGGCCGCGGCCGAATTTTTGGGAACATCTGCAATTTGCATAACGATTTTTTTTTGGCGAAATCTGCATAGAATCATTATTGATTTGTTTAGTTCTCAATTGCACCGTGCGTTGAAGCATGGCTTGGAATCTATATTGCGATTCGCGAGACTTCCGATTTCGATCCGGTTCTCAATTTTGGCCGTAAGAGTTTCTCTAAAAAATACCTTCCAAACTCGAAAAAGAAAAAAATATATATATATAATCGAGTTTTTGGAACGTTTTTAATAGAAAAAAAAACGAACGTAAATATTTTTTTTGCAGTTATCGATCGTCTATTCTATCAGCTTCCAAGACCTGACAAACTCAGTGCGTTGGAGTATCTCATGATGATCATTACAGAAGTACGAAGCCCATTGGCGATTGTCTTACGCAAAAATTTTCAGGATTTTGGCAATTCTGGCAAAAGAGAAAGATTTATGAAGAAACTTGACGCCGGCGAACACAGCATGAGTGAAGAGCAACGGAAGAAAGCTTTGAATATTCTCAGAGACCTCAAAGTGAAAAGCCCATTGATTTGGGATAGTGAAAAGTTGGAACTCGAGGGATTTTATGAAAAAATGATTTGTTAAGGGGTCGTATGATCCAACGCCATCTTAATATCGTCGAGTTTGCTAAACAAAACGCAGTCAATTACATAATCAATTACGAAAACAAAATGTCATTGGAGTATATCTATCGAGAGATTGGAAGTCCATTGCGGTAACACCCTAAGACCATTTTTTTAAAGGCGCATTAGAAGTTTCCTACATAAATTAACAAATTTCGCGAAATTTCTAAAGCACAAAATCTACTATTGATTTTTTATAGCTCACATGGAAAATCGTTCAAATTGATATATGATTTTTACATTTTCCTGTTACTCAGATAAATGAAAATCAATCGGATTCGGAAATAATTTCTTTTTCAATCTAAATTGAATGTAAATTAATCTGTTTCGAGTTATTCCAAAATTTCAATCGAATACGATTTCAAAATTGAGAATGAGAAATAAATGAATCGATTTCGAAGATTTTTGAATAGAAACCAAAATTTCAAATCGAATTTAAGCGCTTTCTTAATCGAATTTGAATTATTTTTCAATCGAAACAAATTTTTTTTTTAATTTTTCTTGGAATCCGATTGATTTTCATTTATCTGAGTAAATTCTTGCGCGCTTTTCAAAAAAAAAAAAAGATAAAACAATACCAGAATAACAAAAAGTGTTTAGCTATCCGACGTTGCCGCTGATCAAATGCAAAAGCGGTAAGAAGACGTACATAGCGCCTATCGAGGTGCTCAATCTTCACGAGACGCCTCAACGATTCAAGAACCTTCTCGATTTCAACATGAAGACGAGATTCATTAAAGGCGCGACAAAGGAGCCGACGGATTACGTGACGAAGTCGAAGTTGTTCCTCAACATGCTCGAGTTCGACTCGCGCGGTCGCAATTTTCTCGAAGAGTTTGGCATCTCGCCGAAATTGGAGATGATCGAATGTCCCGGTAAAGTGCTCAATGAGCCGATGCTGGTGAACGGCGAGAACAGTCGGATTCCGTTGACGAAGACGATTCGAGGATATAGGGAAAAAATGCTGAATGGTATGAAGATGAGAAATCGAACAATGATCAAAGAAATGGTTGGGTTTCAGTGGTCCCCGAGAAGGACCTCTGCTGTGCTGTCATTGTGCTATGTAAGGATGAGGATAGCCCACCTTGTGTTACCCAGGAGCAAGTGCGGTAAGGTATTTTTCCTTCTTTCAGCTTAATCATTGGGCTTAAGTGCGTTCTACGTTAATCTGATGAGAGCTTGCAATGAGCGCGGTGTTCGAACATTCAACAATAAGGAACATCCCGATCTTCCGTCATTGATGAAGGTATGTCCTGTAGACTATTAAAGATGCTTGGTTAAAATCGTAGGGTTTTTTGGACATATAAAAATTGTTTTTGCTCTCTGTCGAATATAAAGTTTTCAGTTTTATGCAAAAGTGACCACCACGGACGGACCAATCAGCTTTTTGAATGCGGTTGGCGATGCGAAGAACAATTTCGACGAGCTTCACGACAAAGAGAAAAAACAACTCTTCCTTCTGATCATCTCCAATCGCGACTATGAAGTTTATGGTGGGTGGTCTTGACGCGAAAACTCAAATAATACTGTTTTTCAGGACAAATAAAGAATGTGTGCGACACGATGTATGGCATTCCGAATCAGGTTATCAATGCGTCGACGGTGATCAAAGCGATCAATGATTATCCGGATGTGAATGAGCGATTTGAAGAAGTGCGACATTCGAAGATCATGTTCAATTTGGTGTTGAAGATAAACGCCAAAATGGGCGGTATCAATCAAGAGATTGGTTTTTCGGAAAAGTTTGTTCGATTTTTTTGCGCTTGTCAACTGAAATTGATGATTTTAGTGGAGAAGTATCGCCGGAAGAGAAGGAGAAGCGAAAATCGGAGCCGCTGACGATGTATATTGGAATCGACGTTACGCATCCGACGATGAACAGCGGAATCGATTTTTCGATTGCCTCGATTGTTGGAAGTGTGAATCGTGGAGGAACTTTGTGGGTTTGGTTTGCGGTGGTGCGCCTTTAAGATAGCAAATTGCTCAATTTTCATCTTTAAAAAGTCTCTTTACGGTAGTTTTTTTAAAATGAAATTGGGTATCAATGCGATTCGAATGGAAATTGTTTTGTTAAATTGAGTCACGATACGATTTTTAATTATAATTGTTGTTATTTTCCAAATTATAAATTTTCAATTAATAATGAATATGTAGTCGATGAGCAATCTCAACAAGTTACTGTCGATTTAATTTCACATCGAATTTCGTCAGGGCCGGTTCGTTTTTTGTCGATTTAATCCGCATAAAATTATTTGGTAAAAGAATTTTGATAAAATTAATTAAAATGTCGATTTTTTCGAGAGAATTGTGTTTAAACTGAAATGTTTCCCCTGTATTCTGAATTTTAGTCCATTTAAACAACTATATTTATACATTGCAATTTTAGGTATAAAAGCGCTGTTTTGGCACATAAAGTTGAGGAATTGAAAGATGTTAATGGAAAGTATGTGATTTGTTTATTTATTTATTTACTTCGTGAATTGAATCGATTCTAGGACTAGAGGAAGCAGATCATCTGGTGTTGAGAAGACGGATGTTCTTGGCAACAAATTCATCGAATTGCTTGAATCGTTTGCCGAGGTTTTTCGTTGAGACAGAAATGACGGTAGTTTCAAGGCGCATTGTTGATTTAGAATAATCATAATCGGTGTCCGTCGAATATTGTGGTGTTTCGCGATGGTGTCAGCGATGCCGAAATGCTTCGAACGGCTGCATCTGAATTGAAGGCGATCAAGTAAGAGAAAAAAAAACAATAATGGTGGAATGTTGAAGGATTGGATTTGTTTTGCAGAGACGAGGTTCGAAAATTCCAGGAGAGTCGTTCGGCGAAGCCAATCGAGCCCAAATATTGCTATATAATCATCAAAAAACGACATCAGACGCGTTTCTTCAAGAGGAATGGCAATGCCGAAGAGTTTGTGTTTTGATATACTTAAAAAAATGAAATTATGAAAAAAATAGGGGAAATTTATGTTTTTTGTTTCAATATTGAACTTTTCTACGACTATTTAAGATAAATTTTGCGTTAAATCGAAAAAAAAAATGAAAAATTTCACCGTGAATACTCTATTAGTGTATATATATTTTTTCAAAACTAATGATTCGGAAAAAAAAAATTTGTTGAAAATTTTTGCTCCAAATTTAAGCCGTTTCCAATTTGAATAAAAAGCGTGTACTTTTAGATACGAGAACCCGAATTCGGGAACCGTTGTCGACAAAAAAGTGGTTTCCCCCTACAAATTCGACTTTTGGCTCATTTCGCATCATGGAGAATTGGTAGGAAATGTTGGACGTTGGAAGTTTGAGGTGAAATGATTTATTTCAGGGAACGTCTCGACCGCCGCATTACACCGTTATGGAAAACAGCATGAATTTAACGAAAGATGAAATATATGTAAGATTCTTTTTTTTAATATGGGCGGTGTTTAAAGGCGCATGTGGTTTTGAAAAAGAAGTTTCTTATTGTCGAAGCTCGATTCGTTTTATTTTTCTTTTCATATCAACTTTTTCTTTTTGTGTGAAAACGTACCAGCATCTTTTAGGAGCATATCAGTTTTTGCTTTAAAAAAATGGTCTTGTTGGGATTTGCTAAGCTCGCGATCATTTTTCTGAAAATTTCAACCATGTTTGTCGTAAATTTACATTTTCGAAAAATTATGAAAAAAAAACAAAGCAAAAATCGCAAGAAATACGAAATAATGGATTTCGAAAATTAAAATTTCGATCAATTATGATTTTCGCGCCAAGACTTGCGCAACTTTTCACGTGTTCCTTTAAATTTAATGAAGTAGAATTACGATATATTTCGTCATTTTTTAGTGAATTTAATTGAAAAATTGCTTTTTTAATCATTTTATTGCATGTATAGATTCATTATAGAAATTATACGCAGAATTGCGGTAATGTTTCTTGGCTTGATTTAAAGGAGCATTAAAGTATTACATCCGAAGATTCTTGAGCAACTTTTTTTTTCGAAGGCATTATTTCATTCAGACGACTGGATTTGATTGAGCTGGAGCAGGTTATCATGAGAATCGCCTCTGTGAGACGGTCGAGAAGTGAATAATATGTGAAGATTTGCAGAAGATGTGCTACGAGCTCACGTTCCTCTCATCGCGCGTCCGCAAGCCGATCTCCCTACCGGTGCCGGTGCATTATGCTCATTTGTCGTGCGAGAAGGCCAAAGAAAAGTATAAAGCGCTGAAGAAAAAGTAGGGATAATAAGGAACAAATTCGCGAATTCCCCTAGTTTTTTTTTCAGCACTATGAGAGAATGCAGCCGTGAGATTATTGAGCAGAAGCTTCAGCCAAATCGTGCTTATCCGGGAATGCCGTTCGCATAGGAATATTCATGTTCATTGTTTTTTTTGAAATTTCAGAGTAAATTTCTATATATGTAACTCAGATTTCTATTATAAATTCACTGTTCTTTAATAAGAATATTGCTGCCTTTTATGTTGATTTTACAAGTTTTTGATCAATCTATATTATCTTCGAATTTTCACGAGTTTTTCATTGCAAATGTGATGTAGGTGGCCGGATTTTTCGCTAGAATGATTGGCACCCATTCGGGAAAATTTCATTGCGATGAGTCTTTCGCGTGTTTTATGCTCAAGAAGTTGCCGGAATTCAAGAATCATAAAATTGTTCGGTGAGATTTTCGCAATTGTTTTTCTGTTAAAAAAAGATTTTCGTTGCAGGAGTCGAGATCCCGTTGAGCTTGCGAAATGCGATATTGTGGTTGATGTTGGAGGCGTTTATGATCATGAGAAGAAGCGATATGATCATCATCAAAGGTTTTTTTCCCACAAAATCTATTTATCGAATGAGAACGAAATTGCATTTTTCTTCATTCGAATTCCCTATGCAAAAAAAAACTCACAAAAAATTGTCTTCGTTCTCCGGAATTTAATTTAAAGGAGCACGCGAAAAGTTGCGCGGATCAAATTGCGATTTTGCTACGGTAGTTGTTGATTTATTTGCAATATTTAACAAATTCTTCGCAATCGCCTATTTTGTTCAAGATTTCATCAAACATCATCAATTATTTTATAACGAAGTTCGGTTAAAATCGAAATTCGAATTTCCATGGAAATTTTCGAGGTTGGATGGTGTCTTTAATGCATAATTAATAATTTCAGGGGCTTCACCCATACAATGAAATCGCTGAGCAAACTGCAATTCGATACTAAGTTAAGCTCAGCGGGTTTGATCTACGCCCATTATGGAAAGGATGTGATTCGAGAGGTATTCTTCATCCTTGTTATCAGGCATTGGCGAACAAACGAATTTTTTTTATACCACATTTTATGGTCCCAATTCGTTTATTGGCCATTTAAATTGATTATGTCGTAGTTCGCAATTTCGGATTTTTTTTTCCAACCTCATAATTTTAGTGGCGGTTGGTCTTATTGCCTGACCCTTCTCGTTATGGGACCTGATTTAAAGGCGCAGCCTTCAAATTTGTTTTCAGATTCTTGAGCACAAGGTTGAACCGACCACAATTGATTTATTCTATCATCGTCTCTATGAGAATTTTGTCGAGGCCATCGACGCGATTGACAACGGAATTCCGCAATACGACGGTGTGCCGAGATACCATTGTCCGGGCAATCTCTCATCGCGAACCGGCCAATTCAATCCGCATTGGAACGAGACCGACGTCGATGCCGACGAGCGATTCGAGCAAGCGATGCAATTCATCGGAGCCGAATTCGAGAGAAGCGTGAAATATTTGGCGAACGTCTGGTGGCCGGCACGCGAGATAATTGAGACGGCCGTTGAGCGGCGATTCGAGAATGACGAATCGGGAAGAATAATTCTTATTGAGAATGGCGGATGTCCGTGGAAAGAGCATTTTTTCGATATTGAAGCGGATAATAATCTCATCGGCGAGAGAATCACCTATATTTTGTTTCAAGGTAGATCACGAAGAATCTGTGACGATTTTGAGGTGTTCGATTTTTAGACACGACGAATCACTCGTGGAGAGTTCAGGCGATTCCGACCGATAAGAATGCGGCGTTCGAGAATCGTCTGCCGTTGCCTACCGCTTGGCGCGGATTGCGCGATTCGGAGTTGAGCAAAGAAAGCGGAATCGATGGCGGCATTTTTGTGCATATTTCGGGTGAGACGAGAAATAATTGAAGATTGGATTTTAAATGTGCAATTTTGAATCCGAAACGATTTAAACGAAGTTGTTTTTCTATGAAATTGTGATGAATATGCTGACCAATTAAGCTGAAAAAACATGAAGCATTAAAGACATTAATTGAATCGTGTGACCGCCCGACATGGATATTTTTTCATGAACACGTGTTTTTTTTTTGAAAATTTGCCAGAAATAATTTAAAAATTTTAGAAAGCCTATTTATTATTTTTCAGGATTTATTGGAGGTAATGCAACTAAAGAAGGAGCTTTGGAAATGGCGCGCAAGGCGCTGGAAATTGGAGAACAAGAGAATGTAAGAGATTCTCGGAAATCTCATCATCATGAAAAATTTCAGGTTGAAACTGAAGCCAAGAAAATGAAGACGACATGATTTATTTAGAAAAATAGTTGGTGAAAATAAAATGATTTCCTTGTCAAATTCGGTTTTCACCATATTTGGGGTTTACTTGTCCGTTTTACTTGTTTTTTTTTAATTGTTTTTTTTTTGTAGAAAATCATGTCGGACTTTGTAAAAATTGGCGTGATTTTTGTTGGTGCCGGTTTTTTCAGCGTTTGCGTTTTTTGCTATTTAAGGAAAGACGAGCGCCAATTAATTGAAATTGAACGCGTTCAGTTGATGTTGGAGAAACTGAGGTTTTTTGCGATTTTCGACCAGCACAATTGCTGATTTGATAATTGTTTAGCCAACAAATTGAAGAAATTGCGAATGTTGTCAAAAATCTTGAAGTTGAGATTAGAACCGCGAGAGTTGCGCCATCCACGGGCGCTTTGAAAAATGTTTCCTTTAAAATTGGTATTTTTCATTATTTCTTTTTATTTTGCGTTTTTTTTTTATTTCTCAGATGATGAAAAAGAGCATGACGGTCTTCAGAGGATCACTAGCTATACTTCTATAACATCAGTTTCCGAATATGGCGATGCTCCTGACTCATGGTAAAATTTTAGACTTGAAATTGTTGTTGTTTGGATACGGTAGTTGAATGATGTGTGCAAACACGATGACTAACAATTGCGGTTGTGACACATTTCCAACAAACTGCGCTATTTTTTTGGATATTTTTTTTTGGAAAGCGTGAACTGTTTACATTCCACAATAGATATCATTTTACGATTATCATTTTATTATTCGAACATGCCTTATCACTTGTCTCAGTGTGGCATTCGTTGTTCAGTTTCGACGCTATACGACAAGCCTCCGGCTTTTTATCAATTCCTCGTGACAAAATATTGATTTTAGATCATTTTTGGCCAAATTGTTCCGTTTAAACGTTGAAATTTTATTAATGAAAGCTTACTTAGTCACTTAGTGACCGATAAATAAAGTATGGTCGTTTTTTTTTAAATTTTAATGGCGATTATAAAGATAAAATTTTGGATTAAACATTTTGGCAAATATAATCTGATTTCAAGGAACGATTCGGATTCGCCGACGTTATCGGAACCGGTCTGCCAGCTCATCGAACCTCAGGTTTAGCAAATCTGCTCTATTGGAATTTTTCTTGACATATTTTTTTAACGTTTCCCTTCGTTTTTATTTTTTTCAATGATTTTTGAAATCCTCCATTGATAATTTGATCTTTCTTCTCACGCGCCGCCCTCTCGCCGAGGTTATCTTATCAAATGATGAGCCAAGATATTTTGCTATCGTCTGTGAGCCCTGAGAAATGTTGACTCGTCTACTGTGCGCTCTGTTACTCATATGTTTTGCGATTTTACAGACATCGGCACGGATTGACTCTAAAGTTGAACAGGAGAAAATGGTTAGTTTTCAGTTAATTAATTTTATTTTTTATTTTGCAAAAAAATAGTTTTCTTTTCAGGGATTCGAAGATATTGACGCTCTTTTCGGAACTACAAAAGTCAAGGAAGGTCTTGTTACATTGAGAAAAGTGAGAGGACCTTTCAAAAATTTTCTTTTTTAAACAAGAATCGCCCAATTTTAGCGCTATGAAGGCGGTGAGAAATCGATTGACCTTCTTTGGAGACTTGCCAAATTGTGCAGCGAGAGCGCCAATTTCGAGGAGAAGAAGAAGCGTCAAGAACTGATCGTTGAAGGTTTGGCTTAAATACAATCTGAAATGTCTGCGTCTCTCCAGACGGCGACTTTTGTGTAATAATCATGTGTTTTTTGAAAATCCACCCACAAGCGTGTTGGCCGGATGGCTGGAGAGGGGTTTCGGGTTAAAGAGCAACAAAAAAAAACGAAAAATGTGAACATATTTCAATGTTTTCAAATAAATAAAATTGTGGAAATAATACTTTAATTTTCTAAAAAAAATCATTATTTCACCAATTCGTTGATTCCTTTGCATTCCAAAACCAATTTCAATTTCAGGCAAGAAGTACGCCGTCGAGGCGTATGAAATCGATCCGAACAACTTTTTGGCGGCTCGCTGGGCGGCGTTGATGTCCGGCAAAGTCACCGAATATCTTGGAACGAAGGAAAAAATCGAGGAAGGCAAACGTTGCAAAGAGTACATGGACAAGGCGCTCTCGTTGAACTCCAAAGACGACTCGCTTCTCCATTTGCGTGGTCGCTGGTCGTTGAGTGTCGCGCAATTGGGATGGCTCGAGCGTAAAGCGGCCGCGTTGCTCTACTCGACGCCACCGACGGCCACCATCGATGAGGCGATCACCGATCTTAAGGCGTGCTATGAGATCAACCCGAAATGGATTGATAATCTCTTGTATTTGGGAAAGGCCTATATTGCGAATGGTGATAAGGTAGGCGATAAACAAATCGGCGGGTGATAAGGGTGAATATTATTATTAATGCACAAAGTCAGACATTTGGAAGATTTACGAACAACGTGCGGTTTTTTCCATGGTCACAATTTCGAGTTTTTAAATCTTTTAAATTAATAGTTTGCTTGAAACCCACAAGTTTGTAATAATCGCTTCTAGTATGTAGAGTGATTTGAATTAATGATTCGAATGTTAAGAATCAGAGTCGAGTTGAAATTTTGGAAAGACAGGGATGGATGCCGCAAAAGTCGGATTTCCTCACAAAAATTGTGAAAAATGTCGTTTGTAAGAAGAGAATTAAACTTTATTAATGTTATTTTTTAAGTTTAACCTAACTTTTAAAGGGAAAAATCGATTTTTGACAATTAGTTTTGAATTTCAGGCTGCTGCCAAGAAGTATCTTGAGGAGGCGCTCGCCTCGCCGGTTCGCAATGATCACGAGAAGGAGTCGCTGGCCGAAGTGAAGGCGTTGATCGCCAAATGCTAATTTCTGTGCCCTTATGTAAATTTACTGGTCATTGAAACACTCCAACGCAGATATATTCAATAAATTTGCACGTTTTGTGTCATTTCTAGTTTTTTTCTTGTTCAAAAATAATTATTATCATGACGTCGAAGGTGTTTTGGTCGTTTGTTCCTTTTTTCTTGAGTTGAGAATCTGGAGTTTGCAGACGATTCAAGCATCGAAAAAAATCGCGGCGAAAGACTTCGATAATGTCGACAGATTATTTGGGACGAATCAAGTGCAAGACGGCTATGATATACTGAAGAAGCGATTGGACGGCGGCGAGAAGAGCGCCGAGCTGTTGTGGCGACTCGCCCGATTTTGTCACGAGCGCGTCGGCTTCGCGGATCGCAAGAATCGCAAAGAGTTGGTGTTGGAAGGCCGAAAATATGGCGCCGACGCGTTTGCGGCCGATTCGAGCAACTTCCAGGCGGCGAGATGGGCGGCGCTGATGAGCGGCCAGTCGGCGGAATTTCTCGGGATTCGCGAGCGAATCGACGAGGGCAAAAAGTGCAAAAAGTATTTGGATAAAGCGCTTTCCATTGAGCCGAAAGATGAGGGATTGTTGCATTTGAGGTAAACTATGATATACTTTAAAGGCGCACGCAGAAATGAGTTGTTTTCGCGCTAAGAGTGAAGTAGGGAATGAAATATGCTTGAATTTCTCGTTTTTACTATTTTTGATCTTGTAAGTAAAAATTAATTCGAAAATAAGTTAATCATTTTCGAATTATTCTAAAATTTTAATCGAATACGATTTCAAAAATGGAAAATTTCAAAGATTTTTGAATCAACACCAAGTTTTCAAATCGAATTTAAGCACTTTCTCAATCGAATCTCGATTCTTTTTCAATCGAATCATGTGAGTTCGAGACCATTTTTGACATATAATCGGCGATTGATGTACGCGGGTAGATTTACGCGCATGCGCCTTGAAAAGGTCTCGCCACGTGTGAACGCTTATTTTGCTGTTGTCATGTAAACGTTTTATTTTTTCTTGATGAGTTTCGCATTTCTTTGAGATTTCAACGTCGTTCGATTTAAAAAATAATCGAATCCACCCATAAAATACAAAATGAACAGTTAGACTGTGCGAGATCAAGAGGAAGACGCATTCCCGTAAATCTACCCGCGTAGAGCAGTTGCCGGACGCTGACTATATATATACTTTTTAATTTGCTTTTTGATCGTTTTAAATTGATTTTGAGTACGTTAATTGCTTATGAGCCTAGATGTCATTGCTAGATACTTCGATTATTAGAAACCATTAATAATTTGAAAAAAAAAACCTTTAAAAAAGCGAAAATTTTTTGTCCCCTCAAAAATTGATCTATTTTAGGGGTCGCTGGTGCTATTCTGTTTCAAATTTGGGATGGTTTGAGCGTCGCGCGGCATCGATATTGTTCTCGGGTCTGCCGAACTCAACCATCGACGACGCCATCGCCGATTTTCGCGCGGTATACGCATTGAATCCGAAATGGCCTGAAAATCTGCTATATCTCGGAAAAAGTTTGCTGCAAAAAGGCAATAAAGCGGAAGCGAAGAAGTTCCTTCAAGAAGCCGTCTCGATACCGCCGTTCAATGATATTGAAAGGGAAATAATTGTTGAAGCGCAAGGATTGTTATCAAAATGCTAAATTTAATAAAATTTTTATTGTATTTCATGTTGGTTTGTAGGCGAAATCAATGTTTGCGGATTTGGCATTGGCGACGACGTGCCAGAAGCGAAGAAGCGACTTCTTGACCTCGTCGAAATGGTATTGAAGCTCATCTTCAGATAACTCGTACACTTCTGCCTCACTTCCATCTTCCTTTAGACTGATGAGCAGCGCTTTTCGCACCTGAATTATAGAAATTTTTTAGATATTGATTTTTTTTTCTAGTCAAACTTGTGGGTGCCCTTCAAATGCAGCGTCTTGGTTAAAAGCTGCAGCATATGCAGCGAGCTGTCGGGAATATGTCGCATATGAGAGGCTTTCCTCTTTTTGCTGGCTGAATGAGCTGCGCGCTGGAGATGTTTTCCAGTCGACCATGTGCCAATCGTTTCTGGAAAATGGTCTTGTGACGAAATCGCGGAAACAACGCTCGACTTGTATTTGATGACAGCATCGAATCTTCCTTGATAGGCGAGAAGTGGATGTCTGACGGCTTTCTCCGACAACGAATTCTCGGGCTCTTCGAGCTTTTCCGCGATGAAATTGTACACACTTTGAAGGTAGTTCGAGATCACCTTGTTTTTTTCAGCGTCAATCTGAAAATCGCACATTTTTAAATTTTCCACAAAATTCTTAGAAGATCTTACAATACATTTTAAATTTTTTTCCACTGAATTCTTCCTGGCGTCTAGCATGGCCTTGACTCTCTCGTGGATTTTGATTCCTTCTTGCATTCGGTCGTTCATTGATTTCCGGAAACCGGCGAGACCCATTTCTTCGATCATTTGCTTCTGCCATAAATATAATCCTTTTTTGTCATCGGATGATCCAAGAATTGCTGATAATGACGGTCGTTTTAGTTTCGTATTTGGGTCGTTGATCCGAGATTTTGGGACTAGCACCGCTTTTTCGAATTGCTCGGCACTTGGTGGCACTACATCGATCATTTTGGCAAACATTGGCACTAATGAGGTCCCGTATCGAATTGTACACGTTTTTAAGCCCGACATTTTGAAAAAGACAAATTTTTTTTCTAAAACACTAGGCGAAAATTAAAAATTTTAAAAATGTGTGCAAAAATGTCGTCAGGTTTGGTGTTTGCGGACTTTTTTGAAATCCAAATTTTTTTCGAATTTAATTTTTTTCATTTACTTTTATTGTAATAATTACTTCTTTTGTAGTCAGAATTTTGTAAAATAAAACTCTTGAATGCTTAGAATTTTATAAAGAATATATTCCAATTGATATTGTTCCCACACAATAACCAATGAGGATTTATTTTAACATTTTGGGGTTTTCTTTAAATCTTTTTTGTTTTTCAACTAGAATCAATAGAATTATTCAAAATTCTAGGTAAAAATGACATCAGTCGATATGGAAATCGATGAGCAGCCAACAAATTCGACGACATCAACAAGGCTGGCGCCAATTGAAGAGGTTAATTTTTAGTAGGTTTCTTAATTTTTATTTTTTTTTTTCAGGTGAAATCGACTACAAAGCAAAGTAAACGAATCGCAGCGCACAGTCATGTAAAAGGTCTCGGTCTTGATCCCGAAACGAAGGTCGCTTTAGAAAAAGGCGCCGGCTTCGTGGGACAGGTCGCCGCCCGAAACGCCGCATCCGTTGTCGTCGACATGATTCGTTTAAAGAGTATGGCGGGGCGGGCGGTGCTTCTCGCTGGACCACCGGGCACCGGAAAAACCGCCATCGCATTGGCGATGTCGCAAGAGCTTGGCGACGGTGTCCCATTTGTCCCATTGGTGGCTAGTGAGGTCTTCTCGAGCGAAGTCAAGAAAACTGAGATCCTCATGCGCAATTTTCGAAAAGCGATTGGTCTTCGAGTCAAAGAGACGAAGGATGTGTATGAAGGCGAAGTGACGGAGTTGACGCCCGTCGAAACCTCGAATTCGGCGTCGAATGGACTTGCAAAAACGATTTCGCATCTGATTCTGTCGCTCAAAACTGCCAAAGGAAGCAAACAGCTTAAGTTGGATCCAAGCATTTATGATTCGATTCTCAAGCAGAGGGTCGAAGTTGGCGATGTGATCTATATTGAGGCCAATTCTGGAGTCGTCAAGGTAATTTCTTGCTTCATATACAGAAGGGAGCATTTAAGGAAAATTTGAATTGCAGAGAGTGGGACGCTGTGACGTGTTCGCGTCGGAATTCGACTTGGAGGCTGATGAATTCGTGCCGCTGCCGAAAGGAGACGTGAGAAAATCGAAGGATGTTGTTCAGGTAGGGAATTCTCACAAAAATCTTGCCCATTTCTTTATTTTTACATTATATTTTCAAATTTCGATAAATTTCATGAATTTTGAAAAGCTTTTTAAGCTACGGTACTCATTTGATTTATCAAATTTTCTCATTTTTTATCATTTACAGTTTTTAATGAAATTGTAAAGTGCGGATTAATAAGAAATAGTACATCATTTCAAAAAAAAAAAAATACCTGGAGAAATTAAAAACAATTGAATTAAAAAACTTTTACATTTTAAAATTTTTTCGTCCACAAAAATATTGAAAATCTTCAGGACGTGACGCTTCACGATCTTGACCTCGCGAATGCTCGGCCTCAGGGTCGCCAAGGCGACATGAGCAGTTTACTTTCCCAGTTGATGGCTCCGAAGAAGACCGAAGTCACCGATCGCCTTCGCGCCGAGATCAACAAAGTCGTCAATGAGTATATCGAGAGCGGCGTCGCCGAGCTCATGCCGGGCGTTTTGTTCATCGACGAGGTGCACATGCTCGACGCCGAATGCTTCACCTATCTGCACCGGGCGCTCGAATCGCCGATGAGTCCGATTGTGGTGTTCGCGACGAATCGCGGAATGTCGACGGTTCGCGGTTTGGACATCAAGAGTCCGCACGGAATTCCGCAGGAGATGCTCGATCGCGTCCTCATCATTCCCACATTGAAGTATACACCGGATGAAATGAAATATGTAAGATTTCGAATTATTTTCTTCTGAAATCTCAATGTTTGTAGATTCTTGCTCTTCGCTCGGAAGCGGAACACGCGAAATTCGATGCGGATGCGCTGGAGACGATCACAAAAGCTGCGGCTGAGCGATCATTGAGGTTTTGGCGCGAAATTTGAAAAAAAAAAACGAATTTTGGGTTTCAGATATGCTTTGCAAATTATTGCACCTGCGAAACTTGCAGCGCAATGCTACGGTCGAGAAACGATTACGGTAAGATTGTTTTTTCAATAATCTGAACCTCGGAAATTGTTCGCAGCGCAGTTTTATCTTTGATTTCCGCCAGAATCTCGTAGGGAAATACTATTCGTGGCGAGTTTTGTATTTTCTAGGAATCGTAATGTCAAAGAGCCTAATATATTGCCCGTGTATTTCAAAATTTTCAAAATGTTTTTTTTTTCGCCGAGTTGCCCTGGATTATTCGAAAAATTGATGATGCATCAAAAAATAATAGCGTTTTTTTTTTATTTTACAGAAGGCTGACGTTGATCGCTGCTTGGAATTGTTCATGGATCGCTCCGAATCGACAAAGAAAGCGGCGGAATTGAAGGCGCAGAAGTCGAAATGATTTCGATTTATATATTAATCTCATCAATCACCCACGAAATGATCCTCACCCATTTTTATTAAAATTTTTGAATTTGACTTTGAATTTTTTTTGCATTGTTATATTGAGATTGTTCGAAATGAAGTTGTGAATTGCACAGAATGGTTAGAGTGCGCGAGCGACGACGACTTTATTATGTAGGCAACGTCGTCTCCGAGAGCTCGCGCACACACATGCACACGGCTTCTTATCGATTTTTTTGGCATTACGCCATTTCTTTCTTGGGTTTGAAGCTTGGCTTGTATATACGAAGAGAAGAAGAAGAAGAATAAGGCGCTTCGATTTTCTATTTTTTTTTTTCGTCTTTTCCGTTTCTTCTTCTTTTAAATCGCTTAAGATTCTCTTTTGTTAGCGGAAATTTGATTTTGACAAAATTCTGAAACAGGAAATTTTATTATTAATTGAACAATTTTGCTGGCCACCACTTTTCAATCATTTTTTGCTATTTAGCTCTAAATAGAGTAGGCTTCTGGTAAAGACAAGGCTACCGAAATCAGTCGTGGCAAGACCCAGCTAATTCTTTGCGATATGATCCTTTAAATAATTATTTCATTTTTTCTTGTTTAATTAGTCCTGTTCACAGTTTTTACAAACATTTTTAAACATTCCAAAATTTTTGAATCCGGTAATTAAAGGCGCACACAGTTTTTGCGTTGCGGATTTGTTGAAATTCATATATAGATTACGATTTTTCCTGCACAAGGCCAAATTTTTAATTTTTAAAGACGCAGGATCGTCTGGATCTTTTCGAGGAAAAGAAAAATTAGTAAACTCTAGGAAAATTTGGATTTTTGAACAATACAGAAAATTTCTATTTTAAAGGCGCAAACAGGAAAAAATATTGGAAAAATTGAAGATCAAAAAGATTTGTTTCTTGTTGCCAAATTTTTGCATGCGCCTTTAATGTATTCGATAATGCTGCATAATAATCATGCAGAATTAGTGCAAAATCAAATCACGTCATTCGAATTTTTATATGGTAATGCAGAAAATAAAAAAAAGAGTGTGAAATAGAGAAAAATTCAATTTTCGTTTATTTTCTGCAAGTCGGCGTCCGGCGACTGCTGTACGCGGGTAGATTTACAAGGATGCGTCTTTCTCTTGGTCTCGCACGGACTAACAGGTTATTTCAAATTTTATGGACCGGTTCGAAGTTTTTCAATCGAATGACGTTGGAAATTCAAAGAAATGCCAAACTCATCAAGAAAAATGAAGCAGTTCATGCGAAAACAGCAAATATAAGCGGTCACGCGTGGCGAGACCTTTTCAAGGCGCATGCGCGTAAATCTACCCCGCGTACAGCAGTCGACGGACGCCGACTATACCTTTTTTACAATTTTTAAAATCAATTTTATGAATTTCTGAATATTTTTCCCTATGCGATCCTTGTAAAATTCCAATATTAATAATAGGACTGCTGTACGCTTGTAGATTTACGCGTGCGTCTTTTGAAATGGTCTCGCCACTCGTGAAGAAGCCTATTTTTAATTTTGAAATGAACTCTTAATTTTGTCTTGATGATTATCATTTTATTGAATACAAAATATTAACAAATTAAAAATTAACGAAATGGTCTCTAAAATAAAAATTAACCGGCTTGTCCGTGCGAGACCCTAGCAAAGGCGCATACGCGTAAATCTACCCGAGTACAGCAGCGGCCGGACGCCGACTATACATATATTTCAAAGGAAACCTTACTCCCTCCACATCCATCTCGAATATAAATCATCGAACACCCTTCCTCCCTCCCCTCCAATTCGTCCCGCCCTCTTCAAAGCCTCGCCCACTTTCCTACATGCATAATAATAATAATAATAATAATATATCGCTGTCAATTCCACTCGTCTATTTTGTTCATCAATTCTTTTCATTCTTCGCCCCTCAATATTTTCCTTTGAGCTTCATTCGCCTCCATTGATTTTTTTCTTGCAGCAATTTTTTATGGACTACGATCCGCACGGTGGACGCAATGCGTTCCGCAACAGCGGCGATTCATCATCAGGTAGTTTGGTTTTTTTTTGTTGAAAAATTAAACATTTAAATCGCAATATTCCAAAAATCCAGTAGGTTTATTCGAAAATAGCCTCATTTTCCCCTAATTTAATAATTCCTATAATCGGATTATATCAATTTCAATTCAGAATTCTATTTTTGACTATTTTTACCAAAAAATTAATAATAGAAATGAGTAATCCTAAGAAAAATATAACGACGGGCAAAAATTTGAAAAATCAAAAGCGCTGTGTATTTTTGCGTTACGGCTATTGCACCAATTCATTGTCTACCGTAACTCTCAACAAATATTCGTGTTTAAAAACATTTCAATAATTAAATTTCCCATAAAAGCTCTAATTTATAGTTAAAAAAATTAAAAAATATTGTGATAATTTGTAGAGCGTGCCTTGAGAGCGATACGATCGTTCACACAATCCATCGAAGACGACATCGGGCCTCCAGAATTGCCTCCATCGTTGGACATCGACGTGGTCAGCATGAAGACGTCCGACACGAATGAGACCATCATTGAGGTAAGGTCGAAACCCGCGAAACGTCCGCATGTAGAAAATTTTCAGGTGAAGCAAAAGGTGGACCCTCAACTAGGCGAGACGCAAAAATACAAAATGGCGGTTCCCGGGCCGGGGCATTCCGAGCAAGAGCATGAGCTCCACAAAAGCCTGATTCGCGACGATGACGACGAATCGGAAATTGAGGCAGTGTTTGCCAATGGTAGATCGCACCCGAAACGCGCCAGCAATCTTGACGTCATTTCAGTGCCGCCGAAAACGCTCAGTTTCTCGGCGCCGATCGCGGAGCCATCGGCTGACGAGTTGCGGCACGCCTACGACAAGCCGATTCGGAAAAGGCCGACGACGCCGACGTCGGCGTGCGTTCTCGACGGCATCGCGTTCTTCGCGCCGACCGCCGACGACGACGACGCGAAAGAGGTCGATGAGACGGAGAAGATCAAGGTCTCGATTCCAACAGGTACCGACGACACCATCGAATTCGACGATTCAACATTGCACTGGATTTTCATCGTTTGGTTTTTTTTTCAGTGCGAAAGAAGAAGCATGAGATGAGCTACACGGAATTCTATGAGTCGATGGCGAATCAGATGCCTCATCAGGGGCGTCGGATGAGCGGCGGCGGCGTCGGCGGCGGATCGGGACGCACGACGCCGCTGAATGATTATGACGGCGACATTCTCGATGAGCATCCGCTTTATAAGGGCAAAGCGCCGCCGCCGCCAGTCGTCCATAGAAGATCGAGCATCGAATGGGAGAATTTCGCCGATATGGAAGGTGGGGTTGACGCGAGAAAAAATCAATCAACGACACGCACCGGAAACGCGCCAATCAGATGGGAATCGCGTCCATCGGAAGTGTGCCAATTATGTCTCAGGCTCAAAAAATGCGCCAATCCGATTTAAAATTGCAATTGCACAAGAAAAGAACGCGTCAACACGAGAAATGCGCCAAGAAATGTTTATTGAAAACGTTCAAATTATAGAAATTCCGAAAAACGCGCGGGACGAAATGTTCTAAATGCACCAAAAATGCGCCAACCAAAAAAGTCATCAAAAAATAAATATTGCGAGTGTAATTTCGAAACAAGCTACCTTCAAGGGCCCACAAAATAAGGCACATTTGAGTGACGTATAATTAGGTGTGTGTGGGCCATATAAAGACAAAAAAAATCGCTTAAGCTCTCGCCGTCTCACCGCAAAATTTTTTCCTCTCTTCGCGCACAGCTTCATCATTTTCGTTGAGCGACGACCGATTTCGGCATGCCGACGCACAGACATATGTGAATACGAATGTGTGCCGGAGAGCGGTTTGACGAGAGCGGCGAGCGGCACGTCGTCTTTTCTCTCTCAAACTTTTTTTTTTCTGCATACGTAATTCCGAAATGCTCGCCGATTGTGTGTGTGTGTGTTTTTCGACGTCGGTTTTCTTTTTGATTCGTCGCGCCAAAACTGCACCATTTTTGGTGTCGGGTTTCACGCCCACGTTGATCGTTGCACCAGGCGTGCGCCAGCACGTTGATGGCACGAAAAATGCGCCACGACAATGTTTGATCTACGAAAACACCTAGCCAATCTTCGGTTTCGGGTTTCACGATTAATTAGAATTTTGCGCTGCGAATGCGCCATCAACTTGTTTGCACGAAAAATGCGCCAACACAATGCGTGATCTACCAATAGCACCCAAAAAATTTATTTATTAGGTTTCCAGTATCTAATTAAATGCTTGCGCAGAGAATGCGCCAGCAACTTGTTGGCACGAGAAATGCGCCAATGAAATATTTCATATATTCGTTTCGCCAAAAATGCGAAAATTAGGTTACGGATTTCAGGCATAATACGATGTTTGCACTGAGAATGCGCCAGCAACTTTTTTTAATTGACAATGCCAAAGTGCAATTTTGATCTACCAATTTTTTTTGCTTGATTGCCCCACAAATGTGTCAGTACAATGTTTTGAGCCCTGTCCAAATCGCCTAAAATTAAAAAAAAACCTCATTCAAACAAAATTTGTTGAAAACTCGAAATGCGCCAACAATCACTGACGCATTTCACGTGCATTTTGTGATTTTCAGAGAAAATGGAGCAAGCCGAAAAGAAATTGAAGCAAGAAGAAAAAGAAGAAGAAGAAGAATCGGAAGCGAAGCAGGTCGAGTGTGAGGAGCCCGAACCTGCTCCAGCTCCAGAGTCGAAAACTGACAAAGAGCTGAAGAAGTTGACATTCTACGCCAAGGTGAGAAATTGCACCAAGAAACCCAAATCGAATGGGATTTACAGCCGCCAACCGTTGAAATAACATCGCCCGACATGCCGCACTCGGGGGTAATCCGAGCCGATCGGATTTCCATCATTTTCGATTTTTCTCTCGTTTCAGTGCTTCCACGAGCCAACCGTCGCCGAGGAGCCCGAAAAGGAAGTTGGCGGTGTCGACGACGACGACGACGAGCCGCCGACGTTCTCCGAAGATATGGACGAGGAGCGACAGCGGGTTCAGCACGAGCTCGACGAGCCGAAAGCGGAGCAAGAGCCGGCGAAGCAGGAGGAGGCTCATGAGGAGTACGACCCGAATGCTTATCCAGGTATCAAAATGTTCTTTGTCTCCAAACATTGGCAACAAATTCAGGCTATATTTGGAATTATGAGACCCAACAGTGGGAGTATGACCCGAATTATGTTGATCCGAATGCTGCTCCAGCTCAGGATGAGTATGACTATTCGGCGTATGGCGGTTACGAAGGCTATCTAGCCGCGTGTAAGGCTTATGAGGAGCAGAATGGCGGACAGTATTACGATCAGTCGGCGTATTACGGACAAGAAGGTTATGCTGCCGACTATTCGCAGGCTTATCCACACGATCAAGCTAGCTATGCTCAGGATCAACAGCAATACTACCATTATGATTCTCAGGCTTACTCTCAAGATCCCCAGGCGTACTCTCAGGATCCCCAGGGTTACTCTCAAGATCCCCAAGCTTACTCTCAGGATTCCCAGGCTTACCAGCAATCCTACCATCAGGATTCAGCTGGTTATGCTCAAGATCAGACGGCTTATTCTCAGGATCCAGCCAACTATGGCCACGATCAGACCGATCCTTCTCAGGATTCTCAGGCTCTACAGCAATCTTATCAACTGGATCATCAGGATCACCAGCAGTGTTATACTCACGATCCTTACACTCAAGAGCAGCAGCAGGAGCCAACTGCGCCGACATCCCAGCACTATACTCCCATCAAGCCGCTGTTCGAGCAACCTCCAGCTCCAGCCAACGATCCTTACGCTTGGGACGCGCCATCGGAAAAGGTTGAGTCGCCGAAGAAGGCCGCGCCACCGGCGCGACCACCGCCAGCGCGACCGGAAGCGCCGAAGCAAGAAGCAACGCCGCCGGCTCGACCGCCTCCCGTCTCGCGGCCGCCGCCACCTCGTCCAGCTCCGGCGAAGAAGGAGCCCGAGCCGGAACCCGAGCCTGAACTCGACGCATGGGCGCAATTCAAAAAGATGACCGAGAAGGTTAGTAAGGGTGAAAAAGTGAGAGAGTGCGCGCGACGAGACGACATTTAAACGCACTTACCACTGTGGGTGGACACAAGAGTGATAGCGCGGTGGAGAGTGCGCTTGGCCTGACGCACGAATTGCGGAGGGCTCGATTTCTGTTGCTGGCGATGAAATGTAGCACAGACCTGTTCCTAGTTAACCGTGAGGAAAATCGCTATCATGAGCCTTTTGCAGGTCAGCGATGTCGTTAAAACAACGGAGACCACTTTGAAGACGTTGAGCGAGACATCGGCCGCCAACGACATCAAGGATGAAAGCTATTTAGCGCAGATTGGGTAAACAGTGCAAAATGGGAATTGCGAAGACGTTGTTTTTAAGTGGCTCACAAGGGTTTGTCAGCGACGCGACACAACGCGAAATTCAGCGGCTCAATGAGGAGAAGAAGATGGAAAAGCTGCAAAAGAAGAAATTGAAGCAGCAGGGCAAAAAGGCGGCGTCGCCGCCGTTGGATTTGGAACAGGAGGATGCGATGGATCGTGCGGCGCAAGAATTAGCTATCAAGCTCGCGAAAATGAGAACCGATATCGGAGTAAGACCAGAATTTATAATTTTTATTTAAAAAATGTGGTGAATTTTGGAAATAGCGATTTCATGCGAAATTCACAAAAAATTAAAATAAATTGAACCTACCGTAATATCAACATTTTAAAGGAACATATTAGTTTTCAGCAATGGTCTTGACACGATTTTGATACAGTGCCCTTAAAAATTAAAAAATTTGAACTTTTTTAAACATTTGCTTCTTTCTTGCTTTTTTCTAAAATTTTTTTGGCGTTTTAGGACTGGAAGGCTCCAGAACCTCGAACCGAAAAAATCAAGGAGCAGGAGCGCAAGGATTCTGCTTCAGCCATCCCGCCGCGCAAGAAAAGCTCGATTAAAGATGTGCAGCAGGATTCCGGCGGTTCTTTGGAGCTTCCGCCTCATCTCGCTTCGCAAGACACCGTGGTGACACCGAAAGGCGACTTGTTAGTTTTCAATTGGATCTATTCAATAAAAATTTGCTCGAATTTAGCGCTCCCGACGATCCAATTCTTTCGGCGCCAGCGTGGGCCGACTTTGAGTCCTCAGATCCTGTCCTACCGCCGAGTGAATCCGGCTTTTTCTCGAATAAAGATTCATCAAATGATACGAGTGCGGTACCGGCTTCCAAGGCATCAGATGCCTCTGATCCGTTCGTGACGACATCTACAGTGGCTCCAGCCACCACCATCGATCCATTCGCTCCACAGCAGCCAACTTTAATTGACGAGGTTTGCTCGGAATTAATTGATCGATACATTTCAAAATTTTAGAGCTATGATCCATTCGCTGTGGTGTCGGTTGACGAGATTGTCGCGATGGCAAAAGCAAAAGCTGAGCAGGCGGCCGCCGCCGGCGTCGATCAAGACGACGACTTCTACAACGGGCGACATTCGCCGGCGCTTTCGACACCAACACCCGAAGGCGGCAGCCCAATCAGTCAGCGTCCGAATCGATTCGAGGACGATTTCAAATGCGACATGGTCGCGCATCTCGACACACCGACACCATTGTATGACGAGGACGACTCGCAGCCGCTCGCCGACTTCCTTCCAAAGTTCACCGGCGACGGTTGGGATCTGATGGTTCGCCATCCGATCAAGAAGAAATCGTTCATGGCGGAACGCTGCTGGAAGCCGTGCTACGTGAAACTTCACGGCAACACTCTTCTTCTCTACAACGACAAGAAGGATGCCACCCCGATTCAGGAGCTTCTCCTCCAAGCAACCTATTCGCTATCGGACACCAGCCTTCAAGCCTACGATGTCTATGGCAAAATTCATACAGTAAAGCTTCAATACGTTGTTTATAAGGAAAAGGTTGGAATTCGGCCAGGACAAATCAGTCGGCTTGTCGACGGCCATATTACCAAGTACGGCCTTCCCCTAGAGCATAGTGCTCAATGCACAGTGCTTCTCAAGTTCGGCTCATTGAACGCCGCCGAGCTTCAATCATTCGTCACCACCATCGAGGACATCCTTTTCAAGTGTCAAATCTCAAGAACCGGCAAGCCGATTTACAAGCAGGACGAGGTGCAAATCCACTGCTATGATGAGTACTCCGCGTTCGTCGACAAAGACGGCGTGTTGTCGGATCAGCGCGCGAGAGTCCGATTGTTCTGTCTGGCATTCCTCACCGGCTCTCCGATTCTCGAGGTCGGACTGAATGATCGACGGCGACAAGGCAAGGAGATCGTGAGGCGGAAGGATATTCTGCCGATGTACACCGAACGATGGATTCGGTTCGAGGCGCTCGAATTCCATTCGATTGTGAATCGGGAAGCCTTCGAGAAGGAGCAAGTCATCACCTTCAGCCCGCCGGATGGATGCTTCTTTGAAGTAGGTCTTCCTTATAACGGATTTTTAGACATTCGATATTTTTCAGATCATGCGATTCCGCGTTCGGCCTCCACGGAACCGCGAGAAGGCGATGACAGTCAAGTCGATTATGAAAATCGCCGGTTCAAAGGTCGAGATTCGCATCGAGGCGATGGCGGCGGCGCAGATTCAGCGCACTCGCGGCTCCGATGAGCGTCGTCAGATACCGTGCGAGGACATCACCATTCGATTCCCGATTCCCGAAGCGTGGATCTATTTGTTCCGCGAAGAACGCCATTGGGGCGTCGGTTCGATTCACTCGAAGAAGCTTCGGCCGGGCAAAGTCAAGAATCTCAAAGATCGCCTTCTCGGAGCGGTGCAGACGAGCGAGGCGAATCTCATCGAATGCGCGATCGGCGAGGCGAAATACGAGCATGTTTATCGCTCGCTGGTCTGGAGGATCCCCAGACTTCCGGAGAAGCATCACGCCGCCTACAAGGCTCATCTTCTGAAGTAACATTCTATTATCCTCATCAGATCACTCAGAACAAACTCCTTCTAGGTGTCGCTTCGAGCTATCCTCATTCGACTTGATGCCTGAAGAGTTTCTGCCGCGATGTGAGGTCGAGTTCACCATGCCGCTGGCTACCGTATCAAATACCGTAGTCCGGTCGGTGTCGGTTGAGCAGCACGAAGATAGCGATCGCGTCGAGAAGTTTGTGCGCTACGTCGCCAAATACAACTACAAGGTTGGTATTTCCGAGGACGAAAATAATCTAAAGGGGTCTCAGGTGGAAATCGACTACATCCAATGCGCCAATCTCGATCTTGACTTGAATGATCCATCAGTGAATGCTGAAGTCGCCGCGGCACCAGTTCCCGAGCTCCATCAGCCCGCATTCCAGCCAGGGCAGAACGAGGAGATCCAGCAAGGGTTAGACAATTAATACATAGTCAATTCTAATGAGCGCCTTTAAATTGCAGCTATCGTATCGACTTCAACGAGACCGAGTTGGGCGGTGCGAATCGACGCGATGACTCGTCGTCCGATGAGGAGCCCGACAGCCACAAAATGCCAATTATTCAAATAGACATGAAGAATTATGGATACTAATTAACGCCTTCCTAATTAGGTGAATTATACCGTATTGCCACAATTTTTTAAAATTCACTTGACGCTTCAATTATTTACTTTTTTTTGCCAACTGGTGCCCAAATTATTTCAATAATTTTCCCCCTTTTTTTTTGTTTTTCAGCAGATGTGATTACGAATCGCAATAATATTGAAATAGAATATAAAAATAATTTTGAAATTGAATTATAGAAATATTTATTATTTAATTTATTACCGAATAAATCGCTATACTCTCCCTTATTTATGGCTTTAGATCACCGTATTGACAACTGTGTAGGACTTTGGCAATTTCTAGGCGCGCGATTGAAAATGTCCGCGGATCCATCGCCTCCAACGTTTTGGCGATGGATCGAACGAATAGCGAGACTTCGGATTCTTCGGGAGTTCCTTCGGCGTTCGCGGCGGCGGTTTTCCGCTTCTTCGGTGGCGGCGTCGGCGTTGGCTCGAATACCGGTGATGATTGCGAGAATCTTGAGGCATCTGAATATCTGGCCGACATCGAATTGCTGCTAGTCGTCGTAGGCGCTGGCTGAAGAAAGTTTTCGGGTTTTAGCTTTTCGCCAAGCCTACTAATCGTACCTCCTCTTTTGGTGAGATCAGCTCATCAGTTGAAAGTAAATTGGCGTAGAATTGATTCAATGTCTCATTCGGCGTCATGTCCACATCATACTCCTCTTTTTTATCTAAAAAAAATTGAGATTCTGAATTCGAGAATCTAAAAATCAAGGGTTTACCCGAATCACACGCTTCCTCATTCTCATCGTCCTTCCGTTTCCGATTGCGATGTTCGATGAACGGCGCCAAAAACGACATTCTCGCGTAGAAATTGATCCTAAAAAAAACATTGAGAATTCGTTTTGGGACCCCCCGCCCCCGTCATATACCAACGATTTGTTTTTTTGAGTGGTCCGTGCAGCTTCTCCTGTTTGCGTAGCCTCACATACTTGTCGCGTAGATGGCGCCACTTCCTCTCGAGCTCCACCGGATGACCGTCAAAGTCAAGCTCTTTCGTGATCACATTCCACACCTCATTCTTCACATGCGCCAACTTATTCATCGGATCGTGTCTGTAATTGTCGACGGATATTACAACGATCATCGGGCGATCCGGCAAACTTGTCATAGACGCATGGATTGTCTTGAACCATCTCGATGAGTTTCGCGGTGAACTCGTCGTCGATGGGATCGCAAGGTGACGAGTCGCGATGATCGGGCATTTGTCGAACAGCTGAAGCACACAAAAGAAAAATGTGAAAATTCAACAACAGCAACAACAAAAAACGAAGAAGAAGAAAGGGAATATATGCTTCTTTTTTGTTTGAAGGCTAAAGCCGTCTCAACCAGTAGTAGTTGGACGAAACGAAACACACAGACAGACACACACACACACACACAGCCATAGAGACCCGCCACAAACAACCGGCGCGCATCGATTCCGCTGCGGCGACGGCGACGGCGGCGACGACGACGACGGTGAAAAGAGCGCACCGTCGACGGAGAGCGCACGGCGGGTGTGCGTCGACGCAGTGCAACAACACATAGCCACGTAGAGTGGCTGGCGTATACGACACACTCACTCACACACACACACACACGCGCGCACATTCATTCATACATACATACATACCCGAGCGCGCACATATAACAGATCGTATTATTGGAAATATGGCGAATTGGTTCACGCAAGCAATCATCACACGCGTGCGCGCGCTTACGCAGAAGACACGCAAATTTATGATGGGGGCGGGGGGGAGCAAATGGCCTAGGAATTCTGAGCCGCAAATTCTTCGGCCAATTAATCGCTATACAGTATCAGAACGATTCCGGTGTGGAGAAAAGAAATAGAAAAAAAAACTTTCAACAATTTTTTTTTGCTCCTAAAGAAAAGTGACGTGACGGCCCGGACAGAAATTTTGTATTTTTTCAACGAACAGAGTATTTTTTAAACTTCGGCAAGATCGTCACAATATCTCAAAAAATAATTTTTTCGCTGAAATTAATATGATTCAGAAATAAAAACAAAATTAATTTTTTTTTAAATTAATTTATTACGCTAAATGTGGCATAATTCGTAAATCTGGAGTGTCGTTGCGGATCGACCCGCATTTAGCAAGTATGGTCCACAATGGTCTTTAAAAAAGTGGCTACTAGATTCGAACCACTTTTAATACCGTACCCAAAAAGTCTTATTCGCAATTTGAAAATTCCACAATTTTTTTGGAATCACTGAATCACTGAATCACTGAGGCTTTTCGAGTACAATTTTCGATAAAAAAAATTTTTTGTATTCGAATATCACGAAAATTGGCAAAATTTACAAAAAAAAATTAAAAATAATTATATAAAGGATCATTCTGGTAGCCGATTTTTTTTTCAGAAGGCGACTATAATAAGTATATGTGATTTAAAGGAGAACGTAATGCATTAAAAATTGTTTGTGAGCCGCAGAATAAATTGGGTGTTGTCCGACACGCGCGAAGCGAACATCTTGAAATTCGAGGGAAAATTACCGCAGTCAGTTTTGGCGCGATATTTGAATATTTGAGAGGAGAGGAAAATTGATTGGCAACTTGCCAACGATTTTAATTTTAGGCCACGCCTCTTTTCGGCGGTTTCCCGGGGAGTAGAACTCACCTGAATAGAACACGGGTAAAAATACAGTGCAATTGCGATGCTTCCATTTCGAAGTTGATGAAAGAGATTAAAACTCATGCTATTTGACCGAAAGAAATATGTCTATACTTATGTTCAAAAATTTATGGACCATTGTGCCACGAAATATGATAAAAATTATTTTTAAAGGTTCAGTTTGCGTTGAATCACAAAAGAAATTAGAAGATATCTTTAAATGATCGATGATAATATAATTATAATTAAAACGAAAATCATGTTTTAGTATATGTATACGAAAGATTTCAGAGAAGCAAATCTACTAATAGAAGTTTAGGTGGCATTGGTTTATTTAGAACGGCTAAAACTTTTGGATCTAATTTGAACCGATCTCATTTTTTTACCTAAATTTTTATTCGGACCTTCTCTGAATATTAACAATCGTATTCCATTTTTGCAAATTCTAGGCGAGTTCTATTATAGGGGACCACCTTCTTTCTATTAAAAAGTGAGTATAGCATTGTTTAAATGAATTTTTGCCTTTTTCGTCAAAAAAAGAGAAGAAAACAAAATTACCGGTATTCTAGTCCAAATCGCTGCATTTCTGATCTGCAATCGAAATTTCAGCATCACGGGATTTGTTTTCTTTCCTGAAATTCTTGGAACTTTTTATAATGTTGAGAAATCTGCATTTTCATACACTATAATTATTGAAAATTTTTTGGTTTCCAATGATTAGAAATTAGATTGAAAGTGCACGGTTTTTTTTAGGTTATTTGGGTTTAATAATGCAAACTTAGCATTTGAAAGTGCTATTTAGTCATATATTTTTGTGAAAATGCAATTTTTGTTGTTCAGATATATAATAAAACAAAAAAGCGGAAACTTGGAAGAAAATTGGAAACAAAAAAAGAGAATAGGGGAAATGGGGCAGTATTGTGCATTTCTCCGTCATGGTACGCACGTACGTGAAATGTCTACAGTATCTCAATAATTAATTAATTTCTAAACATGAATTTTCCGGATTTCTGATGCATGATTTATCGAAGACAGATGACTAATTCTTCTAAATTCCAACTGTTTTCTTTCTTCGTCAATATATATAATAATGAGAACAAACAAATAGTTTTAAATGTGATATTTGTCAAGTACACCATCACCAGGGTTTTGAACAAGTTTGGCTCCCAGATGATCCTCGACAAGCAAAATTTAGCTACTAAGATATGTTTCTTTCTTTTATGAGAAAACTATTAAGAAAAATTAAAAAGAATTTGAAGAAAAATCGGAGGCAAAATCAAAAATATTGTTTCAAAATTTTAAAAATTAATTTTTTTTAATGTGTGCGTTTTCTCGTAACAGTGCACGCACACTTCTCAGTTCTACAGTATCGCATATAATAATTATTTGCTCAGACTTTTGATTCCACAAAAAAAAAACACACACACACAAATAATTAGCCGTGATATTTGTCAAAGTACGCAGTTTCGAGCAGCAAGGACATGATGCTAGAACATTCGCACTATTTGACGACTCAAACCAACTAAATTCAGTCGCAGCGTGGTCTCGTCGCGCAAACAACCTTAACGACAAGTGTGTTTGGCAATCGTATAAATAGTAACCGATTTTGCACATAGTTTCGAGATTTTTTTCGTGGCACTTAATGCACCTCATTTTCCTAGTCACCGTTGCCACCGTTGTCGCGAAGAATTCGCGTGAGGACAACAATCGAGGTCTCGAGTGGAAGTCTGTCGAATCATCGAACGAGGTCTCCTTATACGGCCGCGGGAAGCGACAAGTCTACTATCTCTGCGGCTACTTTCCCAATCAATATCTAAGTTTCAGTCGTAAGTTAAAGGAGCATCGCGTTACGGTAACACTCGTTTCAATTGTAGCGTGCAATAATAATTGCAACACGTGCAATTGCCAAGTCTCATGCTCGACAACCATCTACTGTCAGCAGTTCAACAGCAACTGGAAGTGTATGAGCGGATGTTGCCGAATTCCGTATAATGATCCGACCCTTCCGCCACCAGTCACCACAACGACGCCATCGAATCCAGGTAGGACTTGGCTTTTTTTGGCGTCGCGGTGTTTGCACACATTCCCCACGCGCGCTACAGTACCCCCTCATGTATAAAATAATTTCGCAGTTGCTCCACTATGCGGCGGCCGCGAAACGTCGGGAGGCTATTGCCGAGCCGGCCGCCTCTGCGGCTCCGGCTATTTGTGCACCGACAACAACGTGTGCTGCCGATGCGCCTACAGCACCAGCATCGGACCATGCGTGAACGGCAAATGTCCGGAGAACACCTATTGCAGTCCAACGAACAATTGTTGTCCGTATTTAGTGAAATAAAACTATGCAAAAAGCTTCATAAATTATTATATAAACACAAAGAGAAAGAAAAAAGGTTCAAAAAATCAGGCAAAAAAAAAACGAGGAGAAGAAGAAGAAGAATGAGGAGGAGATAAAGCGTTTCTTTTCATGTTTCTGTTTTTTTGGGCGGTGTGAAGAATGTGGACAGTGGAATTTCAAACAAAAAAGTAATCATCAAAACTAAGGCACTATAATCAGCTATATGGAAATTGGACTTCTTTTTCTTGTCGTTCGTGGCTATATAATGCATAATTCAGAATATACATGCAGAAGAAAAAACAAAAAATGGGAATCGAGTTAAAGTTCGGCGAAATGCGAGACGACTTGCTGAAGGCCGAGCTCGATTTTCGATTGCTCGCGAATCTCGAATTTTTTCACTTTGCCGGTGACTGTCAACGGGAACTCGTGCTCCTTCTTGAAGAGAATGTAGCGCGGGATTTTGAAATGGGCAATCTGAAATTGATTTTGAAGTGTCGAAATACTGCGTTGAAACGCGTTTTACTTTTCCCTTGCACCACGCTTTGATGTCCTCTTCAGTAATCTTGTCAACAGCGCTCTCGTGCAGTCGAATCCAGGCGCACACCACTTCACCATAGCGCTCATCAGGTACACCAACAATCTTTAAAAAAAAAACAATCAGGACGATTATGAACATTTTGAAAAAAAAATTGAGTTACATGGACATCTTCCACTGCTTGATGCTTGAAGAGGAATTGCTCGACTTCCGTCGGATAAATATTTTCACCACCTCGCACAATCATATCCTTCGATCTACCGACAATCGAGATTGTGCCGTTGTCATGCATAACGGCAATGTCACTGAAAATCTCGAATTGAATCCAAGAGACAATAATGAAAATTGGCGACGAACCCGGTATGATACCATCGATCTTGCGTGATCTCCTTCTTCGTCTGCTCCTCGCTATTCCAATAGCAGCGCATCACCGAATAGCCGCGAACGATCACCTCGCCTTTGACGCCGCGCGGCACAATGCAGCCGCGTTTGTCGACGACGGCCGCCTCCAAATGGTCCATTATGTGGCCGACGGATTTGATGCGCTGCTCGGGCGGATCCTCGCGCGTCGACATAAACGACACCGGCGACGTTTCGGTGGTCCCGTAGCACACTTGCATATCGGTCATGTGCATTTCGTTGACGAGTCGACGACACAGCGTTATTGGGCAAGGAGCTCCCGCAATGAATCCCGACCGAATCGAGTCATAGTTGTAGTTGGAGTATTCGGGATGATTGATCATATCGATGAACATTGTCGGGGTTCCATAAAGGGCAGTACATCTTAAAAAACAACACGAATATTGTTGAAAATCACGTCCTTGAACCCACTTTTCTTCATCAATCGACTTCAATGCCGCTAGAGCATCGAAAGATGGAGCCGGAAAAACGCACGTCTGCAAATGCGTCAACGCCGAAAGAACACCCATCACACATCCGAAGCAATGGTACAATGGGTTGGGAATGCAAATAATCGTCTTCTTCTCGCTATATCCGGCGCGATGCCCGACGAAATAGGCGTTGTTGAGCACATTGTGATGCGTCAATGTGGCACCTTTCGGCTGTCCGGTTGTTCCCTGCAAAACGAAATTCGAATAAAAAAGAAAAAAATGACAAGAAAAGCCATACACTAGTGTATTGGATATTAATCGGATCATCAGGCTGCGTTTCGCGTTCGATTTTCGACAAATTGTTGCGATCCTCTTCAGTTCCCATGTTCATTACATCGGTGTACTTCCAAGCGCCACTAAAATAAAAAATTTGTAGACTGGAGAGAAAAAAAAAAGTTTTTTGCACTTACGGATAGGGTTTGTCTTCTTCATCAAAAATGATCAAATGTTTGAATAATGGGAACGATCGCGAGCTGATGTCCGACTTTCCGGGCTCTTTCATTGTCACCTCAGGGAGGATCGTCTTTATGCTTTGATAATAGTTCGATTTTTTGAATCCCGGCGGCGTGATGAGCGCTTTAATGCCAACTTTATCAATGGCGAACCGCAATTCTTCGGATTGATACGACGGATTGATATTGACTAGAACCATGCCAGCGAGAGCGGTGGCGAATTGCGTCGTCGTCCATTCGTACGTGTTCGGTCCCCAAATACCGACGCGATCGCCTTTGGCGATACCCAAGTGTAAGAGGCCGCATGCAAGTTGCTCGGCCTAAAAACTGGGGAAATTTAGGATAAATTATAAAGAATGAAAAAAAAAATAGTCGGGGATGTTTGCGGACAATTTGAGCGCCATCTGACGCAAAATTGCACCGCAAATCTCTACAGTACACTTACATCAGCGGCGACTTGCGCGTACGTTTTGCGAACACCTTCCTTCTTGAAAATGAGGAATTCCTTGTTGGGCACCTGATCAACAGCCGAACGCAATCGCTCGCCGACCGTCTCAAACAACAATGGTGTCGACGAGCAGCCGTGCACATATGATTTTCGGCTCGGCGCCACCATTACGTTGTTCGCGGTCAATGCGGCCTCTTCCAGCGAAATAGGCTCTTCTGAAATAAAAACAACAAAATAAATGAATGAATCGAAAAGTGTGTCCGCAGCCAGTTAATTCGGAAATATATGTCAAACATTTTTTTTCAAGATGTCAATGCGGCGACAAACGTGCCGCAGGTGGTTGCTCATGGTGTTGTGTGTGGCTCCAAAAATTGAGATTAATTTCGTTTCGTAGAAAAAAAAACGCACAACACTAAAAGAAATAAAAAAATACTACGTAAAACACGCGCATAAAATTTTCATGTGCACTTAGCAAGGAAAAAAGTTGAAGAAGCGTCAGCTAAAATGAATTAAAATTCCTCAAGAGCGCTCGAACATCGGGACCATCGCGAACGTGTTCACCACAAAAGTAATTTCAAAAAAAAAAAAGAAAGAGGTGGAGGGGAGGGGGGAGGGTGTACAGTGGGTCGAATACCCTTTAAACCACACGTGTAGGGCACGTGATGATGACAATTCTTAAAGGGGGAGTGGGGCTACTACTACCGACCACCTACCGTAAGACGTTGAGCTATAGAATCGTCGAATCGCCGACATTACCGAACGAATTGGGCCGAATTCGCGCAATTTCGAGGTGAGAGTGCCGCACACCAAAAAAAAACGCCGGACGAATTCAATTATGTGCTCAACTTTTCTTTTTCGAGCAAAACATGAAATTGGGGCGGCCGACAATCTTTCAATACCTCTCGATTTTCTTTGTTTCCTGGTATGTTTTTGGACGATAAGGCTCAGGCAAATCAAATAAAATATTTTGAGAATCAAATATTCAGTGATAAACTCTAAAATATTTTGAGAAATTCTAAAGTCTATTGATACTTTCTAAAACTTATTGAGAATCAATAAATTTTAAAAATATGGAATTTGTAAATTAAATCTTTTGAGAATGTTAAATCTTTTGAGAAAGTGTAAAGTATCTCAATATATTGTGAGACTTTAAAATTTGAATAAGGCCCTTATGACTTCCACTGACGCAATTTGCGGCGTCTCTTTTTAAGATCTTCTAAATTCCAATCAATAATTTATGTTTTTGATGTTTCTTCCGTTTTTTTTAGCTTTTTGTAATAGTTTCTTCACTTCAGTGATGGACGTATTCATGAAATGCAAGTTTTTATAATAAATGTTTAACACTACCTTAAATCTGCATTGTTTTACATGCTGAATTTGAAACAGTTGTGTCTAAACATGTCATTGCATGAACAGGTTCATGAATTTTAAAAATACGCACAATTATTACAATTAATTACAATTATACTTCAGTTTCTAATGATTTCGATATTTTAGAAGATCGGGAAAAGTGTGGAACAAACATTCCAGAAACATTGGCCGATAGATTTAAGGAACGAGGTAAATACAGCAAATTCAATGAGCAGGTGCCCATGTGGATCACGGCCATGGATATTTTCCACCTTTTTCACGAGGGAACACGTATAATAAAAGGTACTTCAATTATGTCTCTCCTTTTTCAGCATTTAAAAATTGAAGATTGTCTTTTAGAAGTCTTCGTTAAAAACGAAATAAATATTTTTCGATGCGAAGCTATTGATGTGAAAGCGAGACTGCCATCTTCGGTAAAGTCGCTATCAGGAAAATTCAATGACATTAATAGGTCCGAAAAAGCTAGTGTATGTTAATTTACCACTTGCAATTATCATCCTTTGAAGATTTTTGAAGTGAAAATTGTTTCTAACGCCATGATTAGGACCATCCCTCCGTTAGGTTCAGCCGTTGTGTTGCTTATACATGCCTGCTACCGATGGATGGCGTCACCGACTCGCTTAGTTACAAATACAACATTACCAAACAAAGTAATATGGGATCGTTAGCTATGTACATAATAGAAAATTTTTATTTCAGATCGCAGATATTTGCAAATTATTAGAAATTCTAATTTGAGATGGGGCGCCTCAATTGTTTTCTGGTTCAAAAGTGCACGTAAGTCGTTTTTTTGCAATTTTAAGAGTTATTGAACGTTGTAGCATCATGCTATTGTCGTTGATATAAGAAATAATACTAATGATTACTGTATTTATTGTTTCAGCATCTTATATACCATTTGTACAGTAATGTCATGGTCAGCTGTCGGCAATAAGCACGCAAGCGCATGAGCACATTTATCACGTTATCAAGAGAAACATGTGCTCGGAACAGACAAACGGGATTGGATATAGTATTTTGAGAAAGTTAGACTCATTCAGTTATTTTTTAAAACTGGCAATTTTCAGCTATAAACTATATCACGAGATTGTGACTTCATTGAAAATTCGTTTCAACGCGAATCCGGATTTAATTAAGAAGTCATTTTATCGCAAAGAACTCATGAAATTAATCGAAAAACGACAAATTCAATCATCAAAATTTGTAAGTTCAACATTTTCTTTCAATATATGCAACGAATTCCTTATAGCAACGTTGTGCGTCATTCGCAGAAAAAGGAGAAAATGCGAAAAGGATAAATTGATTCATTTATTTTTTTTCTGATTTTTATTATTAATATATTCATTTCGCATTAATATTGTAATAAATGAAATGTTCATACATATTCAATTATTATGGCTGTTATTACATTCTATTTGTGTGAAAATTGCTCGATAACGTATGATATTACATAATATTGGACAGAGTTTATTGAGAACAATCTAAAATTTATTGATATATTCTAAAGTTTATTGAGACAAATCTAAAACTTATTGATAAACTTTAAAGTTTATTGAGACATATCTAAAACTTATTGATAAACTTTAAAGTCTCACAATATTCATTGAAACTTATTGATAAATTCTAAAATCTTATGAGATTTCCTAAAGTTTATTGAGACAAATCTAAAATATTATAGAGACACGTTAGCCTCTCAACGAACCTCATAAGATTTTAGAATTGTCTCAAAATTTTTTTTTCATTTGCCTGAGGGCTTGGCGGCACAGAAACGGCGGGAAAAAAAAAGAAACGAAAATAAAGGATTGGCGACCGACGAATTCGAATTGCAAAAAATTGAGCGAACCCTTCTTTTTTTTTGTTTGATGAATGAAGAAGAACACCTATTTTTGACAAATGATGCTTGCTGCTGCTTTTTTGCCGTCAGGACACAACACTGCCCCCCCCCGCGAAATTCGCACCCCCTAAAATGCTTACCGTACAACATTTTCTTGTGGAGCTGCTGGCGATGGTGCTGCTGCGGCGGCGACGGCGGCTCTTTTTCGTCCAAACTTGCAGTCGCGGGGAACTGGAAAATGATTCACTTTTTTTCGGGGCACCCTTCATGCAAATCTATATCGTAATTAATTAATTATGCCACAAAAAAATGGCTAGACGGAACAAAAAATATAGGAGGCACGCGGTCATGGAAGTGGAACAAATTCCGAATAATATGGTCCAGTGGGCTCTTTGATCTACACACGCTCCTCCCCCCCTTTTGAAGATTTTTGAGCGTTATTGTTTGAAAGGGAAGATTGAAGGAATCATCATCATCATCATCATCATCAACAGCAGGAGAATCATTGGGAAGAAGAGGGGGGGGGGTGGCGATGAATTTCGATACGATCCGTATCATCGCGATGAATCGTCGTCGTCGCCGTCGGCGTCTCTTCGTCTCGCACGCTATTTCGACGCGTCTGAGAGCGAGTTTCGCGCCGTCTGCGTCCCAACCGTCCAACATTTTTGCCGCATTTTCCTTTTGCTGCGTTTTCTGCTGATGAATCGAGGCATCGTCAAACATTCGGAAATCTGTGTGTGTGTGTGTTATCGGGCCTGATCGCGTTTTAGACGAATTTGATCTACCACCCCAACCCACGTGGAAGTTGACTTCCGTTGGTTGGGAGGGGCGGAGATGTCCATTCTTGTCGAAAGACGCAAATTTTCGGCAATGCACTTGATTTGCCGCGCAAATGCAGAAAACACAAATTTCGTGTTTCAATCGTTTAAAGGAGCATTCGTGGGTCTTGAAGCGAAATTGGTGGCAGTTGGCTCACTTTAAAAAAAGCAGAAAATGACGACTCGGCCAAATGCGGAATGCGCGTGATTTGACGACAAATTGCGGACATCAGAAAAACGAATCAAAGATCGATATTAGGGCGACGTGTAAAAACACGCAAAAAAATAAAGTTGAGAAAATTGTGAACTGGTTCTCAAAATTCGATTTCACAATAAGAATTTATGGGGTGGAAAAATGGTGAGAGAAAAAAAATTGAAGAATGGTGGAGACGATGATGATGATGACCATTCGGGATGATGTTCAGCTGGACGGAATTGATTGGATTTTCGATGACGAGAGATTTGGAGAAGGCCGTCGACAAATGTGTATGTTTGTGTATGTATGTGTTTTTTTTTTCCTCGTTCTCATTTCTCTTTTTGCGATTTGATCTTTCTGAATGGTCTCGTCACGATCTGATCATTCATCATTCTCATTAATGAATGCTCACAGAAGAGGAGCGCGGAAAATTCAAAAAAAATTTGAACATTCTATTTTGCTTTGAGAAGCGAGCAAATCAAAACACACAATAAATTTTTGCCACCCGCCCCCAACCATATCTGAGGTGACGCGTCGATGTGTGATGTTCAAAATTGAAAAGGCTACACTGAACTGGACCAGATGAACATACGTAAAAACAAAAAGCGAAACGAAATGATTGGGTATGTGTGTTTGGAAGCGACGATGACGACGACGAAAGAGAGAACTTCTCCATCTCCTTCTTTTTTTTGTGTTTTGAAGTGGTGGGGCCTTAATTGAATATCGTCTCAGGGGTCCCCATGGAGAACGGATCCCGCCCACACACACACACGAGAAGCACGCACATCTTGTTAATGCACCCATCCATCCACTTACCGGCGCGTATTCGAGAAGCATGATGAGAGCGACGAGAACAAAGTATACCGTTTGGCAATTATCACCGCCTCATTTATACCACTTTTTTCTTTGCACCATCGCTTATCAGCTTATTTTTTCCGCATTCGATAACGAATCGAAACGCGGCCAAAAAAGAATGGCGCTTGTGAATCAGTGTTGCGTGAAAGTCGAATTTTTCATAGCCGCAAGCGTGATGGATGGCGTTGCAAATTTCTCACATTTTCAGAAGATATAGAGAATTTCAATAAATTCGATGAATATCGCTTCTTGAAATGGTTTTTTTGGAACAGAATTTTGCAAAAGAAGGAGCGAGCCTTTAAACATCTATTGGATTCAGAAGCTTTATATATGAGACTTGGGCTAGGGCTTAAAGGCGTGTACTAGGTATCTTCTGTTTACACAAAAAGGCAAAATGTTGGATGAGATGAGATATTTTAAAGAAACCTTGAAATTCGAATGTTTCTTTTTTTTTTTTTTTGAAAAAAGAAACAATTTAAAAAGACGGCGCCACGAATGTTCCCTATTTTTGCGTTTTTTCTGTTTAATTTATAAACTTGAATTATTTACATTTGTAAGTTTAAAAAATTAGCAAAAATGTTTCAATTGATCAAAAACGACGCGCGAAAATGTGTGCAAACACCGCGACGCAAATATCGCAGAAAAACCCCAATAAAAAACAACCATCTTATTCGGGTTTTTTCGCAGCAAAGGTGTAATTTTCGGCAATTTATCTAGAATTTCAATATTCCTAAAAAAAAAGCAGTATTCTGTTATTTCGATTCGCGCCACGAAAAAAATACGGTGGTCCACAAATACTCAAAGTTTTTTTTTTCAATTGCAAAAAATCAATTTTGATGGGGTTTCTTAAAAAAAAATAGGTTTTTTTTTCTTCTAAAATTTGAAGTCTCTTCGAATTTCTTGCTCGCTCAAAATATCGTTGCGAGACCCTGTGCTCCTTTAAAACGCAATGGTGTTCGACCATTGAGCGTTTTTCGAACCCACAAAAAATCATGCGACCAAAAAGTCAGGAAGTGGTTCGATTTGCGGAAACCGATAACCATATTGATAGTCAGGAAATGATGATAAGAGCAGCGAAATAAGGAAGGGCTAGGCGATGAGTTGACCAAGCAAATATTAATTGACGCCCAAATATGGTCAGTGATGATGTGATGACGGGAGGGAACGCGATTTGTCTTAAATATTCGACGGCAATTGGCTCAATTTCTCGTGTACTTTGCTTTTTATTTTCATCAAAAACCGGATAATACGAACGAACGAACGGAAAAGTGCACGCGACAATTATTAAAATTCGGGCATTGATTTCGTCGTCGATTTTTGAGCGGCAATCATGATTCCGTCGTGGATTTTTTAGAAAAGCCCATTTTCAAGCTTCTTCATTATCACTTCTCGAATTCTCTGGAATTTATCAAATTCGTCTTGAGGTGCGACACAGAAATTCCACGGTTTAAATTCAAATTTGAATTAGCGCCTCGAAAAAAAAAATACGATGGTCCACAATTACTCAAGGTTCTCGCTTATTTTTGCGATGGCAAATAAAAAATGTTTACTTTTCATTTAATTATCAGCCAGTTTATTAAATTCGTTGCGAGACCCAGACTTTAAACAAAATAAAACCTCATTCATTGTTCCAATTTCTTCTTCGACTTCTTCATAGGGAACTGTTGCTAATATTTGCTGAATCGCAAGATAAATCTTCTCCGACGTGCTCGATTTGTGTCCCGGCGCGATATTTTGGAGTATAGCTTTTTGCGGTAGCGGCATCGAGAACGCCAAGGACATGAAAACGACTGAAAATAATCGGAATTTGAAACCGATGTCAATCAAAACGACAATTTACTCGCGAAAAATTTATTCAAAATCATATTAGTGGTGATTGTTGTACAATTTTTGTTGGAAATAAGGCAAATTAATACGTGAAATAAATACATTGATTAAAAATAAAATGGGCGGCCGTATCCGCCATATCTTCCATAGCGACCGTATCCGCCATAGCCGTATCTTCCGTAACCTCCGAATCCTGGATGTGGTCCGAATCCTGGGCCATGATGGACGGGGCCGGGACCGTAATGTCCCGGCCCATGATGATGGATCTATTCAGTGAATGTAAATTAAACAAAAACGACAAATTTTCATTATGCAGCGATGTCGTTTTTGTCGCAATAAGCGCTTAATTTTACTGAGGGGTACTGTAGATCGCGGGTCGATATTTCAAAAAAATTGGCACATGCTCCTTGAATATCGATTTTTTTAAAATATTTTTTATATTAAAATTTTCGTATTTTCACTCGTTTTTCGCGGATTTTTTTAAATAATTTAAACTTTTTTTTTGAGTAACACTTGGTGATATTCATAAAAACTACTAATTTGTGCATATATTTCCTTTTTGAAGCATGTCATTCGCTGAGTATGAAGGAAACGACTCTTTGGTCGAAGACGTGGTGGAGGCACATGGGCCAAGAAATTTGCCAATTGCTGAACAGCGTGAAGAAGCTAAGCGCACGAGAAGGAGAAAGCCACTTGTAGATGACGGATATGAAGCGGTGAGTATTTAAAAATGAATTGTTGGATTTTATAAATTAATTAAATTTTTTTAGTTTCCACAACACTTTATTGTGGACTTCATCAAGACCGTTGAGCAGTACCCAAGTATTTGGGACTCATCTATTAAAGAATACCACAGGAGAGAATTGAAGCTTAAGGTCTTTCAGAATATCGAAAGCATGTGCAAGAAATTTCTCCGCGCCGGAAGACCAAATGGTATTTTCAAAACCACTATCGGTAAAATTGAAGTTTTAGGTATGACGGCTTGGAAATTGTGGGATTCGATAACGCGCGATTTCAATAGACATGTGTTGCGAATCCAAAATGCTCGATCTGGAACTGGAACATTGGAATCATCATTTCCGTTTGCGGAATATTTACAGTTTTTGGATGGAGTCAGACACAAAAGACAAGTTAAAAAGTAAGTTTACCTGTTTTTTGTTAATTTTTTTTACTACAGTGCCTTCATATGCGGTGATAAAAGTATTGAGTTGCTTGAATCGCGGGGACCCTCGGATAGTCCGAAGACTGCTAAACGAAGAAAATCAGGTTTCTAGCAATAAAAAATGGAGTTTTATGGGTATGTTTTAGACAGCGATGAGCTGATGAGTATGTTGCGCGAGACGAACAGCGAAATCAAGCAGCTGCTTAGATCGAATGATGAGGAAGCCAAGGAAACCCCCAAATGTAAATTTGACCGATTGTGCAGGGTCATGGCCAGCCACGTTGCGGATTGGCCTGAATTGGATCAAATTCAAGCCGAAGCGAAAGCGATCGCTTTCATCATGGATCTCCAACCGACGGGCAAAAGAAATGAGCAGACGACTTCTCTCAGTTTGTTGGACGAAAATTATTTTTAAGTATTTTTTTTATTATATTAACAATTAAATTTAAAAAGATAAACATTAAACATGATAAAGAAGATAATTTTTTAATGCCGTTCTTTGATCTTCGGCATCGCTGTATGGGTCTTGAAGTAAGGGAAAGTTGTGGTCAGGTGGAAGATCGGGAGGAGCACCTAGTGATATGTTATGTACAACTGAAAGTGCTACAATGAGGGCGCGCGAAGAAGACGGGTCCATATTAAGGGCTTTTTTGAAAATCTGGAATTTCGACTGCATCACACCAAAAAAATTTTCAATTTTCACCCTAGTTGCCGACATAATCTCGTTAAAACGCATGTTTTCTGGAGTCAAGGAAAGCTGCCTATAGGGTTGCATAAGAAACTTAGATAGTCCAAATCCGTTATCAGCAATTATAAATGGAGGCATTATAATGGATGAATTCGGAAGCGGGCGATATCCACCTATTGTGGCTACATTTTCGAGGAGTGCTCCCAAAGGCCCATCTCTGAACATTTGGGAGTCCGAATTTACTCCAAGCTCAGAGATTTGCAAATATATAACACGCAAGTTTGCATCACAACAAAAAAGAGAATTAAATGAATAAAACGACTTATAATTATAATTTAACGATCCTGTATGCGCAGGATGCTCGATCTTCCAATGCTTTCCATCCAATATGGCAAAACATGGAATTCTTCGACGAGGAGTTCGATCAGAAGAGTTCATAAATCCTTCTTCCAGACGAATTAATTCTCTTCGATTTTGTGGCAATCGGATTTGTTCTCCGGCAACTTGGACGATATCCTCGATTGTATCTCTAACTAGTCGAGAAATCGTTGATTGCGAAACTCCAATTTCCTTCGCAAGAAGATTTTGGCTAATACCTATAAATTTTATAATTTTAATGCTTGTAAAAAACTAACAAACAACTAAAAAATAACCTTCTCTTGTGTATTTTAAGAAAACTGCCAATCGAATTGTCGCATTGATTCGACCTTCGTGATTTCGGCATATCTTCAGAAGTTCCATGAACGTGCTGTTAGAAACGCCGGTCACGAACTTAATTTATTCTACATTACTTATGCAGAAATTCACTTGTTTTACTTGTTTCCTTACCTCAATACCACCACAATCTACTAATCGGTTGACTTTTTCACAAAAAAGATCGAAGCTCTGTTTCTTGATCACTTCAATTGTTTCAGATGCATTCAATGCATTTTGTTTCAATATCCAAACCAAAATAATTCGTTTTTTCATAAGCAGTGCAATCTATAAATTCATTTATTTGTTTTTTGTTTAAATTGTATTTCTTACTATAGCCTTTTTCTTATTTCGTAACCTATCCAAATTAGCCATGGAACGATCTGAAATATTCAATTTCTTTAAATTAAAACAATATTCGAATAAAATCGATTCAGTTTTGGAATAGAAAAAAACGAAAACGATATGAAATTATTATTTAAAAGTGTTACTCAAAAAAAAGTTTAAATTATTTAAAAAAATCCGCGAAAAACGAGTGAAAATACGAAAATTTTAATATAAAAAATATTTTAAAAAAATCGATATTCAAGGAGCATGTGCCAATTTTTTTGAAATATCGACCCGCGATCTACAGTACCCCTCAGTAAAATTAAGCGCTTATTGCGACAAAAACGACATCGCTGCATAATGAAAATTTGTCGTTTTTGTTTAATTTACATTCACTGAATAGATCCATGACCGAGGCCGCTAGTAGAGCCGTAGCTACCGAAGGAACCCAAAGAGTTGGAAGTGTGAGATGACCAAGCTAAAATGTTTTATTTTCTCTTTAACTAATTCATTTTTAAGCTTACTTGTAACTCCGACAACGGCGGAAATAAAAACTGTGAGAAGAAGGAAAGCGGTGAAGAAAGTTGAGGTCATCTGAAAATCATAAATTCAATAGAAAATTATTACAGTGAATAGTATATAAAACGGATAACGTAGACGCGTCTTTGCAGTATGTACCGCGCACAATAATAATAAATGACGCGACACCAATGGTGCGACACCAAATGGGCGGTCGGTCTTTTGTTCTTTTCACCATACACATTTTTATGGATCCTTCGCCCGGTCAATCATCATCATTGATACAATTAATTGCGGCACAATGTAAAGAATAAAATTTATAATAAGTATAGACGATGACAAAGATTACGAATAAATATGGCGAAAAGGTGATTTTTGAATTTAGGCGTTTTCCCGCTTAAATTAGAAACAAGTCTAACTTAAGAAATTTGAGTTTCGCGCCTAAATTTTGACTGAAAAAATAGAAAGCATTTTTTAATTAAAAAAAATGGAAATTTCCGAAAGGAACCGAAAATTCGATGCAAAATTTCGATTTTTTAAATACCGTAGCATAATCGTAGCGTGATATTTTTTTAATACTTGCAAAGTATCCTTTAATAGTGAATGATTACTGTAATTTTTTGAATTATGTTTTTCACATTTTCACTGGTTTTTATATTTTTGTTTTTTTGTATGATTTGTAATAATTTTACTATGTTTGCCCATTTTTTGTGTGATTTTCATTTATCTGAAGTTTTTTTTTTTAAACAATTTCACTTATTTTTAAAATTTATCAGTTTAATGAAAATCAATCAGATTCGAAGAAAAATCAAATATAATCTAATCTGAATTAAATTTAAAAAGAATTGAAATTCGATTGAGAAAGTGTTTAAATTTGATTTGAAAAATCAGTTTCGATTTAAAAATCTTCGAAATAAATTTATTTATTTCTCATTTTTAATTTCGCTTTCGCTATTGTATTCGATTGAAATTTTGATATAATTGGAAACAGATTAATATATATTTGATTTAGATTTAAAACTTGTTTTCGAATACGATTAATTTTCATTTATCTGAGTTTTGAAGAAATTCTTAACGTTCCAATATGTTGAAGCTTCATGAATAAAATGATTGATAATGCTCCAATTTTCTGTGAATTTTTTAAAGCGTCTCGAAAAATTTTTTGGAAAAATTTCGAAAATTCACACGAATATGTCAATTGCCAATTAATCAATCTTAACATTTTTAGAAAATGAATTTAATTTTGTTTAATGTCAACAATTCCGCTGGTCTTTGCAACACCCGAAATTTCGCGATTGTTCGTTTCGTTTTCATAGAACGATTGGCGTGACCCGTGTGTAATGTCCATGATTACGTGCAAAACTCAATGTTGCTAAAATTTCTCGGCACGTCTGTCGCCCTCCGTCGAGTTTTTACAACAACAACAGCAACACAATTCGGCACTCAATTCTGGTGCGTCCGACGCGTTGTGTGTTGTGCATTCCCATTTTTATCTTTTTTTTTTGGTTTTCAATTTTTTTCAGCAAATATTGAATAAATATTATTTAAGGGATATATTTAAAATTTTAAAGAAATAGAGGAAAATTCAATTCCTCAATTTTTTCTTTTTGTTTTTTACTGGTTTCCCTTTATGGTTTTATTCATGCAATAAAAAAAATGTAAAAATTACCCATTTGCAAAACTTATAGAAATATATTTCGCAAAAGGTACATCTCATGAATTATTTCATAAGAGAATTTTAATTTAAGTTTGACCTACGCGCGAAATTCAAATTTAAAAATATTGAATTGTTGAATTCCACACAAATTTTGTAGCCAACACAAATTTGTTTACCAATTCATTTTGTTATCATTGATCTTTGGACATGGAATCGATATTGCAAAATGTTTGAAATACTATTGGCCTTGGTTTCTTGAATTGTTTACCAGACATTTTTGTTTCGATGCGACGAGAGAGAGAGAGACGAAAAACATCACACACACACTCGCATTTACTTGGCGTTCCCTGACCCGGGCCGCCGAAAACGCTCACAACTCTCACCAATACTTTGTTGACCATTTTAATTTTATCATTCGCCTTCAATTGATAACACCCATGTCTATCATCAAATTTCGCTTCTAACTTACTATCGATATCGATTTCAGCATGTCTGCAGCACCGCTTCGCGTTCTCGTCACCGGCGCCGCCGGCCAAATCGGCTATTCGATTGTGATCCGCATCGCCGATGGAACCGTGTTCGGCAAAGAGCAGCCGGTCCAATTGGTGCTTTTGGATATTCCGCAATGCGCCAATATTCTCGAGGGTGTCGTATTCGAGCTTCAGGATTGCGCTCTTCCAACACTTCACAGTAGGCTGTTAAATGATTCATCCCAAATATCTGTAGTATTTCTCAGGTGTTGAGGCTGTCACTGATGAGAAGTCGGCGTTCACCGGCATCGATTACGCGTTCCTCGTTGGCGCGATGCCAAGACGCGAGGGAATGGAGCGCAAGGATCTCCTCGCCGCCAACGTCAAAATTTTCAAGTCGCAAGGAAAAGCGCTCGCTGATTACGCGAAACCGACGACGAAGGTGATCGTCGTCGGCAATCCGGCCAACACCAACGCGTTCATCGCCGCCAAATACGCGGCCGGCAAAATTCCGGCCAAGAACTTCTCGGCCATGACGCGTTTGGATCATAATCGCGCGTTGGCGCAACTCGCCCTCAAAACCGGCACCACAATCGCCGATGTGAAGAACGTGATCATTTGGGGAAATCACTCGAGCACCCAATTCCCGGACGTCACCCACGCCGTCATCAAGAAGGGCGGACAGGAGCTCGACGCGTACACCGCCGTCGGCGACAAGGAGTTCCTTCAAGGCGCGTTCATCTCGGTGAGTGGTGGCGACGGCTTGATTATGTGTTTTTTTTTCGCGCCTAAACCGGTTCCACTTTTGATGACATCTTGGTGTTTCATTGATTTCGACAAACGTGATCAGTTTCTTAATTTTTTTTTGAGAAATTGAAAAAAATGAAAAGATTGGCGTTTTACAGACCGTCCAGAAGCGTGGAGGTGTGATTATTGAGAAGCGCAAGCTCTCATCGGCAATGTCGGCTGCAAAAGCCGCGTGCGATCACATCCATGATTGGCATTTCGGCACCGCCGCCGGACAATTCGTGTCGATGGCTGTGCCATCCGATGGTTCGTACGGAATTCCGCAGGGCCTCGTCTTCTCGTTCCCGGTCACCATCGACGCCGCCACCAAAGAATGGAAGATTGTGCAGGGTTTGAGTTTTGACGATTTCGCCAAAGCGAAAATCGCCGCCACCACCAAAGAATTGGAGGAGGAGCGCGACGAGGCGCTCAAAGCGTGCGAGGAGGCCAACATTTAAATTATTTTAACCAGCGCAGCATTATTATTATTATTATTAACGTTTCTCTTTTTGAACATTTTGTAAAGTTGTATAGGCATTTTTGCACATTAGCGAATGAATATTATTGCATGTACGCGCAGACGTGTTGTTTGATGAATGGGATTTCTGGGCGAAGAACTGGAAACGTGAGGCGGATGCAAGCTGGTTTCGGATGGGTGGGAGGTGAGAGAATTTCGAGATGATTCCTTCCTTCTTTCTTCGTTGCATTCCGCCGCCGAGAGACGCGCCAATTATTTGAAGCAGTCGTTTTTTCTGCCCATTTATTTTCCTGGCACGTTACGGTGTGAGCTCCATGGTACGCAAACACCGCGGTGTTTACGCTGCGGACGTGCTCACCGCCGAATTTTTATTTTTGAATTATTTCGCGGCATTTCTGGTTTTGTTGAAAAATACGAGAAAATTCTTAGATGTTAGACAATTTTTTTTTACTTAAATTGAAAATTATTGAATACTTTTGTAAAAAAAAAGTATTGGGAAAAATGCACTTGTTAATTTTTGTTGGTTAAAAAATGTTTATTGTGATTGTTGTTCCATATAAAGTGCACCATCTCAGATGTTGTCCGTTAGTCCAATTAGAGGAAATTCGAGTGCAAGTCACATAGAAGATTCAAAACCAAGATTATCATCATCATCATCATCATCATTTAATACCCACACTCCACCCAAAGATATTCGATTGTGAGATAACAACAAGAAAAACTGTTGTTGGAAAAACGCGACGCGTCGACCGAGATACAGGATATATCCTTGACCTCCGGAACTTCGCCACCGCACCGCCCGTGTCCCACTGTTTCCTTATTATCCATTGTGCGCGCCGTTTTCAATTCGATTCCCTTCGTTTAAGGAAAACTTTAGCAATATTTTTTATGCGAGCATTCCACAAATTTCTATTTGTCGACAACTGTCGAGGCAAATTCTGTTGGCGCGAAATGATCAAATTTTTGTGTGCACCTTTAATGTATACTCGTCGTGTTCCAAATGTTTAATATTCAGCCAACAGATCGGCCTAATCTGCGGTCAAACATCTTCTCCCTTAAAGAAGGATATCATCCATAATTGGATACTAGTGGTCGTCGTTTTCAATTAAATCTAATCCAATTCCATTCACGGTTATATGTAGTCATCGATAGTCCGCAGCAGGTATTTATCTTATAGATTCCAATTAGAGTTTTTCTAAATGCTAGTTGTCCTTCATCGACTATCGAGGACATTATATACTACAACTATCGAAATGTTTTGGATAATTTGGGTCAAATGAATGCAATTTCTAAAATGAAACCATTTTCGAAATTTTAGTAAACCTATTGCGCCTTTATTTGGGCGTCGAAGCCGCTATGTTACGCGAAATAGTAATACATGGCTTTCGACGAAAAAACCGGTATTTTTCGCGAACTGCAAAGACGACGTCCAACGCATCCGCGCGCATCTCATCATCATCTTGTCCTCTTCCTTGTCTCGCATCTCATTCTCCTCGTCTACATTCTATTCGACTCTGATCCGATTCCGCGAAATCCGCCAAATTGATTGGTTTAGAATGCTCCTCCGGGTCTTGTGTGTTGTCGGACTTTTGGGATTGGCGACCGGTGTGCCGCAACGCTCCTCAAAATTGGTGTTCCTCAATGAGGAGAACTGGACCAACATCATGAAGGGCGAGTGGATGATCGAATTGTAAGCGTCGTCTTTTTGTTTTATTAAAATTTTCATCGAACAATCCAATTGTTTAGCCATGCTCCATGGTGCCCGGCGTGCAAGGACCTCCAGAAGGCGTGGAACGCGTTCGCTGATTGGTCCGACGACCTCGGAATCAAGGTCGGTGAAGTCGACGTCACCGTTAACCCGGGACTGTCTGGACGCTTCTTGGTCACCGCGCTGCCAACCATTTATCAGTAAGAAGCATGTCCTTGTGTATAGGGTAGAATTTGAACCCGATTTCAGCGTCAAGGATGGTGTCTTCCGTCAGTACTCGGGACCACGCGACAAGAACGATTTCATCTCGTTCGTCGAGGATAAGAAGTACAGAGTTATCGATCCAGTTCCAGATTACAAGCATCCAAATTCGAAGCAGTAAGTCGTCGAATTAAACGTCTTTAATGGTCTCCTCTATCAACAGAATGGCCGTCGTCGCCGTCTTCTTCAAGCTTTCCATGGCTGTCCGCGATTTGCACAATCATCTTGTTGAGGAGAAGGGAATCCCATCGTGGGCTAGCTATGGAATGTTCGCCGGCGTCACATTGGCGTTGGGATGCGTTTTGGGATTCGTACGTTTTTAATGGAGCCTGACGCCCACGATTTTGTCATTGCAGTTCATCGTTGTGATTATTGATCAAGTTTTCCCGACGGGACCACGCAAGAATCAGCAACAGAAGCAGGCGAGCAAGAAGGCCGAGAAGAAGGGTTGGTCGAGATGTTTGTTGAATCTTAATCCGCATATTTTCTTTTGTAGATGCCGGCTCTTCTGAAAATAGCAAAAAGAATGGCAACAACAATAACGCGAAGGAAGCCAAGAAGACCAAGTAGATTGAACAAATTGGAATCATACAACAACAAAAAAGTCACTTGTTTCTATGGGTTGCCTTATAAGTATTTTGTTTTATCGTTATTTTCGTTGTTTTTCCATTTCGCCACACATTCCGTGGGCTCGCGCCGCCGCCGCCGCGCCTCCTCCAAATTGGTATAATTAACGCGGGTGCGATGAGCAGCACACGACGTCTGAATCGATTTGGAGGGGGAACATGGCGCCGCCTTGCACTCGCCTCACACACACACACGCACACACACACTCACACCCAGCCACCGTCCCGCCCCAAAAATTTTTTCGAAGCCACGCCACGCCAGTGTTGTTCTTTGTTACATGCGCTCGTTCATTTATTTCGCAATTTATTTATATTGATATTTGTCTCGAGACCTTACAAATAGTGTTTCTTTATTTTAATTTCAATTAATAAATTTTGGATTTTTCAATATTCAAGAAATGGCCTCGTGGACGCCGCTTGAATCGGATCCGTTGGTTTTCAACGATATGATGGCGAAAATTGGTGTCACTGGCGCCAAATGTGTCGATGTGTTGTATTTCGACGATGAGAGCATTGAGAAGCCGCAACTCGCCGTCGTCCTCTGTTTTCCGCAATATGAGAAAGTTTGGGAAATCACGAAGCCGAATTACGAGGCCGCCGCGCCGGCTGATTCGGTTTTCTTCATGCGTCAGGTCTGAGATTCGAGCGATTCTAGATGCAAAATGTCGATTTAGAATATTCGCAACGCGTGCGGCACTTTCGCGTTGTTCCATTCGCTGGCGAACTTGGAAGATCGAATCAATATCGGTGAGAAAATTTTGAGCAAAAAGAAAAATGAAGAAAAAACGCGCGTTATGGTTGGCGTTGTATCGAGACCAACCTAAAAAAGCGAATATGCGCCTTTAAAGATATTACTGTAATTGTTTATTTCTATTGATTTTTTTTCAGAATTCATGAATTTTTTGCGCGAATTCCTGCAATATTATGAAAATTTCGGTTATCCTCTCTTTTTTTTTTAATTTTAACCCGAGTAACCGTGGTCAATAAATTGCGCTAAATGACTATGACAAACGCAAATTGTTCATTTTTTCGTCGTGGCTCGATTCTTCGATTCTCAATCGATTTTTTCTCGAACAAATTTTCATTAATGCAGTTTTTGCTGAAATGAGTGTTTCCAATTTATCACTATTTTTCAATAAATAATCAATATTTTTCGAAATTTCAGGAAACGGTCCGTTTGCTCAATGGCTCAGCAAGGCGAAAGCGGTTGGATCCGCTGAGCGTTCCGATATTCTCGAGAAAGGTAATAATATAGAATTGTTTGTTATCAAAATGAAATACAAAGGATTTTAGACGCGGAATTGGCAAAAATTCATGAGCAAGTCGCTGCTCGCGGAGCAACGGCTGCGCCGGCGACCGTCAAACATCACTTCATCGCATTTGTGAACAAAAATGGGAAGCTTCTCGAGATTGGTGAGCAGCAAAACTCGAGGATTTTCAATAAATTTTTCGAGAATTCTCCAGATTCCCGCTTTGATTTCGCCCGCGAAATCGGACCAACTTCTGACGAGACTCTGGTGAAAGACGTCGGCGCCGCTGTGAAGCATCTTTTCGACAAATTGAACGACATTCAATTCTCGGCGTTGGCGCTCGTCAAAAATTAATCGTTGTCTGCTTTCTTCCTGGCTTCAGCTTTGTGATTCAGCTTTATCTATCGAAATTCCGCTTCTGCATATCGTGCGCATAAAGAAATTGGTTTTCATTAGCAGGATTTTTTTTTAATTATCTCGTTTTTCACCGATTTCTATGCATTTTTCTTTAAAAATCCGCGATTTTAGTGACAAGACTCAACAAAATAAGTTTGGTTGCCGATTTTCAATAAAGTGGAACGCGAATGGCCGTGGCCGATAAAAATTATTCGAAATTGTCATACTTTGTTGATTCTACTTTTTTTGGGAATTTGTTTTCACAATTTTTCGACTGAAATTTTTGCTAAGATTGATTTTTCGGACAAAATTTGTGAAATACATTGGCATTGTTGTTAAAAAATTCTTTATTTTTAGATCTTATTAGGTGCAAAAATGGCGGCGAAAACTGGCGGTGGCTGGGCTGCGCTGGAATCGAATCCGGAAACAATCAATCCGGTAATCAATTAGCTAATTAGCTGCGCCAATTAATCGCCAGTTGTTTTCAGTTCCTCAAAAAGATTGGCGTTTCCGGCGTCGAATGCGTCGACGTCTTCTCATTCGACGACGAAATGTTGGAGTTCATTCCGAAGCCGCAATATGCGATGATTTTGTGTTTTCCGAGCGCCGAGGCGCGCGAATTTCTTTCGAAAAAATACGAGGAATTTGAGAAAATTGGCGAAAAACCGAAAGATGTGTTCTTTATGAATCAAGTAGCGTTTTTTCCTTGAGAATTTTATTGTTTTTATTTTTTTCAAATAAAAATAATATAAGCCACTAACCAGAAACGTGAAATTTCGAATATTAATTTCTACCATTTTTGAATCGCAAAAATAATATTTTGATGTTTTAATTGAAGGTTTTGGGTTTTAAAATCCTCACGAATAGCTGATGAAATTTTTTCATTAAAGGAAATACCAATTATAAGCGATTCAGAAGCGAGTAGAAGAATTTTTAAAAAAATTCTCAAAATTTAGGATAAAATGAAATTTGGCAGAAATTATCTGTTTTAATTGTGCAATGAAAAGAAAACTCGAAAAAGATTAAATGAAACCAATATTTTTTAGTTTTATTTTTTCCAAATTTCTCATAATTCTTGAAAATTTCTTTAAAAAAATACGTTTTATTTATTTTGCAGAGCAGCGAAATCGGCAACGCGTGTGGCACATTCGCCCTATTCCACTCATTGGCGAATCTCGAGAATCGCATTAATTTGGGCGACGGCAAATTTGCCACGTGGCTCGCCAAAGCCAAAACGGTCAACGAGGACGAGAGATCGGACTTGTTGTCGGAAGGTCGCGACGCGAAATTGGCGATTATGATTGGTTGTTTTGATTTTCAGACACGGATTTGGCTGAGGCTCATGAAGAGACGGCCGAGATGGGCGAAACTGAGCAATCGGATAATGTCGACTATCATTTTATCACATTTGTCAACAAGGATGGAAATTTGTATGAGATTGGTACGAAATAATGATCGTTTATAGATTTTGAGCAATTTCGAAACGGAAAAAATGTAAAACTTTGGATTTCTAAAAAAGACAATCCTAAACTCTTGTTTTTGTTTCTGAAATTTTGGGAAAATTTTTTCATTTAAAAAGTGCCAATTATTTATAATTGTTAGTTTTTTTCCTATATACCTTTTTCAAAAAGTTCGACATCAATACTGATTATATTTTTTGGAAAGTTGTCACTGAAAATCGGAAAATTTTGTAGAATTTCAGAGCGAAAAATTCAAAATGTTTGAAATTCCAGAATATCGTCATAAGTTGACATTTTTTCGGAAAGAATTTTCGATTTTTTGGCAAAATCTGAAATAATTTTCAGTTCATCTTTTTTGGACCATTTGAAAATATGTTGAAGGAAAAAAATTGTCAATTTGCTCGAATTCTTTTTTTCATTTCAAACAAAATCTGGAGTTTTAAGCTGAAAATTTTTGGCAATTTGCTTCCAGACTCGTGCGCTCCATACCCACGTCCATTGGGCAAAACGAGCGATGCGACGCTCGTCAAAGACGCGTCCGGCGCCGTCAAAGAGCTCATGAACAGCGTGCAGCGTCTGAGCTTCTCGGCGATGGCGCTCGTCGGCAAATTCGACTAAACATTTTTTTTTGGTATTTCTTTTTCGGCTGCGAGAATCGCCTCAACTGGTTCATTTAATTCATTCACTTTCATAAATTTGCCATAATTTTTGTTTATTGTTGTTTATTGTTTGTTGTTTGTCAAATTTGGTATTATATTACAACCATTTAGAAAAACCCGTTTTTTTTTGTGCGGAAAATAACAAGAAGCCGATCGTCATGATTTTCTCTTCGTTTTTTTTTGGTTGGTTTGTTTTTTTTTTAATTTTTCACCTGCAAGTTTTTTCCTGGACGTGTTTACGTACTTTGCATTTTAGTCTACGCGCATTTCAACACCGATTTCTGCAAGCTCCGCCCTCTTTCAATTGTTTAGACCCGACAAAATTCATTAAAAAATGGCGAAATGATGAGAAAATCGAAATTTCGATTATTTTTTAGAAAATAAAATGGTTTTTCATGCTTATTTTGAAATTTTTGAAAACGCTTCTCACGATAAAGGTCTTGCAGTGGCAAATTACGGTAATACAAAATATCAACAAAATTTCTTTGCATTTTAATCTATGGTTAGCATTCGAAAAAAAGCGAGCACCTCTTACCATCGAATTTTTTTTGAGGTGGCCGAAATTCAACTTAACCTGCGAATCAAACGTCCCCGTAAATCTGCGCAGGGAGGCTCATTTTCGTTTTTTTCAGTCAAAAATTGCACGTTTTTTTCCTCCGATTTGAGATCTCGAGTTGAAAACGAAAAAATTGAATCGGTTTGTAGCGATGATGCCACGTGGCTCAAGAGGCATTTCGGCTTTTTTGGCATAATTGGAGTTTAAAAAAATTAAACGGAAAAATACGTTATTAGGGCGAAGTTGAGGTATGATCCTTTAAGGTACGATGCAGATTTTGAAAAAAGAGACTTTTTTAACCAACTCGGAAATCCGTGCGGTGTTTTTTGTTCAGAGATTTAATGGAGGCAAACATTTTAATAAATCTCATTTAAAAAAACCAATTGGTGAGAATTTTTTTCCGAAAAAAATTCTCCTGTCATCGATTTTTGCTAAATTTTTGATGTAAATGTTGAGATCGGAATGTTGAGTGAGGATGCTTGTCACGAGGGGAATCTTCAAATCATGTGTTTGCTTATCCGCCATATTTTGGGAGGTCTTTTGTCACACCCAAATGGGAACCCGTCTCTCTCTCCCTTCGTCGCATTCAAAACTTCAAAACACCAATGCGCTAAAAGTGCGCTTCGAGGGGGGCCGCGCCGCCCATTTTCCTACCCGTCCCACTCACATCAATTTTTTTGGTCACTCGGCCAGTGTAAAGTATTGATATCAGGCGGTCAAGTTTGATTAACATTTCTTCCTCTCATCGGTCGCCGTTTATTTTTCCGCATTTCGAGGCCACCCACCTCGACGTCGCCGTTTTTCTGGCGCCAAAACTTGGCCACGCCCCCCCCCCCTCCCCGCGCCTCCTTCTTCACCATCTCAAAAAAAAACCTCATTTTTTTGTGCCCTTTTCGACTAAATTGATTTTTGTTGTTGTTGTTTGCAGTTTGAAATGCGACGAAACTCGCTGACGAGTATGCTTGGCGAATTTGTCGGCCTTCAGCGGAGCCCCGATTTTCGGCTCAGCTCGCGATCGCATCAGGAGATTGATGAAGCGGTGCAGGATGAGAAGCGGGTACGTTTTGCTGTTGTGTGCGTGTGTGGTTTTTAGGCTTCGCTTCGAGACCCACCACTATATATTTGTTTTTGAAGGATTTTGAGCGGCCGAAACTCAAACCGAGACAGAGGTACATGTCGGAAGGCGATGTGACGATATCGAGGAATGAGCCGAGAATCGAGTTTGACAGGGCTGGAAGTGTGGTAGGTCGTATTGAGAGGATGGAAACTTCGCAGCGAGACCCGCGTAGTTTCCATTGTGGTCTCGTCGCGAATGATTTGAAAAAAAAAACGCTGAAATTGAATGATTTTCGGTTCACACGAATCCCAACGGCAAACCAGACGAAGCGGCGGTGGTGATGCGAAACAAGAATCGAGCGCTGCGCAAAGATCGACCGACGAGTTTGATTGATCGCATTCGGCAGAAGATCACGCACACCAAAACGGGGGTGCGTCAGAATTTTGGGAAAACGTTGACAATTTTTTTGCTCGATCTTGAAGATTTTCGACGACGAGCCAAATTTGAAAATTTCAAATCTTTTTTTTTTCGCGAAAAAATGAATAAATGAATAGAGCGATTTTTAGGCGATCACCGAGTCGGACGAGGAGGATGAGCAGCCGACGTTTGTCCGAAATCCGTCGACGCGATCCGAGCGCCTTCTGATTCACATCACGCCCGTCGAAACGGTGCCGATTCGCGTCGTTCAGGTTTCGCAGTGATTTATTGCCGGCCGAGTTTTTTGCGCGCAGATGTCGATGCACGACCGCTACTCAGGGATCTTCAACGGGAACGCCTTCTTAATATTGTGTATTTTCAATAAATTCATATTTTCGCGAATAATTCGTTGTTGTTTGTTTTATTTTTCTGATTTTCATTGGAAAATTATCGCATATTTTCGAGAAAAATTTCAAAATTTATTGGGTTGCTTCTTTTTTTTCAGAAATGGAGATTCGAGTTGCGGTATTGACAGGTTTGAGCTTGGTTATAAAAAAGAAATCCGATTGATTTTGAGTTACCAGAGTTGGCCTTCTCGCTATTTGACTTTTTGATCTATTTTTGGAATGATAAGATGAAATGAGATATTTTTGATTTTAGTTTTTTGTCACGTTTCAAGAGACATTCCTCATTGTCTTTCAAAAAAAAATTCCACTTAAATACGGTAAACAAAAATCTGCATTTGTGCGTCGGGGTGTTGGCACCAATCACAACTGAAAATCGCCAGCGGAATTTTTCTTCATTTTTTTTCTTTTTTAGCAATTTTAATCGTCGGGTTATGGAATTTGATTAAATTATAGAAATTAGGGCTATTTTAAGATTTTTTTTTTTCGAAAATTGCGCCGGTTTTTAGTTTCTGAGAAGTTTCGAAACTCCAAAATTAGGAATCGTTTTGTTTCACTGATATTTTCTATTATTTTCTTAGATAATTTGTCGATACTAGGATCGAGGCGATGCAGACAATATTTTTTAAATTCATTTTTTACCTACGCCCTTTTATGGAAACAAATTTCATAAAATTAAAAAAAATTTTCCGTCCGTTTTTTTTTCAGAATTCTAGAGGAAAATTTGCAGCTAACCTTCTAAATTTTTGTCGAAGATTCATTAAAAATAATCAAAAATGTGTAAAATGCCAATTTTTGTTGGGCCCCCGCGTATATCTTTAATCCACTGCAGCAATCTTTGCTTGAATAATTTCCCGATTTCCCTATCGGAAAATTTAGGCCCGGCCCTTCTTTCTTCGATTTTTCGACAAGGAATTTTCGGTTTAAAAAAATTAGAAAAATTAAACGAAAATTGTTTGAAAATTTGACCTGTTTCAAATACCACGGGTAGAATTTTACAAGCGAATTCCGAAAAAAAATCATAAAAACTTTTAATTTTTTTAATTCTACGATAACTTCTTCTATAGAAGCAAGGTGTTGATGTTTTTTTTCAAAATGTATCCTTCGCGCCGCCCAGATTGGCATGCCGAACTAAAAATACACTAATCTGTTTATTTATAGATTACATTCTAAAAATATCTATGATTTATTTTTGCAGTAAGCGATCGTTGTTCAGCGGGCGTCGCCATCGACGCAAGTGGGCCGGCGATTTGCGAACTCGTCTCAAATTCCACGCGGTGAGAATGAGAAAAAAAAGAATCTCGCCGATTTATGGTCACATGATTTTTTTTTAATGAGTTGGTCGGCTTGTTCGGCGCGAGAAAAAATGAGGGGTTTTGAGACGAAACACGCGAAATTGATAGGTCATATGAAGAATTGGCGGACGGGCGCCGCCGCCTGCGTGAATCATTTGATAGATGCGCGCGAATTTTCAGAATTTCCGCGAAACTTGTCGCCGATTCGCCGCAATGCGTTGCCGATGAGCGTCATCAAATCGCCGCCAAATTGAGAAGGCTGATCGAAATTTCGGGTAATTTATTCGTTTTTTTTTAAATTTTTTCTCGCTGAAATTCGAGTTTCAGATGTTATTGTGACCACTGGCGGCACCGGTTTCGCCAAAAGGGATGTCACGCCGGAGGTATTGGTGTTTTTTTTTCGTGTTGAGACACAAAATTTGATTACTGTAGAGAAATAGAAAAAAAATGTACAGTTTCCCATTTTTTGTGGATTTGCCTTTAAAATTCGAAATTTTGGTACAATCTTCAATAAGATATTACAATTGCAAATAAAGTGAGCTCCCTCTGTTATACTTCTTGTAATATAAATTGATAGCGATTCATGAGTTTGATTCGCAGGTTATCCGTATTACGGTTTTCAAATTTAAATTAGAACTACCGCAATTAAAACTCAAAACATTTTTTTTAATGAAAATGTTCATTTTGGTCAGGCGACGCTTGAGGTGATTGATCGCCGTTGTTCGGGTCTCGAAACGGCGATTCACACGAGATCGCTTCAAGCGACCCCGATGGCGGCACTATCTCGATCGATTGCTGGAATCGCAGGCAATACGCTCATCGTCAATTTTCCGGGAAGTCTCAAAGCAGTCAAGGTTGTTTCTTTTAATTTTTTGGTGCCAATTTTCAATTTATTCAGATATTTTAAAAATTCTATTATTTTTGTCGATAATGGCTGGGAGTTTTCTTTTAGCAAAAAGTCAAATATGTTCATTTGCGTCAAAATTAGCAGCGTCAAAAAATAAATAAAAAGATACAATTTGAATCGAACAGAGAATTCAAAAACCTAATGAATAGTTTTTCATAGAATTTTATTTGTCTTTTATGTTTGATACTCAGCCAACAGTCAAATTCAAATTTTTGTCGGTTGTAGCATTTTGAAGCTTTGAAGATGGCTCGAATACGGCTTGAAATGAAAAAAATAGTTTGAAATATGTGAATTGGCACATTGAACCGAAAAATCATGATTTTAAGGAATGCTGGGAGGTTGTCGAGCCGGTTCTCAACCACGCTGTCGGTCTTCTTCGCGAGACCGATGAAGGAAAACATCATAATTGAATGTTTCGGACTTGGATTTGAAAATTTCGAGCAATTTATAAATTTCTAATGATTATGTATATATTTTTAGATTTGCGTTGATTTAAAGGCGCATGATAGAAATGAAAATATGATTATGAAACAAGAATATCGAATTTAAAGGCGAACAGGTCTTTATTTCAATTTTGTTTTTCCATTCAAGACCCAAAATCCAAATTTCAAAATTTTCAAAAATTGATTTTCTCGTAATTTCGGAATTCTCAATTAATTAAGTCATGTATTATCGGCTTATGATGAGGAGTATTTTCAAATAAACTCTTGGGACCTACACCTTTTACGCAAATTTAGCGGAATTTATAGGGAAACCTAGAATATGACCGTTTAGCAACAAAAAAATTTTGATTTTTATTTGTCTGCTATAAAATATTCGAAAAATTTACAAATTATTAAAATTAAGATCAATGATTCTATTCTAAATCGCTGACAAATTTGAATAGAGATTGAGCCAATAATTTTGGTTGCTCAAATGCGGCAAAGTGACCCATGTCGATTTCGGTGTAGTGCGTAATGTTGAACAATCGACTCGAGACCTCAACGGGACACAGATCGTACAGCTCATTTATTGCACTGGCGTGGCCTGTTGGAATTGAGACGTAGTGCCTGCAACGATAACTTTTAAAATACGGTATCAATCCCACACAATGGTTCTCTTTTTCAGACTGATTTTAATTGGAAAAAATCGCGCCAAAAATGGGGGGGGGAATGCTGAAAACACTGAAATTCGGGTTTGAAACTGAAATTTTTGAATCAAATTTTTTTTTCTTCTAATATAGTTCATTAATGAGCTCGCCACCCTCCCGAAAAAAATGTACTTCTCAAACGCCTTGATCGTTTTGTCGAGGAAGAACTCGCGATAGAATCTCTGCGACGCCACAATATTTCCATTCGTCCAGTAGATCATCACAATCGTCAAAAGCTCATCATTCGTGAATTTTCTAGAAATAACATATTAAAAAAAATACTAAAAATCAATGGGGAGTTTTCTTTTTCTCAATACTGCAAATTTTCGCCGCGAGACCACACTCACTTATTCAAACCGCCATCAGGAAACGCTCGATAATCGATGTTGGTCCATGTCGAGAATTTCTCGATGATGTACGCGGCGAGACCCAGCGGCGAGTCGTTCAGCGAGGTTCCTGCAGCGAGAAAGTATACCATATGCGATTACGGTTACTCATTTTGGGCCCTTATGGCAAAAATGGGATCAGACAATTTTTTTGTCTATTTTTTCACACAAAATGGATGTTAAGAAAAAAACTGTTAACAAATTTTGAGGAAATTTTGCAAAAAAAAATCAAAAATGATAAAAAATGGGCTTTTCCTACCTACAGTATCCGGCTTGGTCGCCTGAATATGCATATAACCGGTCTCGGCAATCAGATTCAACGCTTTCGTAAAGAAATTATGCGATTTGCTCAAAGTAGGCGACGAAAAGAACACCTGAAATCGGGCAAATTTTCGAATATTTCGAATTGGCGCCAAATTACCGATGGGAAAAATGAGCCGACAATGTCGATGAAGGTTCCGACGATGCTGCTTCCCGGCATTATTGGAATCATGTTGAGATGCAACGCGACGACACTGAAACGAGTTTGGCCAATTTTAAAGGCGCATGCATATCGCATTTGGGCGTACCTCTCAGGCCAGGCTTTTGCGATGAGCATATTGACAATTCCACCCCAATCGCCGCCCTGCATGTAGAATTTGTCGAATCCGAGCCGATTCATCAGTTTTCGGAAGACGCGAGCGCAAGCCAATTGCGAGAATCCCGTCTTCTTCGGCGATTCCGACCATCCATAGCCGGGAATGCTCGGCGCGATCACCTCGAAAGCGTACTGGAAAAGAGAACAATTTTTCCAGCTCAACAATGATGAAGAATTGAAATTTTTACATAATTGTTGGGAGTTGGCTCGAAAATCGACAAACACTTGTAGGTTTGATCATTTTTTTCGTAAAAACCGGCAAAAATTGTAGATTTTTGTGCAAAAAATGCAAATTTTGAAAATAAATCAAGAAAAACCGGTTAGTTTTCTCATAATGACTGTTGGTGGAATTGTTCAATTCGAATTAGCCTTCAAAATTGTAGCTCGAAATGAAAATTTGCAAAAAATTTGATAAATCCCGAAGAAAAAGAATAATTTTTTCTACATTCTCCCTCGAATAAAAACTCATTGAAAGCACGATATTTTCCATACGAGACCAATATAGAAAAATCTTACATCGACGTTGATTCCATGCTTTTTCGGATCAGTTAGAATTGGAATGAACTTGTAGAACTCGAACACATTTCCCGGCCATCCGTGCGACAACAACAGCGGTTTCACGGTCTTATACGATTTCGGCGGTTTCGCGCGAATAAAATGCACCTAAAGTGTCGAAATCAATGTTGTTTTTGTCGTTTTTTTTGTTGATTTATTCTCCGTCATAAAAATCGCACCTGAATCCCTTCAATTTGCGTTTTGAATTGCGGAAATTGATTCAAAATCGCCTCAAATTGCCGCCAATCGTATTTGGTCAGCCAATAGTCTCGCAATTTCTGTAAATTTGTTTTAAAGACAATTTTCAGACGGATGCTAGAAAAAAAAAACAACCTTCAAATGATTGGCATTGAATCCATAGTAGAAATCGTTGGAGTCTTCAAGGACTTCATGCGAAATGCGAGAAGCCTTCAGTCTCCTTTTAAGGTCTTCAATCGTCTCATTGCCGACGCCGATTTTGAACTCGCGAATCGTCGGATCGTCTTTCACGTGTTTTCCAGCTCCAAAATAGCCATTTTCGTCGACGTGAACCTTCAAAAATTGCGAGTTTCAACGCAAAAATCAACGGATAAAAACGTTACCGGATGATTCGGCAAATTGTCGATAAAAAACGCGATTACCACAGCGATGGCGGGAATCCACACGAATTTGAGTAGGCCCATCGACCTGAACAACTGATATTTTACGCCAATTTCGGGTTTCTATTTAACTCGAAGATGAAAATTTGATAAGAGCACGAAAACTACAAACATGAGACGACGCTGGACACAGAGTATGAAATGGTGAACGCCGGCTGTTGTCAACAACTCGATTTTTGCACCGCTGTCTAATGTTGAAAGCGAGAGAGTTAGACACAAAAATTGGAGTAATTTTCGATCGGCTACAATATACTTAAAAATCACCGTTTACTGAACCGCCCATTCTTAGTTGAATTGCGCAGAGATCACCGATTAAAATATATTAAAACTTTGCAAATAAAATGAGTGCCTAAAAACTAAAAAAAATTGAGCAATATCGTACTAGTGTGCTGCACTTTTTATCAATTATTATGAAAATTTGTAAGCTTAACATTTTCAGCTCTCAAAACCAATTTTTCGGGGCACAGCAAAAATTCTAATAAAAAAATGGATTTTGTCGAAACAAAAGACGCCCCGCGGCTTGCAAGCGCGGCCTAGAAAAATTGTCCTCAAAAATTGAGTTCGGCCACGGCCACATTAGATGGATTAATTTATTAAATTGAGTAGAACTAAATGAATACGTATATGATTTGTGTTTTCGCGACTTCAAAAATCAAATATTAAAAGAAAAGTCACACCTTCACAGAAATATAAGGAAACCGCGCCTAACAAGAATCACACTGCATAATTATCAAAATTAGCCTGTGACAGTATTCTTCAGAACTTGTGTGCAGCACTCGCATTTTTGCTTTTTCAAAGCATCGGCCAATTTTTCTAAGCCACACAAAAAAAGCGGCGAGCCGTGCGCCCGACAGGCTAAATTGAGGGCGATGTGAGAATGGAGTGTCGTACAGTTTGGGCTAGAAAATTTTGTGGGACGTCCATCGTGGATCGTTCTTTTCGCATCGCTGAGTATCTGTATGACCTGTTTATAGTCAAACGTAACGATTTAATTTTTTAAAATCAAACTTCTTTCGATTACGGTTGATTTTCTATTAAAGGCGCATATAATAATATTTAATGATTCTTGAAGCGATTTAGTGAAACACTATGCTTTATAAGCTTCTAAAATCCTGTCTTGGTCGAGGATTTTGGATTTTCTGCATAGTACCATAAGGTTGTATCGTTTGAATTCCAAAACCACGAGTTATCACCAAACTGTACTGTTTTTAGGTTTCGTCTGTTACATTTGCGTCACGGTGTTTGCACACATTTTTGGATGTTACCATTTTTTTTTTCAATTTTTCCGATTTTAAGCTTTTTAGGCTTTAAAAAATCAACACCAAAAAACAAAAAATACGCATTTCTCGAAATCTTTGAGTTTTTAAATTTTCAAATTTTGAGGTAATGTTTTGAAAATCTAAAATAAATAATTATACATGATTATTTTTAAAATATCGCGATTTGGAAATAAATCAGAAAAGGAATCACCTGGAAATTACTGATTTGCCGTCTAAACCCTCAAAATATAGTTTTTTTTGTTGGAAATTATAGAAAATTTGAATTGAAAAAAAAATTATATTTTATTTCAAAATACCGTCTGCACACTTCTTTGAATGTGAACATTTGTTGATTTCGCTATGCAAAAATTGTTTCGTGAAGTATAAATTTCCGAAATTTTGCAATATTTGAACGAGTTGGAGAAAAATTTTCGAACAATTCTTCGATATTCGGGATTCGTCATAATGAGACAAAGCGTGAAGATGATCGAATGCATCGAGATGAACATCGGAGCGGTGGCGGCAATGACTGAAAAATACACGCAATTCTTTTTTTTTGATTTGTCGAATTCTCACCGTGGTATTTTGCATTATTTTTTGCGAACACAATAAACACGGAAAATACGGGAAAGCCGAGAATACATGTCGGAACTCCTATCTGGAAGAATTAATTACAAGTTCGATGGTTTCGAGAGACAATTAAATTAAAATCAATTTTATTCGGTGACATCTCGACAACGCTCAACGTGTTCGGAATCTATTTAACAATAAAACCAAAACTATCGCTTCTGTCAGCTCGTTCTGCACCGAATTCGATCTTTCGATTATCAATTGAAATTAACCGCGTTAACTAGGCTACCACTTCCCTCCCCAGCAATTTCTAATCTTTTCTGAAAGCGAAAGACCGAACCGTTTTTTAAGTAATGAAACGATTTTTTTGAGATTCGAAAATTTGAGGACATTAATGGAATTCTTCATGCAAATTACAGTTTTCTAATGCAGCGATGCCAAAAAAAAGGCAATGTAATTAAACGATAAAGAACGCAGTGAGACTCTTGAGGCAATTTATTCCCGTGCGTCTTTTTTCCAGTCATTTTTGATTCTTCTACTAATTTGAAAATCAAAGTTGTAAGAATCTCGAGGGATGAGATGCGAAATATGTATATTAAAAATAAACATATAATTGATAGGAAGAATCACACAAATTTCATAAGACAAACGAAAAAAAATACTAGAAAATTTAAATCATAGGAAAAATAATATCGACAAAAAAGACAAACAGCAAGAAATAGTCACATGGGTCTCGCAGAGTTATTTAATTACATTGCCCACTGCATTGGAAAATGTATATTTTTTAGACCTGAATATTGTCGGCGTTTGCAGGGATTCGGGACCTTCAAATTCGAGAAATCAGTGTAGATTTAAACTTTTCGTTGACTGAATATTAAATGCGCGTAGGTTATAATGCGACGTACGCAGTCTGTCTCGAGACGCAATAGTTTTTTTAAAATTCGTCCAGTCGTTAGACGTCCCTGGGCGAATAAGTTCATTAAAAAAAATATTTTCGAGTACAACGTTTTAAATGTTCAAAATATGATCTTCTTCCCCATCTCATCCGAATTTAATAATCATTAGGATGAAGTGTGCATTCGTTCCAAATTATTCAAATATCAGGGTTGCGCGGCGATCGGAAATTTTTTTTCAAACGACAATTCGAAATACAGCGCGTTTCACATTTATAAAGCCACCCTTGTTTTTGGGCCATGTGAAATTTTTTTCAATAATATTAATATATATTGATGTACCGGATCAAATGTTAATTTTGCCTAAATTATTTGAGATATATTTTTCTTTCGTTTCCTACATACAGTGCGTTTCACATTTCTAAAGCCACCCCTGTTTTTGGGTGTAACTTTGTCAATTATGAAAATTTTTAAATTCTGTTTTCAAAATTGAATTCAGGGCTAAAAAATAAATATGTGTACCAATTTTCATAATGATATCTGAAAAATTGGCCGAGTGACATTTAAAAAACTGAAAATTGGTCACTTGCAACCGTTTCACATTTATAAAGCCCGTGAAAGGTCTGAAATTCTAGAGACCTGAAGGAGAATTAGCAGTGTAATTATAAATAGAGTACTGTAAGATATTTTTCTTTATTTTCCATGTGTTTTAACCTACATTTGAACATGTCACGGGGATTTTTGCTCACCGATGCCGAAAAGGCTACCATCGATTATTGAAAATCGCTGGATTTTCAAACCGAAGGATTTCTTCGCACCTGAAGCGGTCGAAAACTTGCATTATTAATTTTGTCAACAAGATCGAATTAAAACATTTTTACAATTGACAAAGTTATGCCCAAAAACAGGGGTGGCTTTATCAATGTGAAACGCACTGTATAAATATCGAATTTTGCACGGTATCCATCAACGTTTCACAAAAAAATTTCAATTTTCTTTTAAATTTTTTCAACATATTGCCGACATGCAATTTTTTCCACTGCCGGGCAGCCCTTGATTCAAATCAACAAACTTGTGCAATCAGCGCTGCGAGCGACTCTCTCTGCATTCGATATGTCCTCGTTGATATAATCGTTCGATACGTTTTGAGAATTTTCACCGTTCGCCACGTCAAATAGCCCGAGCACGCGAAAAACGCGACGATCAATGCGGAAACGAACGCCACGAATACGAGGAAGTTCGAGTTCACATTATAATCATACATGTCGAATGTGAATTCGTCGAAAACGCCGACGCAGTCGGGAAAATTCTGCAAACAAAAACAAATATTTGCTAAAAAGAAAACATCGATGACGAAGCGCGGATTTTTTTTTCACGGAACTCAAGAAAAAATAGGAATCGAAAATCAGTTTGTGGCAAAATTATAAGCGAAAAAACAAGAAAAACCGAGTTGTTTCGGCAAAATCTAAAAAATCCTAAATTGGGTACGGTAGATTAAGACGCATGCTATTTATTAATGCGATGGGTCTCGATGCGAACGCAAACTTATTTTCGATTCCATTTTTTTCTTTTTTTTTATGCGGTTTTACACGATTTTTCCGGACCAAAATACCATAAAATAGGGAAAATCTTCGAGTTTCAATTTTTTTGGCCATATTTTTTCAAATTAGTGAGGGGGGGGGAATTGAAAATCAAACCAAATCGATTGAAGCCCTCTTTTCCTCCATTGTCAATCGCGATTTGTATAAGCTAATTGTTATCATAATCGGAAATAAATGAAATATGATCATCATTAAAAAATTTAAATATTTTTTCTGCGCCATTATCTAAAAAATGAAAGCTCTTTGAGGGGGGCAATTAAAGAGTATTTTACTGAGGCCGGCGAGCATCGAGCCGCAACAAAATGACGATATAAGAAGCAGGAGACCATGGAAGGCGTTTGAAGCGAAAATAACAAGGCGAAAATTGTCTGAATTCAATTAGAATACATATTTTTTTTGGAAAAAACGAGAGACGCGTACAATACAAAAATGCGAGTTGATCTCATATTTGACTTGAAAATGCCGAAACATTCCGCAATTGATACCGCCGATCATCGGAAAATAGAAATAGGCGGGATTGATAATCGAAAGATCGAATTCGGTGCAGAACGCCGTCAATTGGACGTAGAGCTGACAGAAGCGATACTTGGTTTTGTGCGTCGATCGGTACATCGTCAAATAGATGCCGAACACGTTGAGCATCGTCGAGATGGCGCCGATGACATGCAGAATCGGCTCGTAATAGTCGGGACATGGCGCCGGACAGAAATTGTTGCCTAGAAGCATTTATGGCAAAAATGGCGATTGCGATCAAAATCGCCTCAGCGTTCCTAATTATAGGTTGAGAAATGTCAAAAATTATTGAAATGTTGGCGAGATGAACAACAAATCACCGCGACTGTTTTCGGATTACAGGCGGCACACATGACAGCTGGAAAAACGGAAGCTGCCTGAAATTCTATGCCGTAGGTAAACCATTAGATATTATTCGATTTGCATATTGGTAATAAACAAATCTTTCGTAATAATCGCATTTTTGAAATGCAAAATTTAACCATATTTGGCGGAGAACAAATCGGCTCAATATTTTTCTTTAAAAAAAATACCAAATACACTTAAATGTGAATAATTTTCGAATGGCGCTGAAACCTTTTTGATTACATTTTCGCGGCATTTTCAGGGTTTTTTTGTTTCAATTTGACGCGATGCGTACGCGTTGCGTATTCTCTAGATATTCAGAAAACAACTTCAATGTTTTGGTTTGACCCTTTCAATCGTTCTCTACTAATCGCGATCCTTATCCTGGGTGTTCTTAAACAACACCAGAGAGCGCTCAGATTTGCACTTTGCAAATTTGATCGATTAATATGTATTGTCAAAATAATGACGTCGAAAGCTGCACGGAATTTAATTTTTCTTAAAATGGAAAAGCCAAAAACCAAAAAATGCTTTTTTTTTGTCATGAAACCCATTACCCCGGAAGACAAAAGATTTTATAAAAGGTTCGAAAAAATCTGTTCATTTTTGCGTACTGTTTATTACGGACTTCAACTACCGTAACGTATAAAATTAATGTTGAAAACTCTAACACGTGGGGAGGGGCTAAAACATTGAAGGTCCATATCTCCTCTAGTTGAAAGCTGAGAAAATTGATTTGGATTTTTAAATTTTGGGTCTCGCATGGAAAAAAAAAACTTTTTACTCTTTCTTAGATTTAAAATTCTGACAAAAATGCGAAATTAAAGGGATTAGAAAATTTCGCCTGCATTAAGCTCAAAGATGGTCCTTCAACGAATTTTCTCCGCAGATTCGTCAATCGCATTCTCTTGTTGAAAATGAACGAATCAAAAAACGTTTATGCTTTTGAATAATTAGTATCCGAACTTTGATTAATTCTTATGAAAACTAGTAAGTCGAAATTCAGCAAATTTCCATTTCGAACTCTAAAAACCAATTTCTTGCTACAAATGTGTTTTTTTTTTTCAATTTTAAAAATGTCCGCAATACACCAAATGCGCACACGACGTTGTCGACAGTTATCATTAATTTTTTCAAGCTCATATAGTAAAAAAAAATCAAAATTTTGGTGATATAATGTAGAGCTTCAAAAATTGTGGATATGAATACTGAAATCAATTATTCTTACAGATATTCCAGGCCGAGAAAATTGATTTGAATATCTTGAGATTTTTGTATTTTCCGCCTCGTGGGTCTCGTGTGGAAAACCCCTCAAAAGTTTCTTAAGAGTAAAATATGAAAGAAAATCATTTTATGACGAATTTTATTGAGTATTAGCCGTCTTATTTAATTCAATATTCTTCGCAATTGTTTTTTGATTTAATCTAAAAATTTTAAAAAATTCATTATTTTTTTTATATATTCAATGGTTTTTAAAATAAATCTTTTATAAACCCTCAAAAAATTCATATAATAAATTTTGAAAAATTCGAAATTTTGGCGGACGTGAAATGCGCCATGGCCGAATAATTCGCGGCCGCCTGAATGAATCCCCCTTCTTTATATAAGGGTCCTGAGAACACGCATTAGGATTGATTAAAGGCGCATCGAGACCTGTCTTTAATTTTTTTGGCATTTTGTAAATTTTCCGACTAGAAGTCTTCTAGTTTTAAAAAAAGAAACTAATAAAGTCGGTCTGAAACAGAAAATTATTTTGAAAAAAAGAAAAACATTCCATATTTTCCAATGTTTCAATTGTATTGTTAATGATGCAAAATCGCCCAATAGAATTGCTGCAATTCGTTGGTGGCCTAACTTTCGGCGGCCGTCAATTCGGCGGCCTCAAGAGAAACACAGCAGAAAAAAAAAGCATCATCGGCAAATATTTGATTCGAACGAATCGAAAAATGAACACAATACACCTGTTGTGGGTCGATTCAAGATCATTTCACATCATTCTCACCTGTCGGCAAATATTCGAACAATCATTCGTTCGCCCGAAATGCTTCGCCGACACGCCGCCGTCGTCGTTCTCATCGTCGTCGTCGCCGTCGTGACGACGGCGTTCGGCCAGTGTCGCGACACGCATCCCAACTGCGAGTTCTTCAAATCGCTCGATTTGTGCGCCAACGCCGCCCAACAGCCGATCATGAAGTACAATTGCGCGGCGTCGTGCGGCTTCTGCGGACGATTCGTCGGCACGTGCGAGGATCGCCTTCAGGATTGCGCCGGCTACAAGCGCAACGGCCTGTGCACCGCCGATGACACGCTGCGCGTCGAGTACGGCTGCGCGAAGACGTGCGACGTTTGCAATCGGCCTGTTTGATTCTCATTCGTCTCATTCTTCACTTTTTTTTTTGTAAATAAATATGCATTTTTCATTTCGTTTAGTCATTCTTAAAACCCGCGCCTCTTTTCCCTATAAGACCCTATTTAAAGGCGCATTCATTCCAGAATTTTTTTTAAATCTAGGAGGGCTCTATTGATGCTGAAAAATTGAAAATCTAAAAATCAACCGAATTTCAAAATTCAATTTCATTATTTTCTGCTGTGGACAATCTACGAGGCCAATTTTCGAATCAAACATTGATTTTTTTGTTGAAAAATTGTGTAATGCGCCATTAACCATGGTCTCCCATTCCTACAGTAATCCAAACTCAAACATGTGCCTTTAAACTTGCACCCTGCATGTAGTCTAATCAATTCAACGAAAACACCCGGCGAATTCACGCGAATTTCAATTAATAATTAATTAAAGTTCCAGCGAAAAAAAAAAGAAATATTCGGAATCGAAAAGCAGATTTTTTTGCGAATTCTAAATATGGAAATAATTTTTTTTCAAAATTGACAAATTTAAAAAAAAAACGTTAGGCTAGAATTATTGTTGGCCTGGAAAATTGTCCGCAGCAGAAGATTGTGAAATTCGATTGGAGGCTTGATTACTGCAGTGCTAATCAGTGTGAATTTTTTTTTCTCAAATAGCCGACAACAACAAACTGGCGATTGTGGTCGCATCCCGTAAAATGTCCGCAGATGCTTCTCTTGTAAAGATTCCGAATACCCGCGTTTCAGCAGTTTTATGAGATTATTGTTCCCAACAAAAAAAGATTTTCAATTTTCAGATTTTCGCGGCCATTTTAATTTTGATCTACCACCATCAAATGCATTAGAGATCATTGCACTAGGAATTAAAGGCGCATGCGACAATTATGATTTATTCACGATTAAAACTTTAAGAAGCGTGTGATTATTTAAAAATTCTCAAATTCGTCATTTTTTTTTTGCAGAAATTTTTTCGAGCCAAATTTCGTAATCGCAAAAAAACGCCCCCCCCCCTCCCTGGGTTACTGTAGTTTATAAATTTGGTCCGCAAACATCCATTCGGCTTTTTTTATAGTTTGAAATTCGAAAGAAGCCATGATTTTCTCGAAATTCGTTGAATCACAAAATCCATATAATCATTATACTTAGAAAATCTCCCCCGCCCGCGCTTCTTTTTTTCGTGGTATTCCAAATTTGGTGAAAATTTCCGCAAAACGATGATTTCTTCAAATATCCGATATTTCAGAAGCGGCGATTTTTAGCAGCACCTGATCGTCGCGCGATTTTCACCTGCCTGCGCTCTGCTCATGGTTCGTTGCTCACCAAACGGACCACCGAAAACCAATGATCAAGCCATAAGGAAAACAATTCAGAATTGTTAACCTCCAATCTCCTTATTTGGAAAATCGACGAATTCTTCAATTTTCTATGATTTCTGGGATCGCCGCGAATTTTTAGGTTTGAAATATTCACCAACTTTTACTTTATGCGCCTTTAAGCAGGTTACTGTAGTTTTAAAAAATTCAAATTTTAAATGTAAAAAATTTCTTTTTTTTAAATGAAAATACGATAATAAATATTGTTTAAATTTTTTAAATAATCGAGTTAAAAGATCCCAAAATTTGGAATTTTTTTCGCTCGGCTGATTATCAAGTATTTAAATTGCCACATGCGCCTTTAATTACAGTATCATAAAATTTAGTAAAATTCAAAATTGTGAAAAAAAAAGATTTTAAAAATTTCATGGAAATCCGACGATTCAAACCTCTTCAGAAGAATGTCCCTTTAAAGGTGGTCTTGAAGATAATTTCAAATTCAAAAACCGCTTGAGCAAACTCAATAAAATATGATGCACACTTTGAAACAGTAATTTCAATTTCTTGAATATTTATTGAATAAAAACCACAAAAATAAACGGATGATGATTGAATGATGATGTCGACAAAAAAAAGAAAGGGTAAAATAGGGCAAGAACTGTACATCATTTATAATATCAAAATTACCATTTGTTTTTTTTTTGCTTCTTCAGTGTTCAAAAAAAAACAAAACAAAAACTGAGCTCTGTCTGATCTACACAAATATTTCGACAATATACCAGTAAATTATAATCACTGTTTCGGCGACTAAATCAATAATGAGGGGTTGGGAGAGGGGGGGTCTGAGAAGAATTGTGTGAGTTTAAAAAAAAAGAGGGGAGGGGGGGGGGAAGCGACTAGGAAACACCATTATTGTTGAAATAAATTAACACGATAATTAACGATAATAATTAATTAATTACATATTCGAAATTTACATTCGGAAGCCGTAAGCCTCCATGAACTGAATCACAAAGTCCTCGTTGTCGCCGCACAGCGGCTCGTTCTCGAAGGTCTCGCAACGCTGCGAGCGGCCGTGGTTCAAATCGGCTGAAACACAAAAAAACACCCATCAAAAAAAAAATTTCGTGTGCGCCTTTAAAATTTTTTTTTGAAAATTGTCGCGAAAATCGTTCATAATTTTCCGCTTGAGACCAAATTTTTAAAGGCGCAAGCATTTCCGTTATCCAAAATGATACAGTGGAACGTGCGCCTTTAAAAACACGCACACACACACACACACATTTTCCACACGAGACCCAAATTTGAGAAACACGCTCGCGCTTAAATCGACAACCACTCACCATCGAGCCAGACGCCGTATCGTCCCGAGCCGGCGCCGATCGACAACGCGTCTTTGGCGGCGTTGACGAAAAACTGATTCTCGCCGGTCCACGCGTAATGGCGCAACTCGCGGCAATTCGGCAACTCGCCGGTGAAACGCCACAACAGGCAACTGTCGCCGGTGCCGGTGTAGTGGTCCGACGGGCGAATCGCCGACGAGACGACGGCGCCGAACACGTGGTCCTTCGTGTCGCGAATGATGAGAAGCACCGGCGAGAGGTCTTCGTCGAATTTGGCCATTTTTCTGGAAGTCGAGAGTGAAAGTGAAATCGCAAAAATGAAATCTGTTTGTTCGTTTTTTTTGTCGTCGCCTTTCTTTTCTGCGAATCGCCGAAAACTGTGTTTGCACACAATACACCTCATTTGACGACATTTTGCGGCCTCTCATTCTCACCTGTAGAGTGTCGCCAACGAGAATCCGTGCTTCTCCGAACTGTAAATCTGCACCCACGGATAGCCTTCAGCGCGCGGCGGCAGAATGTCCATGACCTGAAATTTATTTTTTTCGGGTTTGTTTTTTTTCCATGATGCGATATTTTTCAGAAATTATTCAAACGAACCTGTCGAATCATAATCTCGTCGAGAATTTGCGACGTCTCGGCGCCGTCCGGTATCGGCATCTCCGGCTCCTGATCGAGCGACAATCGCCGACACATCTCCGACACGGTGACGAGCTCCCATTCGCGATTGAGTAGCGATGAGCCGAAAATCGGCGCCGCCGTTTTCTCGCCTGAAAATATGCTCCATACAAAATATTGTGACAGAAAAACCGAAACAATAGGTGGGGAAGTGGGGAAGGGGGGTCCCTCAAACCAAAATTGCCACAGAGCAAAGAGCACAACACACCGGAAATCATTTCAATTGTCAATTCTTTTCAAACAAAAAAAAATCTAGTCTGTTGCATTCTTTTTTTTTGTCCACTGCGAGACCCAGCTCACATTTTGCGGTATGAACCTTTAATTTTTCGAATTGTTACGATTTTATTGTGATTTTTTCAAAATAAAAAAAAATTTTTTTCAACAATTTTGAAATTATTCAAGTTAGATTCCAAAAATTTCATTTTTTTTCTCAAATTTTCTACAATTAAAAGTGCAAAAATGGATTTTTTTTTAATCGCGCCAAAAAAAAAAGAAAAAAAACCGCCACATGATTTTTTTTTCGCGGTGCTTTTCAACTTATTCTCGCCGACCTTGATTATTGCTCATGAGAATCTCCTGATCGATGACTTCGCCAATCGCCGACACCATTTGCGATAGGCGACGCTGCGAACTCTGGCGCACATTGCCGAGCGGCATCGACAATCGCCGCCCGATTTTGCCCAAATACGGCGCGATCTCATCGGACGACGCTTGCGACATCGTCGACGCCAACGAGTTCGTCGACGTCTGCACCTTGTCGACAATCGACGCAAACATCCTCTCTACAAGGCAAACAATGAGAAGAAGCATGAAGGAGAAGAAGTGAGAATGAGCCAATTAGAAAATGCGGAACTACTACGACTAGTTGAAGAAAGACGAAGAAGCCAAATAAGGCAAAAGTGGGCGTGGTCAGCAAGCAGTGATGCGTTCAATAATTGGCATCCAATTTCGTCGGGCTCAGCCACTCCTCGAAGCGATCTTGGCTCATCAAAGGGAAATGAAGATGATGATGATGATGATGAGGGGGTGGTTGAGCACATTAGCGCATCGTTAAAATCCATTATGGAGAGAAAGCAAAATTAAGACAATTTTCGGCGTTTGAGTGAGAAAACCAAACCGGAAATCGACGAAAACATTCAATTTTTTCACGTACAATACAATATTATTTTTTGTTGTCGTTGTTGTTGAAAAAAAAAACGACCGGATGGAGCACGTCAAATATAATTGGAGGGTCTTGGCGCGATTCTCTCTCAGACCCAGGGTTACGGTAGTCTCAAAATAATGTCGACCTTCAACCAAAAAAAAATCCACCCGGGAACCCTCTATGATTAAACAAGAAAACCAAATTTCTATTTGAGCTTATAGCAATCGAATATCTCCGTCGTGCTACCGTAACCGATGGCAGCACATCGTGACGAGACCCAAAAATTTCCAAAAGCGTTCCCAAATGTCACGGCCAAAAAAAGTACGGTATATCCAAAAATCTACCGTAATCAATGCATATTAAAAAAAACACATACAAAAACTTTCTGCTACAGTAGCCGCAATTACTCACAAATCTACCGTATCTATGTTTAAATTTACAAAAAAAAAGAGGGAGGGGGGCGAAAGCTCAAAGTCTACCGTAATCGGGCGGCGAAAAAAAATGCGCGGGAATTTTATTTTTGCAGAGATTTGAGCGAGACACGTAACCAAAACTAAAAATACCAAGAATGGGGAGGGGGAAAAAAAATCGAATGTCGTCGACACCATTATTAATAATTCACGTGCCATGTATGGAATGCGAAGCGCATCATGATGATCATCGTCGAAAGCAACAAAAACAACAACAACAACAACAACAACAAAGAGGAGAGGAAGGAGGAGGCGGAGGAGGGGAATCGGCGGCTCTTACTCATTTATGCATTGCTCTCACATATCATCCCACCGAAATTGGAGATTTCGTTTCTGAGAACACCACCTCAAATATGATCAAATGTCGGGATCGATTTCAGAGGAAAAAAAATAGTTGGTTTGAATCAATAATAAAATGGCCACCTAATATGGCGAGGGAGAAGCTCAGAAGAAAAAAAAGTGTCAAATTGGAAATTTCCGGTCTCGAAGATGCCAAAAAAAGGTCAACAACTCTAGTTTTTTTTCGCATCGTCGTCGTCGAAATCCCATCGGAATCTCAACAATCCAATTTTGTGTCGCCCAAAATTCGGGCGGGTGGTCCGGGGACCTCTTCCATGAATGAACACGAAATTGGAGCCGCTGTTCAACAAATTCCTTTCATTCGTTGAAGGAGGGGGGGGGGAGGGGAGGGGAACGAATGGAATGGAGTTCCGCGCTCTACAACGATAATCGGAGCGAAATTGGCAAACCGCGCACCAGAAAAAAAAAACAAATTGAGGAGAAGAAATAAAATGTCGCATTGCGAGAGCCAACACAAAAAAAAAGAACCAGCGTGCGCCTTTAATTACCGTATCCCATTTTTTTGTTTTCACTATTCCATTAGTGAGACAACTGATTAAAGGCGCATAAAAACAATGAATTGGGTCTCGTGGCGACAAATTCAAAAAAAAGAAAAAAAAAAAAGAACCGCATATCTCAAATTTATCGAAAAACGAAAATTTTATTGTGGGCCGACGAAAACGAGAAAAATAATTTTTTTCTGTCAAGTTTTTTTTGGCTCGCAACTCCCAAATTTGGCAATTTTCATGACAACTCTGAGAAATTGCGAATCGCAAAAAAAAACCCCGAAAAAAACTAGATTTCTCAGAATTCCTTGGGTTTTTTCTCATTCTCACACTTTTTTCAAGCTGTGTTAAAAAAGAACCAACCAGTCAACCAAAAAAAAAAAGAAACAATTTTCTGACCAAAAATTTTTGGTCCCCCCAAGAGAGAAATGGACATTGACGCAATCCAAAAAAAGAATATTTCACAAGTTTCAAAAAAAAAAACTCAAATTTCGTTAAAAACCGGGGAAACACGAGCAACAACCAAAAAAAACCAGTCGGGTTTCGTTTTTTGGCTTTCTTTTTTTCAAAAAATTGTTTGAAAAATCGAAAAAAAATGGAAAAATTCAACTTTTTGAAAACAAAAATCATTAGAGACCATAAATGAAAATGTGTTTTTAAAAAATTACGAAAAATTGGAATTTTGCGATATAAAATTTTTTTTTAATTGAAACTTTCGCATTTTGTCTTTAAATTTATGGGGCGAAAATTTTTGAACTTTAAATTTTTTTTTGATTTAAGCGACCGCAAAAAAATAGATTTTTTTTCTAGGATTTCAGATACTACTATATTCGGCATAAAACTGCATAATTCCAAAATAAGCAGCTTCAACGGCATTTCGAGTCCGGTGCATTTCTCACATCAAATCGTTCAAATCCAAATTTTGTAGGTAGCCAAAAATATCGGAAAAGAAGAAATACGGTAGGATTACTGTAGATCTTCCCCCACGCCTCCAAAAAAATGCCGCAAAAAATTTGAGGGCGTTTCGAATTTCGGGACCACAATATGGACAATTTTTGTAAAAAAGAAATAATGGAAAATTGAATTGAATTTTTTTTCGGCCTGTTTCAACGAAAATTTCGAGTGTAGCTAGTTTGTTGCGGACAAATTCATGAAATTGATTTTTTTTTCAAAAAATATTTCAAAATGATATTAAATGTAGAATTCAGCGTTCGAAAAATGTGTATTTTTTTAATTTTCTGAATTTCACGAATAAATTAAAGAATCCAGTCAGTTTCAAATCAAAAATTGAAAAAATATGAATTTTTTTTCAAGAATCGCCAAAATGTCTCAAATCTCAAAAATATTCGTTAAAAATCGAAAAATTGCTTATCTAATCACCAAAAAAAAACAAGACAATCGCTTATTGCGTCATATGAGAGCCAATACTCAAAAAAAATCGAATTCAAGGAATCTAAAAAATTGGGCAATAATAAAATGTAGGCAAAAAGAAAATAATAAACTAGGACGACGAGGAGAAATAAAATCGAGAAGCAAGCGGAACAAAAAGAAACCCAATTTTCTAGCAATTGTTGCGTCTCAACAAGAAGAAGAAGAAGGAAGAAGAAAGAAGAAGCTGTCGACCGTTTCGTAATAGCAACAGATTTTTCCGAAGATAACGTTGAATTGGACTTGATGAACACCAAATATGCCATTTTTTTTTCTTGTAAATTTCTCCTTTTTTTCTCTCTCTCTCTAACCTCATTTTCGAGGGCAAAAATTGTGAGTTTCTCGAGAAATTTTTTTCTTTTGAAAAATTCAAAAAAAGAGAATTTTTGGTTTTTTTTTATCTGAAAAACTCAATTTTTAGCAGAGAGTTTCATAAAAAATTAAAAATTTTGAATAATTTTCAACTTTGCCTCTGGAATTCTCTGAAATTTTTAGAATTTATTGAAAACTCTCAAAATCTGAAATTTTAGAATAGCAAAACATTTTGGAAAAATTCTTAAAATTTAAAAATTATTCGTATTGGAAAAAAATTGTTTAAATTTTAAAAAATTTGAAATTTTTATGGAAAGAAAATGATTCGAAAAAGAAATTCACCGAAAATCCCAAATTTTTTACAATTTCAATTCTTTCAATTTCCAGTTGTGTTTAAGACCTCCCGCCGCTCAGACGGGAACAAAACCCCCAACAATGTCCGCATCAAGTGATCATTAAAGCAATAATATTTTCGCCCTCAATTTAATAAAAAAAAAGAAGCGCTCTTAAATGGACCATATTTTTTTTGCGAATTTTTTTCAAAAAAAAAATCAATTTCTGATTTTCATTTGCTAAACTCCATATTGGTGTTAATAAATCAATCATACCATGCGCCAACGCGGCACCCAACGATTTGGACCTTCTTCGCTTCTCGCCCTTATCATCGTCATTCTTCTTGAACACCTTCCTCATCGCTCGCCTCATTTTGCCCTTCTTCACCGGTTTGTCGGCGTCGAACACAATCGTCTCATCGATGTTCGAGACTGTCACGCGTCGCATCGACGGCGGCGGAAGGACGGGCGAGTCGGGATGCGAGCCGCCGACACCCGAGTCCTCCGATCGCTGCGAACATACGCTCGCCTTCTTCTTGACAGCGACCGCCATCGGCGGCGTCGCCTTCTTCGTCTCCATCAGTATCCCGTCGAGAATCTCGCGTTCGATTCGATCGCTGCTCGCACTTCGCTGCAACGCTGCCACCGTCACCGTCTCGGCTCTCATCCGCTGCTCCATCATTTGTTTCACGTCAAACGCGGTCACATAATCATTATCAACACTTCTCGATAAGCGACCGGCCATCGAGAACGCTCGACGCCGCTGATCAACGCCATCAAATTCCGACGACGTTGCTGCTCCCATAATGTGTGAACGCTTAAAAAATGAAATGTCGAATGAGAATGTGGGAAAACAAATGAAGAACGTGAGCAACGCAACCAAAAAAAAAACAAAAAATGAAACCGGAATATAATGTTCAAACGAACATCACTTTTTATATACGAATCGCTATCAAAAAAAAAGTGGGCGTGGCTTTCGACGAGGTGAAACAAAGAAATTGTTGTGCGTTGCGTTGGCGGCAACTCAACTAATCGGCTCATTATCAATCATTATCAGTTACTATACAATTTTCTGTAAATCGACGACATATTGTCAAAATTCAAACATTCGAGACATCAACAACGAAAAAAAAAACGCAAATAGAATCTCAAAGAATCCGACGGAATCAAAGTGCAAATCAGAAATAATAGGCGGGGAGCTCGTCGAAAATCGTAGAAGGAATTGCACGAGGATCCCAGTAAAACAAAAATCGGAAATCGCACGGAAGGCATTATTGGCGGAATAAATGCCAATGATTTACGTGCTCGGAAACAAGATGAGCATTTCGTTGTTTGTTTGCCGATATGACAACACGCAATTTTTTTTTTGGGGCGGAATCGCAATGTATGTTGACACAAGAATAAACACCAGATTGATATTCTTCGATACAATCAACGACATTCGACGAAAAAACAATTTGGAAATTTTCGGTATAAAATCAGATAATGCTGAAAAAATTGCGAATTTCTCTTCAAAATTTGGGACAAAAAATTTCCAACGTTGAATTTTTATGAAAATTTTGAATTTTGCGGTGTAAAATTTGTTTTAATTGAAAATTTCGAAATTTTTGAGGCGAAAAATTTTGAATCTTGAAAATTTTTAAAAAAATTTAAGCGTCCGTAAACACCACGACGCAAAATCGCGTACGCAATGGGGAAAAATACATATAGATTTCTGGGATTTTCCATACTACTATATTCGGCATAAAACATCTTCAACGGCATTTCTCACATAAAATCGTTCAAATCCAAATTTTGTAGGTAGCCAAAAATGCCGGAAAATTTGTCCGCAGAAGGATTACGGTAGGATTACTGTAGATCTTCAAACTACCAGGTCATTCTCTAGAGAACATCCAATTTTATAGACTACACCAAGAGCTTCTATGAAGAGAGCCGTGTCAAAACATTTCACGCGAAATTCTTCTCACACTTCGAATCAAAAATTACGGTACCTAGGATTACTGTAGGCAGCATGGAGTTAACGTGCCGAATGTGGTCACGTGCCAAAATAAAACACAAGTTCGCAACAAAAAAAATGAATAAAAACGAGCCGCGTAATCTTTTATGAGGGGGGAGAGCGGTTCAAAATTCTATCGAAAACCATAAAATGAGCCATTGATTTTTTTTTCTCTGGAACAAAACGGACACAAAAATATTTATAGAATGCAAAACTCGCAATTTTTTTTTCGACATAATCCATTTGATCGCCAAATTCTGCACTAAACCGCCCGACAAAAGTAGTAGAAAGAAAAAGAACACGAAACGAGCGAAAACAGTTCGGTCAAAAAAAAAAAGGATCTCGATCAATAAGTTACTAATCATACACACACTCACACACAAACAGTCATCGCGCGATTTATAAAGGTCAAAAATGTGAAGAAATAGCATTGGAATCGGCGGAGTGCGAAGACATCTAATTTGAATAAGATCCGAGATATCCTCAATTTTCGAGAGACGCAGACACAACCGACGCAATGTCGAGAAGCTTCGAGACGGCCGCCGAAATTTGACGGCCATGCATGATGGTTTCGGTGGAGGCCAAGATGAAGCTTCAAGATTGGAATTATCCAGTTGGGTCTCCTCAACAGAAACCCAAGTTCGCAAATTTCGTCGCAATTTTCGATTTTTCCAATCATGTCAGAACACATCGCAAAAAAAAAAACAAATTCACACATTTTTCTTTTTTGGCTACGTGCCCAATCGGCAAAATTCGGGCTCTCATGAATAATTCAAACAAATCGTCGAACCAAAGGGAAAAAAAATGGAAGGTACTGTCGGCTCTCTGATCACGGGCAAACGATTCCGCTCGTGATTCTAAATGTATGCATTACTCGTTGTCGTCGTCGTCGTCGTGTGTTCTGATAGACATTATTACTTTTTCACATTGAATCGAGATCAAACCATCAAACCAATTTTTGTATATGAGCGCGCTATCAGCACACAGACACACACACAAAATCGAGCAAAAATCACAATAATAATCAAATGTCTAGAGAAGGACGAGTTTCGATAGAGAGAGAGAGATGCAAAATAAGCGAAAACAGAAGAAAAAAAATGTTTGTACGCCAATGTGACAATAGTTGATGACGACCAACATGTATTGTCTACGAGAAAAATTGATACCAGATTCAGGGGAACAAGTTGGCATCATTTTGGTCGGACACAATGGGAACAATTAAATGCGGTTCCTCAATTCCAAATTCTCATTATGATTTTGAAACCGCAATACAATGCACATACAGTAATGAATCGCTTGGGGAGCCTTTCAACTACAGTAATCATTCAATTCAATATAAAATGGAAAACACTTCGACAATAATCATTTTTATCTAGATGTGATAAAACTGAGCAAAACCTCAAGAGCTACAGTAATCCCATTGCTTGGACATACAAACCTACAGTACCCAACTATTGAACTTCGGTATACATTTTTGTTTGGAGTTACAGGAGCATGAGATACAGTAATCCCATTCTACCGTAGTCCACTAGATGTTCGCTTTTGTGAGATACCAACCTACAGTATCGATTATCATAAATTGTAGAAATCTTACGCGAAAAGACCCTCAGCAATATGTAAAATGACAAGAAACATTTTAAGCTACCGTAATCGTTGACAGTCGCAAAATTTAATAATCGACCAAGAGGAGGAAAACGAATTGAGATCAAATTTCAGCGATAATCGCGGCACGACCAGCAGATCACAAAATCTCGTCTCATTCGTCCAAATGACCAACGAGCTCAAAACCCCAAAAAAAAAACGACACACGAACATACAAAAACGGATGGTCGAAAATCAACTAACGGGGGGGGGGATATTCATGATGATTATTGAAGATCAAACTTGCATCTCTGGGATTAAACGGATTGCGTTTTATTTTCGAGGCGACGGTACAGAAAATTGCACATGTGGCGGGTGCAAATTGGATAAACAAAAAAAAGCCGTCGAACAAATTTTTCGAAGGCAATATCATGTGAAAAACTATGATCTCTTTTTTTTTCTTATAAATCATCTGATTGATGATCGCCGATGACACCTTTTTTTGGGGGGAAAGGGAGGAGAACAAAATGTTGCATTGATAACGACTTTTAAAGCGTTGATCTACAACCAACATTTGATGATATCGAGCAATTTCGGTGACTAATCGTCTCAAAATCTCGACATTCAACGAAATCATCGCGAAAAACGAAGCCGATAATTTCGACGTGCCATCGAACGGTGACGTCATTTTTGTTAACGAACAATTGCTTAAAATGAGTCAACGTTATTCCTAATACGGCAAGGACAAAAAAAAACGCGACAAGGGAATGACGAGAGCGGACGGCCGTTGCGAAAGAATCACCGTAATCGTCGAAAATATTACAATGAAAAAATGAGAAAAAATGAGCTCCATGGACCGATTTACGGTTATCCGGAGTACTCGAATTTAAATTGCCGCCTCGAAAATGTGCGATGGTCCACAATGAGGTCCTTATGCAAGGCGCTCGTTCATTTTTCGCGATGGGAATAATTTAAAGGCACATTCGAGCATACATTGAGGCTACATTGTTTAAAGGCGCTTATTTTGTAAATCTCGCCAAGATCCCAATTAAAGGTACATATTCGTTCATTAAAAAAGGAATCGTATGCACCTTTAAATGAGGTCTCAAATGGAACCTCTAAACGGTAAATTATTCTCGTAATGAAGTCAAGAAATTTAAAAAAATGAAATTTTAACAAAAAATAAAAATAATCCCAAAAAAATAAAAATAAAATACAATACGGTGTGTACGGTAGCGAGACGCGCTAATCAGTAGGCATAAACACCAAAAAATTCCTTTTTTTTTCGTTTTGGGACAAAAATATTATTGCTTTCGCGGTTGTGTTTCTTATTTTCAAAAATGATGATCACTTGATAACCGTGTGCGGACGAAACGTTTCATGTGCCGACTCTTCGCCACCAATTAGGGGCGCAATAATACAAACGAACGACGCACCTGATAGCGATTCGTCGGCATTCGAATCGAGCACAATGAATCCCTTGTCTTGCGATTCGTTCGCCATCGTCGACGACTCGTCGCCGCCGCTCGTCGCGTTCGTCGTCGTATCCTGCAACAATCATGTTTGGGTCTCGTTAAGAAATCTATTTTAAAGTCTAGGACCATTTATGGAGGGAGGCCTTTTACAAAATGGCGCTCATCATACAGTAATTCCATTGAAATTTAAAGAAGCATATGAGCCAGCTGGAAAAAAAACTTTTGTGTATTTTAAAAATAACTCCGTTTAGTTATGAAAGTGAAATTTCGTTTAAAGGCGCATCTCAATATTTTTATTAACTATTATCATACCGTAATCTCGAAATGTGTACTATGTTCGTGTGCGCCTTTAATTCGGGTCTCGAAATGAAAATAAGCACCCGTTTCCGTTCTACCCCCCCCTTTCAATTCATTGTAGATGCCATGTAATGAGTGTTTTCGTATTATTTTTTTTTCAATTTTTCGCATCTGCGGACATTGTTCGAGGCCAAACAGATGGCGAGAAGCCCCCAGAAAATGCATCTAATTTTATACGCAAGAAAAAAAGAAAAATAATCATTTCTTTTTTTTTTCTTTTTTCACGAAATTTCGCAAAATGAGGGTATATTCATTGACGGGGGGAAAAAAGGGGGCAATGTTGAACTTGTGACCTAATTGGTCCGTCAATTAGACGCTAATTAGGCACTCACCAATCCGTACTTCTCCGGGGACCACTGAAGAAGGAAATGATAGATATTGTCAGCGCGATTGCGTGGAACTGCGTACCTGGAATTTCAATGAAACAAAATATATAATGAATTTGATATTTTAAAAAAAGCGATTAAAACAATTTTTTGTTTAATGAACGATTCCAGCGCAAAACAAACAAACATTGGCAGGAAAAAATTGAAGCGAAATTGAAATTTTTTTTGGAGGGGGGGGGGCCGAAAAATTTCCACTAAAAATCACGCAGGTTTTTTTCCGAAATTTTTCAACAAAAATGTGTTTCCTCAAAAAATATGGGCATTTTCCTGAGAAGCCAAAATTTCATAGCGACAAAAAACCAAAAATTCTCAGCTTTAAAAATTCATTCAAATTTCTTGATTTTTTTCAATTTTCGTAGGAAAAATGAAAGATCCCTTCAGTGCTGGTATTTCTCAAGTAAAAATCTTCCAAAAACTATTTTTCTTCATATTTTTTCAAACAATTTTCACAATTTTTTCCAATTGTTTTGCCGACAAACTCTCAAAATCTCACCAAAACTCCCGTTTCAATTTGTTGCCAAACGCACAATCCTCGTCGGATGAAGCCGATGGCGATGATTCTAGAAAAAAAGTATATATCAATTACAAAATCCAACAAAAAAAAAGATAATAAATAAATAAATGAGAAGAAGCTCGAGCTTTTCCTCGAGCGGTAAAAACAGCAGATGGGATCCGACGAAAAGCTTTTCCCCTATCTCCGTCTCGAAATGCTCTCTCCATGATTTCTTTCTCTAATCCTCTCTCTCTCTCTCTCCAATTCTTCAATATTCAAGAATGCGGGGGTCTCGTCGAGACAAATTTCTAATTTACGAGCATTCCACGCGTGGCGAGACCCATTGGGATGAATGCCTGCCGAGACTATGTAGTAATCGGAACCATCGAATGGTTTGCCTAGCAACGAAAAACGGTGTCGGGCATTAGGCACAGAATTGTCCGAACGAGCATACATATTTCACTAATAAAAATTTTATGGTGTGTTTCGGACGAAACCAAAACCCCCCGAATCGATCGTGGCGAGACCCGCGTCTTTAATTAAAATTTGACAACTCCTGTCCTTTTTTATTGATTTTTAGAATTTTTTTCTTCAACAAACAACTTGTCCAAGTGCAAATGGGTCTCGTGGCGATTGATTCCTCGCAGCTGATTTTGTTGTCGAGAAACAGACTATGCGCCTTTAATACTAACTAAAAAATCGCTCAGATTCGACAAAATTGACAACCGGTATCAAAATTTTCCGGAAGAAAATTGTAAAACTGTCGGATCTGATTGCAAAATTTACGCAATTCAATTCCGATCGATTTCGAATTACCAGAATTATAAATTATAAACAATGATTTTTTTCTAATTTTAAGAATTAAGTGAAGCTTTTGTTTTTTTTTTCGCTAGTTTTGTTCGCAATAAACTATTGAAATTTTACTTTTTGATTTTTCTCGTTATGTATTTTTTTTAAAGAAAATTCTGCACAATAATAAGAAAATCAACAAAAACAAATATATTTAAATATTAAAGGCGCACGTGCAGTTTTCCTTGAAATATCTCGTCGCCAACTTCAGTAAAAAATTGAATTCGCTAGCTCAATAAAAATCGCCTCAAGACCCACTTTAAAGGATCATCAGACCTTAAAATTTTCAAAAAATTGTGCGAATTTTCTCGAAAAGAAAGGATGAAGTCGTCTCAAAAAAAAAAGGGCGAACCTAATACCAGAAAAATGCCAACTTCCAGAATGTTCTTCAGTTTTCTCAAACCCAAAAAAAAAACAAAGCAAAACAAAATTTGGTGTTTCGGAGGCGCAATAAATCCGACGCAACAACCAAAAAAAAAGAACATGAGAAATATAGAAGCAACTCACTTCGCGACTTCTTCTTCTTATTCCTCGTCAGACGAACCGCCATATAATAGGGCAAAATCGGCGACGAGAGATCGGAGCTCTGAAAACCGGATCAATCACAAAATTGTGGGATGTCCATATTTCGAGCGCGCTCTCTCTCTCTCTTTCTCTATGCCGCCAGGCGCGATGCGGTCCGCGTGCGGTCACAACTTTTCCCCAAAATTTGATTATCTGAATTGGAATAGAGATTGAATGATTTTCCTTCAGAATCTACTCATTCCAAAATAGGGCGATCATATCATCAGAACGCTTCAGACGACATTGGTCTTGCAGCGGCCGATTACGGTAACGCGCATTCTTATGTTGGACTCACCTGTGATCGATTCCTCTCCATTATTTCATCAATCGACGCGAACAGATCGGGATTCTCATCGATGGTCGTGGCGCAGTGAAATCTGAAAATGTTGGTAGATCATCCGGCGATTTGCGAATGAATTAAACGAAACATTTTGAGACAATTCGCATTTTTCTCGATTTTTTTGCAATTTTTTTAAGGATTTAAACATTTTCTGCAAAACTTGTCCGCCACAAAATGTCGATAGCTTGAAAAGAAAGCTTGAAAGTCGTCACAAATCTATTAAAATGGAGATTTTTCGAATAAAAATGAATTATTGCTTCTAATATCATATTCCTTAGAGCTCCGACTAAATTTGCAATTTACGATTGAAATGGTTCATAAATGACAGAAAATCACATAAATCAACGAGTCGCCCTTATAAATTTCATGCAGATTTTGCATATAAAAACATTTTTTTTAAAAACCGGTTAAAAATATCCAAAAATCGGTTGTGCCGAAAAAAACTAAAAAAAAAACCTCGGCCGTGGCCAGGTTTTTCGAACATTACAGTACCACAGTTTTTTTTAATTCATTCGCTGAAAAGATCATAAAAATTATATCATATTGCCGGCGTGAAGGGAGGCGGGGCCTTCAATCCGTGTAGATTTAAATTTATCGTTAGCTGAATATTAAACTCCGCCAATATGCACCTTTAACCATAATAGAAAATAAATGGCAAGCGTAATCGAAAAGCTTGCATAGTACCATAATTCTACGCGATAAAATTTAAAATTAGTGGAACAAATCTCAATAACAAATATTTCGAACGAAAAAAAAAACTGCAAAGCCTAGTTGTTCCCCGAAATCGATATTAACTTTCCCAAATTTCTATTTTTTTTTTCAAAACAAAAACTTACTCGCTATTCCTATTCTCTTTCACAGCATTCTCACGAGCCTCGGCCGTTTGTCGCTTCAAATCCTCGAGTTTCGCCAATGATTGCTCGCGCTTCATCGCCATCGGGCTCTTTTTCACCTGACTCTGCAAAAAACAAACAACAAACAATTGCCAAAAAAAATCATTTCATTAATTAAAACCATTCCCAAAAATCCAATCGTCTATTTTTTTTGTTGAAAATCTACCTTCATAATTAGATCGTAACTATCAGAACGCTTTCGAAACGGTCGTCGCAGCATTGTTGAATGGCAATAAATTTACTCAAAAATGGATGATGGTGGACACACTCCAAAAGAAGCAACCAGTTCTCAACCCATTGTTCGATTCCGCCGCCGCCGCCGCCGCCGACAACAGACCGCCCCGTAAACAGAAACTAGGCGTACTTTTCGAATATATTTGCATTCGATTCCCATTTTTAATCAAAAAGTACATCAATATAGTCAGTTCATCGTAATTATTCAATGTCGTCAGACGCGTTCGCGCGCGTCTCTCGTTCATTCTTTTCAAACGTTTGAACTACAAGGTCTTACAGCGAAAATTTTTGCTAGCCGCAATTTTTTTTCTGGGAAACGCACAATATTTGAAAAAAAAAACCGAGCGTCTTGCATAATTGTGGGCCATCGCACATTTTTTGAGGCGGTAATTCAAATTTTTCAAAAATTTCGAATACCGGAGTTTAAAAAATTTCCCATTTCTTTGGTGCAAAAAAAAACGTTAGCTTAATTGAAAAGAAAGAAAAAAATAATTGAAATGCTGATAGCAAAACCCATTTCATTTAAATGCGCCTTTAAAATTTTCAGTATGACTTATTGTCGTGGGCGGACGAATTTGAGAATTTTGAATTGCGCGAACTTAATTGGTCCCGCAAAATAAAATCGGCTTATACGCCACCATCCGGCACTTGTCCCAATAAATCACTTAAAATCCATAAAAAATTATGCTATTTCATATTATGATAGTTAGAGAATGTAAAAATAGCTCCTAAAAGTTTTTCCATATGAGACCCGAGGCGACAATTCAATCAATAAACCAATCGCACCCCAAATTCGTCCGATATATTATACATATTCCAAATGCAAATTTACAGTTTTTTCCCCGATTATCTCAAATCGCTTCAATCCTCAGGATTCGACAAACCTCAACATCGGGAACCGTGAATATCTCCGTGACACCATTAATACTCTCATTCATCAATGATTGGCCCTTATCGACAACTCGTCCAGCAACATCAGCAGCTGCCTAAAATCAATATCATCACGGGAAGAAGTTTATATGTAAACGAAAAATTAGCCAAAAAATTTTTACCAAAATTGGCTCATTGCCAAAATATGACGAAAATGGTATCAAATATGTGCAGAGTGTCATTCTTTTTTCAAAGCGAAATTCAAAATAATGAAAAATGAGAAAAAAAATGGTATTTCGCCGCAAAATTTTCGCACAATCAATTGCGTCGCCAATTTTCCGACCCTACCTTCGCCTGCTCGCCGACCACTTTCACGCCATTTTCGATACCGGTTTGTAGGGTATCTGCAACAAAAAAAAAACTCGACAATTATATCATTTATTCTGATTTTTTTTTTCGAAATCGGTAATTCTCACAAATTGGTCTATTAAACGCCAACGTCATTAATCATTTCGAATTTTCAGTTTTTTTGTTGGTCGCTCTGTGGAAAAAAAAGAGTAAGAATTCGCATCGATTTAAAGGCGCACAGAAAAAAAAAAACGTCAAACTGTTTCTTTTGTTTTGAGATTTTTTCCTCCGAAAAGTCAAGAAGCCATAATTTTTCAATTCCAAGCCAATTTTTGATATGAAATCAGCAGAAGAAAACGTCTCAAAAAAAGGGATCGCAATTTTTTCAAACAAAAAAAAACTGCGAAGAAAAATTTTGGCCCCCAACCTGCCGCGCTTTTCGTGTGCGTCACCACTCCATGAGCAACCGTCTTCGTGCCTTGCACAGCCGTTCCGACGACCTTCTCAGCTCCCGACGTGACCGTGCCCTGAATCGATTTGGCACGGGCGCTGCAAACATCATTAAATAAACAAGTGGGCGACATTTAGTGAAATTCTTTGAATTACAATTTTCAACTTTTTACCGTTTGACAGGCATTTTGAAAAAAAATGTTTCGCTTTCATTCCCACAACCTAAAAGGCCCATAGAGCTTCAATCAAAACCCAACATCACATTTTTGCTATTAAAAACCAAACCTCAAAGTTCTGCCAAGCTTGCCAAACGAACGTCTCGCCGCCGTCGGCGAGAACCGCCCGATTCCGCCTCTCGAATCCGGCGCATCGAGTTCCGAATAGCTTCTCGGCCGCTCATCGCTGCTGCTCGCCGCCGACGACGTTCGCGATCGCTCGCGATTTCTCGATTGCTCCTCGATTTCGCCAACCGTCACCGCGCGATCTCTCGGCGCCTCATAGCCGCTGCTCTCGTCGATCGTCGGCGAGTCTTTCGCCTCTTCGGTGATCGACGGCAACGTCGATTCGCTTCCAAGTTTCGACGGCGACGTGCCAATCTCCTCAATCGACGAATCGCCACCCGTCTCGAATATCACCTCATTCTTCGGTATCTCGATTTCGGCGCTCGATGCAGCCGGCGTCGCCGCCGCTTCCTTCTTCGGACTCGTGTCGGGCGTCCGAACATGATCGGGATCAAAGATGTCGCGCTTCTTCTCCTCTTTGTTGCCGGTGAGCCCGCCGACCTCTTTGTACACCGACACCGCCACAATCTCGTCCATGCTGAAACCACTCGAGTCTCATATTCATCATCGCCCATTTTATATAGAAGGCGCATCTAAGCTCCGCTCCCCAAAATTCAACTCACTTGGCCACCATTCCATACAAATCCGGTCCGTTCTCTTTAACAAGCGGATGGCAAACGTCGGGGTCGAACATCAAACAATTCGGTGTGACGAGAAGTGTTCCCGACACGGTTCCATCATATTCGGTGATCTGTTTCACCTGAATCGCTAGCTAGCATTAGACAAATCGAGACGATCCGACAACACCTTAATTTTGAGAAATCTCTGCAGACAATCCGTATCGCTCTCCTCGGTGCTGTTGCGCGGCACCGGCGCCGATTGCGTCTTCGTGAACGAGCCGCGCTTGGTTTTCAGCGCCGCCGGCACCGCGCCGCCAGGCCCTTTTCGAATTCCATCGTCTGAAATCGATTCTACGCGTTTTTGAACGATGGGTGGCGGTCATCGTTTGACCAACCTGCGTTCTCGCCGCCGGCAATCAAGTGAGACGACGATTTTTGCGAGTTCGACGCCGGCTCGAACACGTCATCGGAATTCACACAAGGCACCACGATTTTCTGGCCGGGAAACACCTGAAATTTGGTTTGAGAGGAAAAAAAAACGAAACACAACGTTGAGCGACAGAATTTGCAAGAGGCGTCGTCATTTTCTGACGGGTCTGGTCTTGACGCGATTTTCTCTTTTCTTTTTCAATTTCCCACAAATCTACTGGGTAAAAATAATGTGTTTTTATCCGTTTTGCATTTTTTTGATTCATTTTCACATTTTTTCGTTGAGCAAAAATTGAAATAGTCGAATCTTCAGACAAAAACCATTGCAAACAATAAAACAATGCCAAATTTTTGAGAAATTCGAATTTAGCGAGCGTGGTGCGTGGTGGTCGATTCAACTAAAATTTTTCTTTCAAAAAAAAAAAATGCCTTTCAAGCCAGATTTTGTAGCGCCACAACAACAAAACAGGACGAATCCTCGCGAAAATGTCTCGTCACGATCGCTTCGAACATTTTCTAGTAGCCATCAACATAAAACAAAACCAACAAAAAATTTTTCGACGACTCGAATTTCAGCAAGAAAACTTCATTTCCCATCACAATTTTTGGGATTCTGCGGCAATTCCAAAAAAAGCGAAAAAGTGTTCCCTCGAAATATGAAAAATCATTGAAACCCATATGGATCGTTTCACGGTAAAATCTAGTTAAAGCTTGCGTTGTGCTTTCTATGTCTACACACTGACGCAATTTTGCACACATTTCCATTTAAACCGATTTCGAAATCACTTTCTTGAAGAAATTCGAAGGAAAATGAAGTTCTACGCAACGCGTGAATTTGTCTTTTCAAATCATTCGAACCGAATTTACATGCTGCTGCTTTAAAGGCGCATCGCGACAAGACCTTTCGCCTCTATTTGGTTTCGTCTCAATTGCTCACCATTCTCGACGCCATCTTGTTCATTTTCATGAGCTCGCCAACCGTACAATCGTGCGCGGCCGCTATCCGCTCCAACGTGTCCGTCTCCGATATTGTGTACTCCATCTGTAAGACGAGACAAATTGTATAAAGCGATGAAAAAGCCGACGATGTAGTTTTTCTTTGGTTGCGACGCGGTCGCGCCCATGACAGTTGATAAGGTTGAGTGGACAGACCAATTATGGACACACAAAAAAAATGGAAAGGAAAGGAACGATCGATAATTCGATCGAGCGATTCTTGAAATTTTTTGGCTGAAACGCAAGAAAATTGAAAAATGAGGTCGAATTGTGAAGAAATAGCCTTGAAAATGACAAGAGACATGTCAAAAAACGACCTTGATGCCCCCCAAAATATGTTTTTTTTTCCGCTGTATTCAGATCATTTAAATGCGTGAAATTTGGCGTTCCAAATTTTCCAACAAAACTAAATTTATCGATTTTCATAATGAAAACGGATTCTTTTTTTTTTTTGAAGATTTGAAGCAGATGTCGAAAATTTAAGCTAATTTCGCAACTTTTTTATTTGAAAATCGTCATTTTTTGGGGCAACAATTCTAGTTTTCCATTTTATTCAGTTCTGTTTTATAAACGATGAAAATGTTTAAAAAATCTCAAACCATATTTGGAATTAATTATTAACAATAAATGCTGAAAATTGTAAATAATTTGTAAAAATCGCACATTTTTCAATTTGAAAAAAACCATACAAATATGCGTAAAGTGGTAAAATATGAAATTTTTTCAAGTAAAAAACAAGATTTTCAGTTAAAAAAAACTAGAAACGCGTTTCAAAAAGATCAAAATTTAAAAAAAATGCAATTTTTCACGGTAAAAAATTTCAAAAAAAGAAGAAAACATTGTGAGCTCGAAAGCTCAAAAATTTCTTTTTTCAAAAAATCGCAATAAAATGCCCAAATTTGCATCAAAATTCGCGTATGTTTGCACTTTTTCTCAAATACTCGCCATCACCAATTTCGCTGATTATCGATGGAATTTGGGTCAAAAACCGACAAAACACAATACCAAATTTGGAAGCGAAAAAGTTCGCGTTGAAATTGATGCGAAAATTCGGGCTATCTCGTCGACGAATCGCCTCGAAACCCATTGCTTCTCAACGGACCACTCAATCGAAAAGAAAGGGACCATTAAATAAACAAACGGCACAAGTATTGATTTTTTGCGGTTTCAACCTGATCTTTGGGCAAGCGCTTTTAATCGCTCGTGTGCAAAACAAAAAATTCTTATCAAATTATTTATTTGCATCATGTCGGGTTTATTGTTTTCCTTATGAGACCCAAAATGACTACTTCATTTCATTATGGAACGAAAATAAAAAAAAAATCATGCTTTCAAAATTCCCAAATTCGGTATTTTCCATTTTTTTTTCAAGTAAAACTTCAAATTTCTTCAAGTTCAAACTTTTTTTCAACAATAATTTAACATTTCATCATTTTTAAAGTTCAAAGCTTCAAAATGTGAAAAATTCAGCATTTTTCCCCAAAAATCACATTGTTCGATCAAAATTTTTAAAAATTTCATCCAAATTTCTCATTTTTCCAAACTGTTCTTTTTCTGTCAAAAGGAAATTAGCATATTTTAGCATAATCAAAAAATCAATGAAAACCACAACAATTTTCCTATTTTGGAATTCCTCGTCACTATTTTTTTCAGCCGAATATCAGAATAATATTTAGGTAAATTGAAAAATTTGATTCAAGGCAAAAATATTCAATTTTATCGAAAGAAAAATCACAAAAAAAGCTGTTTTGCATAAAATGTGTCTATTTTTATTCGATGTTTGGCGAAAAATTGCTCATTTTTTTCTATTCATTCTATTAAAAATGCTGAAAAATCATAAATTTTGTGGAAAAATGATCAAAAATCTCAAAAATCCACCAAAATTGCGTGTTCATATTCCAATGTCTCGTGCGAAAACAAAGCTAATTCATTTGAGAAATTTTTCTCCAAAAAAAAAGATGGCAAATCCAAAATTCGCATTTTTTTTTTCTTTAAAAGAAATGCACTTTTAAATGGAGAATCGCAAAAATCCAACTTTTAAAAGAATGAAGCAAAAAAATCTTTTTTGAAAAAAAAAATTCTAAAAAAAATGAAAAAGACATTAGCCAAAGATTGAATAAATTAAACAATTTTTCTTTAAAAAAAGAAAAAATTTTAAAAATTGCTCAAAAAAAAAAAAATAAAAAATATTCTTCCAACTTTCAGGTTCAAAATTCTGAAAATCGCCCAAATTTCTAGTTTCTCATTTTCAAGCCGAAATTTCGAAAAATTCATGGAAAACAAAAATGATTTTCAACAAAAAAAATTTTTTTGGTTGAAAACTAATATAAGTCGTATGTGTTGATGAGGAAGAGTGTGGCAAACAGGCAGAGACAACTCGAAACCAGTGGCCATCACCAGACAGCAAACAAAACTTTGGAAGGGGGGGGGGGACAGCGAACAGGTCGAGACCCAAGAATACGACGACACAAACGTTGGCGAAATTGATTGGGTGAGGGCATTTTTGTGAATATGCACACTACACCCCAAATATGTCCAAAAAAAATGTACATTCATGTATAGAAGAGAGAAGGTGCAAATAAAAAGCACAACACACATACACACGTGTTTTTTTTTTCGTTGAGCGTGGCCACCACAAAAGCGAAAAAAAAGAAACACATGTGCGTCTATCTATCTGCTCACTTCTTCTTCTTCTTCTTCGTTTTCTTCTCCACCGCCTTTCCCACCAAATTGAATCATCGCTATCCACCCAAGTAACTTTGCCTTATCTTCGGTAATCGGTCTCGTCATGCTACCGGACCAATCAAATCTTTATAATGGTACTAATAACAAATCGCCAGAATCTCTGCTGATTACGTAAAAAGCTAGCCCTTCCAGATCCTACAACTATCTTGCTCGACATTGACCTACAGTAACTAAATTGAAGCCATTATGATTTGGGTCTTGAAGCGATTCAATGTTAACTACCGTCACCAAAAATTTCTAGAAGCCTCATTTCAACAAGAATTTGAAAATGTTGGCCAAATTGCAATATACACGAGTGGGGGTTTTGAGCGGAATCTACCGTAACCCGAAACTCCAACAAGCCAAAGGAGAAACACAAATGCACAAATTCGAATATGTACCCCCTTTAACTACCGTACCCTTGGTTACATTGAGTAGGCACACGACCAAAATCACAGCCTTTCGACGTCTTCCAGGCGTGCGATCAGTTTCCAGACAATACGAAAACTACCGTACCTCTAAATCGCTTCGAGACACTCAATAGTTAGGCAAATATATGAGAGATGATCAATTCAAAAAATTTGAAATATCGAACAAATTCCAACTGTTCGAGATAACCGCGTAAAAAATACATACATATTCAAATTTTAAAAATTGGGTCTCACAACGAAAAATTCAAATAATTATAATCGCATAAAAAACGAGGACCTTGACTAATCAATTTCAATTTTATTTTGAAAATTTGAAAAAAAAAATTGGCTCCGATTTGATTCCAAATTTTTATACGAGAAACCAAAAACACAAAGCATATGATTAAAGGCGCATACTAATATATAGCCGACTTATCTCGTCGAGACCCGCACAAATTGTCAAGAATTTTCCAAAACAAAACGAAGACGATGGAATTGTGCAATTTTTCAAGCGACCAAAAAACTTTGACCGCGAGATGAAAAAAAAACTAGGAACGCTCGAAATGGGGGGGGGTCGAACGCGCGAGGAAGTGTTCGCTTCTTCCTTCGAGGAAGGCGAAAAAAAAAAGAGGATGCCGCCAAATAATGCAAGATTACGCATTTTCGTTTATTTCGCCTTTTTTTTTATTCTTGACGAAGAAAAATGCCAAACAATTGACAAATTTCTGTTCTAAATTTTCAAAAATTTCTAAAACAAAAAAATCCAATTTTGCAACGCCTAATTTGGATTGATCGTGGCGGGACCCAATTAAAAACCTTCCTTTCAAATTCTTCATAATTGGGCCCTCATGGTTGAATGACGAAAGAAAAACAGTAAAACATGATGAGATTTTCAAATTCTGAATGGAGTGCGTTTCTCAAAACAAAAAATTTTTCGCTTCGAGACCTCGAAGTTCAGACGTGTTCACGTCAATCAAAAGAATTTAGCAAAAAAAAAAAACCGCACGCGAACCGCAACGCGTCTGGCGACATTGAATAATTACAATATCCGCGTGTTTTTTTGGTACACATTGCTGAAAATCATAATTAAAGGCGCATTACCTAATATAGGATGTGCCTTTAAATTTGAATCTCGCCTCGAACATCATTGCGAAAAATCTTGCGCACATACGCTTTTCATTGTTTGAGACAAAACGCACGGCACGATCAAAATTTAAAGGCGCACGATCGAAGTCGACAAAAATCCTTTAATAATAATTAAAATCATCATCAAAAAAAAAAATTTTGGTCGAAAAAAAAATCGTGCAAAATGCGTCAGCAGCACAAAATTGCACGCCTCAGCGATTTGTGTTGCCAATTTCATTTCGATTTTTTTTTTCGCTTCTGGTTTAGTTTTGCCGACGGCTTCAGAAGGACGACGACGATGATTCGAAATCGCAATGAAACACACCAACACACATAAATCTATATATATATATACTATATAGCCAAAAAGCCGCCGTCTCTCAAATATATATATTTCGACGCATAAATTAAACGCAAAAACAATTTCCGTTGGGGATTGTGATACAACATGCGGCGATTCGGAATTGTCAGACAAATCTCAAATCAGAAACGACAAAAATGCTTTTTCTTTTCGGCTTTTGCTTTCGACTCAATTCGAGACTATCTCAACATTTGAATTTCAAGGCATTTTTTTAAAGGCGCATTTGGGATATTTAAATGCGAATCGTGGCCGGGACTCTCAAATTTTGGCACCAAATTCGAAAATATTTGCAACTTGGGCCAAATCAGCCGCGGAAATTCAATAGTCATGTTTTTGTTTACATTATTTTCAGAAAAGCAAGACAAAAAAAAAAACACATTTTTCGGTAAATTAGTAGCGATTTCGGTCAAAACCACACACCAATTT